CTGGGGTGTTCTCTCTCTCTCTCTCTCTCTCTCTCTCTCTCTCTCTCTCTCTCTCTCTCTCTCTGCCCCCCAGCAATCTCTCCCCAAGCCACAGCCCTCACCTGTCCTGCTCCACCTTCTCCTGGGGTGCTTTTGACTGAATGGAGGAGCTCCACCAGTTAATTACGGATCGTGCAAGGCAGAAAACCAGCAGCCAAAGTTTGCCTTAGCACTTTATATCCATGCTTGGAAGAGCAGCACCTGTTGAACTTCAGCCTGCTAGGCTGCAGTGATAAAGGCAGAGAGAGAGGGGTCCGTGAAGCGTCTCAACAGACCGCCAATCGTGTCACCAGCTGGGATACTGGTCAGGAAAAGTCTCCTGATGGCTAGAAACCGCTCTGTATTATGGTTATAATAACCTTAAAGGATGTTTAAATAAAATGATGGATTGATGGTATCTGGATAAATGATTTAGGATGTGTCAAGGTGTTCTAAATGTTTGCTGAAAAATATGGTGGGACATTTTCTCACGCTTGGAGGACTTGCAAAAAAAGGCAGGAAATATTAGATACAAATACATACATTGATGCAAAAGTTTTTAAAAAAAGATTGTAACATTCAGTTGAAGGCAGAACGTTTCCTGCTAGGAATAATGGAATACAATTAGAAAAAGAACATTATTTCAATAAATGATCACAGCAGCGAGACTTTTATATGCACAAAGATGGAAAGATCCATCATGACCCACCGTGCAGGAATAATTGCTAAAATTATTGGACTTAGTTGACCTGTTGAATCAGAAAAAAAATCTTTGTCAATGTTTTCTACAGACTGGGATCTCCTTATAGACCTATTGCATGAAAAAGAAAACGCACTTAGGATATCTGGGTTTGAGGACTGAAGAAAATATTGGTTTATATAGAGTAGAATTGTTCGGTGTTTTATCAGAGTGGATGTTTTGCATACTTCTCTGCATATGGAGAGCAATATTTATAGAATCTGAAAGTCTCTTTTTTCTTTCTTTCTTTCTTTTCTTCCTCCTTTTGGTTTGTGTTTTCAATTAGTTTTTTTATCTTTGTGTCTTTTAAAATTTATTTATATTTGTATCTCTTTTTATCTTTATATATTTTCTTTCCAACTTTAATAAAATTTATTGGCAGGAAAAAAAGAGAATTCTCTCTGTGTTTTGGAATGAGACCCCCATCACGGTTTGGAGGAAACGGTCCTAATTCTTCTGTTAAAAGGAAAAGACGGCGATTACACTGATATCTCAACTTTTCTTCCCAGGAGCTCATGGTGACATAGTTGGTTCTCTTTCCTTTCCCTCTGTTCCTCATTTCATCTTCACAACAACCATGAGAGGTAGGTTAAGGCTGAGATACTGTGACACTCCATTTCTTTTACGGGATTCTTGCCCACAGTAGTAGATATGATGGTCATCCGAGCTGAATTCGCCCATTCCCGTCCATTTTAGTTCACTGATGCCCAGGTTGTCAATATTTATTCTCGCCATCTCATTTTTGACCACATCCAACTTACCCAGGTTCATGGTTCTTACATTCCAGGTTCCTATGCAATATTTTTCTTTATAGCATTGGACTTTCCTTTCGCTTCCAGGCATATCCGCAACTGAGCGACCTTTCGGCTTTGGCCCAGCCGCTTCATCAGCTCTGAATCTACTTGTACTTGTCCTCCGCTCTTCCTCAGTAGCATGTTGGACGCCTTCCAACCTGAGGGGCTCATCTTCCAGCGTCATAACTTTTATATGCCTGTTGTCTTTGTCCATGGAGTTTTCTTGGCAGGGATACTGGAGTGGCTTGCCGGTTCCTCCTCCAGGTGGATCACGTTTGGGCAAAACTCTCCACTATGACCTGTTCATCTTGGGTGCCCTGCTTGGCATAGTTCATAGCTTCTCTGAGTTATTCAAGCCCCTTTGCCACGGCAAGGCAGTGATCCATAAAGGAGAGGTCAGTGTGACAGCAGTCACGAAATTAAAAGATGCCTGCTTCTTGGGAGAAAAGCAATGACAAACCTAGACAGCATCTTAAAAAGCAGAGACATCGCCTTGCCAACAAAGGTCTGTATAGTTAAAGCTATGGTTTTCCCAGTAGGGATGTATGGAAGTGAGAGCTGGACCATAAAGAAGGCTGATCGCCGAAGAGGCAGTGGAAGACAGGAGGGCCTGGCGTGCTCTGGTCCAGGGGGTCACCAAGAGGTGGACACGACTAAACGACTAAACAACAACAACAACTGTGACTGGCCGAAGGTCACACATCCAGCAAGCTTCATGCCTGAGCAGGGTTTTGAACCCTGGTCTGCAAGCTCCTGGTCAGACACCACACCAAGCAGAAGAAGAAACAGGGTGCTTGTTCAGATTGCTGAGAGCTCCTGGGAACTGTAGTTTTAGAGAGTGCTTAGATTTCTGCTCAGAGTACTACAATTCCCTGCTGATGAAGAGAAGAGCCAAGCAGAGTGTGCCACCAGGTGGTGCTGTGGGACAGCAGGAAATAAAAAGAGCATGGAAGCAAACACCTTTAGATTATTTCTTTATTTACATTATTTCTTCTGTATTTGCAATACTTTAAAGCTCCTTTTCAGGAGCGCGTCCTCCCAAAAATTACTTGCTGGAAAGATGAACCCTAAACAACCTGTTCCAGAACTGGGCAGAAGATCTTCATTTCACAATATGGCACACGGATGTTGTAAAATTTCTGGAGCCTGCTAACTTTCTGCTAACACAATAACAACAAAATGAGTCTGTGAGTTTCACAGCAATAATCCCCAACCGGGTCTCCATACGAAATTCTGGTCCGAGGATGTTTGCACTGTTTCATCAGGCCATTTGTTTTTGCTGCTGTCAGTTGCGTAACACAACTCGCTGGGTGCACAATGAGGACTAGCCTCGTGCTTTATGTCATCATCATCATAATAATAATAATAATAATAATAATAATAATTTATTTCTACCCCGCCCATCTGGCTGGGTTTCCCCAGCTACTCTGGGCGGCTTCCAACCGAATATTAAACACAATACAGCATCAGACATTAAAAACTTCCCTAAACAGGGCCACCTTCAGTTGTCAAAAAGTAAAATAGTTGTTTATTCCCTTGACATCTGAAGGGAGGGCGTTCCACAGGGCGGGTGCCACTACTGAGAAGGCCCTCTGCCTGGTTCCCTGTAACCTCACTTCTTGCAGGGAGGGAACTGCCAGAAGGCCCTTGGAGCTGGACCTCAGCGTCCAGGCAGAATGATGGGGGTGGAGACGCTCCTTCGGGTCTACTGGGCCGAGGCCGTTTAGTACAGGCATAGGCAAACTTGGCCTTCCAGCAGTTTTGGGACTACAACTCCCATCATCCCTGACCACTGGTTGTGTTAGCTAGGGATGATGGGAGTTGTAGTCCCAAAACATCTGGAGGGCCAAGTTTGCCTATGCCTGGTTTAGGGCTTTCAAGGTCAGCACCAACACTTTGAATTGTGCTTGGAAACGTACAGTGGTACCTCGGGTTAAGTACTTAATTCGTTCCAGAGGTCTGTTCTTAACCTGAAACTGTTCTTAACCTGAAGCACCACTTTAGCTAATGGGGCCTCCTGCTGCAGCCGTGCCACCGGAGCACGATTTCTGTTCTCATCCTGAAGCAAAGTTCTTAACCCAAGGTGCTATTTCTGGGTTAACGGAGTCTGTAACCTGAAGCGTATGTAACCTGAAGCGTATGTAACCCAAGGTACCACTGTACTGGGAGCCAATGAAGATCTTTCAGGACCGGTGTTACATGGTACCGGCGGCCGCTCCCAGTCACCAGTCTGGCTGTCGCATTCTGGATTAATTGCAGTTTCCGAGTCACCTTCTGGTGTTATCTTGTGGGTCAGCAGCAGAGCAGAGCCTCAGCCTTGCCTGCCCAAGGTCCTGGGTTCAGCTGGTAGAAAGTCCCTTTTGCCTGAAACTTTGGAGAACTGCTGGCAGACCATGTCGACCTCGCTGAACTAGGTGAAGCAATGCTGTGACTCATCTTCCTCGAAGCAACAGTCCAACTGGAGTGAAGGGAGGGGGAATCGGGCGTTGCCCCCTTCTTTTTCTGCCAACCCATGAGAGATGCTGCCAGCCCGTGCAAGCACCACTAGGCCCTATGCACCAACGCACTCACAAAATCCTCTTCCTCCGCCACTCCTCTGAAGCGTCACTCAACCTAGGGCAGCTTAGACTCCGGGTGGGGTGAGCTTTGCCCCCCTCCCCAACTTCACCCCCCCATGAGCTGCTGCCAGCCAGTGCCGACAACGCTGATCTACACGGACCAACGCTCTGACTCCGGCGCCAAGCTGCTTATCCTCTGGAGCGGCAAGTCCAACCCGGGGTCCCTTAGCCACGTGGGTGAGGTGGGGGGGAAGCGATGGGGAAAACTGGGATCCCCCTCCCCATTTCCCATTCCCTCCCTCCAATTTCCTTCCAGCTCCATCCTTTCTTTTGCAAAACTGGTGAGTCCAGAAGAAAAAAAGAGAGAACCTCCTCTTTTTTTGCAAAAAGAAAGAAAGAAAGAAAGAAAGAAAGAAAGAAAGAAAGAAAGAAAGAAAAGGGGGGAGCGATGGGGAAAATTGGGGTCCCCTTCCCATTTCTCTCTCCCTCCCTCCAATTTCCTTCCACCTCCATCCTCTCTTTTGCAAAACTGGTGAGTCAGGCGGGGAAAAGAGAGAACCTCCCTTTTTTGCAAAAAGAAAGAAAGAAAGAAAAAAAGAAAAAAAGGGGGAGCGATGGGGAAAATTGGGGTCCCCTCCCCATTTCTCTTTCCCTCCCTCCAATTTCTTTCCACCTCCATCCTCTTTTTTTGCAAAACTGGTGAGTCCAGAAGAGGAAAAGATAGAACCTCCTTTTTTTGCAAAAAGAAAGAAAGAAAGAAAAGTGCGGGGGGGGAGGGAAAAAGAGAGAAGAGCCCTCCCTTGGGTAGGAGGGGCTCTATCCGGAATCCGGAAAGAGAGAGACCCACCCTCCGAGTGACGGGCAGGCCCCTCCCTCCCCCAAAGTGGGACAACCCCCCCCTCCGCGCGCCCTCCCCCGCCAGCAAAGTGGGTGAGTCAGTGGATGGCCAGAGAGATGGATGGAGGGGGAGGGGCGGCGCGGGGACGCGCCGTGCCAGGCTCTGCCCTCGATTGCTAAGGCTTGGCTACTCCCCCCCCCCCCAAAAAAAGTGGTGTTTTTTTGCGATATCGAATTAATGTTGCAAATGGCTCAGGCCAGCCGCGCGCGGGGCTGCTAACCTGATCCGTCCCGGGGCGACGTCATTTCTCCAACAACTCCCCGGACCCCCCCCCTACGCGCGCACCCCCCCCCCCCAAAAAGAAGGCTGCTTTTACTTTTTATTTATTTATTTTCTGCCCCTTCCCATCAACAGCAGCAGCAACCCCCCCCCCACGCGCGCTTTGGATCAAAGGGGAGGAGCAGGAGCGAAAGAGAGATTGCGCCCCCTAACCTCACCTCCCACCCAACCCCCCATTTTTTTAAAAAAAACCAGGAACCCCCCCCCGGAAAAAAAAAGAGAGAAGGGGAGATTCCGCAGAGATCTGCTAGACTTCCTGGTGCAAAACGTGAGTGGATCCCTCGTCTTGGTCTGTGCGCCCTGATGTTTTGCAACAAGTTGGGTTTTCCTTTCCTTCTTCCCCCCACTTTGCTTTCCTTCCACGAGCTTCTCTTCAACCCCCCCCCTCCAAAAAAAACCCCCTCCTCTCTCTTTGCAATCCTGCCCCCCCCACTTGCTCCGGGTTCAGGAAACTGCGAGCGGAAAAAGGTTTGTGTCATGAGTAACTTTGTGGCTCCAGGCGAGGTTCCGCTTTGCGCGTTTCGACTGCGCTGCGCCAAAGGCGAGTTAATTCCTAATTCTTTGGGGGAGTTTGTGTGCGTGTTTTGTTTGGTAGGGTGAGGTTTTTTTTGGGGGGGGGAAACACATCCTCATTTATTCCCCCTTCCTCGCCCCAACTCTTCTCCCGCTTTCTCTCTTCCGTCATGTAAACGGACCATAAACCGGATCGATATCTTCCCCCCCGCGCGCCGCCGCCACTCCCGGTTTAAAGGAAAAATACTCGTGGGCACTTTCCAGTATGTATTACTCACTCCTCCGAGGAGACTCGGACCCATTGATTTCATGGAGTGGTATTTTTGGGGCGGGGGGCTGGTTTCGGATCGGGGCCGAGGCAGGCCGCGATCCTCACGCCGCTTACTCGGGAGTAAGACCCAATGAAAGTCAACGGGACTTGCTTCGGAGTAGGCATGGAAAAGCTCTGCTTGCAATCCAGATGTACTTGGAGTAGACCCATCGCCATTAAGGGCGCACGCATTAATCGCGGGGCGTCTGCACCCCCTTACGGCATAGCGCATCTGCTCCTCTTACCGGGAATTTTGGCTTTTTAAAGAGTGTTTTTGCACCGGATCGGGCGCGGCTTTTACTTTAGAGTAACCCCGGCTTGCTCTACGTTTTGGAAAGGGGGGACTCAACTCCCGGCGAAGCCTGCGGGCCCCCGGCCGGTTTGACGCGGGACTCCAGGAGCGCGCTTACTCGGGAGTAAGCGGGCTCAGCGGCCCTGCACCAGGAAGCCCCGAGCTCCAGGATCCGGAGGAAAGGGCGAGTCTGCTCGGAAGGAAGCCCCGCGGGGGCCTAACGGCGCTTACTCGCAAGTAAAGGCGCGCGGGATCGGGGCCTCGGAGCTCCGCGCACGGGGCTTTGAATGGCTAAACTGTTATTTGGCAACGGGGCGGATCCTTTGCACGGGGCGGCCCTCCCTCGCTCCCCCCCTCCCTATGACTAATTTCCATCCAGGGATTTTTTTTTGTGGGGGTGGGGGCAGGCAGGATCGACCCACACTTCCATCCACCCCACATTGCACACGATTCGGATTCACTTGCGGGAGGAAGAACCCCGGAGGTAATTCTCTTTTCTCTCTCTCGGAAAATTAAGAATTCTTCTCCTTTTTTTTAATTAAAAAACCCTGTTTCCTCCAGAATCCTATTATAGAAGGGGGTTTCCATGTCTTTCTTCCCTTCCCCCAGTTTATAGGAATCCCCACCTTATTCCCCCCCCCAAACCTTTTTGCATCTATATAAAAAAGTTTGAAAGGTACTTTGTAGAGCTGAACCTTTTTATTTTTGAAGGAAGTGTGTTTTGGAGATGAAAGGAAGAGAAATGTGTTTATTTTCAGAAAAAAAGGTTTGTCTGACCCAACTATTCCCACTTGGGGATGGTTTTTCCTCCCCTCTCTAGGCTGCGAGGGGAAATAGACTTTGTTTCGGACACTTTTTGGGGCTTGGGCGAGAACTCCCTTCAAGTAAATGTTCAGCGAAAGTGGGGAGGAGAAGAGGGGGGCAGGATAGGGAGAATTCGGTGCCCCCACCCTTTAATTTCCACCGTTTTGTGTCATTGCTAGCTTCTCCCTTCTCTCTTTTCTCTCCTGATTTATGGGGTCCATTGTCCCAGCCATAATGGCCCTTTCTCTGACAGCTTTATCCAAGAATCCTGTGCCTTAAAGCCATGTTTACACATAACCACGCAGAGTTTGGGAGAGGTTTCTGGCCTGTCTCTCCAAAGTGTGCTTCATTGCTGTAGGATATCAGTTTATCTTCCCCCCCCCCCCAGAGCATGGGTAGGCAAACCAAGGCCCGGGTGCCCGGATCCAGCCCAATCGCCTTCTAAATCTGACCCACGGATGGTCCGGGAATCAGCGTGTTTTTACATGAGTAGAATGTGTGCTTTTATTTAAAATGCATCTCTGGGTTATTTGTGGGGCATAGGAATTTGTTCATATTTCCCCCCAAAATATAATCCGGCCCTCCACAAGGTCTGAGGGTCAGTGGACCGGCCCCCTGCTGAAAAAGATTGCTGAGCCTTGCCCCAAAGTCTTCCTTCCTTCTCTCTTCTGGTCTTTCCCTCCGATCCAGGAAGTGCCAGTCTCCCTTTTTGGGGCCTACACCAAATCTTTGCCACCCTGGTGTGTATGTGTGCAACTTTTCCCCCTGCAACTCGAGGGCACCCTGGCATCCCGGAACCAGTTAACGATCCTTGATCTGGGTGGGGGAAAATGTCCCCTTTTCAGCGTGGGATTGGCAGGCCTGTCTTCCCCCCTCCTTCCTTTCTGTTTGCGAAAGCACATTTGCGGCACCCTCAGGTGTGTCCAGACTAAACCGATAGTTGTGTTGTTGTTTTTTAAGGCCTTTCCCTTCCGGGGTTTTCAGAAAGGAGAGCCATGCATGCATTTGAATGTAGCACATCAGAACCCAGCCTCCGTTTGCTTTTCTAACTTTCCGAAAGGCTGGGTTAAAAACCAGAAATATTGGCGTGCAACAGCCTTTGCCCAGTCGCCTCGTAGGATTAAATCATAGTAGTGGACTAGCTTTTTCTTTTTTAATGTTTCCGCTGCGGGATTAAAAAACTCCCAAAAGTTGCTAGCTTTCAGGCCTGCGCAGGCTGAGGCCATAACCTCCTTTTTTATGGTGTGGGGTTGCATTCAGCGGACTCCCATTCAGAGTAGATTGAAATTAACCGCGTTTATTAACTTCGCCAAGTCTGCTCTGTGTAGGAGTCAGCCTCGGGCAGGCATCCCCAAACTCGGCCCTCCAGATGTTTTGGGACTACAACTCCCATTATTCCTAGCTAACGGGACCAGTGGTCAGGGACGATGGGAATTGTAGTCCCAAAACATCTGGAGGGCCGAGTTTGGGGATGCTTGCCCTTGAGAGTGCTTTGTTTTGCTTTGTACATTTATTTACTTTGGTGCAGGGATCCTTTGGCCCGCCAAGGTGTCGCTGAACTACTCTTCCCATCTTCATGCCTGGCCATGCTTGCTGGGGCTGATGGGAGTTGTAGTTTGGGAGCCTCTGAAGGGCCAAAGTTCCTTCACACCTGGTTTCCTTGAAAAATGTATCCATTGCCTTCTGGGGTAAGTGATTTTGGGATTTACCATCGCTTGCCGTTCATTACTTGCCATTAAAAGGGTAAAGGGACCCCTGACCATTAGGTCCCGTCGTGACCGATTCTGGGGTTGCGGCGCTCATCTCGCTTTATTGGCCGAGGGAGCCGGCGTCCAGCTTCCGGGTCATGTGGCCAGCATGACTAAGCTGCTTCTGGCGAACCAGAGCAGCGCACGGAAACGCCGTTTACCTTCCCGCCGGAGCGGTACCTATTCATCTACTTGCACTTTGACATGCTTTCGAACTGCTAGGTTGGCAGGAAGCAGGGACCGAGCAACGGGACGGGGGATTCGAACCGCTGACCTTCGGATCGGCAAGTCCTAGGCTCTGTGGTTTAACCCACAGCGCCACCCGCATCCCATTACTTGCAATTACTTGCCCTTATTATCGGCAAGGCTGAGCTGTGCACTAAAGTTTCTGTTGTGACCTGTTGCTGATTTCAAAGCCCGGACTGCATGGATCCCAAATTTACCTTGATAAGACTGGGCTTTGCACCACAGAGCCTGGCAGAATTTAGCAAGGAAATGGAAGGTTTTTGAAGCAACCGGCAAGGGCGAGTCACCCGGTTTTCCAATTGCAGGGGACGAACTCATCTTCTTTTATTGGATTTTACACTGTGTAAATTTCCTTCGGATTTCCTACAATGCAACATTGTATTCTTAAATGTTTCCAAACTGATTTGGTGTGGCTACCCTACTTATCATAATGACAAATCCTTATTATATGATTAACCATCAAGCATCCTTTACACAAGAAATCCTCATCTTAAGGAATTAAGTCCTCAGTATACCATTTTTATCCACATCCCATATCCATATCAGTCTGATTAATAATAATTATCACTGGGTTGGATCCAGCGTTAGTCCTACTTATGTGCCTAATTACTGTCCATTAATGAGTCCAAGTAGAATTTAGTTAGGTACCGCCCAGAATGACTAGTCTTTACCATCATAACAATCTTTTAATATGCCTGCCCTTACCTTAGAGAACAATCCCGTAAAATAAACAATTACAAATCCATATTACACAATTTGTGGAAATTGCGAGGTTATCTTTCTACTCTTACATGTCTTCTGCACTCCCAATAAATCCGAAAACCTTTTTCAAGTCAAACAGCCAGACATAGCCTCCACATTTTAGTGAATACCTGGCCATATCCTTAGGTGTCTGTGTTTTGTCCAGACTGTAGGCTGGCTGAATTATTGGCAGCTAGCAGGCAATCAATTCTCTGTGACAGGCGGTTGGAAACATTTGACCTGTCAGCTCTCTGAAAATCAACCGTTGCTTGGCCAGACTTTATATATAGTCTCTCAATGTGGTGTATGGTCCTTGAGAGGCTGTCAGCAAAGACAACCAAGTATGGACCAACCATATTCAGAAGAAGGATGTACAAAATTCTTTTCTGCCTATATACAAAAAATGTAAGGCTGTCGTCATTCTGCAGTTCCCCTAGCCACCAATAGGTGGTCACACTTTCTCCAGTATAAAAGCCTGCCATAATAATAATAATAAGAAGAAGAAGAAGAAGAAGAAGAAGAAGAAGAAGAAGTATTCATTGGATTTCAGAAGTTCAACAGGGGGGGAGAGGGCCCGTCTGACCTCAAGTGGGACATCCACAAAACGGCCCACAACACAGAACTGGTTGGTCTGAGCAGGCCCACAGGGGATCCTCAGTAGTGACTCTCCCCAGGGCTGTATTTTGCATATGCGGTAAAGGTAAAGTGACCCTTGACCATAAGGTCCAGTCGTGACCGACTCTGGGGTTGCGTCACTCATCTCGCTCTATAGGCCGAGGGAGCCGGCGTACAGCTTCCGGGTCATGTGGCCAGCAGGACTAAAGCGTTTCTGGCGAACCAGAGCAGTGCACGGAAACGCCGTTTACCTTCCCGCTGGAGCGGTACCTATTTATCTACTTGCACTTTGACGTGCTTTCGAACTGCTAGGTTGGCAGGAGCAGGGACCAAGCAACAGGAGCTCACCCCGTCACAGGGATTTGAACCGCCAACCTTCTGATGGGCAAGTCCTAGGCTCTGTGGTTTAACCCACAGCGCCACCCGCATCCCTGGGGTGCAAAAAACTGCCCAGCACCCCCAATTTTGGGGGGGGGCAGGAGAAAAACCTGCAGCACTCTGCCTGGCTCTTCAGTCCCCAGACTCCAAATCTCAGCCCCGCACTCTCGGCCTGGTGCCCCTGAGAGCCTGGCGCCCGGGTGCCCCGCACCCCTAGCGCCTGTGGGTAAGCCAGCCCTGCCGAGGCCTCATATTAAAGAATCCAGGGAACTGTAGTTTCCCCCCTCACAGAGCTGCGATTCCCAGCACCCCTGGTGTGGAAGTGATGTTGTTGTTAGTCGTTTAGTTGTGTCCGCCTCTTTGTGACCCCCTGGACCAGAGCACGCCAGCCACTCCTGTCTTCCACTGCCTCCCGCAGTTTGGTCAAACTCATGCTGGTAGCTTCAAGAACACTGTCCCGCCATCTCGTCCTCTGTCGTCCCCTTCTTCTTGTGCCCACCATCTTTCATAACATCAGGGTCTTTTCCAGGGAGTCTTCTCTTCTCATGAGGTGGCCAAAGTATTGGAACCTCAGCTTCAGGATCTGTCCTTCCAGTGAGCACTCAGGGCTGATTTCCTTCAGAATGGAGAGGTTTGATCTTCTTGCAGTCCATGGGACTCTCAAGAGTCTCCTCCAGCACCAGAATTCAAAAGCATCCATTCTTTGGCGATCAGCCTTCTTTATGGTCCAGCTCTCACTTCTATACATCACTACTAGGAAAACCATAGCTTTAACTATACGGACGTTTGTCGGCAAGGTGATGTCTAAGAAGTGATTTTAGGATTTTAGGGGCAACACTGAGGAAGGCTTGCAGCGTCTGGGGTTTTTGTTTTGTTTTTTTTTGTTTTTTGCTTCAGGGGAAAGATGAGCAAACGAAGCTGATGAAGTCACAAGAAGAGACAGTCCTCTTGTGCTCAGGTCCTCCTTGTGGCCTTCCCTAAATGGACAACTGCCTGGCCACCATGAGAACGGGATGGTGGGTTTTGTCCCGGTCCAGCAAGGCCTCTTCTGACATTCTAATGGAACCTCCACCCCCAAGGGCAGTCTATCTTGGCGTCACTGTTCCCAGGGAGATTTGGCCACTGTAAGAGCCATAGGCTGGCCTAGAGGGGTCATTGACCTGATCCCGGCAGCCTCTTCTTATGTCTTAGGTATGGGTGGGTGTTTGGACAGTTCCCTGCAAAAAAAAAGGGTGCCTTTAGAGAAGCGGGTGTTTTTTTAAGGAGTTGGTGGCAGATCTGTTGGATGCGGGGAATAAATAACAGGACGGCTTTCTTGAGCATACTCTGTGCTTGGGTGGGTGGCTCTCGCCTGCGCCTCAACAAACCTTTGATCGCAGTAAGGCTTTAATGCTCTTAATGGATTTGACTGCAGTTACCTGCTTGCATCTGATCTTCGTTGGGGGAGAGAGGAAAATACCCGAAGGGCAAGTTTCAAAGCTTTTTGTGTATGGATTTTTCCGCACTCCTAAACCTCCCATGTCTGAAAAAGGCCATTAGGTGTCCTTTCTCCCCTTCCCTCCAGGTAAGGCAACTGCAAATGCCTATTATTGGGATTTTACCGATCGGTTTGCCTCGATAGCCTGCTTTTTCCTCCAAAGAGCGTGGTTCTCCGCCCCACAGTGACCCTGCGAGGGAGGCAAGGCTGAGAGGGAGAGTCACTGGGCCCCCCGAGGGCTCACGCGGTGAGCTTAATGGCCGAGCTTGAACCCTGGTTCCTTCCGAATCCTGGTCCAGTCCTCTAACCACTACGCCACACTGCCTCTCGATGGCGCGGCGCTTGCGGAATCGGCTCAGGTGCTTTGGAGAGCCTCCTTGGGGCAGGATGAGGGCCCCTTGTCAGGATGAGGGCCCTTCTGAGCCCAGCAATCTTGTTTACCCAATCTGTTTTAAGAGGTGGGTGTGCATTACTTCAAAATGTGATCGGCTAGCACTGCGTTGATTTGAGGGGGGGGGTGTCTCTGCTGAATGGGGCTCCTTACCTGTGCTGCCCCCCCCCGTCCTACCTTGACTGCACCAGGCGCTAAAGTCAAGAGCCCTCAGCCGCTCTTGGTCGCCAGCTGCCAGTTTTCCAAATTTGCAAAATTCACCGCTGGAGACAATAGATCTCATTTGGACAGAGTGCTGCTTCTGTGTTTTGGGTTCTGCTTTTGGGGTTGCAGTTGCAGCATGTGCTTGGCCCCTGTGGGAACAGGATCCTGGGTTCGATGGGCCCCCATGGGCCTGATCCAGCATCCTACGCCCTTGCTTTCTTGGGGCCCTTCTCTTCGCCAGCTTCAAATATTGCCTATTGTAAAACAAATTATGGTAGCTTTCTGTTGGCACCGGGGAGCAGATGCAAATAAGTCTTATGGAAGCTGCGTCTCTTATTGCTGCGCACAGGTAATTAAGTCTAGCATCCCTTGAAGGTGAAAAGCTTTATGTTTCGTGCTGGCCTTTGCCAGTTGGCAGCCTCTGGGCCAGATTGATGGGTTCTTGCAGCTCTGCCAATAATAATAATAATATCTATTATTGTAATATCTATGATTATTATTAGCTGGAGGAGCACCTGCAGCTTAATCACAGGACAAGTCTCTTCGCACCCAGACGGTCCCAGGCTCAGTCCCTGAAATCTCCTGGCAGGGCAGGGAGAGATCTGTTTTCAGACTCATGAGGACTGGAATCTTGCTCTGTTTGGAAGAGAGGTGCTGTAGCTGAGTGGTTAGAGCACCTGCTGCGCCTGCAGAAGGTCCCAGCTTCAACCCCTGGTGTCTTCACTATCTGAGGCTGGGAGAGACCCCTTGTCTGCTTTCCTGCAAAGCTGCTGCCAGTCAGTGCAGGTAAGCCAGTGTTTCCCTGCATCTGAAACCCTGCAGAGCCGCTGCCAGCCAGTGTTGACAAAACTGAATGAGATAGAGCAATGGTCTGACTCGGCGGGAGGCAGCTCCTCATCCTCCTGTCTCTCCAGTTCTGCGTTTCTAAGGCTCCCCCCATCCCTGTGCTGCCAACTCTGACTGGCAGCCTCCAGATTTTAATAGCTTTGTCCTCTTTGGAACCCATATCAGGATAGGCTGTTGAACTCGAAGGCCCTTCAGAAGGGCTCCTCTCCTGTCTGGATAGTGGAGCCTCCACGGCCAGGAGCAGTTGCCCTTAGAAGGCCCGTCGCTGTGGGAAACGCACCTTCGTGAGCTGCTTTTGAGTGTCCCTTTTCAAAACACCTGAGTCGGCTGCTGTGGCAACCAGGCTGACCCATGATAGAAGTGCTCTTGTTTTGTTCCCGGGTCTTGAAAGCAGGGCTTGCTGTTTTAAAAGCTGTTTTCTGCTGTTCAGAAAAGAAATTACAGTTCTACCTCCGGTTACAGATGGGATTTGTTCTGGAGGCCCAGCCGTATCCCGAAAAGTCCACAACTGGAGGTGCCCTTCTGCGCATGCACGTGGCGCGATTGAGTGCATATGCGCATGTGCGCGTGGCGAAACCCAAAAGTACACACTTCCGGGTTTGCCGCGTTCACAACCCGAAGTTTACATATCCCTCTGGATACATAACCTGAGGTACCACTGTACTGTATTTTCCATGTATAACACGAGGATTATTTACGTGAAAGTAATGCTTAAAAATTGGGGCCTTCTTATACATGGGTACTGCTGTGTGGGGGACGGGGGACTGGTTGCTGCCATGAGGTGGAGATTGTCAGCAGTGGTAGTGTGGGTTAGTGGTGACTGCGGCAATGACTTGTTTTGATTTGCTGTTGGGCAGGCGATAGGCGGTCAAGCGCTTGGTGGCCTTTTCATTGCGTGTGATAGGAAGTGTTGTTCAGGCGGGTGAGCGGTTCTGAGCAATCCCCCCAAAAAAGGTCAACAACTCTGGGCAATCTCCCCCCATTTTCTTAATTTTGAGTCCCCCAAAATAGGAGGCGTCTTATACACGGGAAAATACAGTAATATATCTGCCCGATCTGTTGAAGCAGCCATCTTTTGGAAAGAGCAACTGCAAGCACATAATTTCTCCGCCTTCCTAAATTGCGAGATGACCGTCGAGGAGCCCTGGCGGACTCCCACCCTCTGAACCGAAGGCTTAAAAGATAAAAGTCAGCCGCCCTGCAAGGAGAACCCAGCCTCCTCTTTCCGTCCTCTGTTTCTCTCCCCACCCCACGCAAACTCCTTGAAACTTTTCCCCAAGCAGGTCTGCGCAGTATTTGTCCTGGCAATTGAAACCCTTTTGGGGATTGCTCCATCGGGGGGAGGGGGGCAGGGACGGGCAGAGGCTGCTGGTAAGAATGGTCTCCCTTGCAAAGTTCCTGTGCCCAGCCAACTGGCACAAGACATGGGAACGTTCATCCACTTTCTCCTCCTCGGGGCCTCATCCAGCCCATGAGGATCAGCGGCGTGTACCTCTGAAAGATGCAGAACTGCCAAGACTGAAATGGCTGCTTCCGATTGGCCAAAGTCCCTTCTGCGCCACCTTGCCCCCACCCCCATGGCATGTTGATGGTGGGCGTGGCCAGAGGCAAAAGTGGGTGGGGCAAATGGTTATTTATTTTCAAAAGATTTTTCTTTTTATATATATATATATAAATTTTTACTAGTTTTTTAGCATATCATTTCCAACAATAACTAAACATACTTTTATATCTTACACAATTTTTTGACTTCCATCAATCACATCTGAAAATTTTGCAATCTACAGTGGTACCTCGGGTTCCATACGCTTCAGGTTACATACACTTCAGGTTACAGACTCCGCTAACCCAGAAATAGTGCTTCAGGTTAAGAACTTTGCTTCAGGATGAGAACAGAAATCGTGCAGCGGTGGCGCGGCAGCAGCAGGAGGCCCCATCAGCTAAAGTGGTGCTTCAGGTTAAGAACAGTTTCAGGTTAAGTACGGACCTCTGGAATGAATTAAGTACTTAACCCGAGGTACCACTGTATTCACTTAATTTGCATTTCACTATTACATTTAAATCTCATTTCTCAATATCTCAAATCTCAATTTCATATGTTTCTCCTTACAAAACTTCTTGTAGTCCTACTGGCATAATTTGTTGATTACAGTTGCTCTTCAAATAGTTCGTATAGTTCTTCCAATCCTCTGTAAATCTTTGGTCCTGCAGGTTTCGAATCCTTCCTGTCATTTTATCCAATTCTTATTTTTAAAAGATTTTTCATATCGCTCTCTACAGCCACAGCTGTCGGTCTCTAATGGTTTGACTTCGCCCGAAGGCGAAACTGCTAGAAACTCACAGATTATAAGCCCAGGCGTCAAATGGCTTCTTAAACCAGGGTTATAGTCGCCAAAATGGAATGGCTAGTTTCCATTTTGGGGCAAGAGGGCTCAAAAGTCAGTTTTCAAATGATGGACTGACTGCAATTGGCTCTCAGTTAAACATCCGGCTGGTTCAAATGACAACCTTGAGCTTGATTACGAACTTAAAGAAGAAAAGTCACGATCCCACGAAAGTCTATATATATATTGGCCTATTCCGACCTGTTTTTCTTAATGGTGACACAGACCACTCACGACCTAAGAATATTCTTCGCAGCTGTGAGCAGCGCAATGGGGCGAATGAAGACAAGCGGCAACAATTGTTGTTCGCTGCTCCTGCTCAAGGCTGCGCAGAAAAAGCATTTTGGTCACCGAAATTCATTCCAACTGTGCAAGTAAACGGACCGAATTCTACAGGGTGTGGGGTATTAGTGTGTGAAAACAGTCCAGATCCAATGATCTCCCAGGTGGCAGAGATTTTCGCTTGGTCGCAAGAGGCCGGAAGCAGGGTGCAAAATTCGCCTGGGGCCTGGATTTTGAACACTGCAAAGGCGGTCGCCTCCATTGTCTGCTGGATTTACGTATAAGCTAAACAAGCTATAGCTTAGGGCCCCACGCTCTTGGGGGCCCCCCAAAAAAATTAAGGAAAAAAACCACCTACATGTACATTTCCAAAATATAAGATAAAAAAGAAATAAAATAAAACGTACATACAACAAGAGTGTTTTGTGTTGTGTAGGTTCCTATGATGTAAGTCATGGGCCCCGCCTGCTAGCCTGCTCCCTCAAATATCACTGGTTTGCTCCTTTCTATATAAAGGTGCCTGCATTCTGCATGGACTGGTTGCAGGGCAACACGTGCAAATGGCTTGAGATACCTATCAGGTCCATAAATTACCATATAGCATATATTCAACAACAACAAAAACAGCGACAATTTGTGTTTTGTGTTGCGTAGGCTCCTAAGATGTAAGTCACGGGCCCCGCCTGCTAGCCTGCTCCCTAAAATATCACTGGTATGCTCCTTTCTATATATAGGGTGCCTACATTCTGCATGGACTGGTTGCAGGGCAACATGTGCAAATGGATTTAGATACCTAGCGGGTCCATCAATTACCATATAGCATATACAGTCATACCTCGTGTTACATTTGCTTTATGATACGTTTTTTCAGGTTGCGTCCCGCGGCGACCCGGAAGTACCGGAAAGGGTTACTTCCGGGTTTCACCACTCTTCGCCGCTGCGGGTTGCGTTCTGCTCATGTTGCGAACGGGGCTCCGGAACGGATCCTGTTCACAAACAGAGGTACCACTGTATACAGCCCCCAAAAACAGGACAATTTGTTGTGGACAAAGGACAGCTGGACATAGAAAGGGCCCCATTACCTTCAGGAGCTGAGGGCCTCATCAAACCTGAATCTGGCCCCGAGTTGATGCACACACGGGGTGTGAACTGGTGTTTTGCAACCCTTGGCATCCACCGCAGTTAATAAAAGCCACTAATGTGCTTCTCTTTCTCTGCCCACGCATCTTATGGGGCTTCTAAGTGAGAAGAGGGAGACAACCCCAGGCTGGTAGGAAACGTTTCGCGGAAAGAAAGATAATCAGGTGACAACAAAAACTGCAAAAAATAATTAGCAGGGGCAATTAGAGTAAGATCTGTTATCTGATGATTGATGTAAACCTCAAAAATGTATTTTGTATAGTCTATCTGCAGTTCATTATATTTTATTTTATTGCTACAGCTTGTGGCTGATGCAGATAAAGATTCCTTTGATCTGATCTTATGTGGAAGGATGTGTGGAGGCTTCCACTATGAGTAATGGGGGGGTGCCAAAACCAAAGCAGCAATCCCAGGGTGGATAAATAAATTTTAAAAAAATTTTTTTTATTTAAATCAGATTTTTAAAATAATATGCTTTTGGAGGAAAAAATCAATCTAAAGACAGTTTTCTATTTAAGTTACATTATATCCCAAAGGCTATTCAAGAAATAAGGATTTGTTTTAAGTTTTTCATGTGTGCTAAAACTCAGTGTAAGGTTTTTTCTTTATTATTGTTTAACGACATCAGCTAACATGGATTGTTGTTGTTGTTTAGTCGTGTCCGACTCTTCGTGACCCCCTGGACCAGAGCACGCCAGGCACTTCCGTCTTCCACTGCCTCCCGCAGTTTGGTCAAACTCATGCTGGTAGCTTCGAGAGCACTGTCCAACCATCTCGTCCTCAGCTAACATGGATACATATGCTATAATGTTATTGTTTTAGTCAAATAAATTGTTTAAATTGTTATTAAGGAAGTGGTTACTTTCCCCCCCTTCCAATAAAGGTACAGCAGAAAAGTTGTCCAAATATAAACAGTTAACTTATTAAACCTCACAATAATTTCATAGTTATCGGTCTATATATTTCTAAGAGTATAACTGAATCAGTGATTTTTGATATAACTGTAAAAACTACTCTGAAAATGTATTATTCCAAAAACGGAACCTTCATCTGGTTGGTAAATATTAAGATTATACCAGCAAGAATGAGTCTTTCTGTAAAAGAAGTTTGATCTACTGTATTTTTTCGTGTATGAGACGCCCCCTATTTGGGCGGACTCCAAATTAAGAAAACGCCCCCTCAACCGTTTACATTTGGACAACTTTTCTGCTGTGATTTATTGGAAGGAGAAAAATAATCATTTCCTTAATAACAATTTATTCGACTAAAACAATTACATTATAGCATATGTATCCATGTTTATTAACCGATGTGGTTAAACAATTAAAAACAACTTAGACTGAGTTTTAGCACACATGAAGAACTTAAAAACAAATCCTTATTTCCTGATGAATAGCCTTTGGACTATCATGTAACTTAAATAGGAAACTATCCTCCAAAATTTATTTTAAAAATCCAATTTAATTTTTAAAAATCTTGAGTTTTAAATATATATTTTAAAAAATCATTGCTTTTTATCCACCCTGGTTTGTGCTATCTCTCGTCTGTGTCTTGCATTGGCGGACAGAACTATTCTGAGTGAGTGGGAAGGGAATTGGCTCAGAAATTCAAATAGTGCACCTTTGAAAAAGGTTGGCTGTCTGCTTGCATTAAGGAGCCCATCATAAAAATGAGCTGCTTTTGTTTTTCTGGCAACTTAGCGCCAAATCGGTTGGGGAGAAACAGCGTGCTTTTTTGTCCAAAGTCGGTCAGCAAAACTATCTGTGCCTTTAATCTTCCTCTCTTTATTTCCCCAACAATAGACAATCCTGCCCTAGTTTCTGAAGTAGGGGAATGTCTGATAAAACGGAGCGTCTTTTTCTTCCCTCTCCCCTCCCCTCCCTGCTTTCCTTTCATGCCTGGGTCATTTTGGGGAATGTTCCACTGCGCACCTTTTCCTATCTAGACAGGCTGGATGCGGGTATCAAATTCACCGCCGTTCTTTGCGACCGTGCGCAAAAAAATAATAATGCTTTATCGCCCTCGGCTCTGCGATTTGGCTCCCAGAGGCCCTGGGGAACGCAAGTCTGTTTAAACATTATAAAATGAAATAACAAATTAAAAGATATCCCTCTCTCCAGAGGGCAAATGGGGACAGTTAATTTGTCAAGAGCTTAGTTCTAGGAAACAAGTGGCCCTTCTTTGTAAACAGTGGCATTGTTTAAACAGGGACACTGTGTTAAATTGTGTGTTAGCCTGGCTTTGTCTGCCGCTAGGATTTTGTTTTGCTGGAATAAAAATAATTATTATTATTATTCCGCCTCTCTCGGCCTGAGACACTCTCTCTTGCTGTGGCTTGCTGCATTTGAAAAATGCATTTTAGAGTCATTGGTTTTTGGGGTTTTTTTGCAAATATTGAAACCTGCTATACTGGACTCTTGTCAGAAGCCGGAGATTTTCTTAACACAGAAAACAAAAAGCAGCATATTACAGTGGTACCTCGGGTTACATAAGCTTCAGGTTACATATGCTTCAGGTTACAGACTCTGCTAACCCAGAAACAGTGCTTCAGGTTAAGAACTTAGCTTCAGGATGAGAACAGAAATCGGGCTCCGGCGGCGCAGCAGCAGCGGGAGGCCCCATTAGCTAAAGTGGTGCTTCAGCTTAAGAACAGTTTCAGGTTAAGAACGAACCTCTGGAACAAATTAAGTACTTAACCCGAGGTACCACTGTACTCTGGATGGCATCAGGGTGGTTTAGGGAAGCTTTTAATGTTTGATGCATTACTGTATTTTAATATTTTGTTGAAAGCCGCCCAGAGTGGCTGGGGAAGCCCAGCCAGATGGGCGGGGTATGAATAATAAATTATTATTATTATTATTATTATTATTTTGATACTGCTTCAACCTACAAAAGTTTTTGGGGAGACATGCTCCTTCGTCTGTGCATAGCTCATCGCTGAAATCCTGTAAGTTTGCATTCCCCAAATGTTGTGGGCTGTTTTTTAAAAAAAGAAATAAATTCACCCTTGTTACACTTTTATAAGAACCCCTCCAGATAGGCATAACACAGTATCATTTAAGCTAATATCAGAAGAGCGTGGCTGCAGGATTCATCATCATAATTTTTAATTTGTATACCGTCTTTCTATCTTACAATACTCAAGGCGGTTTACAAGCTGAAGAAACAAAAAATATACAGTTCATACCTTGGGTTGAAGTCGCTTCAGGTTAAGCATTTTCAGGTTGCACTCTGCAACGGAGCGCGCAGGCGCTTGCGCATGCGCAGACACTCAAAATGACGTCATGTGCGGAAGCGGTGAATCGGAACCTGCGCGGATGAGGGTTGCGTTTGCTTCAGGATGCGAAAGGGGCTCCGGAATGAATCCTGTTCGTCTCCAGAGGTACCACTGTACGTCTTATAACAATCTAATGCAATACAGTGGTACCTCGGGTTACATACGCTTCAGGTTACAGACTCCGCTAACCCAGAAATATTACCTCGGGTTAAGAACTTTGCTTCAGGATGAGAACAGAAATCGTGCTCCGAGGCCCCATTAGCTAAAGTGCTGTTTCAGGTTAAGAACAGTTTCAGGTTAAGAACGGACCTCCGGAACAAATTAAGTACTTAACCCGAGGTACCACTGTACAAAAATGTGATAATAAAACGTAACTTTAAAATAGGCAACCTACATCAAAATGTAACATTCAGCAATCATTAAAATAGTATAAAATAATAATATCAACATATAAAAGTTAAACAGAAATCCACTCAACAGTTACAATAAATAATATCTAAACTATAATCAATAAAACCACGGCAAGCCACAGTATATAAAACAATACAATATGCATTGAGAAGCAGAGACTAGAGGGTAGAGCAAGGCAGGTGGAAGGAGGCCTTGCCTGATGGAGTCTCTCCCCTCGCAGTTCTTCCTCCAGGAACAGCTCCCTTATGAGGACTCTGAGGGCTGGAGGATTAGGCCGCAGGGATGGGCCGTTTTAAAAAGATGGAGAGCAGCCCCTCTACCTGAAGCAGGTGAGATGCCCCAAAGGACCTGGGAATGAAGGTAGACTGCCTCTGGGCCTGGAGGTTCCATCAGAACAATAGTCTCCAGAAGCCTTTCTCAGCCTGTGGGTCCCCAGATGTTGTTGAACTATAACTCCCATCACCCCTAGCTATCAAGGGCACAGCTCAGGGATGATGGGAGTTGTAGTCCAACAACATCTGGGGACCCACAGGTTGAGAACCGCTGGTCCAGCAACTGTTGGCAGAGGCAGAGAACAGCCATTGCGCTAGGAGCCATCGATTGCTTTATCCCCCTCCGTGAGCCTGTCTAATCCGCTTTTAACGCCACTCCAGTTGGTGAGCATCGCTGCCTCCTGCAGTGACGAAGTTCCGCAGTTTAACTTTGATTGGGGAATCATCGCAGATGATAAAAGCGGAAGGATGTCCGGACCTTCCACCAGAAATCCACCGTCGATGCCCCATAATCGCGCCATTTACAGATGGTGGAATACAACACACTGGTCTCCTCGCTGGCCCAAATAGGACTAATTTAGCCAGCTAGCCCTGGTGATCATCTAATGTTTATTGGATGGATTTCCCCCTAAATTGATTTTTGAATTCTGAATTTATTGTTATTCACGTTTTATACTGTATTTTATGCTGGTTTTTTGTTGCATCAATTAAATGTTTTAAATTTGTTGATAGCTGCCCTGAGCCCGGTTTTCTGAACTGGGAAGGGCAGGGTATAAATAAAAATTTATTATTATTATTAACACACACCCAGAAAGGCATTGCCATCTGCATTTTTTATCCATTTAAATGTGCAGATATTTTTTTCTCCAACCAAAGGCTTTTTTTAAAGCCAATTAACCACACAGCAAAATCGGCGCAAAAACATCAGCCCGTTCATTAACAACGACACCCGCATTTTCCGAAGGGCGAAATTTTGCCGCCGGTTGAAAAAGCTTTTTCGATTGGCGACTTGACACTAAGTCAGCTTGGCTCCTTCTGGGTGACGTGGCCGTTGGCGGGAGTTGTAGTCCGAAGCGGTGGTGCTTGCTGGTGGGAGTTGTAGTTTGAACTGTCTGGCGGGCGCCAGTTAGGAGAAGGCTGGGCTTGTCTCTGACGGCTTTCCTGAGAGTGCGACTCAAGTGTTGCAACGTCTTTGCTGTTTCCACTTTGCTGCCAGCCCCGAGGGTTGGGCCACATCTGAAGGAATCGTGTGGCACAACCGTCTCTCGGGCTGCAGCAATTTGTAGCAGCGCAGCTGCGCGGGAAAAAGCCTCTGATTGGTTGTGCCCTGGAAACGGGGTGCTGTTTGGGGTTTTTGCAGTGGCATAAATGAGTTCTATTTGCGAAGGGCTTGTAGCTCAATGAGTAGCATGTCTGCTTTGCATGCAGAAGATCTCAAGTTTCAATCACTTGGCACCTGCATGTTAGGACTTGGGAAAGCCCGTAAGTCAAAAGAAAGTTTTCAGAATCATAACCTTAACGTATCGGAGAACTGGGCACAAGCTAGCAAAATGAATTTCAGCAGGGAAAATTGTCAGGTTCTGCACTTAGGCAGGAAGAATCAGCTGCACAAATATAAGACGGGACACCTGGCTTACTAGCAGCACATGTGAAAAGGATCTAGCTGAACATGAGACCACAGTGTGATGCAGCAGCAAAAAAGGCTAATGCTGTTCTAGGCTGCATCAACAGAAGTCTAGTTTCCAGATCAGGGGTCAGCAAACTTACGGCGCCTTGGGCCGGTGTCTCCAGCGCCGATTGCGCGGCGGGGGAGCGCATGCCCATACATGTGCGCGCACACTATTTCCGGCGCACTTCCGGGTCGGAGGAGCACCGGAAATAGCTTCTGCGCATGTGCACAGGCCTCCGACCCGGATGTGCACTGGAAATAACGCTTGCGCCTGCGCAAATAATGCTTGCGCCTGCGCACAAGCTATTTCCGGTGCTCCTCCGACCCGGAAGTGGGCAGCCGTGCGGTGCAGCCCCGGTAAGAGCAGGCAGTGGGGGTCGTCGTGGGCCGGATAAATGAGTCCCTCGGGCCTTATCCGGCCTGCGGGCCTTAGTTTGGGGACCCCTGGCCCAGATCAGGGGAAGTCATAGTCCCAGTCTATTCTGCCTTGGTCAGGCCACACCTGGAATGCTGTGTCCAGTTCTGGGCGCCACAGTTTAAGAAGGATACAGTGGTACCTCGGGTTAAGTACTTAATTCGTTCCGGAGGTCCGTTCTTAACCTGAAACTGTTCTTAACCTGAAGCACCACTTTAGCTAATGGGGCCTCCTGCTGCTGCCGCGCCACCGCTGCACGATTTCTGTTCTCATCCTGAAGCAAAGTTCTTAACCTGAAGCACTATTTCTGGGTTAGCGGAGTCTGTAACCTGAAGTGTATGTAACCTGAAGCGTCTGTAACCCGAGGTACCACTGTATTGACAAGCTATAACATGTGCAGAGGAGGGCACCCAAAATGATCAAGGGTCTGGAAACTAGATGGTTGGACTAGATGACCCTAGTCCTCCATGAGGACTAGAATCTTGGGTTTTTTGGGGGGGGAGGGAAGGGATTTAGCTCAGCGGTAGGGCATCTCTTTTGCATGCGGAATGTCCCAGGTTCAATACCTGACATTTCCAGTTAGGGCTGGGAGAGACTCCAAATACCCAAAACACTTTGATAGCTGCTGCCAGTCAGTGTGGACAATACCAAGGTAGATGAACCGACGGTCTGACTGGCTTTCGGGCAGCTTCCTGTGATACTGCCATCTAGCAATCGTGGAGCCCTTGCTTTAGCAATGCAGCGATGTTAGCGAACGGAAGTCAGGGTGGTGTAGCAATTAGACCAGGACCTGGGACTCGGAGACCTGGGTTCAAATCCCCACTCGGCCAGGAAGCTAGCCGGGTGACCTTGGGCCACTCACTGCCTCCCAGACTAACCTACCTCGCAGGGTTGTTGAGGGGATTAAATGAGGAGGGGGAGAGCCGTGTACGCCCCCGAGCTCCTCTGAGAAAAGTCTGGGACAGAAATACAACAAGTAATAATAATAATTTGAGGGGTAGGGCTGTTTCTTAGGGGTAGAGCATGCGAAGGGATCCAGGAAGGGCTGGAAGAGAGCTCTTCTTCCTCAAGAGAGCTCTTCTTCCTCAAACGCTGGAGCCACTTGCCAGCCAGGCAGCTTCCAATATTCCTCTTTGAACGGGACTTTTATTCCGAGCCAGGACTAGCATCTTACTTTATTTACCGTATTTTTTGCTCTATAGGACGCACTTTTTCCCCTCCAAAAATTAAGGGGAAATGTGTGTGCGTCCTATGGAGCGAATGCAGGCTCCCTGGCTTCAGCGCTCTGGAGGCTTCGCGTTGCTTTCGATGAAGCCGGGAGAGTCTGGTCTTTGAGACTGGCGGTGGGGGAAAGCAGCGCTTCCCCCCACCGCCAGCCCCACAGGCTTGGGGGGCAGCGGGAAGGCGCACGACGCCTTCGCGCTACTCCCCTACCTGGTTTTGAGGCTGGCGGTGGGGGAAAGCAGCGCTTCCCCCCACCGCCAGCCCCACAAGCTGGATTCCCCCACCTCCCGCAAAAGCCATGCGCTCTTTAAAGGCTGCGCGGTTTCTGTGGGCTTTTCTACAAGGTGGGGGAATTCCCCCACCTCATAGAAAAGCCCGCAGGAGCCGTGCAGCCTTTAAAGAGCCCGCCGCTCTTGGGGGCTTTTCCCCAAGGAGGGAGAAGGGACTGACTGGCCGAGTCCCTTCTCCTGTGGGCTTTTGCGGGAGATGGGGGAATTCCCCCACCTCCCGCAAAAGCAGGGAGAAGTCTGGGAGAAGTGCAGGGGCTGCATGCAGCCTGTCCACTGTTCCCAGAGCTGGGGGGGAGGAATCATATTTTTTCCCTTGATTTCCCCCTCTGAAAACTAGGTGCTCCCTATGGTCAGGTGCGCCCTATGGAGCGAAAAATACGGTATTCGTTTGTTTATTGAAACAGACGGCTTGATTGTCAGAACAAAAGCCAATATAAACTCAGAGCGGTTAACAACAACAAAAAGAAACTTGCTGCATGCCTGGATGTTGTCAAGTAGGACCAACCCGTGTCTGAAACCCTGGATAACTGCTGCCTGCCTGTGTAGACACTATTGAGCTAGCTGGGTCAAGGACCTGCCTTGGTACAAGACTGCTTCCTGCTTCTGTCTTTAAACGGGTCCTGTGTTCAAAACCTTGAGGACTAGAATCTTTCTTTATCTATTGGGGACGAGCCAATAGCTCCTCTGCTTTGCATGCAGCAGGTCCCAAATTCAATCCCCAAAAGCTTGAAATCCTGGAGAGATGCTGCCGGTCCGTGTGGACAGTACTGAGCCCTGACGGACCCTTGCTCAAAACCATGAGGACTTGTTGTTGTTGTTTAGTCATTTAGTCGTGTCCGACTCTTCGTGACCCCCTGGACCAGAGCACGCCAGGCCCTCCTGTCTTCCACTGCCTCCCGCAGTTTGGTCAAACTCATGCTGGTAGCTTCGAGAACACTGTCCCACCATCTGGTCCTCTGCCGTCCCCTTCTCCTTGCGCCCTCCATCTTTCCCAACATCAGGGTCTTTCCCAGGGAGTCTTCTCTTCTCATGAGGTGGCCAAAGTCTTGGAGCCTCAGCTTCAGGATCTGTCCTTCCAGTGAGCACTCAGGGCTGATTTCCTTCAGAATGGATAGGTTTGATCTTCTTGCAGTCCATGGGACTCTCAAGAGTCTCCTCCAGCACCAGAATTCAAAAGCATCCATTCTTCAGCGATCAGCCTTCCTTATGGTCCAGCTCTCACTTCCATCCATCACTACTGGGAAAACCATGGCTTTAACTATACGGACCTTTGTTGGCAAGGTGATGTCTCTGCTTTTTAAGATGCTGTCTAGGGTTGTCATTGCTTTTCTCTCAAGAAGCAGGCGTCTTGGACAAACTCCATGGACAAAGACAACAGGCATGAGGACTAGTATCTTACTTAATTTGGAGCGGAGAAGCGATATCATTTTATGTTGTTGAACTGCCCCGAGACCTGTGGCTGTAGTTTGGTATACAAATTTAATGAATAATAGTAATAATAAATACATCGTTTAGGGGATGTCCCTTGCCCGAAAGCCCAGAGAGCCTCTGCTGGTCAGTGCAGACAATATTAAGTTTGATGGAGCAGAGACCGGGTGTGGCATCAGGCAGCAACTTGCACCCCTGTTCCCATCACAAGGTGTTGCCTGGACATGAAACAGGTTGGAGATGTGGCTCAGAGGCTAGAAAGCAGCGTTTACGAGAGGCTTCACCTCTCTACAGAGTCATCTCGGTTGCGAAGGGCTGGCTGCCGGCCAGAGACCGAACCATCTGTGAACTCCCCACCCACAGAGCCTTCTGAGATTCCTTCCTGGCTCCTGGGAAGAGATCCGGTGGTGGAATTTCTCACCCGGCAGCGCAAAGATGTGGAAAGTGTCATCTAGCCCCAGGAAGAAAATTGTTTGAGCTCCTCCTCAATCCTCCCGTAATCTTAATTTCCTTCTGAACGGTGCTGGGTTGCACGCTTGTGAAAACAAGACGCAGCCGCCTGCAAATAAGAAGGCTTGCATTTCCAGTCTCTTGGTCTGGTTGTAGCTATAAAACCCCAAACGCCCAATTGAGCCGGCGCCACTCTCTCCCAGCCCTGCCCTCTTCTGATATCCTTACGGAGCTTCCAGGCGCAGTGGCAGTCTACCTTGATTCCGACATTCTTTGAAGCGTTTGGCTGGATGGGGGGCAAGATGGGCCATTGGCCTGCCCAGCTACACGGATTTTCTGATGTTCTTGGCAGACCGGTGGTGGTGGTGATAATAATAATAATAATAAATTTATTATTTATACCCTGCCCATCTGGCTGGGTTTCCCCAGCCACTCTGGGCAGCTTCCAACAGAACACTAAAATACAATAACCTATTAAACATTAAAAGCTTCCCTAAACAGGGCTGCCTTCAGATGTCTTCTAAAAGTTTGTTAGTTGTTCTTCTCTTTGCCATCCGGTGGGAGGGTGTTCCACAGGGCGGGCGCCACCACCGAGAAGGCCCTCTGCCTGGTTCCCTGTAACTTGGCTTCTTGCAGGGAGGGAACCGCCAGAAGGCCCTCGGAGCTGGACCTCTGTGTCCGGGCAGAACGATGGGGGTGGAGACGCTCCTTCAGATCTACTGGACCAAGGCTGTTAGGGCTTTAAAGGTCAGCACCAACACTTTGAATTGTGCTCAAAAACGTACTGGGAGCCAATGTAGGTCTTTCAAGACCGGTGTTATGTGGTCTTGGCGGCTGCTCCCAGTCACCAGTCTAGCTGCCGCATTCTGGATTAGTTGTAGTTTCTGGGTCACCTTCAAAGGTAGCCCCACATAGAGCACATTGCAGTAGTCCAAGCAGGAGATAACTAGAGCATGCACCACTCTGGCCAGACAGTCCGCGGGCAGGGAGGGTCTCATCCTGCGTACCAGATGGAGCTGATAAACAGCTGTCCTGGACACAGAACTGACCTGCGCCTCCATGGACAGCTGTGAGTCCAAAATGACTCCCAGGCTGCGCACCTGGTCCTTCAGGGGCACAGTTACCCCATTCAGGACCAGGGAGTCCTCCACACCTGCCCGCCTCCTGCCCCCCAAAAACAATACTTCTGTCTTGTCAGGATTCAGCCTCAATCTGTTAGCCGCCATCCATCCTCCAACCGCCTCCAGGCACTCACACAGAACCTTCACCGTCTTCACTGGTTCTGATTTAAAGGAGAGGTAGAGGATACAGACTTCCCAGGTAAAATTCATCAAGGAGTGTTCAGGGTTCAATGTGGCCTCCAGCCCTCCCTACCCGGCCCCCAGGAGCCTCCCTCTCTGGCCTGCCATTCAAGTGCTTCTGATTAGCCGCAAATGTATCCTCAGAACCGTGATGCAAGGAAGTATATAGAAACCTCTGAATTTCTGGGGGCTATTGCCTTTGGCCCCGGCCACCACCACATGCGGCCCCCACGGAACATTGTCTGCAAGGAATCTGCCCCTCCAAAAAGGTTTCTCCTACTCGTGCCTTGCACGCCCCAAGTAACTTGCACCTTCAGGAATAACCAGAGTGCCTCTAAGCATATTCAGAGTGCCAAGTGTCTCCAAGAAACAAGCCACACACGCTCTGCGTTTAGGAGGCTGGAGTGGACAGGAACTCTGGGTAAGCTCAACAAATGAAAGGCAAGTGGTTCTGTAGGAAGAGCTGAAGTGGGGGGGGGCACCTAGCCCAGCGCCCTGGGAGTGCCAGGAACCCGCAATCAGGACCCCAGGAAAAGAGAAGGGGGTGGCTGGGTCAATGTGCCCTTTTGATTTCCCCCTGCCAATCTCGTTAGAATAAATAAAACACTCTTGGCAGCCAGTGCTGGAAATTAGCCAGGCACGTTTTGCAGCTGGCGCAGTTCCACTTGCGCCTATGTAGAGATCTCTGGGTGCCAGGCTGACGAGTGGCTCCTCCAGCCTTCCTCAGCAGGTAAGCAGAACATCTTATTTTTGGGTTCACATCCCACCTTCTTCTCCAAGGAGTACATGGTTCATCCCTGCTCCTCGGTTAAGCCCTACGACGACCCTGTGAGGTAGGTCTCGCCAGAGTGGCGCATGCTCTGGTTATCTCTCACTTGGACTACTGCAATGCGCTCCATGTGGGGCTACCTTTGAAGGTGACCCAGAAACTGCAACTACAGTCATACCTCGGGTTACAGACGCTTCAGGTTGCATTTTTTCAGGTTACGGACGCGCCGAAACCCAGAAGTACGGGAATGGGTTACTTCCGGGTTTCGGCGGCTGTGCATGCACAGAAGTGCTAAACTGTGCTTTGCGCATATGCTACAGCGTCGAATTGCAACCCACACGTGCAAAGACGCGCTGCTGCAGGTTGCGAACGCTGCAGGTTGCGAACGTGCATCCCGCACGGATCACATTCACAATCTGAGCGTCCACGGTAATCCAGAATGCGGCAGCTAGACTGGTGACTGGGAGCAGCCGCTGAGACCACATAACACTGGTCCTGAAAGACCTACATCCCAGTACGTTTCTGAGCACAATTCAAAGTGTTGGTGCTGACCTTTAAAGCCCTAAACAGCCTCAGCCCAGTATACCTGAAGGAGCGTCTCCACCCCCATCGTTCTGCCCGGACACTGAGGTCCAGCTCCGAGGGCCTTCTGGTGGTTCCCTCGCTGCAAGAAGCTAAGTTACAGGGAACCAGGCAGAGGGCCTTCTCAGTGGTGGCACCCGCCCTGTGGAACACCCTGCCACCAGATGTCAAGGAAATAAACAACTATCTGACTTTTAAAAGACATCTGAAGGCAGCCCTGTTTAGGGAATTTTTTTAATGTTGATGTTTTATCGTGTTTTTAATATTCTGTTGGGAGCCGCCCAGAGTGGCTGGGGAGGCCCGGCCAAATGAGCAGGGTAGAAGTAATTAAATTGTTGGTGGTGGTGGTTATTGGTAAAGAGGCTGAGACTGAGGTCACCCAGTGAACTTCATGGCGGAGTGGGGATTTGAACCCAGACCTCTCAGGTTCTGGTCCGACACGCCCCACCCTGGCTTCCTAGAGTACTTCTGCTCTATAAATTAAGGAGGCAAATAAAAATGGGAAAGCAAAATGTCACTTAGAGAAGGAGATGGGAATATTCTTTTCTGGAAGCTTGAATTGATTTTGGTTCTGGATTGATTTATTTGACGCTTTAATGTGTTGTAAACTGCTTTGATATTTGTTCTTCAAAATGTAAAGCGGTATAGAAATGATCACCATCACCCCACCGGGAGAGGAGGGGAACCCGGCGCTTGGAGATTCCTTCGTGACTGGATTATATATCTGAGTTTCAAACATGGTTGGCAACACCTTAGGAAGCCTGTTGCAAGTCCTTTGCCTTGCAGAGGAGTAAATGAAGGCAAGGCCAGACAAGATAAGAGAATAAGAACATAAGAACACAGAGAACTAATGATTAAGAAAAAACCCCAGTGCCAAAATTACAATGGAGAGGGACACACCATCTCACCGCAGACAGATCGATGGCGCTGCCAGCCCACACTGGACCGGTCTGGAGCAGCTCAGGCAGAATTTGACCCCATTCAACCGTCCAAAAAACCCCAGACTTTTTTGCCAACTGGGTCAAGATGTAATTTTGTCCCAGTCGCTGAACTTCGCAGAGTTTGGCAAGAGCAAAACCGAGAACAACAGCAGGAGACTCTGAGGGTTGTGGGTTCGAGAGTCCCACGTGGGGCAAAAGATCCCTGCGCTAAAGGGGGTTGGACTAGATGACCCTGAGGGTCCCAATTCTACGGTTCTCTGACATGAAATGCATCGTTGAGAGGGCAGGGGAAAGAGAGACAAGAGATAGCTGGTGGTCAGGGGAACATTTGCAAACATGACTTCGTGCCAAATCAATAAAACATTGAATATGAAGCCCCCGACGTGGTAAGATTTGCCACCACAAGTCAGGGCAAGACTCAAGAGGTTTGCGGCGATGCCAATTTGGGAAAGGAAAAGTTCTGCCCAGACACGGTCCTGGTCCCAATTGCTTCCATCTGAAGAAAGGGCCAGCATTTGGGACCTTTTGGTTTGGAGAGAAGACAAGGAAGAGGCAACATGATAGGAAACGGGCAGAGAGGAGATTTTCCTCCCTCTCTCACAACACTGGGACTCACGGAGATCCGAGGAAGCAGAAGGTTGGAAGGTTTGGGGCAAGGAAGGACTTATTCACACAGAACGGAGATGAACTGCGGAACTCCCTGCCACAGGGAGGCAGGCAGGGCCTAAAGGTAAAGGGACCCCTGACTATTAGGTCCAGTCTTGGCCGACTCTGGGGTTGTGGCGCTCATCTCGCTTTACTGGCCGAGGGAGCCGGCGTACAGCTTCCGGGTCATGTGGCCAGCAGGACTAAGCCGCTTCTGGCGAACCAGAGCAGCGCACGGAAACACCTTTTACCTTCCCGCCGGAGCGGGACCGATTTATCTACTTGCACTTTGATGTGCTTTCGAACTGCTAGGTTGGCAGGAGCTGGGACCGAGCAACAGGAGCTCACCTCGTGGCAGGGATTCGAACCGCCAACCTTCTGATTGGCAAGTCCTGGGCTCTGTGGTTTAACCCACAGCGAGGACTGGGCAAATGAGTGGTTATTAATGGCAGCAATGAGAACAGGATCCTGGCCTAATCCAGCTGAGGTCTTCTCACGTTCTGATGGAACCTCCAGGCCCAGAAGAAGTCTACCTTGATTCCTAGGTTCTAGGCCTATGACCCTCATACCTATGGGACTGCCTCTCCCGATATGCCCTGCAGAGGACCTTAAGGTCCATAAATAGCAACACCCTAGAGGTCCTGGGCCCTAAGGAAGTCAGATTAGCCTCAACCAGAGCCAGGGCCTTTTCAGTACTGGCCCCAATCTGGTGGAACGCTCTGTCTCATGAGACCAGGGCTCTGCAGGATCTGATTTCTTTCCGCAGGGCCTGTAAGACAGAGTTGTTCCGCCTGGCCTTTGGCTTGGAATCAACTTGATCCCCTTCCCCTCTTTCTTTTTTCCTTCCTCCTTCTGTGTTGGAACTCGTATTTGGGGACTTCCGTGTCTTTTTTCTGGCCCATGTAGGACCAGTCTGAATAGTTGGCCTTGGTAATGATTTGACGTTTTCATCCCCAAAAAAGTTTTTGATTTGAGTTTCTACTGAAATGAGGCTGCATTTTAATGTTGTAGTTTAATCTTGCTTTTAAGTTGTTGTTTTTTTGTGTGTGTTTATATTAATAACTTGTAATATATGGATTTGTGTGTTTTTTTTAGTTGTTGCTTTTTTAGTTTTTCGAATGTTGGTTTTTGTGTGTTGTGTATTGTTATTTTTCGTGTTGTTGTGTGGAAAATACTAATAAAATTTAGTTAATAATAATAATAATAAGTTGTATTTTAATCAATTGTTTTATACCTGGTGTTAGCTGGCCTGAGCCCAGTCTTGGCTGGGGAGGGCGGGGTATAAATAAAATTTATCATTATTATTATTATTATTATTTGGGGCATTTGGCCACAGCGAGAGCAGGAGGTCGGAGCAGGTAGGCAACTGACCCACTCCAGCTAAAAGGGCTCTTTGTATATATATTTTTAAAGCAGCCCATTCCAAGCAGGAAAGCAGAGGATAGAAACCGGAGTTAACTGCATATCTACCGGGTCTGTGTGCATGTGCGTGAGGGAGGCAGAGACTGCAAGAGGACAGATGGGAGTTTGCCCAATCTCTCTTCCCACATGACGGGCAAAGGTCACAGTCGGTGGACTCTGCTCCTCATCGGGCTGCAACGCGATGCACACTTAAGCAGAATGGGAATCTATTAACACCGAGCATTTATTAACACACGCCCAGAGATTAACAGGCATTGCGTGTCCTTACGACATCCACACAAGGCGTATTACGAGCCAGGCTGCAGCCAGGGCAGGTAGCCCAGGGCAAAAGTGGGCTTCAGGTCTCCTCTCTTGAGGACTAGCCACTTGCAGACGCTCTCTTAACACAAGACCCCCGCCAGGAATGGCTGACCTTGTGCGCATGTCCTTCCGCAGGACCTGTAAGACAGAGCTATTCCGCCTGGCTTTCAACTTGAACTTAGCCTGATCTTTTGCTCCCCTTCCTTCCTTCCCCCTCCCCTTTTTATGAAGATTACCTGCTCTGAGACCCCACAGCTAATTCTCCCCTGGTCTCCTCGCTGGCCCAAACAGGACTAATTTAGCCAGCTTGCCCTGGTGATCATCTAATGTTTATTGGATGGTTTTCCCCCCTAAATTGATTTTTTGAATTCTGAATTTATTGTTATTCATGTTTCATACTGAATTTTATGCTGTTTTTTTGTTGCATCAATTAAGTGTTTTAAATTTGTTGTTAGCTGCCCTGAGCCCGGTTTTTGAACTGGGAAGGGCAGGGTAACTGTGCCCCTGAAGGACCAGGGGCGCAGCCTGGGAGTCATTTTGGACTCACAGCTGTCCATGGAGGCGCAGGTTAATTCTGTGTCCAGGGCGGCTGTCTACCAGCTCCATCTGGTACGCAGGCTGAGACCCTATCTGCTGCGGACTGCCTCGCCAGAGTGGTGCATGCTCTGGTTATCTCCCGCTTGGACTATGGCAATGCGCTCTATGTGGGGCTACCTTTGAAGGCGGCCCAGAAACTACAACTAATCCAGAGTGCGGCAGCCAGACTGGTGACTGGGAGCGGCCGCCGAGACCACATAACACCAGTCTTGAAAGACCTACATTGGCTCCCAGGACGTTTCCGAGCACAATTCAAAGTGTTGGTGCTGACCTTGAAAGCCCTAAACGGCCTCGGCCCAGTAGACCTGAAGGAGCGTCTCCACCCCCATCGTTCAGCCCGGACGCTGAGGTCCAGCTCCGAGGGCCTTCTGGTGGTTTCCTCATTGCGAGAAGCAAAGCTACAGGGAACCAGGCAGAGGGCCTTCTCGGTAGTGGCACCTGCTGTGTGGAACGCCCTCCCACCAGATGTCAAAGAGAAAAATAACTACCAAACTTTTAGAAGACATCTGAAGGCAGCCCTGTTTAGGGAAGCTTTTAATGTTTAATAGGTTATTGTATTTTAGTGTTCTGTTGGAAGCCACCCAGAGTGGCTGGGGAAATCCAGCCAGATGGACGGGGTATAAATAATAAATTATTATTATTATTATTATTATTCAGGCATGTCGAATCCCCTTGCTTGTTCGGATAGAGGTGTGTGTGCTTAGAAACCCTTGTTTGGTTTAGAACTAAGTTCTACTTTGAGTAAACCCATTGAAATCAATGGACCAAAGTTAGTTGTGCTGAATATTTCGCTGTTTCCGGTGAGTCTGCTGTCATTGGCTGCAACCCTCTGAAGTTGCATGGCTGGGACGTTGTCCCCTGGACAAAGGGAACAGCTGCGTCGCTGGCTCCATCCACTTTTGCCCCTGGCTCCGCCCGCTGCCACCCAGGGGGGGGGAGGTATCTGCAAGTCAATGTGGCCCCTGAGCTGTGGGGGAAATGATTCCTTGCTCTGGTGTAGTAGAAACAAATCACTCTAAATAAAGGGGGAACTATTTTGACTTTGGTTTCTTTGGCACCATGCATTCAAAGCTCTGCGATGACACTTTGAACAGGCATGGCTTCCCCTCCCCAGGAATTCTGGGAGTTGTAGTTTGTTAAGGATGCTGAGAGCTGTCAGGAGAGAGACCCCCTATTCCAGGGACTACAACTCCCATCATCCCTAGCTAACAGGACCAGTGGTCAGGGATGATGGGAACTGTAGTCCCAAAACATCTGGAGGGCCAAGTTTGGGGGTGCCTGACCTGTTCCCTCTCGCTGAACTACAATTCCCAGAACTCCCTGTGAAGAGAGATTGATGGATAAACCGCTCTGGGAATTGTAGCTGTAGCAGAGAAACGCTGGGGTTCCCCTCCTAACAGCACTCTGTACCCTTAGCCAAACTTCAGTTCCCAGGGTTCTTTGCAGGAGGGGAGACACGGGCATTTAAAGTGGTACCGTAGGGCTTTAAATACAGTGGTACCTTGGGTTAAGAACTTAATTCTTTCTGGAGGTCCGTTCTTAACCTGGAACTGTTCTTAACCTGAGGTACCACTTTAGCTAATGGGACCTCCTGCCGCCACTGCGCAATTTCTGTTCTCATCCTGAAAAAAAGTTCTTAACCTGAGGTACTAATTCTGGGTATGGGACGCGGGTGGCGCTGTGGGTTAAACCACTGAGCCTAGGACTTGCCGATCAGAAGGTTGGCGGTTCGAATCCCTGCCACGGGGTGAGCTCCCATTGCACGGTTCCTGCCCCTGCCCACCTAGGAGTTCGAAAACACATCAAAGTGCAAGTAGATAAATAGGTACCGCTCTGGCGGGAAGGTAAACGGCGTTTCCGTGCGCTGCTCTGGTTCGCCAGAAGTGGCTTAGTCCTGCTGGCCACATGACCCGGAAGCTGTACGCCGGCTCCCTCGGCCAATAAAGCGAGATGAGCGCCGCAACCCCAGAGTCGGTCACAACTGGACCTAATGGTCAGAGGTGCTTTTACCTTTACTAATTCTGGGTTAGCGGAGTCTGTAACCTGAAGCATCTGTAACACGAGGTACCACTGTACGTGGTGTGAACATGGGCTCTGAGCTGTCTACCCGTCATCTCTCCCAGCTGGAAACTGCCTTTCCTCACTCACCCTGTTTCTGTTTTCTTCATTTTCGCAGGATGTTCCAGACATTATGCAACTACTTCTGGTGGGACCGGCTCTGGCTGCCGTCCAACCTCACCTGGGCGGACGTCGAATTCAGCGAAGGCCGCGTGGCCCCGAAGTCCAGCGACTTGTATATCACCATCCCTCTGGCGTTTGTCTTCCTCATCATCAGGCACTTCTTTGAAACGTGAGTACGATGGCCTATTTGGGGTAAACCAGGGGGAAGGGGGACAAGGAGCGAGGTCCCTGCGTAGTAGGCTAGGCTGTGAGGTGGGGACTGGCCCCACGGGGTCAACACCCAGCAAATTTCTGATTGGCTGGAACAAAAAAAAAAGAGAGAGAGACGCTTGTGGAACCTCCAGGTCCAGGGGCAGTCTATCTGAATTCCTTGGTTCTTAGGGGCATTGGGCCACCGCGAGGACAGCACGCCAGACCCAATGCACCTTTTCTGGCCTGATCCTGCTGCCAGGCCGTTCCATCCCCACGGAAAGCCGCAAACCTTGACCGCTCGTCCTGGGAAGGAGGGTCGGCCCTGCGTGGGCGCTGCGGATTCCTGGAGAGTTTTGGGGCAAAGGCGAGACGCTTTTCTCCCTGTGCCCGGATCCCGCGCCAAGTCCTAAGGAAACAATTGGAGGCAAATCGGGTGGGGGGAGGGCAGCAAGGCTCTGGCATCAGCCTTGACCCAGCCATGGGCCCTTGGCATAATTGTGGCATTGTGTCAACTGCCAGCGTTTGTCTGCGGAGGGGGCGACAAACCCCATGAAGTCAGCAGCGCCCGCGGACTGGCCTGAGACGGCCAGGCCGGAGAATTAAAGAGCAATTATTTATCACAGTTGACCATTCCACCCCCCCCCCCTCCTTCTCCACAGAAGATGGAGACAATCAGAGCATTGTTTGAGAGGCTGGCCTCTGTGTGTATGTTATTTTTTACGGTGCAGCAATGTTGGAGAGAGCATGAGAAGAGTTGCCATTTAGCTCTAGGATAGCCTCAACAAGGGGGGGGGTTGGGGGGCAGGCTGATGGGGGGATATTGGGGGCTGTGTGCCCCCTTGTAACAAATCCCTTCAGCACTGCAGATCTCCAGAGGCTCAGTTTAGGACGGCCTTACTGGATTCCTCTCATAAAATTGCCCCGAAGGACCAGGTGCGCAGCCTGGGAGTCATTCTGGACTCACAGCTGTCCATGGAGACGCAGGTCAATTCTGTGTCCATGGCAGCTCCATCTGGGACGCAGGATGAGACCCTCTCTCCCCGCAGACTGTCTTGCCAGAGTGGCGCATGCTCTAGTTATCTCTTGCTTGGACTGCTGCAATGCGCTCTGCGTGGGGCTACCTTTGAAGGTGACCCGGAAACTACAACTAATCCAGAATGCGGCAGCTAGACTGGTGACTGGGAGCGGCCGCCGAGACCACATAACCCCAGTCTTGAAAGACCTACATTGGCTCCCAGTACTTTTCCAATCACAATTCAAAGTGTTGGTGTTGATCTTTAAAGCCCTAAACAGCCTCAGTCCTGTATACCTGAAGGAGCGTCTCCACCCCCATCGTTCAGCCTGGACACTGAGATCCAGCACCGAGGGCCTTCTGGCAGTTCCCTCACTGCAAGAAGCTAAGTTACAGGGAACCAGGCAGAGGGCCTTCTCAGTGGTGGCGCCCACCTTGTGGAACGCCCTCCCATCATGTGTCAGGGAAATAAACAACTACCTAACATTTAGAAGACATCTGAAGGCAGCCTTGTTCAGGGAAGTTTTAAATGTGTGGCATTTTAATGTATTTTTAATCTTTGTTGGAAACTGCCAAGAGTGGCTGGGGAAACCCAGCCAGATGGGCAGGGTACAAATAATAAATTATTATTATTATTATTTGATTGTAAAGCGGGGAAGCAGGGAATGAAACCCTGAGATTATCTCAGATGGAGGAGGGCAACTGTTGGAAACCTTCACGTAATAATCTAAGCCGAAAACCCGCATTAAAATGCCTGCAGGCGTTCCACACGTCTGGATACGGTACGGCCTGCCTGCACAAAGATGTTTAGGCGCCGAAAAGAATTCAGCGAAAGAGCCTGCCTGACGTCAATAGGCAGGGAGTTCCAAAGTGTAACGGGATTTCCTACAAACGCAGAGCGAGTATTAGGTGGGACTTGCAACAGTTCTGCAGACTGGAGTGGCCGGGTGGGTTTATGTGGGGTGAAGAGGTCGGATGGCTATCTGTCCTGGATGCTTTAGCGGAGATTCCTGTGTTGCAGGGAGGGGGGGTTGGACTAGATGACCCTGTGGGGTCCCTACAATTCTATGAATTCATGTGAGGCCCAGCATTTACTGGGATCCCCAGTTCCCTGCTTTGCATGCAGACGGTCCCAGATTCGAATTCTGACATTTCTAGGTAGGGCTGTGAATACACCCCTCCCTGCCTGAAACCCCAAAGAGACACTGCCAGTCAGTGCAGGAAGTACTGAACTAGATGGACCAAGGGTCCGGCTCAGTATAAGGCTGCCTCCTCTGTTTGCATTCAATTCAGCCCTTTATGCAGAATGAGGACTAGAATCTTGCTTTTTTTCCTGGAAAGAGGGCTGTAGCAATCCCCCAGGACTGGACTGGAAAAAGACTCCATGCCCGAAGCCTGCCAACAAGTTAAATGTTAAATCGGTCCTACATTCAGGACCATGAGGACTGGAATCTTAGTATTGCTTTAAAAGAAGATCTGTAGATCAGGGGTGGAGCCTCTGCTTCGGAGACAGAAAAGTTCGGGCTCGATCTCCTTGTCTGAACCGCTGGAGAGCGGCTGCCAGTCAGTGTAGGCAGTCATGAGCTGGATGCACTCCAGTGGTCGGACTCTGTATGAAGCCAGCTTCCTCCGTTAATTCGTGCCACATCTGATGGGTTCAGCGCTCCAACCTTCCTCAAAGGAAGCCCTGCTGCAGAAGTCCGTAAAATTTAACGGCCGTTTCTGTTTTGGCACCGGAAACTGCTACAGAATCCTAACGTTGTGTTTCTTTTCTTTCGTCCCCTCTCTTCCCTTTCCGTTGTTCTCTTCTGCCCCCTAGATACGTGGCAACTCCGCTAGCGGCTCTTTTGAACGTCAAGGAGAAAGTGCGGTTAAAAGCCACTCCGAATTCCGTCCTAGAGAAATTTTATACGACGTCCTGTAAACACCCCAAACAGGTAACTTTGCCAGGGAGGTCATGTCTGAGAGAGGAAGAAAGTGGGGGTGTTCTTTGTATCACACATTTAAATACTATGATTCTGCTTTGAACAGCCATTACTTCCTCTCAAAGAATCCTGGGAACTGTAGTTTGTGAACTGTAGTTTGTCAGTTTGGGAACTGAGAGTTCTTAGAAGATTCACATACCATTACCGAGCTACAATTCCCAGAGCGGTTTAACGATCCATCCCTAATAATAACAATAATTTATACCCTTCCTTTTCCCCTGACGGGACTCAAGGCAGCTTACAGATAAAAACAGGAACCGCTCAAAACATAGAGAACTCTGGGAATTTTAGCTCTGTAAAGGGGACCAAGGTTTCCTGTGTGGCGGGGGTATTGTAGTACTTTAAATGGACGGTATGACAGTGGTAGCGGTCAGGATTTTTCGCAATACGTGAGAGGAGGTTTTCACAGAGGAGACTCGAAGGCCGCCTTCTACCCGGAGACATGGAAAATGTTTCTCTCAGCTTCCTCATTTAGAGCATTTTTGCCCAATACTCTTAAGCCAGAAAGGCTTCCAGCGTCCAGTCAATTAAAACAAAACAGTCCCTGCCCACAGGCTTACAGTCATAGAAAAGAAAAAAGACACGGCACACGAGGAAGAAGGGACAGGGTGGGCAGAGGAAAAACGTGCTCAGGTGCCACTTTTTTAATAGTAACTCTTGCAGTGACCAGCTGGTATAGAAAAAGTCCTGGGTCAGAAGGCACCTAATGGAGCTGGTCTTCTGCCAGAGCTGATGGCCCAAGCCTCTGGCTTGCCATTTCTCCCACCAAGGCGTCCGGATGAAGCCTCTTGAAAAATCATTTGGCTTGTTGCTGGCACCACGCGGCCCGTGCCAATACTTGTTGTGGACATACGCTCTGAACTCCCAGTTGATGCATCTGGGTAATTAAGCCTATAAAGGTAAAGGGACCCCTGACCATTAGGTCCAGTCGTGACCGACTCTGGGGTTGCGGCGCTCATCTCGCTTTACTGGCCGAGGGAGCCGGCGTACAGCTTCCGGGTCATGTGGCCAGCAGGACTAAGCCGCTTCTGGCGAACCAGAGCAGCGCACAGAAACGCTGTTTACCTTCCCGCCAGAGTGGTACCTATTTATCTACTTGCACTTTGATGTGCTTTCGAACTGCTAGGTTGGCAGGAGCAGGGACCGAGCAACGGGAGCTCACCCTGTCGCGGGGATTCGAACCGCTGACCTTCTGATCAACAAGTCCTAGGCTCTGTGGTTTAGACCACAGCGCCACCCGCGTCCAAATTAAGCCTATAAACGAGAGCAAAAAGCTTTACATCTCCTGCATGGCTTTGCCAGCTGGCAGCCCCCGAGCCAAATCTGCGCCTTCTTGCATCGCCGCTGTTTCTGTCTGGATGGATGTGGGGACAGGCCGTAGCTCACTGGTACAGCACAGAAAGTCCCCGGTTCAATAGCATTTCCAGGTAGGGCTGGGAGAAACCCGTGTTTTCAAAAGCAGGAGGACGGGATTCTTTCCCCCAGTTGAATGGAAGATGGTTTTCCCAGGGTGAGGTTCCTCGGTTGCACTTGCGGTGTGCTCACCCCTGCAGTTTCCCTAAATTCATCATCCCAGCGGCGTAAATTTGGCTGCAGAAGATCTTGGGTTCATCCCTGGAATTCTTGGCCGGGAAATGTCCCCTTCTTGAGATTCCCAGAGCTCCGGGACACAATGACCCAAAGCCAACCTTATAAAATATAAAATTTGGTGGGAATCGAAGGTCTGCAAAACTCCAGCATGAAAGCAGCTTGGAAACTGTATTGGGTCAATTGAGTTCTTAAGCATTAAAAACTTCTGGGCCCAACCAGCACATCTTCAAATCAAGAAGTCTTTGCCAGGCTGATGTTGCAACTAGAGAGGTATTTTCCAAAACAGGACCCCCAGTTGGAAGCTTTCATCAAAACCAGTGGCTTTTTCTGGGAAGAAGGCACGAGATCCACGCACTTAGAAACCTAGTGTGTCAAGGTAGACATGGCAAAGCAAAGCAAATGTTGCTGCTGTCTGCATTTCAGTGGCTTTCTTCCCTGAGCTCTCTGAATGGGCCCCTGTTTTTCCTTCTTCTGCCCCCGCAGGCAGACATCGAGGGCCTCTCGAAGAAAAGCGGCTGCACCCCCCGGCAGGTCGAGCGCTGGTTCCGCCGGCGGCGCAATCAGGACCGGCCAAGCTTGCTCAAGAAATTTCGGGAGGCCAGGTAGGCTTGGGTGAATAGCAGGCTTGCCCAAACCCCATGCACGCTTTCCCATCTGCAAAAGCGTCGCTGGATTAGGGGTCGGCAGCTGGCTGCCCCAGGCCAGCCTTCCTCAATGCTCTCTGCCCGCCAAAACACTCCAGATCCATTGGAAGTCCAATTCCCCATGCCCCTGACCATTGGGCATGCTGTCCGATGGCCGCTGGGTGCCCAGCAACACCTAGAGGGTGACAAATTCAGGCAGACCTTTGCGAGTGCCACAGCCACACGACTCCAAAATGTTTAGTAGCCGGAGTCTTCCTTACAACCAATCCATTGGCTCTCTGGCTCCCCCTACTGTTCGTCCCCTTGCCTCTCGCCCTACCACTCCTGGCAGACGTCAGAGGCACTCTGCACGCCCCCAGTGGCGCTCTTGACATGCCTGAGAACGTGTGCTTCATTTGCTCAGGGGATGAGAAACAAGACTTTGTGCTTCCTTTTCCAGTTGGAGATTCACCTTTTACCTTCTTGCTTTCATTGCTGGCACGGCCGTCATAGCTGACGTAAGTACATTTCCTCCTCAACCTAAGGCGGGAAACGGGAGTTTCCTTTTCTGCGAGTCCTCTTGACGCTTAACCGGCTCTTGTCTTTTTATCCTTTGTCTCCTGAACTTGCAGAAACCTTGGTTCTACAACCTGAGGCTAGTTTGGGAAGGATACCCTACACAGGTGAGCTAAGTTTTTACGCTGCAACCTTTGCTTTTTTTTTTAAAAAAAAGGTATATCTTCATATACATATAGAAACCTCTAAGGCTGTCATCACACAGCCTTTGTTGGGGGGGTGGGAGTTGTAGTGTGGCGTCACCGTCCTGAAGTTGCATGAAATCAGGGAGGATTTAAAAGACAAATGGCGGTTTTAAACAACAGCAGAGGTTTGAATAAAGCTGGGTGGGGGAAACACACAGAGTGTCTCTGAGGATGTGCAGAGAGCTTGACAGAGCTGTGAGAATGTGGGCTTGATGCAGCTGCGAGGGGACGGCTTGGTGTGGTGTAAAATCACGGGGTGGGGGTTGGCAATGGGGTGGGGGGGGTAGGCAGGGTTCACAAGCAACTTGAGCAGGGACAACAGCCTTGTGTGTTCATGTGGTGTGTGCATTAGAAATTATATATACCCAAACTTTGGATTTATCTTTTTTTATAAAAAAACAAACAAGAAAAATCCACAAGGGGTGGCAGCGAAAAAAATATCTACAATGCACCATGAAATAAGGAGCACATAACTATAAACGGCAGGGGGTTGTAGCGAGATCGAGATGACCAAAATCCTTCCGCTGCAGTCGACTGCTTAGAGATACTGTGAAACATCAGGCGGCAAAAAATGCTTTTAAATAAATGAAGTCAAAGGTGGCACGACACAAAAGGAGGGGAGGGATGAGGAGGGCAGAGGAAAAGAACGCGCTCCGGAAGAACAGGAGAGTTGGTCCATTTGGTCTGATTCAGCAGGAGATTCCTTGTGTTCTTACGCTTCCCTGGGATGGGGAGACCACAAAACTGGGTTTTTAAAAATGTTGGCTGAGGACGCGGAACGACCTGGCTATATTTGAGGGGTTTTTCTCCCTCCCTCCTCCAGAACCTGCTGCCGTCCCAGTACTGGTATTACATGATTGAGCTCTCGTTTTACTGGTCCCTGTTGTTCAGCATCGCCTCGGACGTGAAGCGGAAGGTGAGTCGAAGGCTTGGCTCACGGGGAGCGCAGACGGCATTTGGCCTTTGCTGCTGGATCTGCAGTTGATCAGTGGAAGTTGATCTTTTTTTAGATTCAACAAAGTTAACAAAATGATAATAATACATATCCATAACGAGATACACATATTATCACTGCAGGTTAATGGCAGCATAAGGTTGAGCGTTATCATTAAACTTGTAGGATAGCTAAAAAATAAGTGGGGGGAAAGTATATGAAAGAAAAATCGGATTTTAGAGGTGGAAGGGGGCCTGAAGGTCATCCAGACCAACCCCCTGCAACATAGTACTCAAGAGAGCTCTGCTTAAACCTGTTGAAATCGAGACACAATATGAAAAATCAGTTTAAAGCAACTGGCCCTCTCAGAAACACAACAGGTCTAAATACACACATAAAAATTTCAATTTAGCAGCAGAGAGGCATCAGCCCTAGCTAGGGCTTCATTGCAGACAGATATAAAATGTTCGTACAGTCGTACCTTGGTTTTCGAACGGCCTAGTTCTCGAATGTTTTGGCTCCTGAACGCCTCAAACCCGGAAGTGACTGTTCTGGTTTTGGAACGTTCTTTTGGAAGCTGAACATCCGACGGGGCTTCCGATTGGCTGCAGGAGTTTCCTGCAGCCAATCACAAGCCGCGCCTTGGTTTCCGAACGTTTTGGAAGTCGTACGGACTTCCGGAACGGATTCCATTCAACTTCTGAAGTACGACTGTATACTGCTTCTCTGACCGTGAATTTTGAGCTCAAGAGGCTCAGGAGAACACAACTGTTAAACGTTAACAAGCACGGTATTTGGTGTAGTGTTGAAAGCTCAGTAACATATAAAGAGAGCAAAATAATAATAATAATAATAATAATAATAATAATAATAATAATAATAATAATATACAGTTAAATCCAAACTCGTCTCATTTCAGAATTGAATAAAACTGGTCTGTAGTAACAGTGATCTAAGTTAACTTACTGTAAAAGAAAATATATGAAACAGCCTGAAAAGATTTCTAGGGAAATAGGTATTTTCCGTTACGCTTTGGCTGATTTTTTTTGCTTTTGGGCAGGACTTCAAGGAACAGGTCATCCACCACGTAGCGACCATCGTCCTGATTAGCTTCTCTTGGTTCACCAACTACATCCGGGCCGGGACTCTCATCATGGCATTGCATGACTCCTCGGACTATTTGCTGGAGGTGAGGGATTCGGACCCCTTCCTCCCTTGCAGGGGTGTAACCCGAAGTTCAAGCCCAGGCGTCCGACTCAACTTAAAGACTCTCCCTGTTCCGGACGCCTTGTGCTGCGTGCTGTCGTCGCTTCTTAAAAACACATAATTAAATGGCGGCATGTCTGGGAAGGGTCGTGGGGCTCAGTGGTTAGAGCGCCCACTTCGCATGCAGAAGGTCCCAGTAGCATTTCTAGGTAGGACTGGGAATATTCTCTGCCAGAAACTCTTAACAGAGCCGCTGCAAGAGCAGTTTGCAGTGATTTTGTCGGCTGGTTTCTACTCCCTGGTCTGTCCCCCCAAGCAGTCAAGGAAACTTTCCAGCCGAGGGGGGAATACTTAGGGGGTGGAACAGAGGCAGGGAAGTGTGTGGTGTGGGGAGAGATTTCCGTATAAGCTAAACATGCTATAGCTTAGGGCTCCAGTCTCTTGGGGGCCCCCAAAAAATTTAAAGGGGGGAAAAACTGGACGTACATTTCCAAAATATAAGATAAAAAACTAATAAAATAAAGCCTACATACAGCAAGAGTGTTTTGTGTTGTGTAGGCTCCTATGATGCTAGCCTGCTCCCTAAAATATCACTGGTTTGCTCATTTCTATATATAGGGTGCCGACATTCTGCAGGGACTTTGCATTCTGCAGGGACTTTTCAACAATTACTCTGATAAAATACATATTTTGTGATGTGCAAATGGCTTTAGATACCTATTAGGCCCATAAATTGCCACATAGCATATATTCAACACACAAAAACAGCGACAATTTGTTATTGACAAAGGACAGCTGGACATATAAAGGGCCCCATTACCATCGGTAGCTGAGGGCCTCATCAAACCTAAATCCGGCCCTGGGAGAGACCCAGGGGAGATAGGTAGAGGGACCCCCACGGGCCGCATCCTGCCCACAAGAAGGAGCTGCTCCATCATGCTCTTCATAGCCAGAGTATCTTCCGTCTCTCGCTGCCGGTCCCGATCCCTGAGCTCAGGGCTGCCTGTAAATATTGCCTCCACTTCTCTCTTTCGGTGTCTCTGCAGTCGGCAAAAATGTTCAACTACGCAGGCTGGAAGAACATGTCCAACAACATCTTCATCGTCTTCGCCACCATCTTCATCGTCACGCGACTCGTCATCCTTCCGTTCTGGTGAGAGTTACGTGCGCTGCGTGTGACTGAGGTTTACCTGTTGGACGCATGCCTGTCGAGAAGCTGTTGGGAGAGAGAGAATGGGCGGGAGGGGGCGAACAGAAGCACAAAAGAGTATAGAGTGGCAAAAGGGACCCCAAGGGTCATCCAGTCCAACCCTCTGCAATACAGGAGTCGCGGCTGATGAATAAATGTGGGCCAGTTCGTAGGGGAATATAATCTGCCAGTTGCTATTAGGCCACACCCATGCTGTTCCCCTGGTTTACCCCACAGAACGCTGGGAATTGTAGTTTAAGGGCGCTGGGAATTGTAGCTCTGTGAGGGGGTAAGCTACCAATGTGGTTTCTGTATTCTGATTTTTCTTGATCTGATTCCTTATGTTGAATTTTACAGGATCCTGCATTGCACCATGGTGTACCCCTTGGAAATATACCCAGCTTTCTTCGGCTACTATTTCTTCAACCTTATGATGGTCATTTTGCAGTCCCTGCACATATTTTGGGCGTACCTCATTATCCGGATGGCCCAGAAATTCATAACTGGAAAGGCAAGTTGGGTTTGGGGGGGGTGTTGGTACCCTTTCCCAATTCATGTTTTGTCTAGTAGGAGGTATAAGAGAAAACCAACTCTTTTTTTTTGGTGTTTGAGAGAGAGACAAACCAAGCAACCAACCCAGAGGGCAACCCTGTGTTTAAAATATATCTATCTATTGCTGTCCCACTTTTCCTCAAAGGGACTCAAGGTAGCTTACTTACGTGGTTTTCCGACTTTCCGTATTCTCCACAACAACCTTCAAGGTGGGCCAAGCTAAGAGACAGGCGCAGCCCCCAGGTCATATCCAGTGAGCTACATGGCCAAATGGGGATTTTGAACCCTGGTCTCCCTAACCCCGGGGTCGGCAACCTGTGGCCTCTAGGCCACTTTTGGCCCGTCATGACTCCAATTATGTCTTTTTCTCCAAACTGCTGGCCCAGCAGCTGATGCCACTCTGGTGGTGGGGTTCAGTCTTGCGCTGGGTGCGGATGAGCCAGGAGCAGGGGGGTTAAACCCTGCCAATTGGGCAAGATTCGGAACAAAATCCCTTATTGATTTATTACAGGGGCAGCAAACTTTTTCAGCAGGTGGCCGGTCCACTGTCCCTCAGACCTTGTGGGGGGCCAGACTATATTTTGAAGAAAAAAAATGAACAAATTTCTATGCCCCACAAATAACTCAAGATGCATTATAAATAAAAAGACACATTCTACTGATGTAAAAGCACGCTGATTCCCGGACCATCCGCAAACCAGATTTAGAAGGCGATTGGGCCGGATCCGGCCCCCGGGCCTTAGTTTGCCCACCCATGATTTATTACTTGCTTGGAACAGTTGCACCCAACTCTTCAGGCTCCCGCGGGGGGAGGTGGCTTAGGTACAATCAAGACAGTCCCTACCTAAAGGCCTACAGTCTTTAAAAAATCCCCAACAACATACAAGGGGAAAGGTACAAGGAGGGATGAGGAAAAATCAAAACTCAAGCACTAATTTCTAAGGGCCGAAACTCCCTTTTGGTCATGCCCTTTTGGCAGTTTGAAGTCCCAATTTTGGGCTATGAGGTTCTGAATGACCTGACGCCATTATGGCACCAGGTGGACGGGCCTACCCACCTGTCAGGATTTGGCCAGGAGGCCAACCCGGATAAGGACCTGTCCTGTGGAGCCAAAAAAGTTTCCCCTCCTCTAGCCGCTTTGCCACACTGGGATCTTCCTTTTGCACTGAGGAGGAACTAAATCCGTCTCCTTGTGACCATACACATTTTTTAACCCTATTCTTGTCATCATGAAGGCTAGCAACTTACTTTCATGTTTTCCTCTTCCTGGTAATGGAAGCCGAGTTGTGCAGGATGCTAGATTCTGCCGCGCCCAGAAGCAATTTCTGTGGGTTAGAACTTGGGATCTTATGTGGAAAAGATCTGCTGGATGGCTTACTCTCGACACTTGCGTTATAAGGAAAGCCGTTTCAGGCCGTGAGTGGCTTTTAATTGCTGCAGGCTGCCTGATCTCCCATCAAATTGATTTTAAAAGCTGCTTGTAGGTTTTATTTTGTTCCGCTGCACTTCTAAGTTTCATTGCAAGCCCATCTCGAGCTGCACTCAGGAAAGGCAGGACGTGAATAAATTACGGTGAATAAAAGTAACTTAAAAAACAACAACAACAGCATCCTTTAGAAAGGTAAATGAGATTCCGAATATTGAATATTTCCAGTTCCACCTCTCAAAGCGGGAATGCAAAGGGGGGAAAGGGTTAATCTCCGGAATTATGTATTTAAGAAGTTATTTTCATTTCAAAAAGGCTCTTCCACCAATTGGCCCTTAAGGTAGCTTAAAAACATCAGAAAATAATAATAATAACCTCACAGGGAACAGACAGCAACTAAAAGCAGATGAATGATTGTTGAAATCTCTGGTGGGTGGGCTGGAACGGGCCTCGTATACCTAAAAGATTTTAACGGGGGAAGGGTTTTCAAAAGCAGGAGTACCACCAGGGTCAAAGACTCCCATCTCTTGGTCACATTTAATTTCCCGCTCCGCTGCCGCCGTCTCTTGGTCGCACTTAACTTCCTAGATTCAGGTAGGTAGCCGCGTTGGTCTGACGCAGTCGAAATAAAATTAAGAAATTGTCCAGTAGCACCTTGGTTTGTTCCCTTCCTCTGGGGAGCTTAGTTTGTTCTGGGTATAAGCTTTCATGTGCACGCAGACTTCTTCAGATATGCATTAACTTCCTGATCGCCTTAAAAGCCCTACTTAGTAATAATATAATAATAATAATTTATTATTTATACACTGCCCATCTGGCTGGGCTTCCCCAGCCACTCTGGGCGGCTTCCAACTAAATATTAAAACACAGTAATACATCAAACATTAAAAGCTTCCCTGAACAGGGCTGCCTTCAGGTGTCTTCTAAAAGTCTGGTAGTTGTTTATCTCTTTCACATCTGGTGGGAGGGTGTTCCACAGGGCAGGCGCCACCACTGAGAAGGCCCTCTGCCTGGTTCCCTGTAACCTCACTTCTCGCAGGGAGGGAACCGTCAGAAAGCCCTTGGAGCTGGACCTCAGTGTCCGGGCAGAACGATGGGGGTGGAGACGCTCCTTCAGATATACTGGACCGAGGCCGTTTAGGGCTTTCAAGGTCAGCACCAACACTTTGAACTGTGCTCGGAAACGTACTGGGAGCCAATGTAAGTCTTTCAAGACCGGTGTTATGTGGTCTCGGCGGCCACCCCCAGTCACCAGTCTAGCTGCCGCATTCTGGATTAGTTGTAGTTTCCGGGTCACCTTCAAGGGTAGCCCCACGTAGAGCGCATTGCAGTAGTCCAAGCGGGAGGTAACCAGAGCATGTGCCACGCTGGCCAGTCTGCAGTGGAGACAGAATTGACCTGTGCCTCCATGGACAGCTGTGAGTCCAGAATGACTCCCAGGCTGCGCACCTGCTCCTTCAGGGGCACAGTTACCCCATTCAGGACCAGGGAAGTGTCTGAGTTGTCTCTCGTTTCCTGACTTGGGTTTCTCTCCCCTCCAGGTGGTGGAAGACGAGCGCAGCGATCGTGATGAGACGGACAACACCGGGGAGGAGGAGGAGGAGGAGTTGGAAGAAGAGAAACCTGCCTCAGCACCCACAAAGAACGGCCCCCTGAGCAACGGGCACCCGGTCTTGAACAATAACCACCGGGTGAAAGCCAATTGATCGCTCGACGTCCATTTTCGGTACCCAGCCCTCCTCTGCTTCCAGCTTCCAGGGGGGACTCCCGTCTGTCGCCAGAGTCCAGATCTTTATTTTCATTTTTGAAGCCAAAAAGAAAAGAAAACTTCCTCTGGGGAGCTGCGGCTGGAAGCACAGCCCCCTGCCGCCCCACCAGCTCCTCTCTCCATCCTTGGACCCTCCAAGAACCCGAAGAAGCGCCAGGTTCATTTCAAGATGGGATCCTGAGACACTTGCCGCTTTTCTTGGGGGCAAAGCAAGCGGCCTTTTCTGGAGCTTGCAAACAGTGCTCGTTTTCCTCTTCCCCAGCACCCTTTATGTATGGGAAGAAGGGCAGAGTTTTGGGAGCATGGTTGCCCTTGCCTCTTTGAGCCCCTGCCCTGAATCCACCTTGGAAAGTGGCCCCTGAGACCCCTCACACATTGCCAACCCCCTCCTCGCCCGCCCAAAACCCCTCCACAAAATTGGGCAAGCAAAGAGCAACTTCTCAGCCCCACCCCAGAAAAGACACACGTCTTTTTTTCCTTCCAAGCACACTCAAAAGGAACCAACACTTGCGGGGAAAGTACTCTGCTCGTCAAGTTTGAAGTCCTCATCGAGGCCTCTTTCCCCCTTTCCCCGTGCCAAAGGCCCTCCTGCTTCTAAACATGTCAGGAAAGCTGGGCTCCTTTCCCCGACACCCCGCCCAGATCTGCTATATCTTACACCACAGGCACAAATGTTTTCTTTCCACAAGTAATCCTTTTTTGTGTGTGTGTGGAAAAAGCAAATATTTTGGGTACAAGCGGGTGGGGTGTAGCAGAGGGCAAGGTTGGGGTTTCTGCCCCAATCCGCCTTCGCCGCTTACGAGGACAATCCCTGCGCCTTTGCTCTGCCAGAGTTGGGAAACGGAGTCAAGCAGGCGCCGTTGGAGCGGCGCTACAGTTCCCATCTCCTCTGAGCACATCTATCCAACTGTGTCTTGATACCTTTTTAGAAACCAGGCCAGGGGTCCCACCACCGGTCCTGCCTTAACTCCAAAGCCTTTCGATAATCCGTTTTTGGTTATCGTAGAAGCCATAGTACTCCTTTGCAAAGACTGGCTCTGTTTTCTTAGCTGCAGCGAAACAAATGGTGAGAGGGAGATGGATAAATACGTCTTCTGGTCCTCAAGGTATGCCCAGTGCCCCCCACACTTGTAAGGCCCTGGAGTTTTGACCACTGCCTTTGCAACCCCCAGCCCCATAGGAAGAGGTTTTTAAATTGCAAAAAAAAGTATTTAATTAAAGAAGCGATTGGATTACGGTGAGTCCACAGGCGAGGGAATCACAGGTAGAGGGTTTTAATTTTTGGAGATCATGTTCAGATGAGATCATGGAGGATTTACTCACCTTTTTTCCTGGGTATTTTAGTTTGGGGTGGGGGAAATGTTTCGGCAAGCTAATTCAGACAGGTCAATGATGCCAGAAGGCTGAAAACTCAGTGGTGGTCTTTATTTTCCTTTTCTTAAAAAAGCTTTCTCTAAACTGCACCACCTTCCTCCTGTAGAGAATTTAATTCAATGCACACTACTTCACTTTATTCCCCTGCATTCCTTCTTTTAGGAATGTAATACTTTCCTTTTGCCCCCAACTCCACAATCCTTTTCTCATCCTATTAAAAAAAAAAAACACCCAGAGAGGTACACCCACTTTTATGTAGTCTACTTGCCTTTTACCACTCCCAGAGGGGGAGACGCTGATTTTTGTTTTAATTTATTAGATAGGATTTTTCAAGCACCAAAACGAGAAAAATCTTTTGGCTTCAGCTGCAATAAAAACTCCAGAGAAAGACAGTTTTGAAGAATATCTGCTCTACCTGTAGGATCAAATTGCAATTATTCTTTCCCTAGCCTTAGCCTTAGGGCATTTTTGGGGGGGGGGTAGGGGGAGGTTTACAAAAAAGGACCATTAACCTATCTTCAGACCAAAATGTGTGTTCTTTTTTTTTTTAAAGAAAAAAAAAGTTAAAATATATTAAAACCTAAATAAGACTAATAAATTTCTGTTAAAAAAAAAAATTCTGGTGATTGGATTACCTTTGGGAAAGTTCACACAACTAAGGGTGCTTTTTAAATGGCACAACGGTGTTTTGCAAACACTTCCAGCATAAGTTAGTGGGGAAATTCTTAACGCCAACCCTGCAGGGGGCATGTGGCCGTTTGTTTTGGGATTGCTCTGGGAAACAGTTGGGGTGAGACGGGAGAAGCGAGAGAATTTACTCCTGTCGGAGTGAACCAAATTCAGTTGGATACATCCAACTTTTGTCCACCCACCCCAGTCCCATTAAACGTAAAGGTAAAGGGACTCCCCGCACAGAAACGCCGTTTACCTTCCCGCCGGAGTGGTACCTATTTATCTACTTGCACTTTGAGGTGCTTTTGAACTGCTAGGTTGGCAGGAGCTGGGACTGAGCAACCGGAGCTCACCCTGTCGCGGGATTCGAACTGCCGACCTTCTGATCAGCAAGTCCTAGGCTCTGTGGTTTAACCCACAGCACCACCTGCGTCCCATTAAACGCCCTTAATAACTTAGAAATCAAGATCGACTTCCTCTGGACCAGGAGGCTCCGTAAGAACACCAGACGAGCCCTGCAGCTGGATCAGGCCCAAAGGGACCAATCCAGTCCAACACCCCGCGGCCAGCCAGATGCCCTGATGGGAAGCTCATGATCTGGACCCAAACACAGCAGCAAAACGACCCCTACATGCGATTCCCTGGAACTGGTATTGCTGCTGTTTGCATTTGTCTGTCTTAAACAGACAATGGAGTATGCCTCTGGGGTGAAGTCAAACTGCCACACTAGCAGTACCAGAGCGACCTCTCTGGGATGCAAACCTGGGCAGTGCACTTCGGGGTCCTGGGCCGCCCAGACGACAAGACACCCCCCAATCAGCCTCGGTGATGTCCAAAAGAAAGCAGAGCAAGACATTTGACACCAGCTTGGTTGCTGGAATTGCGGGAAGGAGGCACACAAAGCAACTGTAGAGACTCCACAATTGTGTTGGGTTTAGTCTGGGGGTCAGCAAACTTTTTCAGCAGGGGGCCGGGCCCCTTGTCCCTCAGACCTTGTCGGGGGCTGGACTATAAGCTGCACCCCCCCACGACTCTCCCCTCCTCCACAGCACCGGACAAGCCCATAGCTGTCAAACTTTTCCCTTTTCTTGTGGGGAATCCTATTCGGAATAAGGGAATTTCCCTTAAAAAAAGGAAAACGTCGACAGCTATGGACAAGCCCCGGTGGCTGCTTGCCTGTGTCCTGCGAGCGGCAGGGGCTGGCGGCGGCGGGGGGACGATGAGCGGCGTGCAAAAGGGCTCCGGAGAGGGGCTGCTTAAAATGGCAGCCGCTCGAGCGCTGCTACTGCTGCTGGCACCAACAAAGCCCAGCCCCCTTCCTTCTCTAGGCAGGGCAGGGAGAAGCCAGGAGGAGGGAGGGAGGAGGTGCCGCCGCCAAGGGGGGGGGGGAAGGGAAGGAACACGTGCACTGCCAATCCATGCGGCGATTCATAGACCATCCGTGGGCCGGATCCAGAAGGCAACTGGGCCCGATCCGGCCTATGGGCCTTCGTTTGCCGACCCATGGTTTAGTCCTTCGCCTTTTCTTCTCCTGAACTGGGAGTATTCCGAGGCATTTTTACTGCCGACAGTAGGGAAAGAGACCGTATCGTCCATGAATTTGTCTTAATGGTTGAAAGCCATCCACGTTCAGGGAGCCATCGCTGCATCGACCCCTGGCATCTCCAGGTGATCGCAGAGTGGGAAAGGATCCCGAGGATCGACTACTCCAACCCCCTGCAATGCAGGAATCTGGTCCGCAGCTGCCCCTGAGGGGGCACGGACCACTAGCCTTGAACCACACTCACCCATGCGCCAAAGAGACAATGGGTTGCAGATGCATGAAACACCACCTTTCTGTCGTTTAAACCGCACTCTGGGAAAAGCCAGCTTTTCTTTTGAGAAACACACAGAGAGCTCTTTCCCCTCCTTCCAGGAGTCAGATGGAAAGCCCCACGGGAGCTGTATCCGGGCCCTGATCCTGAATAATCCCTGGATCAGCGCACAAGATCGTTCCCCATAAAAACCTCCACTGCTCTGCCCCGTGTTATATTTTCTTTTTTTAAAAAAAATAAAAGGTTCAGGAGCAGATCATCTTTTGAAATCGAGAGTAAACATGGTTTTATTGCTTTACGACGACGAAAGGGGGGGGTCCTCTGCAAAACACCATACACAGAACCATGCCCTCGACAACGTCCGACAACGCGGCGCCGAAAATGGATGAGCCCGCAAACAGAGAACGAGACGTGTGAGAAGTGGGTAAGGGGGGGATCCACTGACCGAAAAGGGCTTAAAAAAAAAAAAATCTTTTAAAAAATTCATGAAATGCGCCCCCCCTGCCTAAAAAAAGGGGCGGGGTGGGCAGCGGGAGAAAGAAACCTTACAACAAACGTCCACGGCATTCAATTGCACCGCAGCAGCACAGAAGTTCCTTGCCCTCCACGCTGCCAACTTCGTAGTTATAGTCCCAGGTAAGTTCGGTGCCAGCTCTGATCCTCCTGCAAGAAGGAAAAAGAGTTTTGCAGTTTTGAAACGGCAGCTTAGAATGGGAGAGACTCTCTGGGTGAACAGCCCTGTGCCTCAGCTTCTGCTCTCCCACCTGTAAAATGGGCATAAGGGGACTCGTGAGACCATGTTGTGATCTAGAGTGCAACTGCACTTGGCTGCTCAGAGTGGCTGGGGAAACCCACCCACATGGGCGGGGTATAAATATTATTATTATTATTATTAATTATTATTACTGTTTGCACCTCAAAAAAAGAGAAGATTCTGTAGAGGAGTAAAAAGGTTCAGAAAAAGGCTATCAAAATGATGAAGGGGAAGAAGCAATTGCCCCATTAAAGAAAGAATACATTTGGGGCTTTTTTTGGTATTGGGCGTCAGCAGACTTTTTCAGCAGGGGGCCAGTCCACTGTCCCTCAGACCTTGTGGGGGGCCAGACTATATTTTTTTGGGGGGGGAATGAATGAATTCCTGTGCCCCACAAATAACCCAGAGATGCATTTTAAATAAAAGAGCACATTCTACTCATGTAAAAACACACTGATTCCCGGACTGTACGCGGGCCGGATTTAGAAGGCGATTGGGTCGGATCCAGCCCCCGGGCCTTAGGTTGCCTACCCCTGGTATAAAGGGGGGGAAAGAGGTGACTTGCTAGAATATCAAAGTACACGTGGCATGGACAGAGTGGGCACATTAAAGTTTCCATCCCTCATGACACTAGAAGCTAAAGATTGGAAGAGTAAAGGCAGACAAAAGAAAGCACCTCTTTAGTTGAACTGTGGAACTCCCTGCCACAGGAAACAGGGATGGCCAACTTTAAAAGAGGGATGCTGATGGCTGCTAGCCATCAAGGCTACGCTCTGCCCTTGCAGCCAGAGGCAGTAACGCTCCTCACTACCAACCACTGGCAAGTGGAATCCTGGGAACTGTAGTTTGTTGTGGGTGCCAAGAGACACCCCCTAGTCCTCTCCCAGAGCAGTTTAACAGCTGACCCCTCTTTTCCAGGGAACTCTGGGAATCGTAGTTCTGGGGGCGGGATCTCCTAATGCCACAATCTTTTTATATGCAGCAACAGCTGCCAGGGTACTAAATGGAAATCTCAGGACATACCAACAAAGGAAGAGTGGCTCTGTAAATTAATTGAGTATATAGAATTGGCAAAATTAACTTCAATTATAAGCTATCAATCAAATCAAAAGTTAAGAATGGAGCGGAAGTATTTCGAAGATTATATGTCAAAATATTGTTCTAAAAATGACATGTTAATAGGCTTAGAATAAAAAATGTAAGCAATAACAAAACAAAGAAAGAAAGAAGGAAAAATCAGAATTTAACAAAAATAATTTATTATAGAATGCAAGGGGGAAAAGGTAGAAAGAAATATAAAGAAGTCAAATTGCTGTGGAGGGAAATAGAGGGTAGGAGGTGGGTTTTATAATTAAGTGTATAATTATGCAACTGTTGTGATTTAGATATTATATTTTATGTGAGGGAATCATTAGGAATTTGGGTTATTATGTATATATGTTAAGTTTCAATAAAGATCTTTGAATTTATTTATTTTTAAAAACCTAATCACACTCAGCACCCTGAATGAACTACAGTTCCCAGGATTTGGCAGGTGGGAGCCGTTGAGTGTTCAAAGTGGTGGAAGGGGGCTTTAAATGCCTGGTGCGGATGCGGCCCAAGGGAAGCTCGACTGAAGAGAGAGAAGCTGGTCTCTTTTGGACAGTGCTTACTTGCTGGCGAAGAAGGCCACCCATGGGAAACGGAGGTCGTGGGTGTCCACAAAGACGTTCTGGACAAAGAGGTTAGGACTGCAGCTATGCTGGAAACAGAAACGGGCGTTAGCCAAAATCAGAAAGGCAAAAGCTCCGTGCCGACTGACGTCAAGGTATTTTAGAGCTGCTTGTTATCTAGCCAAAGTGATATTTAAAAGCGTGAAAGTATCATCAACAGAAGTTAACTCAGAAATGGACGTAACATGCTGAATTTCCTAAGCAGACCACAATATGCCCCCTTTTTTTAAAAAAAAAGAGTATCCTCTTCTTTTAACAAATGTTAAAACACAAAACTGGATGAAGATGTTTCTATGCCACCAACATAACAGAAAAACGGCTAGAAGCTACTTTATAAAAAATATATAAAAACATTAAAAAATATAAGCATATAAATAAATAAGAAAAATTAACAACAATTTAAGATTTGACTTTTCAATTTAACTTTTGAAAAGTTAAAATAACAGGCAAAAAAAACCCCCACGTCAATTTTCTAAACGTATGGGTAAAAGGTAAAGGTAAAGGGACCCCTGACCATTAGGTCCAGTCGTGACAGACTCTGGGGTTGTGGCGCTCATCTCGCTTTACTGGCCAAGGGAGCTGGCGTACAGCTTCCGGGTCATGTGGCCAGCAGGACTAAGCCACTTCTGGCGAACCAGAGCAGCGCATGGAAACGCCGTTTACCTTCCCGCCAGAGCGGTACCTCTTTATCTACTTGCACTTTGACGTGCTTTTGAACTGCTAGGTTGGCAGGAGCAGGGACCGAACAACGGGAGCTCACCCCGTCGAGGGGATTTGAACCGCCGACCTTCTGATCGGCAAGCCCAAGAGGCTCAGTGGTTTAACCCACAGCGCCACCCGCATCCTGTCTAAACAAAATGTTTTTAGTAGGCACCAAGAAGAGTACGGCTGTGGGAGCCTGCCTGATTTCTGGCTACAGGGATGGATTTGGAAATTCCAAGGGATTGTTGCAGGTACCACAGAGATGTCCATCTCTCTGAAGGAAAAAAACTGACAATACACAGAACCCCCCCTAAAAAAAAACCCCAAGTAAAACACAGATAAAATTAAGCAAGCAACAACAAGGCCCACCCCCCCCAAAAAAGCCCAACATCTGTTTTTAATAATAAAGGAGGGGACATTTGGTCAGCACAGAGGGGAGGGGTCAGAATGATGCATTTGGGAACCTGAGGTGTAGGCAAATTATTTCTGACAAGGTGCTAACCATTAACATTGGAAAAAGGTGAGAAAACAGAAGTGGGGGGCCTTCTTTGATCTGACCTCTCCCACCCCCCAAAAAAATTATTCCTAAACCTCACCAGCTCTTCTTCTGCCCACAAATATCCTTTAAACATTCACCCAGTCTTTCTCTAATCTCTGATATTTCTGCCCCCCGTCTTCTTGAGGACATTCCGTGACATCACAGCCGCTCAGCCAATGAGAGGAAGTTCCAAAGCGACCAAGCCAAAAATTCAACCACCAATTGCAAATCTGCTGTCTACAATATTTATCTCCCACATCTCCAGCTTTAGGTTTTCAAGGTCTCTTACGACACATGCAGGAAATCTGTTGTTATTTAGTGTTGGGGGCTGGGAACAAATCGAGGGAGTTTATTTTAGCACAGCTAAACAATCCGTTCTTTGAGAAGAGAAATGCTTATATGAAGCAGTGTTTTATTGAAAAAAAAGACAACCTAAAAGTTGTTGCTGGCGTGCCTCCCTTAGCCATTGGCTGAGCTGCAGTGACATCATAGAAGATCAATGGAAATGAACTGCTGAGCGAGAAATGCCCACCACGAAATATCCACCAACAGTACAGACTCTACAGGGGAAGCGAGAGGTCGGCTTGGACGGAGGAAAAACACCAGAGTTGTGCGAGAAGGGGGGAATTTAATTTGCTACAGCATGAAGAATCTCACATTGAGGTAGCGGCCCAAGTTGCCTTCGAGTTTGGCGTCGATGATGTAACAGGACTCCTCTCCGTCATAGAACTGCCGCGTGTTCCTCCGGATGGGCATGTTCTCCCCGGACGCCAGGTTGGTCGACTTGATGGCAATGCCGTGGGTTGACTTCAGGGCGAAGCCGCGGGTGGACTTGACGGCCACCTGCCTCTTCACTGGTCCTGGGAAACACCCAAGGGAGTCGACACCGTTAAAGGGAGATCGAAGAAGCCGATTTCAGGTGCTCAGGCATATTGGAACAGCCTGGGCAATTCCTAGCCTGAGCAGGCTGGCTTTTCCTTCACCCACAATGCCCCCGTCCTTTAGAAACGTTTCTCCCTCCTATAGCGGATAAACGGCAGGGCCTTATTTGTGCTGGCACCCCCTTAGCATTATTCGCTCCCTTCTCAGATGTGGCGGAGGAAACCAATGGTGGTGGAGCGGTTAATGCGGAGATTTAGGATCAGAGTTTTTCTTCTCCTGGATGGGCTCCCTTCCCAGGTGGACGAGCCCCACCTGCCCCTCACGGAGGGCTTGAGACCTATCGGCTCCCCTCGCCTGGTTTGGCAGCCCAGTGGGAGCCGTTTCCTGGGGTGTGGCTGCTGTCCCATGCTGGCAGCATACGGGAGCCACAAGTGAGCACAGGGTGGGGGCCAAAAGTGGACAAACTACCCCAGAAGGAGCATGGCGTGCCCCGCAACCGTGGCCCTCCCCTAATGACCCATGCACACCAAACCCAAAAACAACATGATAGAACATCACAAATACAGCATGAATCATGCAGAATACCATACTGAAGACTGGACATTTTCATCCCCAAAAATGTTTTTGATTTGAGTTTCCACTGAAATGAGGCTGCGTTTTAATGTTTTTATGTTGTATTTTAATCTTGTTTTTTAAGCTGTATTTCAAGCAGTTGTTTTTATATTTGGTGTTAGCTGCCCTGAGCCTGGTCTTGGCTGGGGAGGGCGGGCTATAAATAAAATTTTTTATTACAATTATTATTATTATTATTATTATTATTATTATTATTATTATTATAAAAGTGAGGGTTTTTCTCCCCTACCTCGCTCCCCCTTTGACATGAAAGGAAGAAAAACCAGCCAGTATAGCCTAACCTCCTGAGCAGCACAAGGTGACGCAAGTTATTATTGGCCTGAATATAACCCTCACTTTCCCCCCAAATTCTGACTGTGAAAAGTTAAAGTGTGGCTTATATTCGTGACCTTACGGTATGCAGCCGGGAGCATGGGGAAAACAGCGCCAGGAGCGTTCCCCAAGGCCAAGAAGGGAGAGAGAGCGAGGAAGGGGGAAGGCCGCTGGCAACGCAACACAGCTCCCCCTCCCACCCAGTATGCAGCCAGGAGCAGCCAGGAATAGAGCGGCTTATATGTGGGTATTTCCCCTTCTTTTTCTCCCCCACCCTCCACTTTTAAAGGTGCGGCTTATATTTGGGTGCGGCTTATATTTGGGCCGATACGGCAATTAACAAATCATCAGCAAAACGGAATATAAAACACTGTTAAAGAAGCGACAACTAAATTTTAAAAAGCTAAATTGGCTGCCTCAAGGGCTGGAAGCAGCGACGCTTCTGAATCGCAGCTGCCGGAAGCCAGAGGAGGGAAGAAATGGTTCTTGCGCCCGGGTCCTGCTTGGGGCTTCCCATTGGGCCCCCGTGAGAACGGGATGCTGGACCCGGTGGGCTCCACACTGGCCTCATCCCGGAAGGCTCCCTTTTCTGTCCTTTTTAAAAAAACTTTTATTGATAAATGCGATACTTACAAACCCAAACCAGAACACTAAACAAACTCATCATACATAGATACATACACCGCTCAACTTAAGATTACAAAAAAAGAAAACAAACATAAAGACATAAATTCTGACTTCCCTCCACCTATATGCGGCATCCTTTGTTTCTTTTCTTCTTTTCGCTGTGTTATCAATATTATTTTTGACTATTTCATCTTGTACCTGTTTCTTCTTAATTTTTTTACTCTACAGTGGTGCCCCGCAAGACGAATGCCTCGCAAGACGGAAAACCCGCTAGACGAAAGGGTTTTCCGTTTTTCAATGCGCTTCGCAGGACAAATTTCCCTATGGGCTTGCTTCGCAAGACGGAAATGTCTTGCGAGTCTTGAGATTTTTTTTTGTTTCCCCCCCCCTTTTCTAAGCCGCTAAGCCTTTAATAGCCGCTAAACCGCTAATAGCGCTAATCTGCTAAGCCGCTAATAGGGTTGCTTCGCAAGACGAAAAAACCGCTAGAGGAAGATACTCGCGGAACGGATTAATTACGTCTTGCGAGGCACCACTGTATAAGTTTCGTTCATTGCATATTGATATTTTAATACCAGAACAATGTTTTATGACGTATTCCTTCACGCAAGTCCACTCATCTATCAATTTTTGGTATGACTAGCCTCTTACCACTGCTGTTAAGTCTTGCTGATTCTATATAGTCACAAAATCTTATTTGCCATTCTCTTATTGAGGGAGTTCTTTCGCCCTTCCAATTTTTTGCTATCATCATTCTGGGCACAGAGGTTGCATATAAGAAACCCTTTTTCCCTAGCGGTAGGAATGTCAGTCGATGTAATTCCCAAGAGGTACGCCTCTGCGGGTTTTTTTACATGATATTTTAAGCTTTTTTTTTAAGCTCCTCTTGAATGCCACTCCAAAATTGTTTAATATACAGTGGGCGCTGCGGGTTGCGAACGTGATCCGTGCGAGATGCACGTCCGCAACCCGCAGTGGCGCATCTGCGCACGCACAAGTTGCAATTCGGCACTTCTGCGCATGTGCAAAGCACAATTTAGCGCTTCTGTGCATGCGCGACCGCCAAAACCCGGAAGTAACCCATTCCGGTACTTCCGGGTTTTGACAGTCCACAACCTGAAAAAAACGCAACCTGAAGCGTCTGTGACCCGAGGTATGACTGTACACACAATCGCCTCCCCTCTCCCCAAACGCGGCTGCGCTCACCCAGCCCCGAAGAGCTCTTCTTGCCGTCTGGCCCCGGCTCCTCTTCCGACCCGGAGGAGATGGTCTGGATGTCGTCGCTGTCGTTGCCCTGCGCCTGCCGCGAGGTGCCGCGCCCGTTGTCACCATCGCTGTCTGTGCTGCTGGAGAGCATCAGCACATCCTGGCGGTGGAAGAGAGAGAGAGAGAGAAAAGTGGGAGGGAGGGAGGGAACGTCTGCAGCCGCCCCTCTCCTTGGCCAGCAAGGAATTCCGTTCCGGGCAGCTCAGTTTAAAGTGGGTATCGACAAGATGGAACACAATCCTCTTTTGTTCTTCATATGCCCCCCACTTGCAGGGGGTTGGACTACATGAGCCTTGGGATCCCTCCCCACTCGACAATTCTGAGTCTACGATTCTAACATAAAGCTTTGTGGAAGGATAACAGCCTGCTCACAGGCCTAAAAGTTCTTAAGATAATTACATCTATGGGTACCTGATGGGACTCTGTGTGCCTGCGGCTCTGAAGCAAAGCTGTCTTGCTGATTGGCCTCCGGACTCCTTCGGGGACCGGCGGGTTTGGATTGTAACCGTACAACCTGCCTGCACTGGGCACCCTGGGGGAGGACAGAGGAAGGAGTTAGCTGCTCACACAATGCTTCGCTGCAAGATGCCAGCAAGCCGCAACCACCACATAAATAGACAGCTGATACATGGCTGTGGTTCCAGCACTGATTCCCCCCCCATTTTATTTACTGTAATGCAAAATTAATATTCAGTGTAAAGAGAAATCAGTCCTCCCTCCTTTCCTTGAACCACATTTCAGGATTCATGGAGCATTTCTTGAAGGCACAACATTGGTTATGTATAAGATACAGAATCTTCTGTTTAACACAATATTCAGTGTACTATAATGCATTATACTAGTTTCCCCCCCTTCGCAGCATTCATTGTTTCGTTTTTTTGTAATTTATAATAAAAACAAATGACTCCATTAATTATTTCATTTTTCTCAAGTGTAAGAAATTAAGGCATCACCTTAAAACATTTTCCTTTTGCTTGGGCATTCGGTCGTTTAAACCGCATGTGGTTGTGGAGAGGAGAAAACTCTAGGCTGTTGCCGTTTTAAAATCGGGATTAACATTCTGTACGTTTAATAGTTTGTTTTATGAAAGCCGTGTCGTGTTTGTACAGTTCAGAGGACTTTTAGCCACCCTGGGCTCTGGGTCAGGAGGAGGGTGGAGTTGAAGCAATAAATGATAAAGAAAAGACCCAGTGTGGTGTAGTGGTTAAGAGTGCTGGACTAGGACCAGGGAGGGACCAGGGTTCGAATCCCCCCTCAGCCACGATGCGTCCAGAGTGCAACCTTCTCAGCTTATCCTACCTCACAGGTGAAACTGGCTGAAGTGACTGGATCATGTTTGAATGTTTGTCAGGTGAGAATGAAAAACAACCCTCCCCGCGCCTAGAAGGCTAGCATGTCAGGGAAAAGGTTCCCAAACTGTAGTCCATGGACCACCCAGTGGTGGCCCCAAAAGCTTAGCTCAGGTGGTCAGTGTCATGCTGCGTTAAGCACTCATACTGATCTTTAACTGTGTTTGCACGGCTTGCCTGAATTCTTAAGACTGTATTTTATTGTATCGCAATTACAATTCTGCAGAATGAAAATGGTAACGCAGTACAGAAAACAAAAGCAACAGTAGAAATACAATTAAACACAACATCTAGCACTTGCTACAACGGGCAGAAAAGTCCCTCAGTGATATTCCATTGGTCTGTGGTGAACAAGGGTTTGGGGAACCTCTGAGCTATATCCTTTTGCCCGTGTCCTTGACATGCTAGCTTTCTGCTTGCGGGGAGTTCTTCAGCTGGTAGAATGTTCAGAAACACTCCTGACTCTTTTCCCAAAGGAGACAGAAATCCAGGAGCAGCCAGAGCTGGCCCAAGTTACCCAAAGGAAGAGAAGAGCAGAAGGAAAAAAACGGGAACTTACAACAGAGGTTTGCTGTGGTCTTCGGGTTCCTGTGGGAAAGAAGGGCGAGAAAGAGGAAACTGTAGCAAACATTTAAAGGTAAAGGGACTGTGGGGTTGCAGTGCTCATCTTGCTTTACTGGCCGAGGGAGCCGGCGTACAGCTTCCGGGTCATGTGGCCAGCATGACTAAGCCACTTCTGGCGAACCAGAGCAACACACGGAAACGCTGTTTACCTTCCTGCTGGAGCGGGACCTATTTATCTACCTGCACTTTGACGTGCTTTTGAACTGCTAGGTTGGCAGGAGCAGGGTCTGAGCAACGGGAGCTCACCCCATCGTGGGGATTCGAACCGCCGACCTTCTGATCGGCAAGTCCTAGGCTCAGTGGTAACCCACAGTGCCACCCGCGTCCCTAGCAAACATTTAGGCAGAAATATTTAATAAGAGTTGGCCTGCATTGCAAAATATAGTCCGCTGCCCCCACCAAGGTCTGAGGGACTGTGAACCGGCCCCCTGCTGAAAAAGTTTGCTGACCCCTGAGCAAAATCCCCTGCGATGCAGAAATCACGGGTGTAGTTCACATGTTTCCAAACCCGACAGAGAGGGCCGCCAAAAATCTATCCACAGAACACTGCAGGGGAGAGGAACCGTACCTCTTTCTTCTTCACCTCCAGCCCGAAATCGTCCCGGCCTCCCAGAGCCGCCTTCTCGCCGTCTGGGGGCTCAGCCTTTGCGGCCTTCGCCTCGCCCGCCTCGTGCGTGCGAAACGAGGAGCGGCTGTCGTTGTCCTGGAAGCCGTCGGCCATGGTGTTGGAGCTGAGCCAGGAGGCCACCTTGTTTTTGGAGGTCTCCTCCGAGAGGGGAGGCTTGCAGTGGGCGGCCTCTTCGTGGCTGGCCTGCCGGGCCAGGCCCGAGTCCTTGGAGGCCGTCTCAGAGAGGCCGTTCTCCCGCTGGCCCCGCGTCTGGCGCCGGGTGGCGTAGCTGCGCCAGACCGAGCTGGTGCTGAAGTCCTCGTCCTTGCAGAAGTTGTCGTCCGAGCTCTCCTCGTTGGACTCCTCCTGCTCCTCCGAGCCCGAGTTCTCGTCCTCGTCGTCCTTCAGGTTGACGCCGCTGCTGTCCGAAGAGCACTTGGCCTCGCTTTCGTAGCCCTCCTTCGAGTTCTCCACGCTCTCAATGTGGTCCAGGTTGGCAAAGTATTCGTCGCCCATCTCCAGGCCCTCCTTGTCAGCAAAATCGTCCGTCAGGATTTTACCTGCGGGGCAGCAAGCAGAGAAACAGCAGTCGGGGGGAGAAAGAGAGACCCTTAGCTCTCGGCTAGGAAACATAAGCCTTTGCAAACTCATGACACTCCCGTTAATTGAAATTGAAATCCTATTGAAATTGAAATACTTTATTGTCACTTGTACAACTTGTACAAGCTTGCGAGTTTATACGAAGTTTATAACGCTGGAAATAGGAAGTTTATAAAAGTATGGACAAAATGGGGAAAGCTTTTTCCTGCCTCGCTTACGACACCAGATCACCAAACCGCCTGTCTCGCCCAGATCTGTCTACTAAATACCTTCTTGTTCAGCTGTTAGCTGCTCCTGAACTTGTTATAGCCAGACACTGGAGAACTCCTAATACAGACCTTTTGGAAGCACTGTTGTCACAGACACAGGGCGTCATTCTTATGGATAAACTAACAGAATCTCCATACTGGAAGAAGACACACAGCTTCCTATACAAGGTGGTTTACTTTTATTGAATATGCTGAATCTATTTCACATGCCGGCTTCTCATGGGACACTGGAATGAGACATCTGTTTGATTTCTTCTCGTGTACGGCATCAACCTACGTCTGCATTTCAGTGTACTATTCTTTAACACTATCTCTGTACTTCGGGGCAGGGGCTGGCATTACGTTTATTGTTTCTTCAGACCTGCTATATCTGAAAATCAGTAAAATATGAAGGGTGGGGAACACTAAAACTTCTGGATGTCCAATGAAGCTGAGTGTTGGAAGATTCAGGACAAATAAAGTGTGAAGTTGAACTATGGAACTCCCTCCCACAGGAGGCAGCAGAGGCCATCAATGATGTGGTTTGCACATTAACACTAAACCAAGGTTTGCTTAGCCCAGGTGAGGTTTATTTGAACCATGGTTTGTTTAGTCTAATTGTGGCTCATTTGAACCATGGTTTGTTTAGCCCAAGTGTGGCTCATTTGAACCATGGTTTGTTTAGCCCAAGTGTGGCTCATTTGAACCATGGTTTGTTTAGCCTAATTGTGACTCATTTGAACCATGGTTTGTTTTCTGCCAGGGACAAACAATGTGAAGCCACAGGGTGCTGTTAGCTTATGAGCCACAGCTTGTTTCAACCATGGTTTGGCGCTATGTCTACGCTCAGCGGCCTTGCTTAATCCCAGTTCCTTTGGCACGTGAACGCTGCTCTTCGGGGCGGCTGCCCCGCAGATGGAGATTCAGAGGCCCCAGGCCCGGCGCCCTGTACCTGCATAGATGCAGACGAAGGAGCCCCTGGCAATGTCATCCAGGCAGCGGATGCCCCAGCCCTTGTTCTGCGTCTTGAAGAGCTGCAGCCGGACTTGCAGGCCGTGTTGCACCAGGCGGTTCGTGCACATGTTCCGATTGCACTTGCAGCGCTTGTTGCACTCGTAGACGCTGGCAGAGGCCCGGAAGAAGAGGGAAGAAGATGCAGGGAGAGTCAAGCAATGGAAAGGGCTGCTCGCTGGGCCCAGAGAGTGCACCTGCCTCACCAATCTTACAACAAGAGACGGCAACGTTCCCAGAGTCAGGAAGCTGCCTTGATCTCGAGCCAAGCCACTGAGGTCCCTCTAGTGCAGGGGTCAGCAGACTTTTAAAGCAGGGGGCCGGTCCACTGTCCCTCAAACCTTGTGGGGGGGCCTGACTATATTTTGAAGGGGAAAATTAACGAATTCCTATGCCCCACAAATAACCCAGAGATGCATTTTTAAATAAAAGCACACATTCTACTCATGTAAAAACACACTGATTCCCAGACCATCCGTGGGCTGGATTTAGAAGGCGACTGGGTTGGATCCGGCCCCGGGCCTTAGTTTGCCTATCCCTGCTCTAGTGTCAGTGTTGTCGACCCAGCTCTGCAGGGATTCAGGCAGGGGACATTCCTGGCCCTACCTATAAACCCTAGGGATGGGGTCTGGGACCTTCTGCAGGCAAAGCTGGTTCTCTGCAACTGAGCTACAGCCCTTCCTCTAAAAAGAAAGAAAGATTCTAGTCCTCATGCTTCTGAGTGAAAGCTGGTTTGGAGTCCAGCACTGAACGGACTTCCTCGTCAGGCCCAGAGAGTGTGCCTGCTTCACCTTTCTTGGTAACAAGGGATGGCAATGTTCCCAGAGTCAGGAAGCTGCCTCGTACTCAAGTCAGGCCACTCGGTCCATGTAGGTCAGTACTCCTGATCTAGTCCTCTTTCGCTGGAGGTATTTAAGCAGACATCAAGCTACCGTCGGTCAGGGATGCTGGAACCATGCCCTGCGCTCATCAGGCAAGGGGGGGAATCAGGAACCATCATGGGAGCACACAAACAGTGTATAACGTCTGGCCGAAATTTGCTCCACAGGAATTCCCTCCCCTTGTGGTTCCTGGTTCCTCCTCCTGGAACAACAAAAACAGGTCCCCTCCATATTCTCAGCAGACTTTCATATCTCTGGGGCTGGCTTCCCACCCTCTCCTCTTACGCTACTCCTCTCCAGGTAAAAACAGACTCCTTCGCCTGTTTCTCATGCAACTAGGGCTTCCCAAAACCACTTGCAATCCTGGCTGCCCTCCTCCGGTCAGGTTGCAGAGCGGGGCATCACCTTGCCAACAAAGGTCCGTATAGTAAAAGGTCTGGTTTTCCCAGTAGTGATGTATGGAAGTGAGACCTGGACCATAAAGAAGGCTGATCGCCGAAGAATGGATGCTTTTGAATTCTGGTGCTGGAGGAGACTCTGGAGAGTCCCATGGACTGCAAGAAGATCAAACCTCCCCATTCTGACGGAAATCAGCCCTGAGTGCTCACTGGAAGGACAGATCATGAAGATGAGGCTCCAATACTTTGGCCACCTCAGGAGAAGAGAAGACTCCCTGGGAAAGACCCTGATGTTGGGAAAGATGGAGGGCGCAAGGAGAAGGGGACGGCGGAGGACGAGATGGTGGGACAGTGTTCTTGAAGCTACGAACATGAGTTTGACCAAACTGCGGGAGGCAGTGGAAGACAGGAGGGCCTAGTGTGCTCTAGTCCAGGGGGTCACGGAGAGTCGGACATGACTAAACAACAACAACAACAAAGAAAGCTTACCCTGTGGGGAGGCATTCTTCCAGTCTTTTGTACTGGAACCCGGCATTTGGGTTGGTCTGGCCCCCCGGGGTGCAGGCGGTCGCTTGGATCGTGAGCTGGTGGCAAGCGCATTTGGACCTGTCAAGGAGGAGGGGGGAAGTGTGGGGCTCAAGTCAGGAAACCAAACCCCCAGCTGTAAGGCCAGGGAGCGCCCCAGTGGTCTCTGCACAGCAGCCCCAGAGCGGTTTGCAATCCCACCTCCTGTTCAGCTGGAGAACATGGCCAGAACAGCACTTTTAAGAATTGGCGCCCAAGTTCAATTCTGTCCCCCCCCCAATCCCTTTTCTGTTGTGTGTGGGGCCTTTAATTTAGACTGTAAGCCTGCGGGCAGAGATTGCCATCTTTTTAACTGATGGCACATAAGTCTCCCTGGGAGCCTTTGCAGCTGAAGAGCAGGGCAGAAACTCTCCAAATTAACTGAAATAAATAGATATAGTGTAGTCGCATTTATGGATTTAAAAGGTGTCGTGAGTCACTTGAGAGACCTTCCGAGTTATAAGCAACAAACGAGCCCAATCATAATTATACCCCCACTGCCACAGGTGCTACATAACATTCGCTCCACGTTTGTTAGAAACCGATCTTTTAGCAGCACCTGCCCTCTGGAACTCCCTGACTATTGATATCGGGCAGGCGACTGTGCTGTAACCTTTGCTGCGACATCTAAAATTTCTGTTTAGACAGAGCCCATTCAGCCACACAAACAGGACTCTCCTCATCTGTGATTCTCAGCAGCTGGCAGCACCTACAGCAGCCATTCACTTGCCTTCCGTTCGTAGAGTTGGAAGGGACCCTGGGGTCATCCAGTCCAACCCCCTACAATGCAGGAATCTAGGTGGGGCTCGAACACACAACGCTGAGATTGACCCGACTGAGCTACGCCAGACTGATGTACGTTTTGATCTGCTCTTGGTTTATTTGTTGATTTTTATCTTTTGAATATTTCTAAGACTTGTTTTTAACCAACAATTTCATTATACTATTCTCTTTCTAAACTGCTTGGGGTCTTAAAAACAAACACACCATTGAGCAGCATATGAATAAACAGATACAGCCGTACCTTGAAGCCGAATGCCTTGGCTCCTAAACAAAATTGGCTCCCGGACGATCGAAACCCGGAAGTGAGTATTCCAGTTTCCAAACGATTTTCGGAATCCAATCACCCGGGGCAGCTTGTGATTGGCTGCAGGATGCTCCTGCAGCCAATCAGAAGCCATGCTTTGCTTTCCGAATGGTTCTGGGAGTCGAATGGGAGTCAAGGTACCACTGTACAGGAAACAACTAGGTGCATCCAACTGGCGTGCACATACAGCGCCGTCCCCGGAAGTGGCCGGAAGAGGGGGGTGGATGGGATTACACACATGGGGGTCAGGAACACAATCCCCACGCAAAACAAGTCACTGCTGCAAATAACTGCAGGGCCCTCCAGCTGAAACAGGGTCCTTCCCACCCACCAGCCGGTTTTGGGGAGAAGAGGAAGCCGCTCACTTATCCCGGCACCCGTCCTCGCAGTCGCAGCCCACCAGGAAATCGGCGCTGGTGTTGATGTAGACCCCCTTCCCGGGGATGCGCTCCTTGCTGTAGGCCACCTGGGGTGGGGCGGTGTTGTCGATCTCGTTGACGCAGGAGAGGGGGACGTCCTCCTTGCCCATGGTGATGTCGGGGATGTAGTAGTAGGGCTTGTAGGGCTGGAACTTGCGGTCCACCAGGACGTAGGGGTCCAGGCAGAACATCTCCAGGAAGAGGAAGTCGCAGTTCGTCTCGAAGAGGTAGCGCTCCACCTCCGCCATGCTGCGCAGGCACAGCCCGCACGGCGTCTTGTAGATGACGTGGAAGCCCGTCTTGCGGTTGATCCGCCGGCGGGCCGTCATGCGGCGGAAGTCGTACAGCAGCGGGACGAGGAGGGGGTTCCGGCTGCGGTGCTGGTCGGTCTGGAAGGGGCGCGTCCGGGAGAGGCAGGTGTAGTTGCAGACGTGGGGCAGGTAGAAGAGCTTCTCCACAGGGGCCCGGTAGGTGGGGTCGCTGGGCACCCGGTCCATCATGCCGTAGAACTGCGGGGTGGGGCTGGTGGAGGGCTGGGCGCCCAAGAACCTTCCGGGGAGAGAATTGGGGTGGGGTTGGGGAGAGAGGGGGGCTGGCAGTGAGCACAACAGGTGCAGCTGGGGCAAGATCTGCCCACCCACCCTCACTCGCAGGGTACCACTGATGCCCCCCCGCTTTCCAGCCACCGTTGGCCTGCACTAAGAAGAGTTACTCATTTTGCTGCACTTCTATTCTGCTGTTTGGATTTGGATTTGATATCCCGCTTTATCACTACCCTAAGGAGTCTCAGAGGGACGCGGGTGGTGCTGTGGGTTAAACCACAGAGCCTAGGACTTGCCGATCAGAAGGTCGGCGGTTCAAATCCCCGCGACGGGATGAACTCCTGTTGCTCGGTAACTGCTCCTGCCAACCGAGCAGTTTGAAAGCACATCAAAGTGCAAGTAGATAAATAGGTACCACTCCGGCGGGAAGGTAAACCGTGTTTCCGTGCGCTGCTCTGGTTTGCCAGAAGCGGCTTAGTCCTGCTGGCCACATGACCCGGAAGCTGTACGCCGGCTCCCTGGGCCAATAAATCAAGATGAGCGCCGCAACCCCTGAGTCGGCCACGACTGGACCTAATGGTCAGGGGTCCCTTTACCTTTACCTTTAAGGAGTCTCAAAGCGGCTCACAATCTCCTTTCCCTTCCTCCCCCACAACAAACACTCTGTGAGGAGAGTGAGGCTGAGACTTCAGAGAAGTGTGACTGGCCCAAGGTCACCCAGCAGCTGCATGTGGAGGAGCGGGGAAGCGAACCCGGTTCACCAGATTACGAGTCTACCGCTCTTAACCACTACACCACACTGGCTGATGGTGATGCTAAGTTAAAGTCCACTTTGATGGCTTGTTTTCTCTTTGCCAGGCTCAGTCTGGCTCCTGAACGGAGCATGGAACAGGAGTAACTTACACCAACTTAACTTAAACTGGTTTCCTATACTCAGGATTGTTTTGTAAGTCTCTGTCTACCTCTGAGGCTGGAGACAAGAGGGGGGTGGATTTGAGAAGATGAAAGGATGCTAACGGTATGTATGCCCATCCCACTTTTGCCTCTGGTAAGTGGATTTTGCTGGGTTTGTTTGTACAAAAAGTGTAGTTAAGTCCAGTCAAAGGCGACTATGTGGTTGTGGCCCTCATTTCGCTTTCAGGCCGAGGGAGCTGACATTTGTCCACAGACAGTTTTCTGGGTCATGTGGCCAGCAGGACTAAACTGCTACTGGTGTAACAGAACACCGTGACGGAAACCAGAGTGCACGGAAACACCGTCTACCTTCCCGTCGCAGCGGTACCTATTTATCTACTTGCGCCAGTGTGCTTTCAAACTGCCTGGTTGGCAGGAGCTGGGACAGAGCAGCGGGAGCTCACCCCGTCGTGGGGATTAATAAAGAGTAGGCTTCCAGCTTTAGACTTTCCTGTTCCCCGGGCCCTGCCCGCCCAATGCACAGAGGCTGGCAGAGTTGCCACGGAGTAGGCAGGACCAGCAAGAGATGGCGATATGGCTATTTGTGTTCCCTGTTGCGTGTGCTTTCAGAACTCGACACTCACCGGAACTGCTGGGTCACGCCCGTCTTGCCCACGGCAGGCGTTTCGCTCAGGATGGGGGAGGTCGGGGAGGGCGGCCCCGATCCCACCGAACCGGGACGCAAGAACGAAGTGCTCTTCTTCGCCACCTGCTGCTTCTTGGCCTGAGCGAGCTGGCTCTCGAGGCTTCTGCGCCGAAAGGAGGAGGGCGAGAGATTCAGTACAAAACTCCCAAGGTAAGGAAGGAGGGAGAAATGGCTGGAGTACGCCAGTCCTAGGAGTCCAACACCCATCATTCCCAGCAAGTGCGAGCAGTTGTTGTGGATGATGGGGTTTGGAGTCCAGGGTTGCGGGGGAAGACCAGCGTCATCCGTTCAAAGGAGTGGTGGCTCCGCAGGGTCTCAAGTGGAAAGACTGCCCTCATCATTTGTGACTTTAGCCTTTTAGCTCATAGCTGTCAACTTACAGATTTCAAAATAAGGGGCCAGCAGCCTCGAAAATAAGGGATCAGCAGCCAAAATAAGGGATGATCACCCCGGCAAGTGTGAGTGGGCTGTCGATGACGTATCCATCCAATTCCGAGCACAGGTATGTTCGACTTCTGAGCCCCTCCGAGCCAAAGGCAGAAAGCCCAGCCAGCAGCCAAACGAAGCCTCAAGCGGTGGTTCCCACAGCGCAGCAACCCGGCAAAGGGGATGCAGCAAGGAAAACCACCGTCACCTCTCCGCTGGGAAGCGCTGAGCAAAGGCGAGTCCCCAGGCAAGGCAGCCGATTTGATCGGCACAAGGCATGCAAGCTCCACCCCCCAGTCGTTCTTAGACTCCTTATTGGGTGAGCAACGCAGCCAAGCAACACAGTTGGAGCCTCCCTCCTCCCTGGCCGGCAGGGAGGGAGGGAGAGGAGCTGCTTCCTTTGAAACCCGGGAAATTTAAGAGACATCATCAATAAGCAACAGCAGCGGGACACCGCGCTGGGATAAGGGAGTTTCCCGCCAAATAAGTGATGGTTGACAGCTATACTTTTAGCTGAACACACCAAACCCAAGACTGCCGGCCTGCAGACCTTGGAGCGATGCCACTTTGCCCGCCGGCGAACGGAGCAAGCGATAACCCTCCCAGGCTCCCCATCGGGGGAGCAATCCTCAGCGACTTACTCCACGTCAATGAACTGGGGCGAAACCGGCTGGGACATCACAACAGGCATTGGCGGAGGAGGTTCCACGGGCTTGAACTGTGAGCTGGTCCCTGTTAAGTCGTGCGTGTACTGGACGACCGGCCCTTTGCTCCGGACGGCCCCTGGATAGAGAGAGAGAGAGAGAGAAGGAAACGTTTAGGACAGGAGAGGAGCTTGGAGACAGAGGCGGGCAACTCGATTTCACACAGCTGTGTCCCAAAATGTGGGTCCATGCTCGTTATATTCTTTTTCTGGTTTGGCTGCAAATTGCTTCGGGGAAGGGATGCACAAATTTAACGAACTTTAAGGACACCCTTCCCCTTGTGTTATCTCCCCCTCCTCATTCCTGACAATGTGGGTCATGGGCAATTCTCTGAATGGCGCTCAGAAAGACAGGAGGTGGATGGCTTTACCGACGTTCGGGCGAGTCCTCATTTGCCCTCCTTGCTTTTTCTCCAGGGTGGAAGCGGTGGAGGTCTTCATGCTGAACATCGGCTCCAGGCGGGTGGATCCCCGGTAGATCCATTCACAGCGCTTGTCGTCCTGGCCGTGTGGGGAGAGCAAAAAGGCAGCGTGGCTCAGTTCCGTCAGGGAGGGTCAGGGGACTAATGCACACATACAACTTTAGCACTCTTGGTCACGCTGGGCTTCTGGTGCCGTACACCCTCCTGTCCTGCAGGGGGAGTGTGTCAACACACACACACACAGAAGCCCAGTGGTACAGCAGTAATCTTATGGTCACACTGGACTTCCTGTGCTATGTACCCTCCTGACCTGTAGGGGGAGGTATTTACACACCTGCCCCAGCACCCATCTCTTGGTCACACTGGGCTTCTGGTGCGCTACATCCTACTGTCCTGCAGGGGGAGTGTGTCAAAACACACACACACACCAGAAGTCCAGTGGTACAGCACTAATCTTTTGGTCACACTGGACTTCCTGTGCTATGTACCCTCCTGACCTGTAGGGGGAAGTATGTACACAAACACCCGCCCCAGCATCCATCTCTTGGTCACGCTGGACTTCTGGTGCGCTACATCCTACTGTCCTGTAGGGGGAGTTTGTATATACACACACACACACCCAAAGGCCCAGCAGTTCAGCACTTGTCTCTTGCAATCGCTGGGCTCCTGCTGCTGTCTACCCCCCTGTCCTGTAGGGGAGAAGGCGCAACGAATCTCGCGTCCTGGGGAAGACGCGGAAAGGGCAGCGGACCCTCGTTGTATTCCGACAGAGAGATAATCCAAAGCAGGCAAGGAAGGGTGAGCGATACCTTAGCGGATCCTACCAGGAAGAGGATTTTGACCAGGCTCCCGTCCACTTCCTCCACGCGGGACTTCCACCAGGTCCCCTCCCACTCGGTTTTGATCAGCTGGCCGCTCTTGAGCAAGACCATCGGCCGGTTCGGGTACGCCGTGACGTACTCCTCAATGAAATCCCGGCACGAGATGTCTTCTATGTCCTCCCACGACTTCTTGACTGGTGGAAGGAAAACACACGGATTGCTTTTTTTTTTAAAAGGAAAGAATTAAAAAAAAAAAGGATTTTTTCCTGCACAGAACACTTTTCAAAATGCTTCTCTTGCCTTTCCAGCTTTATTATCCACACAAAGCAACTTATAAAAGGAGGCGCTCGCCTGGCACCATCATTGCATGTGGCAAAAAAACACTCCTTTTTCATCAGGCCTTTGGCTTTTCATTATCTATATGGCAAGGTTTCCCAAACTCGGTTCCCCAGACCTTTTTGGACTACAATTCCTTTTATCCCTCACCAGTGATCCTGCTAGGAATGATGACACACACACACACACACACACACGGTGGTACTTTGGTTTTCGAGCATCTTGGAAGCTGAACGTTTCGGTTTTCGAATGCCGAAAACCCAGAAGTAAATGCTTCCGCTGCATGTTTTCCAATTTTCTCAATTGAAATTGCTGACTGCCCTTTGCGCCTTGGTTGTCAAATGTTTAGGAAGTCAACAGTCTTCCGGAACAGATTATGTTCGACAACCGAGGCATCACTGTATATATATGGGTGCAGTGCCTTTTTTCTAAAAAAATGTTTAGGGGTACTCTCATTTTCCTATTCATATTGAAATACTGCCCCTCAATGAGGCCAAATTTAAGATTCACAAAATGTTTAGGGGTCTGCATCCCCCTGCGTTCTCCCCCTGAACAAAAAACACTGTATGGGTGGATACGTATACATATACATACAATATTTATACACACACACATATATATACATATACATTTATGCATACGTACATATATGTGTGTGTATGTGTGTATATATCTATATCTATATCTATATACACATATATATACACACACATACACACACACACACACATATATAAAATAATGCTGGTTTTAGTGTATGTGCTTGTTTTTTTGCTTAAACAGTTGTAAGGCGCTTTGAGCTGCCTAGCAAACCTTAGGGATGCAAAGCTGCTACCGTCTTTCCCTTACTGTAATGCTGCTGTTTCAGTTAACTGCCATCTCCCTCTACACACACGGTTTTTGTAAAAAGAAGAGGAAAGCCTCACACCCTCAGAAGGCAGAAGAGATACCCGTTTAGATAAATGAACGATCGGACTGAAACAAGCAAACTCACGAGGCCTGCAGATCAGGTAGAGCTCTGGCTGGACGACGTAGGAGGCGTAACCATCATCAAAGAAGATGAGGAACCTGGGAGGGAGGGAAGGCAGAGCCCAGTTAAACGGCAGGACTCAGTCCCAAGGATTCTAGCACAATCTCTTTTCTTTAATGCTTTAAACAGTTGTCTTCATCCATTTTTCTCTTACTGGTCATTTCATTGTTTTATTCCCTTTTGCAAACCACGTCCAAGTATTTTGCTGTTGCTGGTTTTGTTTTTTTGTTTACAGTCAAGTGATAGATGCATTTTTGGAAAGAAATAAGTGTTAGGGGAACAGGGTGCTCGCAAATCCTTCCATAACCAAAAAAACCACACACCCATACTGCTATGCAAGTTAAGACAAACCCCCTGGGAGATCTACCCCTGGCAATCCAGAGTGAACGTCTGCCCACTTCACAAGGTTAGGGTGAGTGACAGGGGTTCCCATTTGCACATTAACGCCTAGCCCAACCCTAGCTTAGCTTCTCTCTCTGTTCATAGCTGTCAAGTGTCCCTTATTTGGCGGGACAGTCCCTTATCCCAGCGCCATGGCCCGCTGCTGTCCCTTATTGATGATGTCCCTTAAATAAGCTACTGAAGGTAATGGGGCCCTTTCTATGTCCAGCTGTCCTTTGTCAACAAAAAATTGTTGCTGTTTTTTTGTGTTGAATAGATGCTATATGGTGATTTATGGACCTAATAGGTATCTAAAGCCATTTGCATGCAACAAAATATGTATTTTTCCAAATTAATTGTTGATCCCTTATTTTGGCTGCTGATCCCTTATTTTCGAGGCAGCTGCTCCCTTATTTTCAAATCTGTAAGTTGACAGCTATGTCTCTGTTCCTTGCAGAATCTCCCTAGGCCTGATTCCACTCTCCAAGTAATTCTGCCTGCCTGGAAATGTGTCCTTGAAGTCTGTGTCGCTCGCTTCTCTGGATGCAGGCCAGAAGGTGTGTGAGTGTGTACAGTCTTACCTTGGTTTTCGAACGCCTTGTGACTCAGACGTTTTGGCTCCTGAACGCCGCAAACCTGGAAGTGAGTGTTCCAGTTCGCGAACGTTCTTTGGAACCCGAATGTCCGACACAGCTTCTGATTGGCTGCAGGAAGCTTCCTGCAGCCAATCGGAAGCCGCGCATTGGTTTTTGAACTTTTCCAGAAGTCGAACGGATTCTGTCTGAGAACCAAGGTACGACTGTATTATCTATTTCATTTATTTCATAATTTTTTTTAGACTGCTTGACTGTAAAAATCAAGCAAATCTCGAAGTGGTTTGCAAAAGAGATAAAGCAATAAAAATTTTCAGTAAGGAAAATTAACAGCAATCATTTAAGACTGAAAACGGGTTAAAACTTGCATCAAACTTTCTAAACATCAGGGCTGGCTTGTCTGAACAAACATGTTTTTAGCAGGCGCCGAAAAGGAGCACAAGGAAAGCGCCTGCCTGCTGTCAACCGGCAGGGAGTTTCAAAGTGTAGGAACTAGTCTATCGTGCAAAAAAAGTAAAATTGGAGATACATTGCTCCGCCCACTTATTTACATTGGTCTGCCTACTAATGAAAATCTACATTCCACTTGACTGTAATGAAACCTCAGAGCTGTTTTTTACGCAAAAATAAGGCAAAGTAGGGGATTAAAAATCAACAATAAAAATTCAGTTAAAAGCCAGTCACCGAAACATTCAACAGCAAACTTTAAAAAAAACAACTGAGAACTTTTACGTGTCTGGAGAGGCTGGCCTGAACAAAGATGTTTTCTGCAGTTGCCTCTGTCCCCTCCCAATGCCCTGCCATGCGGCCCCCACAAAACTGCCCAGAGGGGAATGTGGCCCTTGGGCTTAAAGGAAAAAGTTCTCCGCTGTTGCTAGCCTGTCTCCCGCTTTGGTCCTGCTTCTCTAAATGAATACAGTCAAACCTCGGGATGAATACGCTTCGGGTTAAGCATTTTCAGGTTGCGCTCCGCAGCGACCCGGAAGTAACAGAGCGCATTACTTCCGGGTTTCGCCGCGCGCGCATGCACAACCGTCAAAATGACGTCACGCGCATGCGCAGAAGCGCCGAAATGTGACCCGCGCACGCGCAGACACGGGTTACGTTTGCTTCGGGATGCGAACAGGGCTCCGGAACGGATCCCGTTCGCATCCCGAGGTACCACTGTATATCCGAAGCAATGATGCACATTCATGTGTTAACTGGCCGGGAAAGAACTGCAATGGTTTCTTGACAATAAAAAGGAAAAGGTAACCCGCTCTGACGCGCCCACCCCTCAGACCTCATCTTGTTCTTGACGTTGGGTGTCTCGGCCACGATCCCCGCGTAGAGCCACATCTGGTTGCCGTCCTTGTACTTAGCCACCACCCGGCTCCCGACATGGAGCTTGTCGGCCGAAGGATGGTAGTCGTAGGCGATGTGGTTCCCCGAGAGAAGGCTCTTCCCTTTGTTGTCGAACTTCACCTTGTATTTCTTCCCAGGGCCTGGGAGAGGGCGAAAGGGGAGGGGCGGTGGCTGAAAAATGGGGCGACCCTGGCTCGCAACTTTACAATATGGTATCTTTATTGTCATTATCCCACACAGAACAATGAAATTGAAAAATCTACATAAAAACTCTGAAACCCCTAAAAACTCTGAAACCCCATTTTAAAATACAATATACAGTACTCCTATAGAGACCCCTTATACTGCGTTTAAAACCAGAATTGCATTTGGGTAGAAACTGTTTCTCAGGCGGCTAGTCCTGGTCTTTATAACCCTGTACCTTCTTCCAGAAGGCAGAAGCTGAAAGGGATCATTTCTGGGGTGCGCACTATCCTGCGCTATCTCTGCAGCTTTCTTATGACACCTGGAAGCATAGATTTGATCCAAGGTGGGAAGAGTGCACCCAATTATTCTCTCTGCAGTCTTTACAATCCTGGACAGCATTGTTTTTCCCCTGACCGTGCAGCTCCCAACTTTTTTCCATTCCAGCCGGTCATTACAAATAGGGGTCAATTTTTAACCTAAGCTTTTTTGTGGGGCAAGAGTATTAGAAGTGATGTGGCAGTTATTGGGGGGCGCAAGATCCTTTGCTATTCAAGTAGACAGACCCCTAGATGGCTCTCTTCCCCCCAAACCCCTCGCTTCTTTCCTTATTTCTTATTAAATAACAGCTCTCGGTTATTTAAAAATGCAACCTCAAAGCCGTTTACAAAAACAGATGGCATGGGATTAGCAATAAGAAAAGTTAACAGCGATAATTAAAGACTTCCAAAAAGACTAAAAACAGATTAAAACGTGCACATCAGATTTCTAAACTTCTGGGTAGGCTTGTCTAAACAAGGATGCTCGCTGAAGAGAGTAGATAAAAAGGTAAAGGTAAAGGGACCCCTGACCATTAGGTCCAGTTGTGGCCAACTCTGGGGTTGCGGCGCTCATCTCGCTTTACTGGCCGAGGGAGATGGTGTACAGCTTCCGGGTCGTGTGGCCAGCATGACTAAGCCGCTTCTGGCGAACCAGAGCAGCGCACGGAAACGCCATTTACCTTCCCACCGGAGTGGTACCTATTTATCTACTGGAACTTTGACGTGCTTTCGAACTGCTAGGTTGGCAGGAGCTGGGACTGAGGAACATGAGCTCACCCCGTCGCGGGGATTTGAACCACCGACCTTCTGATTGGCAAGCCCTAGGCTCTGTGGTTTAACCCACAGCGCCACCCGCATCCCAAACTTCAGGCTAGGCTTGTCTAAACAAGGATGCTTGCTGAAGAGAGTAGATAGAAAGCATCAAAAGGCTGGGCGTTCCAAAGTATAGTTGCTGCTGCCCTAAAAAGATCGAGATTGCAGAAGGGCATTATGTGGTTCCCGTAGCAGCGCTTGTCCTGCCAATCCTTGGTCAATCCTGACAGCTGGGCAGAGCCACCCACCTGTCAATCATCTGGCCTTTTTTTGTTTGCCACCTTAACGGTTTTCAGAACACCCTCTCCAATTGCTGTTTCGCCCTGCGTTTTGAAGAGAGGAGCTTCTGCAGATCCGACAGTCAGCTGATCAGCAGTGCCCCCAAACACCGTCTCAGGCAAGCCTCACCAACACCTGCCCGCCTCACCTGTAGTTACCGTATTTTCCGCTCTATAGGACACACCCAACCATAGGACGCACCTTGTTTTAGAGGGGGAGAACAAGAAAAAAAATTCTCCCCCTCTCTGCTCAGCGCCCCTTCAGCGAAGCAGCAGGAGAAACGGAGCCCCTTCCATTTCTCCTCCCGCTTGGCTGAAGGGGCGCTGCGCAGCTCTCCCTCTCTGCTGAAGCCAGGAGAGTCTTGCTCTCCCAGCTTCAGCCAAAGGAACCCGAGCACTCCAGGCGGCTATCGCTGAAGCCAAGGAGCCTGCATTCGCTCCATAGGACGCACACACATTTCCCCTTAATTTCTGGAGGGGAAAAAGTGCATCCTATAGAGCGAAAAATACGGTATATATTCCAGCTGAGATCAGGCAGGCCCACTCTCCCTGCTGAACTTTCGGTGCCTACTGAAGACCTTCCTAATATATCCCAGGAAACATTTTAACTGAATTCTGGTGTTACCGATTTCTGTTTCTGCAGCACATCCTCGCACATCGCTTAGTGGCGAGTGCACTTGAGTGGCAAGCTCTAAGTAAATAAAACAGTGCGATTCTTTGGGCAGCAGGCTGCCGCACTCACCCACAGTCTGGATGGCGATCAGGGTGCCCTTGTGCCAGGTCTTTGTCCGCTTCTTCCCCAGGACGCGGTCTCCGACGGACAGGTCTCCATCATGGGTGAGCTCGCAGCCAGGACTCACCTGCTGCGATCCTGCAAACAGGCAGAGGGGGAAGGATACATGAGAACCGTTTCCTTTAGACCCTCGTGCTCCAGATCCGTCACTGCTGTCATTATGGGATGCTCTGCCACACGACCTGGAGGTCTGCTCTGCGATAGTGTGGATCAGGGTCAAAAAGCCTCTACAGGATCTACAGTGGTACCTTGGAAGTCAAGTGGAATCCGTTCCGGAAGTCCCTTTGACTTCCAAAACGTTCAGAAACCAAAGAGCGGCTTCCGATTGGCTGAAGGAAGCTCCTGCAGCCAATCAGAAGCTGTGTCGGACATTCGGGTTCCAAAGAACGTTCGCAAACCAGAACACTCACTTCCGGGTTTGCAGCGTTCAGGAGCCAAAACGTTCGACTCGCAAGGTGCACAGGTTCCAAGGTACGACTGTATTTGCAATTTTGCAGGTCCTCACCCAGAAGCATCTTGTTCATGCTCACAGAACTGCCGACAGAACACTAGAGAATGTTAAGTGACTGCTTCTTCAAAATTATTATGTCTACCCTTGTCTCTGCAGCTATCCCTCTGAAATTTCTCAGGCTTCATTCAGTGCTCTCTGGAGGGATGACCTTGCTCCACTTCTGGCCAAAGATAAGAAAGTTGAAGGCAGATTGCGAGAGAGAGAGAGAGAAGTTACTGCCAGGAACTTGACAATAAACTGCTTGAGCATTTCTGGTTGTACCCCATTATTGTTTACTAAAAAAAATGCTGCTGTTTTATACCCAGATTGGCAGTTCTTCTATGCAACATTCCTCGTGAATTTGGATTCATGTCACCAATCGTAAGCAGAGCTGTATTATATTATGTGGTTTTGTATCTTGATTTTATTCTGTGAACCGCCCTGAGACCCCTGGGTATAGGGCGGTATATAAATTCAATCAATAACAATAACAGTAACCCTGCAGCCTACGAAGTGTCCCAGACTGAGGAGCCCCCCCCCCAAAGCCAAATCAGGATCTGAATCAAATCTTCTGGCCAGTATATGCCATGGATGCAAACCAATCGCAAGGTTCCCTTTAGCCACACACACACACTGGCAAGTGGACTCCAGAGGACTGACCCCCCCCCAGTGTACACAGATAAAAATATAGCCCTGAAAAATGTTAGCAGGCGGGCTGCAAGGCTGAAGCCAGCTCACATATTGGACCACTGATATTTTTTCGCGCACAACTACCCCTGTAAGAGTCCAGGCCGTCCTTTTTGTTCACAGCGTCCATGAATTTCTGAACATCCTGCGCAGACTTCCTCATGGCAGCCATGGCTTCCCGAAGCTGCAAACAGAAGGGACAGGCATCTCTTAATTACCTCCTTTTTAATTTTTTTCCGGGATCACAAAACGAGCACAGGACTCGAACCCGGAACACCAAGAGGTGAGCTTCTCTCGGCCCGCCATGCCATCTGGATGGTTGGCCATAGAGGGAGAACAGGAGGGCCCTTTTTGGACTAGCAGAGCTGAAGCGGACGGTGCTCTTGGGAGTCATAGAAACATGGAATTGTGGAGCTGGAAGGGGAGCCTGAGATTCATCTAATCCAGAGCTTTCCAAACTGTGTGTCACGACATGTTAAGTATGTTGGCTGCAGTGTGCATGCGTGTCACACGAACACTCCCTGCACTTCTCCTGGGGCTGGAAAGGCTCGGTTTAACCTCCAGTTTGCTAGTAAAACTGAATCACTGTGTCACGAAAATGCAAAACTGAATTACCGTATTTTTTGCTCTATAAGACTCACTTTTCCCCTCCTAAAAAGTAAGGGGAAATGTGTGTGCGTCTTATGGAGCGAATGCAGGCTGCGCGGCTATCACAGAAGCCAGAACGGCAAGAGGGATTGCTGCTTTCACTGCGCAGCGATCCCTCTTGCTGTTCTGGCTTCTGAGTTTCAGAATATTTTTTTTCTTGCTTTCCTCCTCCAAAAACTAGGTGTGTCTTGTGGTCTGGTGCGTCTTATAGAACGAAAAATACGGTGCCGTGTCGCAAAAGGGTGCAAACCTGAATTACTGTGTCACAGAATGACGCATGTCCAAAAAGTGTGCTACCAACTTGAGAAGTCTGGAAAGCTCTGATCTAGTCCAACCCCTTGCAATGCAGGAATACACAGCTATCTCCTACAAGGACCAAACCCGCAACCTTGGCATTATCAGCATCCTGCTCTAATCAACTGAGCCAGCAATGCCCTTGAAATGTGGCATAGTCACAGACATAGCTTGCTGCTCATGTTCAAGGTGACCCCCCCTTCCCCTGGCAATTTCCCCAGCCACCCAGCTAATTTTCCCTGCTCCCAGGCAGCAAATGGAAAAGCACGCAGTGGCAAGGAGTGCAAGCTGGTGGAAATCAGCACAGTAAGGTTCAACCAGTCATCAGACCCAGACACCTCCCCTTCGCACATGCCTCTCTCTTGAACAAAGGGGTGCTGAAACCTTCTGTTCCCAGGGCTGGGGCTCCAGGCCCTGAGGGCACCTGCTGAAGCTGGGCAGGATGAAGGAAAACATTTATCTATAAGATCTTGATACTCAAGTAATTTCCCACCACCCAAAAAACTCACCAATTTCTGATCCTTTGCCATTTTGTTACTTGCATCTGCTGTAATTAAAAAAAAAGTTTAGATGTAAAAAAACCCCTTACTTCTAGGAAGTATCTATAAGCCTGCCACCCGTTTCAGATGAGTTATAATCAATTACAGTTGTACCTCGGGTTAAGAACTTAATTTGTTCCGGAGGTCTTAACCTGAAACTGTTCTTAACCCGAGGTACCACTTTAGCTAATGAGGCCTCCCGCTACCACCACGCGGTTTCTGTTCTCATCCTGAAGCAAAGTTCTGAACCCGAGGTACTATTTCTGGGTTACAGGAGTTTGTAACCTGAAGCGTCTGTAACCTGAAGCATCTGTAACCCGAGGTACCACTGTATTGTGTGTGAGGGGGAATACGCACCCGATTGTTCTGTATACGTCCTCCACCCTCCCCATTCCATTTCCCTTTAGTGATGTGTTATTTACCGTATTTTTCGCCCTATAGGACGCACTTTTTCCCCTCCAAAAATGAAGGGGAAATGTGTGTGCGTCCTATGGGGTGAATGCAAGCTTTCGCTGAAGCCTGGAGAGCGAGAGGAGTCGGTGCGCACCGACCCCTCTCGCTCTCCAGGCTTCAGGAGAGCCCCACCGCCAGCCCCACAAGCTCGGGGGACAGCGGGGAGACGGAACGCCTCCATCCTGCTGTCTCCCGACGTACTTTGGAGGCTGGCGGCGGGGAGAAGCCTGCTTCTCCCCCCCGCCAGCCCTTCAAGCTGGGGGGACAGCGGGGAGGCGCAGCGCGCCCAGGCTTAGCTTCAGCCATGGGAGCCCGGCGCTGGGCTCCTACGGCTTGCGGAGAGCTGCATGTTCTGGGGGCTGGGGTCGGGGGAAGCTCGGGCTTCCCCCGTCCCAGCCCCGCGCCTGGGGGGGAAATATTTTTTTCCCCTTTATTCCCCCCCCAAAAAAATTAGGTGCGTCCTATGGGCCGGTGCGTCCTATAGGGCGAAAAAATACGGTACATTGTAAGCCTTGGGGCAGAGGATGTCTTTTTACCAATTGTTGCAAGCTGCTCTGGGAGCCTTTTTCGGCTGAATAGTGAACTAAAAATGCTTTGTTTATCTATGCATATATTGTTGCATCAAGAGACAGTGGAGTGTGCCTTTGTGGGTGAAGTCAAACCGCTACATTAGCAGCACCTAAGCCCCGGGGCAATGTCTCAGGAGGTCCTGGGCTGCTCAGATGACAAGCCCCCCCTCCTCAGCCTCGCTCATGGGGTCCAAAAGAAAGCAGAGCAATACGTTTGGCACCAGCTTGGCTGCAGGAGTTGCCAGGAGGAGGCGCACAAGGTGCCGTCCTACTGTCTCTGGACTTGTGTAGGGTTTACACCTTAGTCTTTTCTTCTCCCAAAGATATCCCGCAAGACAGCAGAGGTTTAGGATCAGAGTTTTCTTTCTCCTAGATGGGCTACCTTCCCAGGTTGGCGTACTCCACCTGCCCCTCACTTCTATATGCATATAAGACATCAGGAGACATCTCAGAGCCTTGGGTCCTCCAGATGCCGCTGAACTACAACTCCCATCATCCTTAGCCTTCCAAGCATAGCTAGGGCTAATGAGCGTCAGTAGTTCAGCAACAGTTGGAGGACCAAAGATCCCCCACACCTGGTCTTTCTTGCTTGACTCCACCAGGCGCCTAACCTGAATCGATGCTCATGACGTCATCGTCGTCGTCCTCATCAGGGATCTCGATGACTTCCATGGGCTTGGAAGCAGCATCCTCTTCCTCCGAGTCAGTCTCCAGATACTCCAGGCCCAGGTTGGCATATATGTCCTTGACTAGAACTTCACATTCACCCACAGCCCTGTTGGGGGAGCAAGCAGAGAGAGAGAGAGAGAGGGAGGAAGAAGAATTGGATTGGATATCCCGCTTTATCACTACCCTAAGGAGTCTCAAAGCGGCTAACATTCTCCTTCCTCCCCCACAACAAACACTCTGTGAGGTGAGTGGGGCTGAGAGAAGTCAGAGAAGTGTGACTGGCCCAAGGTCACCCAGCAGCTGCATGTGGAGGAGCGTAGATGCGAACCCGGTTCCCCAGATTACGAGTCTACTGCTCTTAACCACTATACCACACCGGAGAAATTGGTGTGTTGGAGTATCAGACTATAGTTTGCAAGACGAGGGTTCGAATCCTCACTCAGCCATGAAGCTCACTGGATGTGATCTGGGGTGAGTCACTGCCTCTCAGCCCAACCTACCTTACAGGATACATGATAAAGCTATTTTTAGCCATCTCACCCCTTGCTTTTTCCTGTAAGACCAATTCTAGCACGTGCTAGGAGGAAGGCACGCTTGGCAAATCCACACCATGATCAGCTCCTGCCCGGAAACCAATGTCCCCACTGTGGAAGGATGTGTGGATCCAGAATTGGCCTCCACAGTCACTTACGGACTCACGGTTAAAACCGAGTTAATGGAAGACAATCTTACTCGGCTATGAGGGATCGCCAAAGAAGAAGACGACCAACTGCAGTTGTTAACAGTCGTCAACAGGTTTACCACACCTATCAGCCAATCACCCATTCCCACCACCCTTCTGAGTAATACCCCTCCCCACCTTCTCACTATATATAAGGGTCTGGTGACTTCTTTTTCAGTGTATCTGAAAAAATGTGCATGCACACAAAATCTCATACCAATAACAAACTTAGTTGGTCTCTAAGGTGCTACTGGAAGGAATTTTTAAATTTTGTTTCGACTATGGCAGACCAACATGGCTACCTACCTGTAACTACCTTGCAGGGTTGCTGAGGGGATTCAATGAGATGGGGGAAAACTATGTACTCCACCTCAAGGTGAGATATAAATTCAATAAACAAACAAATAAGCTATTACGGGAGAACCAGCTTGTCAAGGAAACACAGAACCTTCTCTCACAAATGTTTTAGGTTTGTGGAGGTTTTCTGACCCTCTACTTTACTCCAAACCAAGATGCCCTCAAGGCGGCCTGCCACACACTTAAAACTAACACTCCAACTATGATCAAAAAGGCACCACAGAATCATAGCGGTGGAAGGGACCTGGGGATCGTCTGATCCAAAACCCTGCAATACAGGAATATGCTGCTGTCCATTATGGAGATCAGGCCTGCAACCTTGGCGTTATCAGCCCCATGCTCCAGCCAAATGACCTCCAACAAAACAACACCCTTGCCTGAAAACTAAGTTAAGAAAACATTGGCAACAGAGCAAAATAACAATTATTATTATTATTATTATTTATTATTTATACCCCGCCCATCTGGCTGGGCTTCTCCAGCCACTCTGGGCGGCTTCCAAAAAAATATTAAAATACTGTAATACATCAAACATTAAAAGCTTCCCTAAACAAGGCTGCCTTCAGATGTCTTCTAAAAGTCTGGTAGTTGTTGTTCTCTTTGACATCTGGTGGGAGGGCGTTCCACAGGGCGGGTGCCATCACCGAGAAGGCCCTCTGCCTGGTTCCTTGTAACTTGGCTTCTCACAGTGAGGGAACCGCCAGAAGGCCCTTGGCGCTGGACCTCAGTGTCCAGGCAGAATGATGGGGGTGAAGACGCTCCTTCAGGTCTACTGGACCGAGGCCGTTTAGGGCTTTCAAGGTGAACACCAACACTTTGAATTGTGCTCGGAAACGTCCTGGGAGCCAATGTAGGTCTTTCAAGACCGGTGTTATGTGGTCTCGGCAGCCGTCACCAGTCTAGCTGCCGCATTCTAGATTAGCTGTAGTTTCCGGGTCACCTTCAAGGGTAGCCCCACATAGAGCGCATTGCAGTAGTCCAAGCGGGAGATAACCAGAGCAAGCGCCACTCTGGCGAGACAGTCTGCGGGCAGATAGGGTCTCAGCCTACGTACCAGATGGAACTGATAAACAGCTGCCCTGGATACAGGGCACAATAGGAAACAAAAACTCAAGAAAACGATGAGCATAAAATGGGGGGAGAAAATGGGACTCCAGCTCCCCTCAGCATGGCCAAAAGTCAGGAATGCTGGGAGCTGCAACTGAGCAACATCTGGCGGGCCAGATGTTAGCCATTCCTGCTTCAGAGACTGTCCTATACAGGAGGGTCAAGTATTCACCTGCAGAAGCTTTACACAGGAAATGCAAACATTTTGTAGCAATCGAACCAAACCTAAAATGGGGGGACGCTTTCACGCCTCCACACCCCGGCTTGCAACTTACTTCACAGCGTTGTCCAGGAGAATGTCCACACGGGCCACTTCATCCTCCTTCTGCTTCACGGTCTCCGCCACGCCCTCCAGCTGCTTCTTCCGCTGCGCGATGCGCTCCGACTTCTCCAGCTCCTCGTCGATCAGCTGCTTGAGATCCTCCAGGGAGATCCCGAGCTCCTCCAAGACCTCTCGCTGCAGCTCCATCTCTGGGGACTCTGCCATCATGGCAGAAACTGAGGTTGTGCGAAAGAAGGAAGCGTTCAGACGTGGGCACCCAAAACATTGTTCAGCCCTTCCCCTCCTCTTCCCTACATTGTTCCCAGAAGCATTCAGTTTAAAACACTGCCAACCATCTGAAGAGAAAAGCATGTATGTTTATATCTAATAAACTCATATAGGTTGCTTCTCGGGCAAATGGTGCCTCCTGAAGGCGTTTATGAACTATAAACCAGCCATACACAATGAAACCAGGCCAAATGGAATCTCATTGACTTATTTCGAACGGTATGTAAAGCCATCACAAACCAAACTACTGTAACTCAACCTGCTGGCATCAGGCTATGTGAAGCTTCTGTGTGTGTATGTTGTATCTCCTCTCCTGACCCAATCAGGCAGTGAGAATGTCAGAAGAGCCAGGCTGCTGGACCAGGACAAAACCCCAGCAAGTCCAGCATCCTATTCGCACAGCAGCCAACTTACCGTATTTTTCGCTCTATAAGACGCACCAGGCCACAAGACACACCTAGTTTTTGGAGGAGGAAAACAAGAAAAAAAATATTCTGAATATCAGAAGCCAGAACAGCAAGAGGGATCGCTGCGCAGTGAAAGCAGCGATCCCTCTTGCTCTTCTGGCTTCTGGGATAGCTGCGCAGCCTGCATTCGCTCCATAAGACGAACACACATTTCCCCTTACTTTTAGGAGGGAAAAAGTGAATCTTATAGAGCAAAAAATACGGTAATTCCTCTGGGAACCCAGCAAGCAGAGCCTTAGGACAAGAACACTCTCCCCACTTGCAATTCCCAACCACTGGTATTCAGAAGCATACTGCCTGCGACAATGGAGTGAAGCACAGCCGCTGTAGCTAGTAGCTACGGATAACCTTATTCGGCATGAATTTGTCCCATTCACTTTTCAAGCCATCCAAGCTGGCAGTCATCACTCCTTGTGTGCTTCTTCACAGTTGGGGAACAAAATCGCTTTCCATAGCATTCTCCATTGTCTGTTTAACATAGCTTTAACATATTTATTTATTTATACCTGAAGGAGCATCTCCACCCCCATCGTTCTGCCCGGACACTGAGGTCCAGCACTGAGGGCCTTCTGGCGGTTCCCTCACTGCGAGAAGCGAACTTACAGGGAACCAGGCTGAAGGCCTTCTCAGTAGTGGCACCCACCCTGTGGAACACCCTCCCACCAGATGTCAAAGAGAAAAACAACTAGCAGACTTTTAGAAGACATCTGAAGGCAGCCCTGTTTAGGGAAGCTTTTAATGTTTAACAGACCATTGTATTTTAATATTTTGTTGGAAGCCGCCCAGAGTGGCTGGGGAAACCCAGCCAGATGGGCAGGGTATAAATAATAAATTATTATTACAGTGGTACCTCGGGTTAAGGACTTAATTCGTTCTGGAGATCTGTTCTTAACCTGAAACTGTTCTTAACGTGAAGCACCACTTTAGCTAATGGGGCCTCCCGCTGCGGCTGCGCCGCAGGAGCACAATTTCTGTTCTCATCCTGAAGCAAAGTTCTTAACCCGAGGTAATATTTCTGGGTTAGCGGAGTCTGTACGCTAAAGCGTATGTAACCTGAAGCGTATGTAACCCAAGGTACCACTGTAGTATTATTATTATTATTACCTCTTGTGGAATCAAATTCCATAGTTTCTCTTTGTGAAAAAGTCCTTTCTTTTCACAGGAGATAATAATTCCCACCAACCTGGATGGATTTAAAAAAAGAGGACTGGGCAAATTTGCGGAGGAAGAGAGGTCTATCAATGGCTACTAGCCATGACGGCTGTGCTCTACCACCAGTCGGAGGCAGAAATGCTTCTGAATACAATTTGCGGGAAACCACTGAAGAGGAAACGGGCTTCCTGGTTTCCCACAGGCATCTGGTTGGACACTGTGAGAACAGGATGCTGGACTAGATGGGTCAAAGGCCTTCTTATGTTCCCAAATAACTGAAGTTTAAAACCAGAAAATATTTAAAACAATTACCTACATAGAACGCTTATCCTGGAAAATATTAATGACATTAATAGACCCATGTATCCCTCAAACACAACCCCCTGTTCTCTTTAGGGGATCACATCCCTTTGGAACAGCTCACACTCTTGCCCCCCCACTAAGGGATCCAAGTATTCTCCACATTCAAGCTCCATGTCTCTTCCAGCTATTCACATTCTGATGCAGGAAGCTTTCCTACCTGGGAAGTTCCTCTGCTCTAAGAGTATCAAAATTAAAAGTCACAAATTTAAAAGACGCCTGCTTCCTGGGAGAAAAGCAATGACAAACCTAGACAGCATCCTAAAAAGCAGAGACATCACCTTGCCAACAAAGGTCCGTATAGTTAAAGCTATGGTTTTCCCAGTAGTGATGTATGGAAGTGAGAGCTGGACCATCAAGAAGGCTGATCGCCGGAGAATGGATGCTTTTGAATTCTGGTGCTGGAGGAGACTCTTGAGAGTCCCATGGACTGCAAGAAGATCCAACCTCTCCATTCTTAAGGAAATCAGCCCTGAGTGCTCACTGGAAGGACAGATCCTGAAGCTGAGGCTCCAATACTTTGGCCACCTCCTGAGAAGAGAAGACTCCCTGGAAAAGACCCTGATGCTGGGAAAGATGGAGGGCACAAGGAGAAGGGGACGGCAGAGGACAAGATGGTGGGACAGTGTTCTCGAAGCTAACATGAGTTTGACCAAAATGCGGGAGGCAGTGGAAGACAGGAGTGCCTGGCATGCTCTGGTCCAGGGGGTCACGAAGAGGCGGACACGACTAAACGACAACAACAAGAGTAATGGTCCCCTGGGTTGGCCCTTTCCTACCTAACCCCCAATTCCACCTACTCTTAACCCCCACATGCCATTTAGCCCTAAACAGATGCAACCATCTTGCCCCAGCAATACACCCTCTAAGAAAGATGCACAACCCCTCTCTCATTCAGCCGCCCTCTTTCGCACACAAACACCCCAGTACCCATGCCTCCAAAAGAGACACCCGCTCCCACCCAGTGGTCCACCATCCCTTCTCAAATCCGGCCTCTCTCTAAACCCCTTTGGCTTTTGATAGCATGCCAACGTCTTTCCCCAACAACCTACACCTCTTAAAGAAGGGGCCCCCAAGTCAAGCCCTCTCCACAATTTGTAGCCCCCACAAACCCCCAAGTTCAGTCTGTCCCACTCACTTTTGAAGGCCTGCACCAGTCTCACCATTCAAGACCCCCACCCCCAAATTCACCCCCCAATCTGCAGCCCCCACCCCAAATCCTGCCCCCTACCAACCTTTGAAGGCCTGCACCAGTCTCACCATTCAGGGCCCCCCCAATTCAGCCCCTTCCAACTCACCCCCCCATAATAAAATCCCTCCCCTTGCCTGACAGACAGGCCCCTCTCCCCCCTTTGTAGCCCACCCCCACGTTCAGTCTGTCCCACTCACTTTTGAAGGGATCTCCCAGTCTCACCATTCAAGACCCTCCACCCCCAAATTCACCCCCAATCTGCAGCCCCCACCCCAAATCCTGCCCCCTGCCCACCTTTGAAGGCCTGCACCAGTCTTAACATTCAGCCCCCCGAATTCACCCCCTTCCTACTCACTCCCCCCCAATAAAGTCCCTCCCCTTGCCTGACACAGGCCCCTCCCACCTTTGTAGCCCCCCCACACACCCCCAAGTTCAGTCTGTCCCACTCACTTTTGAGGGCATGCCTCAGTCTCCCCATTCAAGACTCCCCCCACCCCCAAATTCACCCCCCAATCTGCAGCCCCCACCCCAAATCCTGCCCCCTGCCCACCTTTGAAGACCTACCCCAGTCTTAACATTCAGGGTCCCCCCAATTCTGCTCCCCCAATTCAGCCCCTTCCTACTCACTCCCCGCAATAATAAAGTCCCTCCCCTTGCCTGACAGACAGGCCCCTCCCCCCTTTGTAGCCCCCCTTCCCAAAGCTCCAGCCCCCCCATACCTACCTCTCCCCCTCCCCCTCCGTGGGGCCAAAGAAAAGGGGGGAATTATTTTCCCTGGAACCAACTCAGCCTCTAGGAGAGGCCACTTTAGGAAGGACCGGAAGCCCGCTCAACGTGCTTCCGGGGGCGGGGCCACGTCGCATAGCCCGAGGCTATTTCTTTTAGGCCACACCCACCGAGCGGCCGACGAGCAGCTGTGCGCATGCGTCGCTGGAAGGCGGTTGCGGGGAGGAGATCGCGAGGAAGCGGCTGGGAAGCTTCTCGCGACTACGCATGCGCCTCAGGAAAGAGGCCCCGCCGCGGTTTGGCCTCAGCGCGCATGCGCGGCGCGGGAGGAAGACGGCTTCGGATTCTCAATTGGGAAGCAGGAGGCGGAAATGCGCATGCGCCGTAGGGTTGTATTTCTTTTTTCTTTTAAAGGGCCTGTGGCCTATTTTTCCCACTTCAACTCTTAACTGGGATTTGTGCAACTTTTATTTAAAAAATAAAATCCATCGACCCAATCCCGTTATGATGATGATGATTTAACCGCCCCCCACCCTCCTTTTCTCCAGGTATCTCAAGATGCAAAAAATGAACAGGAAAACATAAATGACTCGAGAGTCAAGAAGTGTGACTTTTTAGGTAGGAATTTAATTTTATTTTAACATAATCAGGTTTGTTTTCGGTGGGTGGGTGAGGTAGATATGAATATACATGCGAGCAGTTTCACACCAAGAGGGAAGCTGTAAATCTGCGGGTGAAGGGCGGTATACAAGTTGAATGAATGAATGAATGAAAACCCTTCATGACCAGCAGTCAAAATAATAATTTTCTTCCAAGAGAACCGATAAATGTCCGCTGAAGCTCTCCATTCATTCTGCTACACTTTTCACAGCATGAAAGTAGCTTTTCTCACAGCACAAGGCGCAGCAAGTTTACTCCAAAGGAAACAAGCATCGTTTCACTTTCCAAGGGTCGTGGGAACTGCAGTGAGGGGCTGCCTTGGATAACATCAGGGCACTTTTACAGCACAGTGTCGGAGGCCTTGAACTCTGCGCTCGGCATGGATTTGTATCTCAGCCTTCAACCTGGCGCCCTCGAGGTGTTTTGTACTACAACTCCCATCAGCCCACCCAGATAGCATGGCTGTTTTGAACCACAACTCCCAGGAAACAGGGCTGTGCTGGGGGGTGTCTGGCTTGCTATAAGGCAGCATTCCGTGTTCCCATTAAATCAGCCCTTTATTCAGAATCATGAGGACTGGAATCTTCCTTTATATTTCAGGAACCGTCACTCCAGGTAGAGCACTTGCTTGGCAAGCAGAAGGTCCCAAAGAATCTAGGAATCTAGATAGACTGCCTCTGGACCTGGAGGTTCCCCCGAAGAACATAAGAAGAGCTGAATATTGTTCTCATATTGGCCAACCAGGTGCCTGTGGCAAACTCACAAACAGGACCTGAGCATAACAGCACCCTTTCCCCTGTAGTTTCCAGCAACTGGGACTTGCGGCTCATAGCCATTGATAACCTTATCATTCATGAATTTGCCCAGTCTCACCAGGTTGGCAAAGGCTGCCATATATTCTCACCACCATCCTCAAAAGGACCAAAACCGTTTCCAAACATTTCAATGAGACTTTAAAGTGGAAATCTTCCTCCAAGGCTGCATGCGTATCAAAACTATTTTTCAACTGTTTATACGTTTAGAATAGTTTTTTTTAATAGTTTTACAACACAACGGCTTTTAATTGTTTTCATATCCATGAAAGTGGAACTGTTTTATTCCCTACAGATTCTTGGAGGACAGTCCTGGAGTGGCTCTTCCTCTCTTGCAAGTAGGTTTTACGATTTTACAATGGTACCTCGGGTTATGAACTTAATTCATTCCGGAGGTCCGTTCTTAACCCGAAACTGTTCTTAACCTGGTACCAGTTTAGCTAATGGGGGCTCCTGCTGCTGCCGCTGCCGCGCGATTTTTGTTCTCAACCTGAGGTACTACTTCCAGGTTAGCAGAGTCTGTAACCCGAAGTATTTGTAACCTGAACTGTTTGTAACCTGAGGTACCACTGTATACTGTTTTACAATTGTATACAGTGGTACTTCGGGTTACGTACGCTTCAGGTTACATACGCTTCAGGTTACAGACTTCGCTAACCCAGAAATAGTGCTTCAGGTTAAGAACTTTGCTTCAGGATGAGAACAGAAATCAGGCTCCAGCGGCAGCAGGAGGCCCCATTAGCTAAAGCGGTGCTTCAGGTTAAGAACAGTTTCAGGTTAAGAACGGACCTCCGGAATGAATTAAGTACTTAACCTGAGGTACCACTGTATTTGATTGCAACCCATGCTGGGAATCTGTCCAGGAACCAAATCAGCCAGAGGGCAGATCCACACTGTACATTTAAAGTACACTCAATGCACATTTTTTAAAAAACCATGAATTCCTCCAAAGGATCCTGGGAACTATAGTTTGTTCAGGGGGCTGGAAATTGTAGCTCTGAGAGGAGGAAGAATGGCAGTTTTCTAGAATTCTTTGGGAAAGTCGTGCTTTAAATGTCTGGCGTGGATCTGACGTCAGACAATGCATGTTGTCCTGAGCTTTCCATTGCTTCATGGAACAGAGGAGAACTACTATGAGAATCATGGAATCAAAGGATCATAGAGTTGGAAGGAATCCAGATGGTCCAGTCCAGCAGTGGAGCAACCAAGAGTAAGGATCAATACTGTTAAGCATTTGCTTTCCTTCCACCCTCATTTTCCACCTCCACCTTGTCTCTCCCCATCATGGGCGCTGCTGCGTGCTGCTGGACGCTGTCAGTCAAGCTGCTCCTCCTCCCAAGTCGAGGTGGGGATGGCGGTGTAGGGGTCCACGATGAGCTTTGCACAGCGCACCATCATGAGCATCAGGAAGAAGCACATGAGCGAGAGGAAGCCGATGCAGATCCCCTTGTCCACATCCACGAAGGTCTCTGGCGTGGGATTCTCCATGGGGCCGGCGTGGCAGCCTGCTTCTCAGCAGCCGGGTGAAAGCATGTCTGCTCACCTGTGGGGAGAGAGAGGCAGGATGGTGTGGGGCCATCTGGGTTCAGACCCCCGGCCGTACATTTGGGGGGGGGGTCATAGAATTGTAGAGTTCCAACCCCTTGCAATGCAGGAATCTTTTGCTAAGTGTGGGGCTCAAACCCATGACCCTGAAATTAAGAATCTCTACCCACTGAGTTAGGGACATGGGTGGCGCTGTGGTCTTAACCATGGAGCCTCTTGGGCTTGCCGATCGGATGGTCGGTGGTTCGAATCCCCGCAAGGGGTGAGCTCCCGTTGCTCGGTCCCTGCTCCTGCCAACCGAGCAGTTCGAAAGCACGTCAAAGTGCAAGTAGATAAATAGGTACCACTCCGGCGGGAAGGTAGACGGTGTTTCCGTGCGCTGCTCTGGTTCGCCAGAAGCGGCTTAGTCCTTTCCCCAGCATCTTAAACCTGATCCTGTACTCCACCGGGAGCCAGTGCAGCTGGTAGAGCACCGGGTGAATGTGATCCCGCGGCGAGGACCCCGTAAGGAGTCTCACCACAGCATTCTGCACCCGCTGGAGTTTCTGGGTCAGTCTCAAGGGCAGCCCCACGTAGAGCGAGTTACAATAATCAAGTCTGGAGGTGACCGTCACATGGATCACAGTGGCGAGGTCAAACAAAAGACACTGCAGATGCAGGGGAGACAGAGAAGTGGTACGAAGTCAACCGGATTTGGCTCCTACCGTACGTTTGGAATCTGACGACACAGAGACGTCCCTTGTAAGTTGGCAAAATATCTGCTGGTTATCCTCCGCAGCTGGTCTTAACCACTGGGCAGCTCCAGATCCCCTCTGCTGTAGCCCAAAGATATCATGAATACTTCATCAAGTTGGGGTGGCATCACGTTTCAAACGCTCCCGGTAATGAGAGCGACATGATCCCTCACCCATTAAATTGTACCCACAGTCACTCAGCCAGCATATCTTTCCATGTGGGGTTTCTTTTCCTGTACAGTGCAGTACCTTGGTTCTCAAACTTAATCCGTTCCGGAAGTCTGTTCCAAAACCAAGGTGTGCTTACCCATAGAGAGTAATGCAAAATGGATTAATCAGTTCCAGACTTTTAAAAACAACACCCAAAACAGCAATTTAACATGAATTTTACCATCTAACGGGACCATTGATCCATAAAAGGAAAGCAATAAACAATGTACTGCCAATCAGTCAATCAATCAGTAGCTGAACTGGGTTCCACACAGTCACAAAAACAAAACAAAAAGAGCCGCAAAAACAGAAACACAAAATAAATAGCAAAAACAGACAGACCTCAGCGTAACACTCGAAACGGAAGCGTGGCACCCAAAACGGAGCACGTTCGGCTTCCAAAAAAAAGTTCGCAAACCAGAACGCTTACTTCCAGGTTTGCAGTGTTTGGGTTCGAAGTTGTTTGAGTAGCAAGGCGTTTGAGAACCAAGGTACCACTGTATGGGCGAAGGGGACAGCTGAGGAACAGGCCAGGTTCCGGCCCCACCACCCTGCTCGAGGGTCCTGCATCACGGGGGGTTGGGCTAGATGACCCTTGGGGTCCCATTGAAATAAAAAACTAAGGTCTTATATATATAATAAATGTTCGTGGATTTCCCAAGCAAACACGTACATAAATGTATGGGCCACATGTCTGAGGCAGCACAGGAGGGCAGTCCTGGAGCCATTTTGGCTTCCAAACTAACCAAATGTTTTCTCTGCAAGGTCGAAGGAAAAGGGAAAAGCCTCCCCACTGTCTTTTCATTCACAAATCCTGTCTTAAGGGTATGTCTGTATGAATAGGGTGAGCCTGTGACCTGGCTCAGGAACTAAGTATTTGTCACTACAAAAGACTGGCCAGGCTCCCCAGGGTATCCAATCAAGTGAGCATTAAGAGGTAACCTGCCAGACAGGAGATAAATGACAGGAGATAAGCAACGCGCTCAGATTTCTGCTGTAGACCGCCCTTTCTGTGATGTATGTATGATGTATCTGGGGGTGGTCTTGGACTCCAGGGCGGGCAATTTAAAATGTCTATATAAGGGCGGGCACACCTTGGTTCTGGGTCCTCCTTCTCCTTTCCCGTGTGCAAGGGGAGCACCCTGTTGCAACAGTTCAATAACGATCAGGCTTACCATCTGCTTTGCTTCTCAATAGTCTCTGGTTGGCCTCTGTTATTTTCTCTGACTGATGGAGAACCTACAAAGGACTCTATAAGGGCTCTTGTGTTCCCCATAAGGGAATAAGGGAAGATTTTCATTTATTTCAGAGTCCAACTCTACAGTTCTGTGCTTCTGTCAGCATCATGAGGAGCCAGGCACAGCCTTGAAGGTGAAGGTGTCCATTTCCATTTCCATGGTAAAAATGGAAAAATTAAAGGTTAGACTGTTAAGATAAATTATAGAACAAAAATTGAGAAAGATGGAAAGAATTTGCTGAAATAGTTAACTGAACTAGAATACAAAAAGGGAGGTGTGAGGAGGTCGATGAAACAGGTAAATGAAAGGTAAAGATAAGGAATATTGGATGTGTTTTTGAATGTTTTCTGTTTTTAAATGTTTTTTTTGTTTGTTTTTATTGTTGTGCTGCATTGTTTTCTTTTTAATCTGGTTTTTATTTTATTTTGATGTAATGTATTGTAATTTTTTACTGTTTTCTTTTAATAAATAAAACTTTTAATAAATATTTTTTAAAAAAAAGAAGGTGAAGGTGTCATTAAGATCAAGGGTGGGGAATCTTTTTTTGCAGGGCGAGGGCAGCATCCTCCTCTGACCAGAAACTTTCTGGGTGGAGCGAAAGGTGTGTATACAGAAGGCTACCTTAGTGTCACATGAAAGTCACAGGTTTCTCTCTGCTCAGGTGAGGAAGAAGCATTGCCACACTTCCAAGGACACATTCTGGACAGGCCAAAAGTGCTGTAGGAGGGTGCAAAGCCAAAAATGGGTTTGGCCTGGAAAGAGTCTCAGAGCAGAGAAAGCCCAGCCCTGAAGTTCCAGTTCCCTGATTCAAATGACATAGCCTCTAAACATGTGCAGAGTGCATTCGGAGCAGGACTGAGGACTTGCTGATGCAACCAAGACTCAGAGGGTTGTTATTCTAAGCACGCTGGCTTAAGATAACCACTCCTTTGAGGTTGGCTCCGGTGTCATGCTTGTCCCTGTGTACCAGAACTCACTGCAGTGAAAAGGACTGGCAGTAGGAGCAGGACAGATCAGAGAATGGAACCTCTGTGTGATTGCACCTACATTTCATCCAAGCTAGTGCCTACAGGTTAGGGACATGGGTGGCGCTGTAGGTTAAACCACAGAGCCTAGGACTTGCTGATCAGAAGGTTGTCAGTTCGAATCCCTGGAATGGGGTGAGCTCCTGTTGCTCGGTCCCTGCTCCTGCCCACCTAGCAGTTCGAAAGCATGTCAAAGTGCAAGTAGATAAATAGGTACAGCTCCGGCGGGAAGGTAAACAGCGTTTCCGTGCGCTGCTCTGGTTCGCCAGCAGAGGCTTAGTCATGCTGGCCACATGACCCAGAAGCTGTACGCCGGCTCCCTCGGCCAATAAAGCGAGATGAGCGCCGCAACCCCAGAGTCGGCCACGACTGGACCTAATGGTCAGGGGTCCCTTTACCTAGTGCCTACAGGTTAGACTTGGGACTTGTAGTCCAAGAACACTGGGAGGGCGGCAGCTTCCCCATTGCTGGTTAATAACGAAGCTCTGAAAATAGTTTGTACAGACCATGCATTTAAAGCACACACCCCACAATCCTGAGAACCACAGTTTGCCCCACAGCGTGACAGCTCCCAGCACCCTTAAGAAACAACTGCTCCCAGGGTTCTTTGGGGAAACTCCTGGGCTTTAAATGTGGGTCTTCCAGCAGTTAGGACACCGAGCAGCACTTTTGTCCTCAGCCCAGCTGTAGAACTGGAGAGCTGAAGGGAGCCACACTCTGCTGCTGACCAGGCTACCATGGGGAGTGGTGTGGGGAGGGGGGAGCTAGCCCCATTCTGTCCACTGGGGAAGGAGCAGCTATTTCACTGCTCACTTTCCTCTTCCTCTTCCTACCCCAGTCCATTTTCTTTTTGTGCTGTGCTAAGAGCCTAGGGCTTGCTGATCAGAAGGTAGGCGGTTCGAATCCCCGCGACGGGGTGAGCTCCCGTTGCTCGGTCCCTGCTCCTGCCAACCTAGCAGTTCGAAAGCACGTCAAAGTGCAAGTAGATAAATAGGTACCGCTCCGGCGGGAAGGTAAACGGTGTTTCCGTGCGCTGCTCTGGTTCGCCAGAAGCGGCTTAGTCCTGCTGGCCACATGACCCGGAAGCTGTACGCCGGCTCCCTCAGCCAATAAAGCGAGATGAGTGACGCAACCCCAGAGTCGTCCGCGAATGGACCTAATGGTCAGGGGTCAGTGGTACCTCGGGTTAAGTACTTAATTCGTTCTGGAGGTCCGTTCTTAACCTGAAGCACCACTTTAGCTAATGGGGCCTTGCTGCTGCCGCGCCGCCGGAGCCCGATTTCTGTTCTCATCCTGAAGCAAAATTCTTAACCTGAAGCGCTATTTCTGGGTTAGCGGAGTCTGTAACCTGAAGCGTCTGTAACCTGAGGTACCACTGTACTAAGATTGCAGGTCTCCTGGAAAGAGCCCCCCCCCCAATATGTATAGTAGTTACAGAGAAAAATAAGCAACTTTCTCTGTGTTAAATACTACTATTTAATAGTAACAACTTTGGAATAATACTTATTACGTATTGGAATGAATGAATGAAACACACCCATGACGTCACACCTGGAACCTCGACCTTTTTACAAAATGATATTAAAAGCCAAGCTGACGGCATCGTCCCCAGCCCTCCTTTTAATTTTTCAATTCAAACCAGCCCTGCCGATGGTGTCACACCAAAAAAACCCCTTTCCCGCTGAAGCTACGTCACTCTGTGAGGTCACCCGAGATTCCCTCCCCCACCCCTTTAAATACGTCACTTTGACGTCACCGCATTCCCCTTCCCGACAACGCGCCGCGCGGGGAGCCCCAAGCCCCGCCCCTATCTATAAGCCCCGCCCTTCTCCGGCCCCGCCCCGTCATCTGCCTTCGCGGGAGGAGAGAGCGGCGAGGCCACGCCCCCAAGGGAGGCCGCGCGCCAATGGGAGAGCCCTCTCTCCCCGCCTCCTCGGCCACGCCCCCTCGCGGGGCTCGCCCGGAGCTGGAGCGGCCGCCATCTTGGAATTGACGCTTGGCGAGAGGGGAGAACTGAGGCAGGGGCGGGGGGGGGGAGAGCGGCCTCCCTCTCCTCCTGTCGCCATGGCAACAGCCGCTGCTAACCAGGGTGAGTGGGGGGGGAGGCAGAGGCCTGGGCGTCGGGTTGGTGGGGGGGGAGCGGGAGGGGGCTCACGGTTCGGGGTTGGGGGGCTGGAGTGACTTTTGGGGGAGGGTCTGGGTGGAGGGGTGAGCTGTGGGGAGGGGTCAGCACGAGGTAGGTGGGGGGAGGGCTTGGAGTGACAGGAGGGGAGGCGGCGGAGGGATGGAAGGGGTTAATGAGGGGCTCAGGGGGAGAGGGGGTTTTGGGGGGGAAAGGGAATGGGGGGAGGGAGTTATGAGTTGGGGGTCTTAGTGGGAGAGGGGGATTTGGGGAGGGGAGGGTGAGACTGGGGGTGGGGGTGGAAAGGGGAAGTAATATAGTAGTAGTAGTAATAATAATAATAATAATAATAATAATTTATTTGTACCCCGCCCATCTGTCTGGGTCCCCCCCAGCCACTCTGGGCGGCTTCCAACAAAACACTAAAACACAATACCCTATTAAACATTAAAAGCTTCTCTAAACAGGGCTGCCTTCAGCACAGGGTAAGGGTCACCTGTGGGGCTCAGAGATACAGATTTGGGGGCTTAGACTTGCAGTTTGGGATAATGGAGAGTTCTAGGATGAGCGTGTCTGTGAGCAGGCAGGGGTTATAGATTAAGGATGACTGTAGGTGAATTGTGGGGAGTGGAGGGCTACATGGAATCATGAGATATTGGGGGGGGAAGGTTCAGAGGTAGAGGTTTGGGGGAGCTGAAGCGAATCTGGGGGCCACCCCTGCAGAGGGGAGTTTCTTTGGGATGGCGGAGTGTGTGGGTTGACTGGGGGTGTGGCCAAAGGGTTCTTAATAGCATGGGGAGCATAGGGTTATAAGTGGGGCAGGGGTTGGAGTGATGGGAAAGGTACGGTACAGGTAAGAATGACTTGAGGATGCTGTGGCAGTTGTGGGCTGAGAGGGGAATGGGGTGGCTCAGGACTTCGAGTGCCGTAAATGAGCTGGATAATAGGGTTCCCCTGAAATAACACATTTATCGTGAAATCAGCTTTTGGGCATGACAGCACTTTTTTCTGCTGCAGACTTTTCCTGGGTACCCCTTTGGAAAAGGTTTAGTTGGAGTTAGGATTTGAGGGGGGGGGGGGAGTCTTGGCTTGGGGAGGGGGCACTGCCAATGGAAATGACCCTTTTCTTTATTAAGGGATTAATAGCCGACCTTTCTCTAAAAATGAAAAGAAAAATATTGACTGATTAAATACACAACACAAGAAAAATGTGATGAAATTTAAGATTACATTAGGATCAAACAAATAGAAAAACACACCCTTGGCTGCATGATTTGGGGATGTGGGCGGATGACAAGGGTGACTGGGCCGCAGTGCGATTTCTGGAATGCAAGAGCAGGGACATTTAGGGAGACACAGGAAGGCGACCTATAGATTCATGCACAGTCTGGGTGGGGGGAGCTCTGCAAGCCAAGAAATGGCTTGGTTTAACCATTAATGATGGTGCGTTTTCTCCTGTTAGGGGTGCAAAGTGGAGTAGGGCACGTAGAAGTGAGGGGAGGAAGTTGGGATTAATTGGCACAAAATCTCAATCTAGTGCATATAAAACTACAGGTAGATTTTCCTTGAGTGTTTCTACTATATATTTCATCGACTCTGATATATTTAAATGCATGGGACATAAGCAGGGGGAGGCATGAATTGTGAGGTGTGGAGAAAATTGTCAATGGCTACTAGCCATGATTCCTGCCAACCTAGCAATTCGAAAGCACATCAAAAAAAAGTGCAAGTAGATAAATAGGTACCGCTCCGGCGGGAAGGTAAACGGCGTTTCCGTGCGCTGTTCTGGTTCGCCAGAAGCAGCTTGGTCATGCTGGCCATATGACCCGGAAGCTGTCTGTGGACAGACGCCGGCTCCCTCGGCCAATAAAGTGAGATGAGCGCCGCAACCCCAGAGTCGGTCACGGCTGGACCTAATGGTCAGGGGTCCCTTTACCTTTACTAGCCATGATGGCTTGCCATGCTGAGCCTCTGATTTTGAAAACCGATTTCGGAAAGCGGGTTTCCCAAAAGAGGCAACTGGGTGGCTGCAATGAGAACAGGATGCTGGCCTCGATGGGCCATTGGCAAGATCCAGCAAGCTCTTCTTAAGCTCATTGGGTGACCTGCCAGCCTGACCTACCTCACAGGGTTGTTGTGAGGATAAGATGGGGAGAACCCGTTTGGCCACGCCTTTGGTTCAGCGTTGGATTTTTGCAGCAGCAACTTTGAAGGGGATGTCAGGTGTCTGCAGGAACTGGTCCTCAGACCCAGAGAGCTGCTTGTTTGCCACTTGCCCTGGTTGCCTGCTAACCTTTTGTTGAACCAAAGAAAGGAAATATTTCCGTAAGGGCATCTGCATAAAGTTCATCAGGCAGTTTATATTACTCTAGGCAGTTTCATTTCAGCTGGCAGGTAGTGCTTGAAGGCAGGGACTGCCCCTGGTGTTGCCTGTTGAAATTGGTAGGACGTAAGGCAGGGTGGCACTGTGGTCTAAACCACAGAGCCTAGGGCTTGCTGATCGGAAGGTCAGTGGTGCGATTCCCCACGTTGCTTGGTCCCAGCTCCTGCCAACTAGCAGTTCAAAAGCACACCAGTGCAAGTAGATAAATAGGTACCTCTCTGGCGGGAAGGTGAATGGTGTTTCCGTGCGCTGCTCTGGTTTCGCCAGAAGCGGCTTAGTCATGCTGGCCACATGACCTGGAAAAACTGTGGACAAACGCCGGCTCCTTCGGCTGGTAAAGCGAGATGAGCGCCGTAATCCCAGAGTCGTTCGCGACTGGACTTAACTGTCGGGGGTCCTTTACCTTTAAGGCAGGGAGACCAGCAGTAGGTGGTGCTAGAGCAAATTCTAGTTTTGTCTCCTCCCTGTTGAGTTCTGTCTATAAGGGGCAACTCAGACCAAGGAGGAAGCTGATGAGACAGTGGACTGGCAGCAACCAAGAAGGCAGGCAGCTGGCAGAAGTTGGTGAGGCACTGCCCCATTGGCCTAGATGGACCAGCTGCCTCCTCAAGAGCTGGAGACGGTGGTCTCCCTGTCTCTATGGCATGTCTTCTCTGAGAATAGACGTGTAGGATGAAGGACATAGGCCTGCTGGAAAATGGTGGTCCTCCCGCCGTTATGGAGGATGGAAGATGGGGAGTCACCAGGGCAGAAACGAAAGGAGAGGACATCGCCTTTCAGATATTTTGGACTCCAATTCCCAGAGTGGTTTAGCACTCAGTCCCTCATCACAGGGAGCTCTGTGAGAGGAATGGTGGGGAGGGATATCGCCTGACCACTCTTGGCGCTCTTAAGAGCTCCCCTCCTTGAGCGGGCTTTTGGTCTTCTGCTTTTCCCCCTTTCCCTGCCAGGAAACCTTTCATTTTCAGCAGACTCCTTCTCCACTGTCAGCTGCAGGCAGAAAATTGATTTTATTTTATTTTTTCAATTCGTAAAAGGGTTGTAAGGAGCAGAACTTAGACTGGTGTTGCGTCATTGCTGCTCTTTTCCTGACTGCCTTTCTGTTCTGGACAGTCTCTAAAGGCTTTGTACATGAATATGATCTTATTAACTCTTCGCTAAAAAAACACCCAGAGAAGCAAGGCAGGGAGATTGAAGCCCCTAAGAGCACTTCAGATGGTTTATGGCTTGTTCTCTGAGTTTTACAGCCTTGTGGTATTAATTAGATCGGGCCTGCCTCAGAGGGAACGGAGTCCTGAGAGAAGCCTGCAGTAGGATTTTAAATTATCTTTGTGGGTATTGTTTCGTTCTTTTCCGTGAGTGCTGCGGCATAAAACATGCCATGCCCGCGATGCGCTTTTATTGCTCCAAGCGTTCTTCCATCTGTGGCAGCCCAATTGAGTCAACGGTTTGTTATTTGAGGGGCAAATTAGAATATGAGAAGAGCCTGCCGGATCAGGCCAGTGGCCCATCTAGTCCTCGGTCCTGTTCTCACAGTGGCCAAATGCCCCAAAGAAATTAGGAATGGAGGTAGACTGCCTCTGGACATGGAGGTTCCATAGGAACATCAGGAGAGGCCAACCAAATGCCCCAGTGCTCAAAGGCAGGACCTGAGCGCAAGAACTACTCTCTCCTGCCTGCGGTTTCTAGCAACTGGATTTCAGTAGCGTTGCTGCCTCTAACTCTGGAGACAGAGCCTAGCCTTCTCCTTAATGAATTTGTCTCATTCCTCTTTTAAAACCATCCAAGTTGGTGATCACCACTGTCTCCAATGGGAGAGAATTCCATAGTTTAACGCGGTGCTGCATTAAGAAGTACTTGCTTTTCTGTTTCCCTTTTCCCTCTGTTGGGCACCTGGGGACAGGAGACTTTGGGGGCTTCCAGGTGGGTGTTTCTTATGGGACGAGTGCTCACCATTCATTCAAACTGGAGTTGTTTTGCAGGGTCCACACGGTGTCATAAAACCTTCCCCTAAATAAATAAAGCCCCTCCAAGGCAACACCCGTTGTTGTCTTTTTGTGGGAGCAAAATCCATAATTCTGCACTGTGCGAAGAAGTCCTTCCTTCTGTCTGTCCCAGATCTTCCAGTATTCGCACAACCCCAGATTGTGACTAAGTGGGAACGATGAGCGAATTTGACATCGCCTTCTTAAAAGCCAGACACATTTCCCCTTCGAGTTGTGCATGTTTTCTCTCTGGCGTCCAGTGAGCTTTCTTCAGAGGGATGTGCCAGAAAGTCTGGTACTTCCATCTTGCTGTGGGTGTATGTAGAAGGCTCAGCTCTGGCGATGCGCTGTTTGCCTGGCAAGCCAGCCAGTCGGCGGAGCAACCCAAAGCAGATGTCTGCTGCCCTCTTGGGATGATGATGATGATGATGATGATGATAATAATTTATTATTTGTACCCCACCCATCTGGCTGGGCTTCCCCAGCCACTCTGGGCGGCTTCCAACAAAATATTAAAATACCGTAATACATCAAACATCAAGGGCTGCTTTCAGATGTCTTCTAAAAGTCTGGTAGTTGTTCTCTTTGACATCTGGTGGGAGGGCGTTCCACAGGGCGGGTGCCACCACCGAGAAGGCCCTCTGCCTGGTTCCCTGTAACCTCACTTCTCGCAGGGAGGGAACCGCCAGAAGGCCCTCGGACCTGGACCTCAGTGTCCGGGCAGAACGATGGGGGTGGAGACGCTCCTTCAGGTATTCTGGACCGAGGCCGTTTAGGGCTTGAAGGGGATGATGCCTCACTTCCCCTCTCGTCTTTCCTCCTCTCCTTCCAGAAATGGCATCGGATGTCCCCTTGCTGGGCTCTGCTTCAGGGACGCCTGGACCCGACGCGTGTTCTGGAGGGAGCATTGTCCAGAGAGCAAACAAGCGCAGGACGGGGTAAGGGTGGCTCCGGTGGTCCCTTGGAATGAGGATGCTTGGCGGGGTGGGGGTTCCCCCCTTCCAACCCAAGGGCCGCATGTAACCTTCTGGGGGCCACAAACCTTTGTTGGGCAGGGCCAGAGGCAAAAGCAAGTGGCGTCATGGATACAACTCTCCCTTTGCTCTATCGGATTCATCCCAGAAGCCAGAAGTTTCTCTTTTTAAGAAAGCTGATTCTTGAATAGCAATTTAACAAAGAAGAAAGAGACAAAAAATGAAGAGGAGCTTTAAAATAGCAAAAACAATCCATCAGCTTACATTAAGAATGCAATAAACATCAGTACATCCATCTTAAATAGAAATATTGCTCTAAGCCAGCCAAAATAAGTACACCTACGAGACTGATGCGTTTGTAGGAAGTGTGTTCAAATGTAGCCAGGGCTGGTGAGATTCTCAAGGCCATTTTGTGATAGACAGCGGATGTTCAGCCTTCCAAATTCGAAGTTTTAAGTTTCTTGGCTACCACAAAGGCTCACAAATTCCACTTTTGCTGTCCTGCCCTTTAATCTCCATGCTACAGGAATGTAGTTCAAAAGTACATTAGCATCTGCAAATATGTTTGCTGGTACAGCAAGCCCACAACCTACACACATTTAACTTGTGCGCATTCAATTTTACACACTTGGCCAAAATAAAAATAAAAAGTGGACGGGCATCTGAGAAAAAAGACTTGGGCAATCCCACCCACCGTTGAACCCAGTGTGCTTTGACTTTAAGTAATTTTTGGCTTCAGGCGCAATCTCTGGAATGTAACCCCTGCACAAGTTGCGGGCTTACTGTACAAAAATTGGTACGGGCAGCAACTTCAGACATTTCCCGTACGTGCACACACGCCTCCCTCCTTCCATGCAAACAGAAGATGACATCACAGTTCAGCAGCCACATCCCAGCCAGGAAGAAACAGTTGAAGGCACGAAGCAGGACTATGAGGGGTGTGGCCTATTGGGAGAGGGCGTGGCCTGCAGGAGGGTCTTGGAATCCAGATAGTGAGGCTGGGAGGGATGCATTTAGGCTTCCCGCCTGTTTTTAGAATTTATTGTTATTTATTGGGAGCATTTGTACCTTGCTCTTCAGCCGAAAAGGTTCTCAGCGTGGCTTACATACTATCCATTAAAACAAGGCAGTCTCTGCCACAGCCTTACAAAAAAGCATGACACACGAGGGAAAAGGGACGGGGAGGGAAAAGGGGGAAAAATCAAACTCAGGCACCAATTCTTAAATATCTCCTCCTATAATGACCAAGTGCTGGCACAATTCAGGGGTAGGAGCAGGCGCCTGATGGAGCTGGGCCGTCGGCAAAGCTGTTGGGATGAGCCTCTTCCCATCTCTCCTGCTGAGGCAAAGCCAGCTTGGTGCCTGCCCCCCCCCCGATGTTGTTGGACTACAACTCCCATCATCCTTTATTGTTGTCCTTGCTGGCGTTGGGGCTGATGGGAGCTGGAGTCCAAGAACAGGTACAGGGCTCCTCTTTTGCTGCCTCTGTGAAGAGTTTTGGGATGAGCTGAGACCAGGCCAGGTGGGAGGCGGTACAGTAAACCCTACACCTAAATTTCAACATCCTTGGAGCCCTCTCGAGTTTCAAGACTCTGCTCTCTGCTTGGCATTCATTTTCTTCACCTGCTGGGAGTCCGAGGGGAGGTTTGTTGCAGCTGAGATAACAGTCGTTCTTGCTCTTGTTCTCCAGGCTCGATTTTGATGACGACGGAGAAGGGAACAGCAAATTTCTCAGGTGAGACGGACTTCCAGTGGCAAGGGACTTGGGGACTTGTGCTGAGCCAAAGCGAGAGAGGGATCCGTCTTGTGAAAAGGCTCATCAGAAAATAGAAGGGAGTGGGACTTGGCTGTGCAAGAGCTGAGGTCAAATTCTTTTCTCCCTGATTGGCTGGGATGACTCATGTGTCTAGTGCAGGAAGCATCTCCTTCATTTACAGAAGGCTTTGTTTTGTCCTTAGTGATGCCAGTGCATAGCCAAACTTGATAGGCTACGTAGTGCAGCAATATCGTCGTGTCTAGCGGAAGATCCCTGATGAGCATGGCTACGTAGAGCTACAACATTATAATATCTTAAGAATGATATGTTTAGGCTGGAATGTGTGTGGAGTCTGGCGACCGAGATAATCAAGGGTCTGGAAACCAAGCCTTATGAGGGACGGTTGAGGGAGTTGCGTATGTTTAGCCTGCAGAAGAGAAAACTATGGGATGATAAGATAGCCGTCTTCACATATCTGAAGGTCTGTCAAGTGTAAGATGGAGTAAACTTATTTGCCACTGCTCCAGAGGGTGGGACCTGAAGCTGTGGGTTCAAGTTACAAGAGAGGAGATTCCAGCAAAACATCTGGAAGAACTTTCTGAGGGTAAGAGCTATCTGACAGTAGAACGGACTCCTTCAGAAGGTGTTGGGCTATCATCCATTGCAGGTTTTTAAAAAGAAATTGGATAGCTTCCTTTAGCTGTGATTCCTGCAGTGCAGATGTTTGAATTAGTCGACCCTTGGGGTCCCGTCCAACCCCACACTTCAGTGATTCCATGATCTAGCCTGGGATCCCTGATGAACTAGGCTACGTAGTCCTGCAACACCATCTCATCCTGTATGGGATTCCTGATGAGCTACGGCTCTGAAACAGTCATTGTTCAAAAGCTTAATCTCTTCAAGCCACAGTGGCGTTGTCTGTAGGAGATCCAGGCTGGCAGGTCTTCTGAGCATGTATTTCTTAGCCAGTTAGTTGGTTTTATAAAATTTATATACCGCTGGGCTGTAAAAACCTCAAAGCAGTTTACAAAAAGGTGAATCAAGAAAAATTCACCACCATATTTTCTGTTTCAAAAGAAGGCGGCTAAAAGAAAAGGACTGTACAAAGCACCCACATAGACCTGAGTTGCTATATGTGCAGATAAAATATTTGCGTATAAAACATTTATATTGCAAATAAAGAACAATATTCTTCTTCCAAGAATGGTGATTTGCCAAGACTTGGAATTCTAACGATCAGGATGAAACAGTCTCCCAAGTCTCAGCAGTTGTGCCCATGGCCGTTGTCCAAAGAGGCACAGGCCGTTCCGTGCTGTTCGAAGCTGCCCGTTTCTCATGTCTTCCTTCTCCCGATTCTTCTCCTAGGTGCGATGATGACCAGCTCCCGAACGACAAGGAGCGGTTTGCTAGGTAAGGCTTCCTCCAGCGTCTCTGCCCTGCAGGAGCCATTGAGGCCCAGGCGCTGTACCATTGGCATGTGCCACTCACCTGAGCTCCAGGTGGCCTTTCATCCATCTCTGCCCCGGCTCAAAGCATCCCATGTGACCCAGCCCTCCTTCCCTCCCTCCCCCTGCGCCTTCTCCCGCCTCCCAATCCCTCCGAAAACTCTGCCTTTGAAACAGCAAAGCAAATAGCCTCTTTCTCAAAATTTGGGGTGCGGGGAGTGGTGGCTGGAGTAATTTTCAGTTTGTTTGTAAGCACGGCTAATTAGAAGAATGCAGCTGCTCTTTCGTGGGGGCAGCAGACTGCAAAGCCAGGGTTTTAAAAATTATTATTACTTGTTGCTTTTTAAATGGCAAAGCTCTCAGAGCAACTTGCTTCTGGGGGGAAAGAGACAGAAGGCAGGCACTGGGTGGGGAAATGGAGGCAGGAATAAGGGGCTGAGGAGAAAGAGAAGGCAAGCACCAGGTGGTAAACTGAGGCAGGGGTGGGATGGGAAGCTGGCGGAAGCTGGGCGTAAATAACAGAGGGAGGGAGGCGCCTGATGGGAAAGTGAGACATAAATTTTAAAAATTTAAATCCTGTGGTTTGTTTGGACCTGCCACACTGTCTCAACAGGCAGGTCAAGGAGTTTGCTCATATCCGGTTGCCTGAGGTCAGGCTATTCTTTCCGTTGAATTGCCTCATACCTGCAGCCATCCAGCGACTTCTTTTTAATCCCTGGCCTGCTTGGGAACGGATTGCGCAAACGTCTTAAATTGGAGGGGGGATTTTTCTTCCTGTTCCTCTTCTTCCTCTTCAAAGATAGGCATCTCTGCCTTGCTGGCAAGAGAAACTGTTGCCCACAGTGACTTTTAACACTCTCCTGCCTTGCGCAACCCTGGTTCGAAGTGAGGCCATTTTGCTGTTTAAAGGTCAAAAGCCGGTCTTCTTTCTTCTTCCTTTTTTTTAAAGCTGGGGAGCTGGCCCCCACCATCTGCCTGCCGTTATCTTTGGTGCCTGTCAGATGCAGGAAATCTCTCTTAAGGGGCTGAGCTCTGTGAGTCAGCAGGAGGAGCCAGTCAGCCTGGGCTCTTTGCCCAGATCCGAACCTAGCCTCAAAATGCTTTCACTGATGATTCTGGCTTGATTCACCAGTTTTCAGCATGGCAAAGAAGTCCTTTGTGGTTTGCCCAGTAAGACCAGGGCATAACCTCCACCTCCTGCATATGAAAACGGAAGTACAGAACGGTGGCAACTTGCACACATTAAACCTGTGCGGTTTCAACCTTGTGTGGTTGAAGGCCGGCCGGGTGAAATCACGCAAATTAAAAGCACGCAAGGTTCTTCCTGCATGAAAAGAGCTTTTAAGCTCCCTGACTTGCTTTCTGTGCAAGGCCCTCTTGGTGCGCCAGCTGCAGAAGCGCGAGATTTCATGAAAACGTAGGACAGCCCCACAAGATTTCGCGAGAGCAACCCAGAGCCGGTGTTCCAAGCAGGCCTTGCCTGGTAAGCAAGGCGAGAGACCGCAAAAGCTCTTTTTGTGCCAGGTTTTCCTGGTGTGGAAAGAGCGTATAAACGCTCTGCCTTACTTGGTGGGCAAGCCCCTCTCAACACGCCCGCTCCAAAAACCCAGGGGTGCTGGCGCAGGGATGGCTCCAAGGTTTTGAGTACACATGTTACCGTGTACGCACGGAACACTTGGAACCGAACCCCCACGTAAGATGCCGTTGTACCATACCATCCTTGTTACTTATTAAGGTGTATCTTCCACCCTACGAGTTAGGCCTGTCCCCCAGTTGCATGATCCGTCATGTTGGGATCACTCGGAGGGTTATTTACTCCCGTCTTCAAAACGGGTGCTCTTGTGCAAGGTTGCAATTCATGGGGGATTTCAACACCCGTGGTAACAAGGACTTAGCTCAGGGATCAGCAAACTTTTTCAGCAAGGGGCTGGTCCACTGTCCCTCAGAACTTGTGTAGGGCCGGACTATATTTTGAAAACATATATATGAACGAATTCCTATGCCCCACAAATAACCCAGAAATGCATTTTAAATAAAAGCACACATTCTACTCATGTAAAACACGCTGATTCCTGGACCGTCTGCGGTCTGGATTTAGAAGGCGATTGGGTAGGATCCGGCCTCTAGGCCTTAGTTTACCTACCCATGACTTAGCTACCTTACTTAGTACGGAGACAGTCTTTTCCGATGGGGAGGAGGTTCGGATACATGAGCTGAAAGGACTGTAAAATAAAACTTTTGCTTTCAAAGTGCTTCTTCACACGGCTCAACTATGGCACTTGCTCCCACAGTTGAGGGCCGCCAACTTGGATGCCTTCAAAAGAGGATTAGTCAAATTCATGGAGGAGGAGAGTGCTATCGATGGCTCCTAGCCACAATGGCTATTCTCTGCCTCCACACTGGGAGCCAGCCATGTGTCTGGATAACAGTTGCAGGAACCCCCCCCCGGGGGGGGGAGCTGCTCTGGCGCCCAAGTCCTGCTGGCGGCCTTCCCACTTGGGCATCTGGTTGGCCAGGATGCTCGACCATATGGATCACTGGGCCTGATCCAGCAGCCTGGCTCTTCTGATCTCCCTATGTTCATCTTACTCATTTCGGTAATTATTTTTTTATCCTGTTCTCAAAGTGGCTTACACATCACTTTTTAAACACCTCTTCATTTTCATTTCTCTTTATCGTTTCTGTTATATATTTTTGATTTTGTAATGTAAAAAGTATAACTTTTAAAAAAAAAGATTTAACAATCCTTTTAAAAAAAGACACAAAAGGAAAAATTGCGTGGGAGGGAGGAGGAAAAATACAGGCTTGGGTTCAGGTTCTTCGTTGCAAGTTGATTACTAGCTGAGATGCAATGGGAACCAAAAGAAGTTACTGGCACCCAATGCAATATCCCTGCCTCCCTTCGTAGCTGTTTGCCTGCTGGGGAAGGCTGCTCACAAGATTTCTGCTTCTCAGTTCTGGAGGATTGCTTAGATTTTGAGAAGGGGTGGAGATTTCTCTGTTTCCTCCTCCTTCTGACTTGCAAAAACCGCTCTGCTGGATTTGCATCAGTCGTTCGGGGGTGGCGGCGGTGGGGCGTTTCTTTTAAAGCTGCAACCCAGGTTTCCTTCCCCCACCAAATCTGGCTTCAAACCCAGTTTTTTCAAGATTTGAAAGGGGGAAGTGGCAGGGCTTAAAAGGCAGCCTGGATACTACCACTGCTGTTTTAATTGGATAATTATTTGGGGCAGGTCTGCAGCTTCAGTGGCAGAACACCTGCTTTGCCTGCAGAAGGCCCCAGCATCTCCCAAGGTAGGGAGAGGGAAATATCCTGGTCTGAGACCTGGAGAGTCAGGGTGGACAGTGCTGAGTTAAGTGACCTGACCCGGTATAAGGCAGCTTCCTGTGTTCCTATTTTTAACTGGTCCTTCCTTCAGAACCCTGAGGACTAGAATCTTAGCTTATGCATATGGAAGCTCAGTAGTAGAGCACCTGCTTTGCATTCAGAAGGTCCCAGGTTCAGTCCCCACTGGGGTCATCTTGGAAAGATTCGCTGCCTAAAACCCTGGAAAGCCACTGCCAGTCAGTGTGAACAGTACTGAACTAGACAGACCAGTATGAGGAACATTCCTGGCCTTTTCTGTGGTTTGCTTTCCAATATTTCCCCAGGCGATTTGGACAGTGCTGAGGGGTCTGGCATTCCTTTGGCAGCGTGGATATTTCGTGTGGCTCAGTAGCCTTTCTTGGATGAACACTTTTAGGCTACTTGTTTTTAACACGTCCTTTATTGTCCGACTATATTTTGTATTTTGTGACATTCGCAAGTTGCATCAGGACTCCTTTGGAAAGCGACAGTCATTATTTTAAAAACTAACAGCAGGCAGCGGTTGAACCAGTTCCACCACAGGTTAAGAATTAAAAGCCTCAGGATTTTTTTTTCCTTTTTAAGTCTTCACGCAGTGCTGCAAAACCGTAACTAATAGCCAATCGGTTTCCCTGCTGAGAACTTTCCATTCCATATTATTATTATTATTATTATTAATCATCCCACCTTTCCTTTTTGGGATTTGGGAATGGCGTTCATGAAAGCTTGCCTTTGCACTTCTCAACCCACATGGCTGTGTCTTGGTCAGCAGCAAGGCGCTCTGCACGCTCTCAGAGGCCCTCTGCCTCTCATGCCTTTGCATGTTGCAAGGGACTTACAGCTCCCCTAGTATTAGAACCAAGTCCTGGGGCTTACATTCTAGTGAGCTGCTCCAGCCTGTGGAACTGGCAGTGTTCCAGGTGCCACGTAAATATTTGCTCCACTCTTTTGGTATGGCAGCCCCCACACTTTGGAACTCCCTGCCTATTGACGCATCAGGCTGGCGCCTTTACTGTACCGTTCTTGATGTCTGGTAGAGACATTTTTGTTTAGGCAAAGCCTCTCCAAGTACATAGACTTCTGTGTGTTTTACTCTGGGTTTTAGTTTAGCACACACACACACACACACACACACACACAGGTTTTCCCCTCCGATGCTTTGTTTTATTCTTTTTGTAACATGCTTTGAAGTTGAGGTTTAGTATTGTTTGTTTTACAATAATGCTCTCTGTATATATAGTGAAATAAAAATAAATATATACATACATAGTGTCCTTTGTGGGGTCCTGCTGTGCCACCTGACTCGTCCTTCACTTGCTCCACACTATACTCTGGCCAGACTTTCTCCTCTTCCCTCACCTCTTGTTTTTTCTCTCTCCACCCTCATCCGTGTCTCTAACACGGTTTGTAAGCCCCTCTGGGCGGAGACCTTTTCCTCTCACGCAGGGCATACAGCACCCAGCCTGTAGCTGGTTCCAGAATGCCAGCAAAGTCATGACACCCCCCACCCACCTTCCGCTTCTTATTGCAGATGAATTGGGTCTCCTGTTACATTCCCCCCCTCCTTTCTTTTATTCCCTGTTACTTTCAAATACATTTTTTTCCTCCCCAGTTTTAGCTTAGCTCACCCCTTTTATTTCCAGGTCTGATGATGAGCAGAGCTCAGCGGATAAGGAAAGACTGGCCAGGTAGGAGAATGGAGATTTGGTTGTGTGTGTTTTTTATTTAAGCATGGCAAAGCAGAGCTCCTTCTCCTCCTCCTCTTTTCCTCCTCTGTGACACCCCTCCCCGTCTGCCTCCTCTTAATAGTCTCCCTGCCCTCACCCGCTTCCTTCCTTAAATCGAGGTCTTGAACCCAAACACGAGACTTACCTGAAAAATCAGCACCTTTCCCGGTTTGGTTTGATGAGCGGCATGTTTGGCTCTTTCAGAAACAGGGTGGGTTGCAAAATAAGGGCAAGGGGCTCAGCAGCAGCATTCAAATGAACCCGGGTTCATTTCCCAGTTCCAGGTGGAGCTGCAAATGTTTCATGCCTGAAACCCTGGAGAACTTCAGCAGGTCAGTGTAGACAAGGCAGAGCAAGGGTCTGGCTTGGTAGAAACCCTTCGTTCAGAGCCATGAGGACTGGATTCTTACTTTATTTTAGGGTAAGGGCTATAGCTGGGTTACAGATTACCTGCTTTGCATGCAGAAGATCCCTGGTATCTCCAGGTAGGACCAGGAATGGCCCCTAAGTCTGAAATCTTGAGATGCTGCTGCCAGTCAGTGCTGACGATACTGAGCTGGATGGACCAGTGGGCTGACTCTGTATAAGGCAGCTGTCTTTGTTCCTGCTCTACTGGCTTATGACGAAGCCGGCCTTTGTGAGGGGTCGGCAGCTGGCATTGTTTATGCCTCATCTGGCTGCCCGATCAACAGGGGGACTTGATGGCAGGCTGGTTTTTTAATGGGGCGACCAAAAGGACCTTGGCTGCCACTCCTTAGCCCAGTCAAAACTGGGAGGCAGTTATAGAATTGAGTTGGAAGGGACCCCGAGGGTCATCCAGTCCAACCCACTGCAATGCAGGAATCTCAGCTAAAGCATCCATGACAGATGGCCATCCAACCTCTGCTTAAACACCTCCAAGGAAGGAGAGCCCGCCACTTCTAGTGGGAGTCTGTTCCACTGTCGAACAGCTCTTACTGTCAGAAAGTTCTTCCTGATGTTTCGTCGGACTCTCCTTTCTTTGTAACCTGAAGCCATTGCCCCCCAGAGCAGGAGAAAACAAGCTTGTTCCTTCTTCCATGTGACAGCCCTTGAGATATTTGAAGATGCCTAGCATATCTCCTCTCAGGCTCCTCTTATCGCCAGTCCAAAGCCGCCGGCCCCTTGATTGCAATGCTTGGGGTGGGTGGGTGAGAGAGACATTTAACCTACATTAACAACAGCGCCACAGGTAGCAGCGGCAAGCACTTTTAGAATCCTTTTTATTTTTTGCAGCTTAATCTTGATTTCGGTGCTTGAGGTGGCACCTGAGCCTGCTGAGCGTGTTGAGACTCTCTCCCTGCATCTATGTGGAAACCTTTAAATTTATTTATTGGTACCGTGCCCTTTCAGTAGAACTTGTGGGGTTTCTGTTGGGGCGTCTCTGGTTGGCCGCTGTGAGAATCGGACGCTGGACTAGGTGGGACCCCCTTGGTCTGATCCAGCAGCCAGGCTCTTCTGGAATCTCCAGGTCCAGAGGCAGTCTATCTCGCTTCCTAGGGGCATTTGGCGGCTGTGCAGATAGGATGCTGGACAAGACAGGCCTCCACTTTTGCGAGAATCTACGGCTGGACTCTTTTCTTTTACTTCCAAACTGCCCGCAACCTAGAAGAGCAAAGTCCCACCCGATGCATTGTGTTGAAGTCTTTCTTCAGGAGTTGGGGGAAGGCTTTCAGATGGTTTTGCTGTGGGGTAGAGTCATAGGGATGGAGCTGGCAAGGTGAATTTTCCCTCTGGGCTGCTAACTGAGAGCTAAAGATTTGTCATGTCCAAACTGTAGCAGAAAGCGAGTTGGAATATTGGGAGTATAGAACCCAAGGCAGGTAGAGAGAGAACAGCAAGTTTCTGCAAGGCTGTTTTTCTGTAGCATGTGTGTCTGTGTTACAGCATTTCAGGACAATAAAGAAGGTCTAGAGAAAAGCATCTCCTCCAGGTGTCCTCCAGGTGTTCTTGAACTCCCAATGCGCATCAGCCCCTGCCAGGCTGGCCCAGCGGTCAGGGTTGATGATGACATTGCTGGGAGTTGTAGTTCAACAGTTACCTTGGAGAGCCACCCCATTCCCTGGGCCGAAGAAGCCTCCTGGGGCTGCAGCCGTCTCCCTCCCCCTTATGTCAGGTGTGGGGGAATCTCTGGCCCTCTGGATTATGCTGGACTACAACTCCCATCATCATCATCATCATCATCATGCCTGGCCATTGGCCATGCTTGCTGATGGGAGCTGTAGTTCAGCAACAGACTGGGAGCCATTGCGGTGCAGTGGTCCGTGTTGGACTAGGACCTTGTAGAGACCTAGGACCTTGTAGAGACCACTTAGCCACGAAGGAACCGTAGGCCAGTCGCTGCCTCTCTCAGCCTCACCTACCTCACAGGGTTCTTGTGAGGATAAAGTGGGGGGGGGGAGAGCCATGTACTGTGAGCTCCTTGGGGGAAAGGAGGTGGGATCTAAGTGCAATCAATCAATCAATCAATCAGCAATAAATAAACAGCTGGAGGGCCAAAGGTTTCGCCACACCTGGTTTGGGGGGAGGAGAAGGCTCTTGAGGATCTGAAGGATTTCTTGTCAGGTGTCAAGATTCTCAGCTTTTTGTGGGCGCCCAATTCAGCCAAAGCCAAGATCTCCCATGGTTACTCTGCGAGTCGCACTAGTGCCAGGCCCCCCCCAACTTCTTGTGCAGAGAAGGGATGTAGGGGGGAGCACTGGCGAGGAGTTCTGCAGAGAAGCCCGTAAGTCTGCTCTGCGGAAAAGTACTCCCTTTTTTCGCTTCACTTGGTACCTTTGTGTGTTTGTACTGGGAAGCACGAGATCCCAGCCAAAGGTTCCCAAAAATTAGCTGTCAAGATGGACAATTCCAAGCCTACTTTTTTCCATTAAAGAAAAAAAATACTTGTTCCGTCTTCACTCCACCATCCATCCAGTTCCATCTCCCATTCCACGCTTGCCACACATCAGACTCATTCCGTTGCCTCTAACCCGGTTTCTTTTTTCCTTGTAGGAAGCCCAGTGTAATCTTTTTTTTGGAGGGGAGGAGTGTTGGAAGGGAGGGTGGCTTTCACAGTCCAATCTGCGAACGTTTCCTTTAAAGTGGCCTGTTACATCCTTGCCACGCCTGAGGGCCTGGTTTGCACGTAACAATAACTGTGGTTTGCTTAATCACAGGTTGACTATGCATTGCCCCAACAAACCGTGGTTTGCTTCTCCAAAGCTCAGCTTGTTTCTCAGCTGCTGAGATCCAGAGGCAGCCTGTCTCAATGCTTAGGGGCTTTTGGCCACCGTGAGAGCAGGGTGCCAGACCACATGGGCCCCAGTGGCCTGATCTGGCTACAGGGCTCTTTTCATGCTCTCAACTGCTGTGCCCTGTGAGCATCCCAAAGGCACCTAACTGGCTGCCCGTTGCCAGAAGCAGAACCCAGCGCCCGATGGTCCTTTTGGCTCCAAGTGCAGTCGAGCTGCTTCTATGGTTGTTCCTGTTTTGAAGCGGCCGGAAGTTTCTCTTGCACCTTTCCTGTTGCATGTCCAGCATGAGAGTTTTGCAGCCTCTAACCACGATTCCTGGCCCCGCATCCATTCCTTTCCTCCTCCTCCTCCTCCTCTCGTGCGACCGTGCGCAGGGTTGGCCACTGGAGCCTTGTGAACTAACCGGCCTGCCTCCTTTCACCCTCCCGCCAACCTGCAGGGAGAACCACAGCGAGATCGAGCGCCGCCGGAGGAACAAGATGACGGCCTACATAACGGAGCTGTCAGACATGGTCCCCACCTGCAGCGCCCTGGCCCGCAAGCCGGACAAGCTCACCATCCTGCGCATGGCCGTCTCGCACATGAAGTCCCTGCGGGGCACTGGGAACACCTCCACTGACGGCACCTACAAGCCTTCCTTCCTCACTGACCAGGTACAGGCTGTTAGATTTCTGTTTATGCCACTGTCCAGTTTTTGGAGTCACAAGACTCTGTTTACATTCCAGACTGTTGGAAGTCTCACGGGAGACGGGAGATGGATGTTGTTGTTACTGGTTTCCTGTTTCTTTGTCTCAGTTGGTTCACTGACTCACACAGAGAGAGGATGTATATTATTTTCTGTCTGCGTAGTTAGAAATAAAACCTAGCAATGTAGCTTATATTTCTCATCTTTCTGCTGCTTGGATGGATGAGGGAACGTGCCTGAAGCCTCATCAAAGGCTTAGGTCGTTAATCACTGCCGGAGGAACATCCGAAGAGGAGTAGCTCGGCCGTACGGAATTCCGACACAGGCGTCCTGTCCCCCTACTTAACGCGGGGGTTATGTACAGGGCCTCCATGTGTGTAAGTAGGGAGCACCCTTTGAACGCCCTCTGTGCTGTGCTTTCTCCAACCCAGAGCAAAAATACTGGATCCAAAAATATCCATAACTAGAATTGAAGTTCTGGGGCCTCCAGGAGGCTGGAGTACGGGTAAATAAAAGTGGCAGCAGCTGCTGCTGCAGCAGCTGTTAGCCGGAGAGGCTGAGCAGCCTAAACAAATCCCTGCTGTGCCTTCGGGGCTTCCTCCACCCTCCCTGACGTCCTCTTTGGGCTCTCCTCATGTACCGCGAGGACTCTCCGACTCTCTCCCACTATTTCCGGGTTTGAATTGGATTGGATTTGCCCCCAGTGTATATTTGGTCCCATGAGAGTCGATCATCCCGGACCGCTGGTCCTGCTACCTAGGGATGATGGGAGCTGTAATCCAACAATGGCTGGGGAACCAAGTTTGAGAAACGCCAGTGTGGGTGTCGGACCAGGACCTGGGAGAGCAGGGTTCGAATCCCCACTCAGCCAGGAAGCTCACTGTGGGGGGCCTTGGTTGGGCCAGTCACTGCCTCTCTCAGCCTCCCCTCCCTCGCAGGGTTGTTACGATGATAAAGTGGAGGAAGAGGAAAACTGTGTTCGCCCCCTTGAGGTCCTTGGAAGAAAGGTGGAGTACAAATGTAATAAATGATTTTCCACGTAAGGCTGGAAGAGACTTGCTCTCTCAATCCCCAGAGACCCCTTGGGGGCAAAGTAGCTCCCAGTGTTCTTATTCAGAGTCATGAGGACTAGAATCTTGAGTTTATTTTTCGGGAGCCATGCCTTGGGGGTAGAGCACATGCTTTGCATGCAAAAGGTTCCAGATCCAATTGCTGGCATCTCCAGTAGGGATGGGAATGTCTGCTGCCAGTCAGTGTGGACACTATTGAGCTTAATGCTCTGCCATCTCTCTCTCTCTCTGCAGGAGCTCAAACACTTGATTCTAGAGGCAGCCGATGGGTTCCTCTTCATCGTGTCCTGCGAGACGGGCCGGGTGGTCTACGTCTCCGACTCCGTGACGCCTGTCCTGAACCAGCCCCAGTCCCAGTGGTTCGGCAGCACCCTCTATGACCAGGTGCACCCCGACGACGTGGACAAGCTGCGGGAACAGCTCTCCACGTCGGAGAACGCCCTCACGGGTGAGCTCGGCCGTCCTGCCACCACCATCCCAGTCACCGCATGTCCTGTAACTTCCTGCTGAAATCCTGTTAACATTTTATAACCGTGGATGTCCCGGGATTTATGCTTTGCCCTGCTTTTTAGCGCCCTGCCGTTCCACTCAGAATGGCCACAATGCAGTCACCTTGGGGAAGCAGAACCCAATACCACTTGCTGGAAACCACAAGAGGGCAGAGTTGCTCTTGAACTCAAATCCTGCTTGCAAGTTTCCCACAGGCTCCTGGTTCACCACTGTGAGAACAAGATGCTGGACTGGACGGGCCGTTGGCCTGATCCAGCTCTTCAGATGTTCCCATTGAGCCTCCAGGTCCCGAGGCAATCTGTCTAGATTCCTGGGTAGTTTGGGTCATTTGACTGCTGTGAGAAAAGGATGCTGGACTAGATGGGCTCCTTTGGTCCTGATCCAGCAGGGCTCTTCTGAGGTTTTTGCATCGCAGAATACACCTGCTGTTGGGGACGGGCAGAGCGCTGGTGAGGGTACATTCGGGGGGGGGGCTGGAGTCTGACTTGGGAGAGGCGGTCAATGATCTGTGGGGGCCTGTGTCAGCCAGGAGGCAAGAGTCTGTGGCAGGGGAATCTTCAGAGCTGGAGGGTGGAGCACAGAATGGGTCGGAAGAAGAGGAGAAAGAGGCAGGTCAGGCAAGTGAAGAACCACTGTCTCCCAGAACCAGGAGGAAATTGAAAGGGGAGGAGCAGGGGAAGTTTCCACACAGGCATAATCTCCGGCTGTGTGTGCGCAGCCCATCGGGAGCAGGTGCATAAACTGGAGAGGAAGTGATTGGAAGTTGCTGCAACTTCTCCATAGAGCACAAACCAGAGAATGCTAGTACATGGTTAATGGAAGCCATAGAAGCTATTGTAAGTGTCCACATTTGAGTCAATTCTTAACTGTCTGCCATGTGCATTCCTTTTGCTGGGGAGTGCAAAAAACCCCAACAACAACCTTGAAAGGTAGCTTTCTCCTGAGCAGAACTGCCCTCGCATTTTTGACTGTGACAATGACGATTTCCTGTTTCCCAGGTCGCATCCTGGACCTGAAGACGGGGACCGTCAAGAAGGAAGGGCAGCAATCCATGCGGATGTGCATGGGATCCCGGCGGTCTTTCATTTGTCGGATGAGGTAGGACGGGGCTCCTCGGTTCCGCGTACAAAACCCACATGTCGTTTCTGCGTATGCTGGGCGTAAATAAGGACCGCAAACAAGGAGAAGTGTTACGACCTGCTTGGGGTGCAGTGCTAGAGCGTGATTTGGCAAAACATGAGCAGGCCTCAGAACCCAGGATCACTGGAAGCTATCTTATACTGAGTCAAACTCTTGGTCCATCTAGACCAGTGCTGTCTACACTGATGGGCAGAGGCTCTCCAGGGTTTCAGGAAGGGGATATTCCCATCCCCTGTGTAGAGGATTGAAGCTGGCACTGAGTATGGTTCTGGTTGTCTTACCATGTTAATGGGTATTATAGAGCTGGGAAAAGGGTCAGGGAAGGGCAAAGGATGAAAGGATCTAGAATGCTGCAGGGGCTGCAGTAACTAGCAGAATCTATGGCTTTTGAGTTTAGGAAAAAGTGAGAGGGGCAGGCTAAGAGGCCTTGGTGCGATGCAACAGTATGCTATGGTGCTTTGGAAGTGTATTGTAGCTACCGTATTTACTCGAGTCTAATGCGCCATCAAATCTAATGCATGCCTCAATTTTCAGAACCGTGAAACCCCAAAAAAGTATTTGCTGGCAAATGTAAATGTGCCATCAAATCTAACACACACCTTAATTTTCACAACGTAATTTGGCCAAAAAAGGTGAGCAATAGATTCAAGTGAATACGGTAATAAATTCATTGCTGAACTTTCAGAAAAGGAGAGATCGTTCAAGGCCATGTTTCTGTTAATAAAAGTGCCAAGCAACGTAGTGTGTTAAGAATTTACTTCTACACCGCTGGTTCATACCCAGGTCAGGGAACAAACCTTTAAATAAAAATGCAGCCCTGAGAAAATCCAAGCAAAGCTTCCAATAGGGACCTGGTTTATGTAGAAAATCTATTGCACAAAAGGACAGCCCCACTAACCACTTGTTCAGCGAACTGCCAAATCTGTATATTAATAGTATTATTATTTTTTAAAAGCCTCCTGCTGTAAAATATAAATGGATTGGGAGATTTTGAAACGAGTGTTAATTCACACACTCATCGCTGCTGTGTGGGTGAGGAGGAAGGAGAGAGTATTATTATTAATATTCAGTTCGTCAGGTGCCTGACATATAGCAGTCTCCAGGTGACTTACAGCAAATTAAAAAACATACAGGGGTGTTATGTTCCGGGCAGGGTAGGGCTGGGGGTTCCTGCTCCAGGTTTCCCCCCTTCAGCCTTAAAAGTCCCCAGAAATGGATGGCAATTGCATTGTTTTTGAATAAAAGTTTCTGGAAACCACAGGAGGGGAGAGGGCTGTTGTCCTCAATTCCTGCTTGTGGGGTTCCTAGAGGCATCTGGTCAGCCACTGTGAGAACAGGACGCTGGACTAGATGGGCCCCTGGCCTGATCCAGTAGACTCTTGGCTTCATGACCAGAAGCAGCCACAGCATGGCTTTTGGGAGTGCTCCCTGGCCAGGCGGCATGGAAGCAAATCTGTGTAGTTCTGCCACAAGGAAGCAGGCAAAGGGCTGTGGGCCAGCTTGGTCCCTAAGTGAAGATACAGTGGTGCCCCGCAAGACGAATGCCTCGCAAGACGAAAAACTCGCTAGACGAAAGGGTTTTCCGTTTTTTGAGTCGTTCCGCAAGACGAATTTCCCTATGGGCTTGCTTTGCAAGATGAAACGTCTTGCGAGTTCTTGCGAGTTTGTTTCCTTTTTCTTAAAGCCGCTAAGCCGTTAATAGCCGCTAATAGCCGTGCTTCGCAAGACGAAAAAACCGCAAGACGAAGAGACTCGCGGAACAGATTAATTTTGTCTTGCGAGGCACCACTGTACAAACGTCTTGCGGGGGCGGGAGGAACCAGAATCTTTGGGTGAAAGTGGAAGTAACGTGAGTTTGTTTCTGTTCTTCGCTCCACAGATGCGGCAATGCTACGGTGGATCCAGTCTCCATGAACCGCCTCAGCTTTATGAGAAACAGGACCCGGTAAAACTGGTTGTTCAGGGAGCCAGGGTTTGGTTGGCTGAGAAGGGGTAGTGAGCAGCCCAATGTTAGCTTCATGTTGCAAAGCAGAGTAGTCAAACTCTGATCTTCCAGGTCCTGGTCTGATACTCTAACCACTATACCACCGCTGCCTCTCACATTTGTTTAATCAGTGCAGGGGGTAGAGCTGAGGTTTTTGTTGGCAGGTTCCTTTCCTGAGAGTTCTGGTGGACTCTCATCCCCGCCGCCACGGTAGGATCAGCAAATGCAACCCTGGCAACATATTTCTCTCTGTTCCCTCCTTCCAGGAATGGGTTGGGTGCTGTGAAGGATGGCGAGCCTCATTTTGTCGTGGTCCACTGCACAGGCTACATCAAAGCCTGGCCACCGGCAGGTAACCTCACCTGAATGTCTCATTCTGGAAGACCCCCCTTTTTGATGTTTCTGCTAATTCATTTATTTCCTGTTACTTTGAAGTCCTGTTCTAAAAATAAAGTGTTATAGGGTTTTTATCAGGAGGGTGGGAAGTCTGGACGATGTTCATGGGTCCCTTCCAGGCCTGTGATCTTGTATCCAGTGGGTTTAGAGTCTACTAAAAGAAGCCACTGAACTGCTCAGACAAGTTTCTTTGCAAGATTCCAGCTTTAGCTGGCTGCTGAAGTACTGCCATTTACATGTCCAAAGAGCGGGCTTGGTTGCCGTAGAGACCAATGGATGGGTCTTTTCCCACCTTACCTGTCTGTATGCCAAGTCATCCTGGGCTGGAGAACGATAGGCCAGGGGGCGCTCTGTGTGAAAAAGAGAGGGGGGAAAAAAGTGTGCATGTGTTGGCTGATGCTGGAAGCTGGAGACACACAGGATTGTCCTGCTCTGTTCTGGATCCAAAGCTACAATTTGATAATCTTGCTGGGAATTTAATGAGGAGGCAATATCTGCTGGAGTTTGAATGCTGTGAGCCTCTCCATCCTATGCTCAGGTTGTATCTATGCATAAATAATGCCATGCATCCCAACTTGCTCAGATTTTCTTTCCCTTGTTTTCATTTTTCTTCTACATAACTGTCAATTTTCCTTTCTGAGATTCCTTCACTTCCCTCTTACCCTCATCTTTCTTTCTTTAAATTCACTAGCAGTTTTTTTTAATTACTGCATCCCTTCTTCTTCCCCTCTGACAGTTGTTTTCTCCCTCCTTTCCCATAGCAAGATACCCACTAATTTTACCCCGCGAGTGTTTCCGCACGGAGACCCCTGTTTTCAAAGGCTTCCAATTACCCCTTGGTTCAGAAGTGTTTCACACAATGCTGGTCCCTCTCTTTGTCGTTTAGTCGTGTCCGCCTCTTCGTGACCCCATGGACCAGAGCATGCCAGGCCCTCCTGTCTTCCACTGCCTCCCACAGTTTGGTCAAACTCATGCTGGTAGCTTCGAGAACACTGTCCAACCATCTCGTCCTCTGTCGCCCCCTTATCCTTGTGCCCTCCATCTTTCCCAACATCAGGGTCTTTTCCAGGGAGTCTCCTCTTCTCATGAGGTGGCCAAAGTATTGGAGCCTCAGCTTCAGGATCTGTCCTTCCAGTGAGCACTCAGGGCTGGTTTCCTTCAGAATGGAGAGGTTGGATCTTCTTGCAGTCCATGGGACTCTCCAGAGTCTCCTCCAGCACCAGAATTCAAAAGCATCCATTCTTCGGCGATCAGCCTTCTTTATGGTCTGGCTCTCACTTCCATACATCACTAGGTCCCTCTCTACTGCCACCAAATTTCTCCCACTCTACCAGCCACATGGGGTCGATAGCATATATTTTTTTAACCCACTAAGACCAGAAAAGACCCACCTTTGAGAAAAGCCTGTCCTGGCTCTGAGCTCAACTCCTCCTTCTTGCCACCCACAGGGGTCTCCCTCCCGGATGACGACCCAGATGCTGGGCAGGGGAGCAAGTTCTGCCTGGTGGCCATCGGCAGGCTGCAGGTGAGTTAGCCTTTCCCTCAAGCCCCAAAAGGACGCAGGAACCAGGTTGCCATTGATTGCTGAGCCTTCTTCGTACCTTATCGCAGCAGGTGTCCTTATCTGAGAGCCTCAAAAGCCAGACCACAATTGCTGTCCCATGTTGCTCCAGGGCAGGGCTGGCAGCTTGCCTGAGGCCACTTTCGTAGAATCGTAGGAGAGTTGAAAGGGCAACCCAAGGGCCATCTAGTCCAACCCTCTGCAATGCGGGAATCATGGCTAAAGAATCCCCGCGAGATGGCCTGTTTGGCGAGCGCATGGCAGAGATTAGGGCCCAGTCCCTCGCCTCTCCCAGCTCTTAGGGAGAATCCGCTGCCGAAGAAGAGAAATAAGAGAAATAATCAGGGGCCTTCTGCAGAGTTTCCTGCCTCCCCTCACTTGCCAACTCGCCTTCTTATGGGGGAAAGGGCTGTCTCGCCTCCAAGCGGGAATCCCAATCCCTCCTGCCTAGCCCCCTCTCTGTAACCGGCCCCTAACCTCTTGGCGTCTCCCTTCCCTTGCAGGTCACGAGCTCGCCCAGCTGCGTGGACATAAACACCGTGTGCCAGCCCACAGAGTTCATCTCGCGGCACAACACCGACTGCCTCTTCACCTTCGTCGACCACCGTTGCGTGGCCACTGTTGGCTACCAGCCACAGGTGCGGGGAACTGGAGGAGGGGGTTCCCAGCAAGAGCTGGGTGCACATTGGCTCCCTGGGTCCAGGCCAAAAGCCCGCTTAGTCCTGCATCCTGGACAATATCATTTATATATAAGTTAAACAGTGCCGGGGCTAAAATTCACCCTGGCTTAACTCCCTTTGTGGCTTGTAAGTTGTCCATTTGTAGAGCAGCACGCCTTTCATCACAGTATCATTGTATAAGCATTTAATCAAGTACAGCAGTCTTTTGTCTATATTTGAGGAGTTCAGCTTATCCCAGAGTCTTACTCGCAAAATTGAGTCAAATGCAGCTTTCAAATCAATGAAAGTTGCGTATAGCATAAGGTTTCCCGGGGACAGTCCCCCGATTTAGAAATCAGTCCTCTGACAAAATCCTATCATTCCTACTGAAGTTGAAAAGCGTCCCCAGATTCATTGAAAAAGGTAACCTGCCTTCAGCAGTGACATTCTGACTCTTTCTCTCTCTCCCCGCCCCCCACGAAAAAAATTAGGAACTCTTGGGAAAGGATATTGTTGACTTCTGCCACCCGGAAGACCACCAGCTTTTGAGGGACAGCTTCCAGCAGGTAAACCAGCCACGAGTCCATGACTGATTCAGCCTGGCATCTGCACAACAACCCAGCACACACCCCTTGGCAAACACATTTTGAATGCCGTCGGAGCAGGCAGGGGGAGCCTTGGGCCCTCCTGAGGTTGCTGAACTACAACTCCCATCTCCTCCCTGGCCGTTGGCCACGCTTGCCGTCAGGGCTGGTGGGAGTCGTAGTTCAGCAAGATCCAGAGGTTGCACACATGCCTGCCTTACAGACCAATCTGTTACCTGGTCTGGAGCACAAACTTCAGGCCATCTTTCCAAAGCCCCGGGAGGGAGGGAGGGGAAGCTGTTTTTTCACGACCTTCACAGTCCTGCATTCCACCCCATAACCATCAACATCTGTGGAAAATGGAAATAAATACAGTGGTGCCCCGCAAGATGAATGCCTCGCAAGACGGAAAAACCGCTAGACGAAAGGGTTTTCCGTTTTGGAGTTGCTTCGCAGGACGAATTCCCCTATGGGCTTGCTTCGCAAGACGAAAATGTCTTGCGAGTCTTGAGATTTTTTTTCCGCTTCCCCCCCCTTTATCTAATCTGCTAAGCCTTTAATAGCCTTTAATAGCCTTTTAGCAGCTAATCCCCTAAGCCTTTAAGCCTTTAATAGCCGCTAAACCGCTAATAGCGCTAATCCGTTAAGCCGCTAATAGGGTTGCTTCGCAAGACGAAAAAACCGCTAGACGAAGACTCTCGCGGAACGGATTAATTTCGTCTTGCGAGGCACCACTGTACCTGCCAGGTGCCCCAGCGTGGGCTGCAGAAACCACTTTTTCAGCTTGAGGGCCACATTCCGTTCTTGGCAACCTTCTGGGGGCCACATGCCACTGGTGGGTGGGGCCAGAGTCAAAAGTGGGTGGGGCCAAGAACGTAAATTTGAGTTCTGTAGAATAGATTGGTTCCTACACACACACAGATGCCTCTCTGTCTTCTGTCCAGGTGAGCGAGAGGCAGGATCAGAGTTCGAGGAAACATCTCCAGCCAGGCAAAACCACCTTTGGGGTGCAAAGCAGGGGTGGTGAGAGGCATAGGGGGAATCCTTGCCCCAGGGAAAGCAACCTCCAAAATCCCAGGCAAGGAGGAATTGTAGCCAGTGCTGGCATTAAAAGAGGGCAGGCAAGTTGCAGCCCCCAACCCAATCTCATCTCTTGCCCTAGTCCCCTTTGCTGGCATTTTTTAGAAAGCCAAAGTGGGGGGCTAAGATTGGGAAGCTCCAAAGTAGCAGAGCTTTATTTGGGGTTCTTCTGATCCTGGGTCTTAGGGTAAGCGCTGCTCTTTCAGGAAGTGCATGTTTTGTTGGGGGGGGTCCTTCCTTTCCACCCCTCTGCTGTGGCTGCTGCTGTTGCCGGCGTAAAACCAAAACAAAACCCCACCCCACCCCCGTTTTTCCAGGTGGTGAAGTTAAAAGGCCAAGTTCTGTCCGTCATGTTCCGTTTCCGGTCCAAGAACCAAGAATGGCTCTGGATGAGAACTAGCTCCTTCACCTTCCAGAACCCCTACTCAGATGAGATAGAGTACATCATCTGTACCAACACCAATGTGAAGTACGTACGCGGGGACCCCCTGTGCCACCCCCACTGGCAGCGGGGCCTGCTCTTTCGCTGTGTCCTTGAAAGACTTGCAGGGCGGAGGGGGCTTTGCAGTCTCCCACCCCAAAAAACTCCTCCTTAGCTTCATTCCAGCCTCTTTTTAAGCAAAATGCATTAAAATAAGTTTCTGCTTCTGGGTTGTCAAATCTCCTTTGCCTTTTTTTTGGTTGTTGTTCAGTTGAACCCCAAGACCTACCAGCCAGATGCAAAATTAGGCAGGGCACATTCACTTTTAAATACAACTTTGAAAAGTCACAGCTTCCCTCAAATAATTAGGGAAAATACTATTTGTTAAGGGTGCTGGGAGTTGTTAGGAGGCCCCTCTATTCCCTTCTCAGAACTACAATTCCCAGAGTTTCATGGGAAAGAGGGATAAGCCTCTCTGGGAATTGTAGCTCTGGGAAAGGAATATGACACTCTTCCTGAACACTCTCAGCATTAACTACAGCTCCCAGGATTCGTTGGGGGGGAAGCCATGGCTCTTTAAAGTCACATCACCGTGCTTTAAATTTATAGTGTGAATGTGGCCTTTGGGTACCCGATGCTAGTCCTATGCAGAGTGGACTCACTGAAATCAGTGGACAGGCTAACTTAGGTCCATAGATTTCCATATGTCTGCCCTGACTGGAACTTAGTTAGCTGCTGCCCTTAGAATTAAGGAGCAAGGAGCCTCCAATCCCATTTCTGAGTGTAGGGATTTGTTTCCAGTGCTAGAGGTCACAGCTCTTTTGCACACACACAAAAATCTGCCAACTATGAGTTCAGATTTCTTCATTTTAGCTGCCTAACCTAGGTGGGAAAACTTGCTTTTTCTTGCTCTGGGGTCAGAAACCCTTGTTGATCTACTGCAAAATTGCCCTGAGATCTCCCCACAGATCTCAGTCTACTTTCTGCCCTTCCCTTGGTCTAAACCGCCTGTCTGCTCTGAGTATCCCCCTCTTTTGCTCTTGATTGGACAGGCTGCTGTGATGTCAGGGAATACGCTAGCCTTAATTGGAGCAGACCTACAGAACCTGACTACCTTGGAGAACATAAGAAAAGCCTGCTGGATCAGGCCAATGGCCCATCCACAGCTGGAGGTTCATTAGTTTCAGTGGGTCTGCTGCTGAGTAGGACTGGCATGGGATGCGACCCATAATGCCGCCCCCCTCAGCCATCAGGACACCAGCTCTCCTCTTGGTCTGCCCCATATTGTCATGTTGGTGTCATTTCCTTGAGTGAATCCATACATTCACCATCCCTAAATCTGAAACTGGGACACATTTGCAGGTTGAGCTAAAGACTAAGAATCATCTCCAGCTAAGTTTTACTGAGAGTAGACCCATTGAAATGAATGGAACTAAGTTATGTTGATCGATTTCAGTAGCTCTGCTTTGAGTAGCGCCAACATTGGAGACTGCTCTCAATTTTCTGCCCACTGCCCATCTTTCAGTCTATTTTAAAAATAATTTTGTGGTGGAGTGGAGGGGCGGGTGGCCTCTGAGAGAGTGTTGTGGCAGTCGGCTTGAGTAAGCTTTTGCACAATCTATCTCTGCCCCTTCACTTGGGGGTGGGGAGAACCCCACACACCCATACACTCATCCATCCCATTTCCATATACCAGCTTCAGACGGGGAGCTTCAGAGAAATCAAAGCCAGATTTTGCATTTATTATGGAGTCGCTTACGTAGAACAGTGTAAGGTGTTTTGTTTTGTTTTTAAACTGATTACAATCAAGCTTTAAAAACAAACATGCCTGAAATTTCTCAAAATGCAGATTTAAAACCAACAGATACGTGTAAAAAGAATTGTGTGTCTGGGGTAGCGAAAAAGACTTTAGCAGGTGCCAAAAACGGCCTTAAGAAGAGGGAGGGGCAGAAAGATCCCCTGGCTCACTGGAATGCTCTGAGGGTTGTGATTGGCTCCCTCCGATCCCTGACCTTCCCTTCCCCGATGACCCCCCAGGAATGCCAGCCAGGAGTCCCGGCCTGCCTTGGCCAGTCAGATGCAGCGGCCCCAACTGGGCCCGAACGCCAGCCTGCCTTTGGAGATGAGTCCTGCCCAGCTGGCGACGAGGTAAGTGGGGGGCTGGCTGGAGTCACCCTGGGGCCCTTTGCTCTGTGAGGGGTCTATCCCAAGGCCCCCCGGGGCATGTAGGTGTCGGAGCACCTTGTAAGCTCTGCTCAGTTCCTCTCCCTGCTTTGTGGCACTTTCCTCTGACCCACGACCGGCTCCTAACCTCTTAACAATGGCTTGCGTTTCAGGCAGCAGGCGACGCAGCCAACAGACGTCGACGTGGTCCCTGTCAGGGAGAGCTTAGCCAGTTACGACCACGCCCAGGTAACTCGGCAAAGGTTCCAAGAGTTTCCATGGGGACTCGTCCCAGCTCCCTGCCCTAAATTGAGACCTGGCAGAGGGCACACACAAACACACCCGCTGACACGGATCACTGTGTCCCTCCTTTGGCAGACCACACACTCCACTGGAAGGAACTCGTGGCGCTCACCTCTGTGGAGTTGCCAGTCGCCATTGGCGACTAGAGGAGTCGTTCAATACCGGACTGCAGTGGCATGAGAGGAAGAAATGACTTTTTTTTTTTCCATAACTCCCCTCTTCAGCCATCCTTCAGCCTGCCCCCTTTGCATGCACACAACTGAAAACATAGATTTTGTGGAGTGGCAATCCAAACAGGATTCTCCCACCCTGTCCATTCTCATTTAAGTGGCATGTTGCAGGATTTATGTTAGAACACACCTAGATTCCAATCCTTGCTCAGCCGTGAAGCTTATTGGGGTGTCCAGGGGCCCAGTTGCCATCTCCCAGCCTAACCCACTTCTTGGGGTAGTTGTGAGGTTAAAATTAGGGGAGGAGGAATGGGGTATGGTGCCCTGAACTCTCGTGACGGGGTGGGGAATGGAAATGGAAATAAATCCCTGGGCTTATCACTTATTTAGTTGTGTGTGCACATGTTGACACCTGCAGATTGTATCCAACATTAATCATACTCAAGACTCTGCAGTTAACGGTTTTGACTGACCTTAGGCGCGTTGATTTCAGAGGATCTACTCAGGAGTAGGACTGAGCTGACTGTGCAACCCTGTGTTTGCTCATCTCCTTCCAGGCTGCCGTTCAACCGGTGGCCACCACCGGCCCGGACCATGGCAAACCTCTGGAGAAAGCAGAGACCCTCTTCAGTCAGGAGCGGGACCCTCGCTTCAGTGAAATTTACAGCAGCATCAGCACAGGTGAGAGGGTTGGGGTCGGGGGGTGGGAAATCAGAGCCGGTAATCAGTAGCCATGTCAGTCCATCCCCTGGGAGAAAAAAAGAGAGAAATCTTGGGGAACGCCAGAGGTCCCAAGTTCAAACCCCAGAGGCATATCCAGGTAGGGCTGGGGACGTCCAGCCTCACCTGAAACCTTGGAGAGGCGCTGCCGTCAGTGTCGACAGTCCTGGGCGAGATGGGCCCAAGCAGCCTTTTTGCTATAGCTTCCTATGAGTTGGATCCAGCATTAGTCCTGCTAAGACCAGGACCCCTTGAAATGAACGAAGGTGGTGGATTTGTTCCTTATTTAGCTGTTTAATTTATAAATCCTGCCTTCTCCCCAGGCCGGGACTCAAGGCAACTTACACAAGTTAAAGCGGCACAGAGAAAGTACAAGAAGCTAAAAGCATATTTTAAAATAGTTTGTTTAAACTAGAGTGGCCTTTGTCCATGGAGTTTTCTTGGCAGGGATACTGGAGTGGCTTGCCGGTTCCTGCTCCAGGTGGATCACGTTTGGTCAAAACTCTCCACTATGACCTGTCCATCTTGGGTGGCCCTGAACGGCATAGCTCATAGCTACTCTGAGTTATTCAGGCCCCTTCGCCACGGCAAGGCAGTGATCCATGATCACTCCCTGCTTATTTAACTTATATGCAGAATTCATCATGCAAAAGGCTGGGCTGGATGAATCCCAAGCCGGAATTAAGATCGCCGGAAGAAATATCAACAACCTCAGATATGCAGATGACACAACCTTGATGGCAGAAAGTAAGGAGGAATTAAAGAACCTTTTAATGAGGGTGAAAGAGGAGAGCGCAAAATATGGTCTGAAGCTCAACATCAAAAAAACAAAGATCATGGCCACTGGGCCCATCACCTCCTGGCAAATAGAAGGGGAAGAAATGGAGGCAGTGAGAGATTTTACTTTCTTGGGCTCCATGATCACTGCAGATGGTGACAGCAGTCACGAAATTAAAAGACGCCTGCTCCTTGGGAGAAAGGCGATGGCAAACCTAGACAGCATCTTAAAAAGCAGAGACATCACCTTGCCAACAAATGTCCATATAGTTAAAGCCATGGTTTTCCCAGTAGTGATGTATGGAAGTGAGAGCTGGACCATAAAGAAGGCTGATCACCGAAGAATTGATGCTTTTGAATTATGGTGCTGGAGGAGACTCTTGAGAGTCCCGTGGACTGCAAGAAGATCCAACCTCTCCATTCTGAAGGAAATCAGCCCTGAGTGCTCACTGGAAGGACAGATCGTGAAGCTGAGGCTCCAATACTTTGGCCACCTCATGAGAAGAGAAGACTCCCTGGAAAAGACCCTGATGTTGGGAAAGATGGAGGGCACGAGGAGAAGGGGACGACAGAGCATGAGTTTGTGGGACAGTGTTCTCGAAGCTACAAACATGAGTCTGACCAAACTGCGGGAGGCAGTGAAAGACAGGAGTGCCTGGCGTGCTCTGGTCCAGGGGGTCATGAAGAGGTGGACATGACTAAACGCCTAAACAACAACAAACTAGAGTAGAATGAAAATAGCATAAAGGCAGATTGAAATATAGATAATAAAAAGGCAGTGTCAGAAGCACTTTACTTATAAACAGTCATTCCCAAAAGCCTGTCAGAATAAATTTATCTTCTTCTGCCAGCAGGAAGGGCAAGGAGAGAGCCTGTCTCTCGGAATAAGGCCCATTAGTATCAGTAGGTCTTTGTTGGATACCGCCCAATATCCCGTTCTTGGGTGGCCAGGTCGGGGCTAACCATGCTTCTCTCTCTCTCTCTCTCTCAATCAGACCAGACGAAAGCCGTCTCTTCTGGCTCTCTGCCCGCCAGCCAGTCCCTCTTCTCCCAGGGAAGCAGTTTCATAGCTCCGCGTCCCACCGAGAACTTCAGGTGAGGTCTAAGGGATAGTCTCAAGACTCCTGCAATTGGCTGAGTTTCCTTTCCAGTTTAGCCCAGCCTCCGCAGTGCAGTGGTTAGAGTGAGTGAGGGTTCAAATCCTCACTCAGCCACCAAGCTCACAGTCTCTCAGCTTAAGCTACATCAAAGGGGGCGGGGGGGACCACGTATGCAGCCTTGAGCTCCTCAGAAGAAAGGCGAGATAGAAACTGAGTGAACAAATAGAGGAATGAATGGCACGCCAGCTCTCTGCGTGCCTCTTCAGCCACACTGGCCTTTCCTCCCTTAACTCTGCCCTCTTCCTCGCCTCTGTAGGAGCAGCACGATGGTGCCCCCCGTGAACGTCATTCAGCAGCAGCTGCCCACAGCACCGCATTCGGCCTCGGCGGGGCAGATCCTGGCCCAGATCTCTCGCCACTCCAATCCTGATCAGGTCTCCGGGACCACTTGGGCTTCAGGGACGACACGCACGTCTTTCACTGCCCAGGTAGTTTTTGTCTTTTTCCTACAGACCATAAATATGGGCATCCCTAGTACGAACTGGGCTTAGCCACAGTTTTGTGTTGAATAGTCACAAGCTGCCGTGTCTGCTGGAGGAGCTGGAACTGGGCCTGGTTTAGGAGTATAGGAAGCTTCTGCCTCATAGAATCATAGAACTGTAGAGTTGGCAGGGACCCCTGGTGGTTATCTAATCCAATCCCCTGCGATGTAGGAATCTCAACGAGATTGTACATAACAGACGGCCATCCAGCCTCTGCTTAAAAATCTCCAAGGAAGGTCATTTTGTTCCTGTAAGGACATACACTCCAGCTTCCCGTAACCTACCAGTTGCTTTTTATTTATCTGCTCACTGTTTAAATTTCTTTTTCGTGCTCTTCTAGCAGGCGGCTTCCCACGCTGTTAAGACTCGGCCGCCTTCCTTTGCCATGGGCACCTTCCAAGGCACCCCGTCCTCCTTCAGCCCCATGTCGACACAAGGCTCCACAGCTTCGCCAGGCGGGTCTGCCTATCCAAGCCTTGCCAGCCGCAACGCCAGCTTTGGTGAGTGTTCCCCACCGGGTTTGGAAGTTGCAAGCGGTGATCCTTCTGCTGAAGAGGCAGGACTCTGTCGCCGTGCAGTTCCTCGTTCTGCAGAAGCAACGCTGTGAAATGATGGGCGTGTATGTTGAGCATAGCGGGAAGGGCCGGAGCTCAGCAGAAGAATATCTGCTTTGCTTGCAGAAAGTCCCAGGTTCAAATCCAGGCACCTTCTGCTAGGGCTGGGGAGACCATGCCTGAATGTAACAAGAGCCCACAAGGACCGCCTCTCTCCATATGAACCTACATGGACCCTGGGATCATCATCTGAGTCCCTTTTTCATGTGCCTCCTCTAAGAGAGGTCCAGAGGCTGGCAACATGAGAACAGGGCCTTTTCTGTAGTGGCTCCCCGCTTGTGGAATGCTCTCCCCAGGGAGGCCCACCTGGCACCTTCCTTGCATATCTTTAGGCGCCAGGCAAAAGCATTTCCCTTCAACCAAGCCTTTGGCTGATTAATATTCTACATCCTTTTAAATGTGTTTGTCATGGAAACAAAAGCATAATCAATTTTTTGAAATAATTTTTATTGGTTTTACAAAATAAATCATGATTAACATTTTTCATTAAAGAAAAGTTTAAAATAAAACAAGATTCTCCCAAATCTTAGGACTCCCCTCCTCCCCTCTGTGGGTGCTTTAAGTTTCTTAATCAACTGCATATTAGAGTTCATCCAAATTTCAGTTCTCCAATATGTCCAAAGTCTCTGTAACATTGCAAGAGTTATTCAGAGCATGCCATCAATTGCACAATCATTTCATGGTTGCCGGGAACAGTATCTTTCAGTCTTCCAACAGGAATACTTTCAAATGCTTCTTGAATGTCAATAACAAGGGAGACAGGCTCACCTCACAAGGGAGGGCATCTCCTGTGAATCCACCTGGGATCTACCTTCTGCCCCACTTCTGATTGCTAGACCTCTTTCTGCAGCCCAAAGCAGGGTGTTTCCGCCCACCAACTCCTTCTAAGCCAAACCAGTCAATCTAGACCAAAGCGTGTTATCAAGGGCATGGGGAAAGAACAGTCTTGTCTCCTACACTCGGTGCTAACCGCATTTTTGTTCCTTTCAAAGCTGCTGGAGAGAGCGGGCAGGCCCCAGCCCCGTTCCAGCCCCGGGCAGCGGAGGGGGTCGCCGTGTGGTCGCAGTGGCAGGGTCAGCACCACGGACAGAGTCCAAGCGAGTCGCACGCCCAGCAGCCACCACCAAACCAGTCAGAAGTCTTCCCGGTCAGTCAACCTCCCCTCCGCCACGATTCCAGTAACTTTTCCTGCCCCCGTTTTATAAACAGAGGCCAAGACACCAAGGATCCTCTTGCTAGGGATCCAAACCAGGATTTAAACCTCCAGCAGCCGACACTATTTCCCCATCTTTGATTTATGTAAAAGCACTGATAACCCAAGAAGCTGCACTGTACTGAGCGAGACCGTTGGTCCACCTAACTCAGTATTGTCTACACAGACCGGCAGCAGCTCTAGATCCTCTCACAGCACCCTCAACAAACGACAGTCCCCAGGATTCTTTCTGGGAAGCCATAACTATTAAAGTAGTATAAAGGTAAAGGTAAAGGGACCCCTGACCATTAGGTCCAGTCGTGACTGACTCTGGGGTTGTGGCGCTCATCTCGCTTTATTGGCCGAGGGAGCCGGCGTACAGCTTCCAGGTCATGTGGCCAGCATGACTAAGCTGCTTCTGGAGAACCAGAGCAGCGCACGGAAACGCCGTTTACCTTCCCGCCGGAGCGGTACCTATTTATCTACTTGCACTTTGAGGTGCTTTTGAACTGCTAGGTTGGCAGGAGCAGGGACTGAGCAACGGGAGCTCACCCCGTTGTGGGGATTCGAACCGCCAACCTTCTGATCAGCAAGTCCTAGGCTCTGTGGTTTAACCCACAGCGCCACCCGCATCCCTAAAGTGGTATAAGGGTGCTTTAAATGTATGATCCAGAAGGGATCTGAGTTAATACAGATAAAGGTTTTACATAGCACATTTGAGGGTGGGGTTCATTTTAGGGGGCGCTGTTAAATGTTTGCAAGTAGGAAACCCTTCTCCTGCATTCAGGAACCACTTTCTGCCCGTCCTAGAAGATACAGTGCACTGTCACCTAAGCAACGATAATTTCATTCTCATTTTCGAATTCCCTTTCATTTACAGGACATGTTGTCCATGCTAGGGGAACAAGGAGCCAGCTACAACAACGAAGAGTTTCCCGAGCTGAACATGTTCCCCCCCTTTTCGGAATAAGGATGGGAAAAGATCTGTGCAGATGGTGCAGTTTCCCCTGGCCCCCCGTGTAGCGACGCAGGGAGGGAGGAGCGTTTGTGACTCTCCAAACCCTTTCTAACTTCTGTCAAAGACTGCCAAAGTCTTCCTACTTCTGGGAAGCAGAAGCGCTGCAGGCGAGGCGTCGCAGAGGGAGTCCGGCTCGTTCCCAACTTGGGTGGAGCCTCTGGCGAGGCCGCTGTTTCCCTCCTTCCCGGCAGACCTGCCGCGAACCGGTTGTGTTTTGGAGAAAGCCGCGTGTGCAGAGTCCAAAAGCAGTCGCGAGGACTTGGGGAGCCCGATGAGTGGACGATGCTCAGTGTGCGATCATCAGGGATTTTTAAAAGCTCAATGGGTGTTTGGTTTTTTAAAAAAGAAACACCCTACGCCATAACCTTTTATACATATATATACATATATATATAAATATATCAAAATTGTATTCTTGTTTATACGATGTCAGGGAATGGGGGCAGAATTTGCCCCCTGAAATGATGCTTAAAGCGCTGTGTAATTCCGTCACCTGTGAACACCCGAGGCATATAGAGGAACTCGTTGCCGCGCACTCGTTTCACTAGCATCCGCACTCGTGTGTTCAGGTCTTGCACGTTATCTCCCTCGAGCAGTGTTAATGAAATGGAGGGGTCTGCCTGCCCCCACCCCAACGGTTCACCCTGCTGGGCTAGCAACTTTCTCAAGTGCCCCCCTTTCCCAGCAGCCGCCAAGCCGCCCACCAGCGCTTGAATGCTGTGTATGTCTTTAGAGCATTGTGCTCTCCCCATAATGTATAGGGGAACTGGGATGCCAGCCGGCACTGGGAACAACAAGGAAGTTGGGGGACATTGAAGCTGGCTGCACCTGGCTAGTCAAGGAAAAAGTAGGCATGGCTTGTCCTGAAGGAAGCCTTCAGGTTCCTCTGTTCTCTGGAAACCCAGACAAGCAAGTGTGGTGTTTGCCTTCTGGGATGATGAGACTCAAGGTATCCACCATTGAAGCTGGCCCTGTTTCCTCCCATAACCTGTGCAATTAAAAGTGGGCCTCGCTCATTAGCGGAACCCTCTTGGCTTCCTTTTTTCTTGTAACGCTTCAGGACGGGGGACACTTCCAAGCCATAAAAAGCATCCGTAGCACAAAAGCTTTTTGTTGTTGTTGCATTGTTGAGGATTTTGGGGTTCACGTGGGTCCCCTTTGTGTCCATCCCTCTCTTAATGTGAAATGGGACAGGGCTGCAATCTTCCCCCGGTGCTCACACAATTCTGGAAACAAGCAGATTTAATCTGAGCAGGTTTCCTGTCCATCTGTTGTTCCTGTTGATGTCTTCCCCTCCCCCCCTTCTTCAGTGGGGGGTAAAGAACACACATACCTGTCTCTCCCCCCCAATCCAGGCATCATCCTGCTCACCTGTTCTAGGGGGTAAGAATTGAGATGAGACGATGGGAACCTTGTTCTGGAGATGTGTGATCGTCATCGAAATATACTTACATTTGGCATGAAGCCTGAATTCTTGGAATCTACCACTGTCTTCTTTCATAAATCTCAGTTGAAAGTGGGGTGCACCCCAGGCTTTGGATAGAGGGGAAGACTGTTCCTCTCGTGTTCCAGAAGTTATGTATACGATCTTGAATAGTGTAACAATGCAGTGCTGTCTTTTCTGAGAAGGAAAAATGAAAGATCAGGATAAATTCTTTTAAAAACCCACGGCGATTCTCATTTCTATCTTGCAAAACTCAGCCATTGTTTGCCAAAGCGCAAGGATTGATCTCCCGGCGTCCCAAAAATATGGCACCAACCACTTTGCGATTTAAAAGCAACAATAACTTTTTAGTAATGACTGCAGAATTCAGCATCTGGATAATTTCTAGTTCTTTTCCCCCCTTTTTGTGTACTTTTAAAAAAATCAAGTTTCTGGCCCTCATAATGAAGAGGACCAGCTTGATGTCTGTGGGCCCGTATCTCAGAAGCATTTTACTGTTTTTCGTGTCGACCTTTTGTCCCTTGCCCTGGCTTAACAGAGCAATTATGCAAAATAAACGATATGCCATATGTTTTATTCATGATGTTGTGCTCAGCTTTGATGAGAAAAGAGTTTCTTTTTTCCTGAATTTCAGCTGGTGGGTTTTAAGAATACGGGAATATAACTTGGACCGCTGTGCCATCTCAGGCTCATGTGCTGTGGGATAGACATTGGGATTCAGAATCTCATGAGGCTGTGCTTTAGGGTCTGTTTCCAGAGATGGGGCGTTGTGGGGGGTGTCAGCTGACCAGTACCTCAAAAACAGTGTATTCCCAACACCTCGAGTATTAGGATCTCCCCCCAGCTTTCCTGGAAATGCCACAGGGGATTGGATTTGGACCCTTCTGCATGCAAGGCAGGTGTCCTGCTGCTGAGCTGCAACCCTTCCCTGTACCCATGATGCTCCATGACTCACAAGGCACCCTGAGTATGCATTCAATGGGGCACAGGCTGGCAGTAAGAAAGAAACCTTGGTACAGAAGGCAGCATCCATCTCTCCTGCCCAAGAGCCTGAACATTGCCCACCTCCCCACCCCAATGCCACTTTACCCATAGTGCACTGCGCTGCAGCCCACCCCCACCACCCTTATCACTGAGCTACTTGCAAGAAAAAATAAAGTAAGATCCCAGTCCTCATGGTTCTTAATGAGACTGGACAAAGGTTTCTTTTTTTTCTAGCAGACCTGTGAACTGGCAGAGACACTTCTGCAGAGCCAATGGCTCGTTTACGTAATAATCCATGATTCATTACACTGGGTGCTTTCCCCACAACAGCCAGAAACGAGGAGCAGCTTGCCCTGTTTCCTGGTACTCCCAGGATATATTGCTTCTATATCTGGAGGCTCTTGTGCATAAATAGCTATCAGGAGATCTATGTAAACTCATTTAATCCTTTTTTAATAAGAACCATTACTTCCCTCTCTCAACAGAGAAAAAATCGGTTTGGCCACTCTACATTTAACCTCCAAAGAATCCTGGGAACTCATTTGTTGGGGTGCTGGGAAACGCAGCTACAGTTCCCAGGATTTTTTTGGGGGGAGCCTTAAATGTATGGGGTGTAGGGCAGCCACAACCTTTCTTCTGCATGGACACAAACCACGTAGCAGCTGCCTTACACGGAGTTGGAAGGGACCCTGTGGCCATGTAGCCCACCCCCTGCAATGCAGGAACATTGGTCCATTTCACTTAGGGATGCCTACTTTGGCTGGCTGGCTCAGGTTCTCGGGGGGTTATTTCTAAAACTGGAACTGCCAGCGATTCAATCGGGGGCTGTTCTACATGCTCAGCTGGTGCGCTCCCTCAGATCTCTGACATGGTTACAGCCTTACCCGGCTCAGGTAAACATGCAACGCCATGATGACAGAGCAGCTACAGCAAAAGGCCTCCCAATTCTGCTCCCAGGCCCTAGCTCAGTGCCTTAACCACTACCCCACACTGCCCCAGAGCATCCCCCCGCCTCCCCCCCCATCTCTCAGCCTCCTGCTTCTGCCAGTTGAAGAGCTGAGATGCCTGCATCACTGGCTTCTGAATAGCTGCCTCCGCAAAGCCTGTAGCTCTGCTTCTCTCACCCCTTTTAAAGTTTCTGCCTCTGTGATGCTGCAGGGTGGCTCTGAAGAGGCCCAGGGACCAGAATAATAATGAGGACAATTTATACATTTCCCACAATCTACTGGTGTGCAGAACAGTATATATTGATTTACTTTGGCCTGTCCCACCAGGGAGTGCTCTTGCTTCACTTTCACATTCAGGTGTGTTTACACAGAGTTCCAAGAGACCCAAAGGGGTCATCTAGTCCAACCCCCTGCCATCATGGCACCTTGAATGGGGCCCAGAAACAAACCGGCAACCGGTGCAGCTGCTTTTAAGATGGGTTATGCGAGATCTAAACGGAATCCCAGCCAGTAGTCTGGCTGTGGCATTTTGGACAAATAGACCAAATCTCTCCCCCACTGCCACAGCCAAATTCAGCCATTAAGCTCCCACAGGGGCAACTATGGCCCATCCATTACTGCCTCCCATCCTAAGCTACCTCACAGGGTTGCTGAGAGGATATAGCGCCCCCTCAAGCTAGTTGGAGGAAAGGAGGGATACATGTGAGATAGTTTAGCAAACTGGTATGTGTGTGTGAAGAAGCAGCTCAGATTTTGTGCCTGAAGAAAACCGCTTCATGGCTTGCAGCAAAGTAGTCAGTTCCTCCTATGACCCATTTCCCATTTCTTTTCGGGGGGAGGGAACCCACCAACAGCAGCAATATAGTCATAAGTTTCCCACTTCCTCCTTCCCACCCCCTGCTTCAGCTGAAAGGGCTCCTGTGCTTTTTATAGTTGTGGTGGAACCAACAGGTGGAGCTTTTGCCCAGCAGAGCAGCTGCCCGGGTTGAATGATCTTCCTGCAGAAGGAAGTATGCTAGAGGGAAGGGGAAATGGGTCCTGCATTTGCACTAACTAAGCTCTGAAAGAGTAGCTCTGTACGTGTTCATCAGCCAACCCTTGCACATCTTTGGGAACTACGATTCCCACTGGCTGGGGCTGACGGGAGCTGTAGTTCCACAACATCAAGAGGGTACTGGGCTGCGGTTTGCATTTTAAGGAGGACTGAAAGATCTTAAAACCAGGTCCCTGCAAGAAACAGACTTAGCAGCAGCTCCAGGGCAGCAGAAAAAGACAAATCAATAACTTCTTCATGTCTCACTTAACAAAAGGATGTCTAGTCTGTGACACTCCCAATGTGATTTTGTCATTTTTTAATGCATTTGTATATTGGCTCCCAGTTCATTTCTGAGCACAATTCAAAATGTTGGTGCTGACCTTTAAACCCCTAAACAGTCTCGGCCCAGTATACCTGAAGGAGCGTCTTCACCCCCATCGTCCAGCCCAGACACTGAGGTCCAGCTCCAAGGGCCATCTGGCAGTTCCCTCACGGTGAGAAGCAGAGTTACAAGGAACCAGGCAGAGGGCCTTCTCGGTGGTGGCACCCTCCCCAGTGGAACGCCCTCCCTTCAGATGTCAAGGGGATAGACAACTGCAGACTTTCCAGAGACATCTGAAGGCAGCCCTGTATCGGGAAGCTTTCATGCTGGAAGCCACCCAGAGTAGCTGGGTGAAAGCAGTCAGAGGGGTGGGGTATAAGTAATATTTATTATTTATTATTATTACTGTATTATTATTACTGTATTATTATTATTATTATTATTATTATTATTCCCAGGTTGGGATCCAAGGCAGCTTACAACATTTGAGGACAAAAATGCAAAGCAATAAAAACAACCTAGTTAAAAGCAGTGATTATAATGCATCATAACACGTTTAAAACTAGGTATTAAAGCACAGCCTGACCTGACAGCAGCCCAGTGATCAGCATCGCCTGCACCTCAGGCTCAATCTAGACACATCAAAGAAGCGTTTCAATTAAATGTGTGGCAAACTTTGTATGAGAAATCGGGTTGGCAAAAATGGAACTCCACAGCGCCATCTGGCGTCGCAGTGTTAGAATGCATAAGCAATGAATATAAAGCGTTTCTTCTTTGCCAATGTAGCTGAGTCCCTTGTTTCCAAAGGTCTGTTTGAACAGGAAGATTTCGCTCAGCCTGCTGGCGGAAAGAGCGAGCGAGGAGGGAGCCAGCCTCAGCCTGGCCTCTCTTGGGAGGGAATTCCACAATATGGAAGCAGCCGCAGAAAAGGCTCTCTCTTCTGTCATGCTTCTTATGTTGATGGGGTCAAGAGAAGGTGGTTAGACTCCAGCTCCCATCAGCGCTGGTGCTCAGGTTCTGCTTCTGGGATCCCCAATGGGGCACCTGGATGCCCACGGTGAGAACAGGAGGCCGGACTAGATGGCTACAGTATTCTTCTTATGCCAACAGCGGCAGCCTCAAAGAGGCCATAGCAGTTTGGGAGCTTTTGCATGACAAAACCTGCTTCCCTGGAAGATCAAACTTCTTGTGATAGAGGAAAGAAATGGCAGAACATACTAGGGACTCAGCCACATTAGTCAAAAAAACAACACTTTGAATGTGTTATGAACATGCAACACCAGATAATGCCAGAGAGCAAACAAATTTTCTATGCAGTATTTACATAGGTTCCCCCCCCCTTTTGTTATAACGATTTAATTTCTGACTTATTTATAGCGGTTTTTTCCTGTGTGTAGATCCACCCCAGGAAGTGTAGGACTGGTGCTCTGTTTGACACAACGTCATCTAACCTCCTCACAAACAAATTAGAACGAAGGCTCCTGAAATAGTTAACATCATCTGACATCCCTGCAGACAGATCAGGATAAATGTTTGATAAAGATGTTGTCTGGAAGTGGCTTTATATGGTCACTGCCAGCTAAGAAGCCTTAATCTAAGGCAGCAACCATTGCTGGACCTTTGCATGTCGAATCCCGTCTGTTAATTAATAATTATGCCTTGTGTAATTCTGTCTGCTCTGAAAATCAACTGCTGCCTCTGGCCTGATCTGCAAAAACAAGCAACCCATGGGCAGCTGCCAGATGTTAGCAAGAGTCATGCATCATGGGAAAGGGAGCCTCTTTTGCACCTGCATCTGCAGGTGTGGGCGACTGACATCTTAACTTTCCACATGGTTTCATTGTAAATGCACGCAGGTGTTATTTTCTGCTTCTGAATCGAGTCCTGCTTCTGAAAAGCGTCCCCCAAAGAGATTTGGGCCAACCAACCTGGTGCTCCCAGCCGTGCTCTACAGCCATGTTGGCCAGGGGTTATGGGAGTTGTAGTCCTCAAACATCTGGAGGGCAGCGCATTGGCAAAGGCTGGATGTAAGCTGTTTGCAATTAGACTCTCCTTTGAAAATCAAAACCTCTCTGGTTTGCTGTGCTGCCAGAATTGTGGTTTTCTGCAAAAAGAGCACATTCCTGACGTGAAGCTGGTGACTCAAGTCATATCTTTTCATTTAAGATCCCCCACCTCCTGGTTTTCCTTTCTTCCCACCTAAACTTTTTTTAAAAGGATTTAATTCAGTTTTGCATACTTAAGCTTGATTTCAGGGGCAGGAGACATTCTTTTCAGCCCACAGGGGCCAGATATAATAATAATAATAATAATAATAATAATAATAATAATAATTTTATTTATACCCCGCCCTCCCCAGCCAGGGCCAGGCTCAGGGTGGCTAACACCAAATATGAATTGCAATAAATTACAATACGGAACCTTTGGGGGGGCCACATGCAGTGGTGGGCAGGACCAGATGCAGTGGTGGGAAGGACTGAGAACATAAGTAGGTGGAGACATGGATCTGACTCTTACTATGCAAGGCTACTGTATATTCAAATCATGCAAAACTCAGAGATTTCTACACCACCACCCCTCTCTCCATCTTCCATCCAGGTATGCAAGAAACAGTCTAACCATTCAAGGATGCCTTCCAGTCAAGGGAAAGCACTCATAGGATCATATACTCATGGACTTGTAGACTTGGAAGGGACTCCCAAGGGTCATCTAGAACCCCCTCCAATGCAGGGTCTCCAGGAGATTGAGGGTGGGGTGTGGCCTCAGGAGAGTCCTGAGACCACATGCGGCCCCCAGCCCAAGGATCCCACCCCTATGGGGTATTCATTCATTCATTTGTTTTCTAATTTCTGTGTATTGTGTGCTGCCCTCTCCCAAAGCATCCATGGCGCCAACACGATATAAACCCCAAGCAGCCATTGTGATCAAGAAAAGCAGTCTGAATTCTGAAATCAAATTCTCATTAGCCTGGCTTCCACTTCATTTGCTTGGGAGCCAGAACATTTTGTGTTGCTAGATGTGACTCTTGCCTTCTCTGTGTCATGTGGGGCCTTACGAATCTCCAGCTGGAAATTCCCTGTTATTCATACATATACACACATGCACAAGCATTGACTTATGACAATTTTTAGCAAATCAAAGTGAGCTCAAGGTCAACTGCTCATCACATTCCTGCTGCTGTAGGTTTTGGTGCCCTGTGCCTGCCCAACCCAGAATTTGGAAGGGATGGGGCTGGAAAATAACAAAACCAGCTCCAAATCAATCCCCAAATCTCCTTTTCAAAGCCAGCAGGAGAAACAGCCTTGATTGAGATTCTACTCTTTTATCTCTGCAGCTCTGAACACTCTGAACAATCGAAGGCAGCTTGCAGAAATATTCGAGAAGGAAAACGCAAGATAGATCCTCACAATGCCGCTATGCTAAATGGCAGAAGCTCAAATAAAGGTGTGTGGGTTGTGTCGTACGAGGCCATGATGCTCTGGGGCAAGCAAGCCTTAATTCATTTCTTTATTCTTATGTTTATATCCTGTCTTTCCTCCAAGGAGCTGCAGGCAGGGTCTGTGGCTCTTTCTCCCTCTCCCCATTTCATCCTCACAACAACCCTGCGAAGTAGGCTAGACTGTGAGACTGGCCCACGGTCACCCAGTAAGAGCTTTGTGGCCAAGTGGGGAGTTGAACCCTGGATTTCTCAGGTCCCCCCAGCCTAACACTCTAACCAAGGCACCACACTGGCTCTGAGGGAGCATATCAAAGATTTGTATTGGGTCAAAACAAGCCCAGACAGATGTTTTACCTCCTCCCCCTGCCCACCCACCACTCCCCAGCTGCCTGAGTATAGTTTTTTCCAAATGGTATGTTCTCAAAACAGTTTTTTCCCCAATTCCATGAAAAATGAACACAATCCTGGGAAATGGTGTTGCTTTGATGCCTTGCTATATCTTGTTAAGAACATAAGACTAGCCTGCTGGATCAGGCCAATGTCCCATCTAGTCCAGCATTCTGTTCTCACAGTGACCAACCCAGTTCTTAAAGGAAACCCACTAGTGGGACCTGAGCACAAGTACCGTCTCCCCTCCTGTGGTTTCCAGCAACTGGTATTCAGAAGCATTGCTGCCTCCAACTATGGAAGCAGAGCATAGCCATCATGACTAGCAGCCATCAGAAGTCTTCTCCTCCATTAATTTTATCTTCTATGCTGTTTAACACCTGCATGAAACCACTGAGTGGGGTTATCCAGAGTTTTGGAGCACATTGTCAGCAATATGACACTCAGCTCTGCTTGTCATTTACACCTGCAGGCGAGGCTGTGGATGTGCTGGACCAGTGTCTTGGCTCGGTGTTGGACTGGATGAGAGCCAACAAACTGGAGTTCAATCCAGATGAGACATAGGCACTTTTGGTGGGTGGTTCCCTAGACTGGATGGATGGGAGGTGGCCCACTCTTGATGGGGTCACACTCCCTCTGAAGGAGTAGGGATGCAGCTTGGGGGTATTTCTGGATCCATTGCTGTCACCTGAGGCTTAGGCGGCCTCGGTGGCACCGAGTTCCTTCCATCAGCCTGGGTTGATGGCCCAGCTGTGCCCCTATCCACTCCAGCCACCTACTAAATGTGTTATACGTGGGGCTGCCTCTGAAGACGGTTCAGAAACGTCGGCTGGTACAGAATTCAGTGGCCAGGTTGTTCACCGTAGCAAGATGGTTTGAGCATATTACACCGATCCTAGCCCGACTACACTGGTAGCCAACCAGTTTCCAGGCCCAACTCAAAATGCTGGTGTTGACCGATAATGTCTTAAATGGCTTGGGACCGCAATAACTCTAGGTGGACCACCTCTCCCCATATGAACCCACCCAGACCCTGTGATCATCATCAGAGGCCCTCCTCCACAAGAGATCTGGAAGGTGGAAACACGAGAACAGGCCGCGGCTCCCCTTTTGTGAAATGCTCTCCCCATGGAGGCTCACCTGGCACCTTCATTACATATCTTTAGGCACCATGCAGAATCATTTCACTTCAACCAGGCATTTGGCTGATTAAACATTCTATAGCTTTTAAAATGTGTTTCTGGGAGCGGGGAGTTCTCGGTCTGTTTTTGTTTTATTATGTATTTTGTATTCTCATTTTGTACTTTGTTGTTCTGAACTGCCCTGCGATCTTCAGATAAAGGGTGGTATGCACATTAATTAAACTGCAATAATAAATATATAATAATAATAATTTGTCTAATCTTCTTTAAAAGCAATCTAGGTTGGTGGCCATCATTGCCTCCTAAGTTTCACAGTTTAACTATGTGCTGCATGAAGAAGGACTTTCTACTGTTCCTTTTGCAAAATGGGGTTTGTGTTATTTGCGAAGCTAGTTCAATGTTTTGAAAGTACCTAGCAAATTTGTTACTTATTCTTTATTAGGTTACAGCTAACTAAGCTCTACTCAGAGTAGATCCATATCCCTCTGCTCTGAGCAGGAGTAGCACTGGATTGGAAACTGTTTTTCCCACCCACTTCCCATAAGAGCTGAAGTTCCGCCTGAGCCAGCTGGAAAAGTGATGCGATCTTTGCCAAAGGATCATGTGAGGAAGTTGATCCTCTTCCCGCAACCAGGCCTCCCCACTCCCAGCCCCCCTCGTTCTCTCACCACGGGTCAGTCTGCAATCCTGAGTAAACTTTGCCTGAGACAAACAGCCCAGATTTTCCACCGCCTGGCTAGACTTCCTCAAAACCAGCTCAGCATAAAGCCAAGCAGCCCGCGGGCATTCGTCCACTCACTTGCAATCTTTGGGTATTTTAAAAAGCAACTTCTGCCCTGCAGACCTGCCCTTGCAAGAGAACTTTGGTGGCTGAGTTTTAACTCAGGTAAGACAGCTGTAGAAGAGAGGGGGTGACTGGTCTACCAATTTCGGTTTCTGCTTTTTTCAGTCCTCTGCATCACTTCATGATTTATTTGTTTTTAAAAAATGCATTTTAGCATGTATTTCAACTGATAAACATCTTTTTGCATGCAATTTTTGCCTAATATACACCTTGTTTGCAGGGAATTTAACATAATACATTTGGTTGCAGTTTTCACTAAACTGCATTTTTATTCATATGAATTCTTATACTCGTTTGGGAGATTGGGGTTGCATATCATAGAATCATAAAGGACTGTGAGGATTATCTAGTCCAACCTTCTGCAGTGCAGGAATATGCAGCTGTCCCTTACGGAAACTGAACCTGCAAACTGGGCATTATCCACACCATGCTCTAACCGACTGAGCATCAGAGAACTGCATTGCAAAATCTGGAGAGCGGTGAATTTTGAAGGATGGCTGTGTTTCAGTTTACGTGTTGTTTTGAGAGAAGCACAAATTATGTGGGTTTGCATTGAAACATGGGCCAAATCAAAGATGTCTTCTCCATCAACTAGATGACCCTTCAAGGGTGGGAAGTGGGTGGGGAAAACTCTATGATCCTATGATCTATGATCCCTTCATCCCTTATTAAGGCTCAAACCTTCCTTAAGGCTCAAACCTCCCATCAACCCTAACCAATGTCGCCGATGGTCAGCGATGGTAATCTAGACCTGCATCATCTGGAGGGCAACATGTTGGCCATCACTGCTACAGCCTTGCGGTGGTTTGTCAGTCATCTAAATCAGGCATGTAATGGGGGGACCTTTGGTCCTCTGCAGATGTTGCCGAGAGACTCCCTCTCTGGCAACCTGGAGATTTGCTGCCAGCCAAGCGTCAACAGCACTGAGCTAGATAGACCCAGTGGCCCGACTCAGGATAAGACAGCGACTTCTTACGTTCCTCTTTAAATCAGCCCTTTCTTCAGAACCATGAGGACTAGAATCTTACTTTATTTTGGGGGGTGGGAGGAACAAAAAATCCTCTGAAAGATCCCCTTAGAGGCCCAGTCCTATCTCTAGGAAGGGCTGTGAAAGGCTCCTGTCTGAAGCCCTGAACCTACAGGGTTCCACTGAGATTTAGCTTGCCCCAGTTTTTCGGTTTATTTTTTTTTACTCCCTACGGAGCTGAACAAAGGTAACTAGATCTTGGTTTTGCTGAAAGTGATGACGTATGGCGCTGTTTAGTGTATTAATGGGAACCAGCTGTGGCGCTGCACGTGACTCTTTTATCTTCCTAGTCCTTTCAAAGGACGGGTTTTGGGGAGAGAGAGGGGGGAAGGGGCTGTAGAAGACAGAAAAATAACTTGTTTTCAGCAGAAGTGCCGTCCAGGTAGGTTTTGGGAGGCAGCAGTCCAACGCCCCACCCGGCAGAATGAGGGGGGACCCCAAACTTACCAAGACTAGCTCACTTCTTTTTGAACTCAGCAAACTTTACCAATCTAAAGAGCTGGCCTTTCCTTCAAAGAGCTCAGGACAAGCATACGTGGTTTTACCCAGTCAACACCCCTCCTCGTGTTATACCTTACAACGACCCAGTGAGGTCAGTCAGATTGGCAGATGAGGACTGGCCAGAGGTCCCACTCTGAGCTTCCTGGGTGGCTGGCTGGGTTTGATCCTGTGCATCCTTACTCCCAAATCAGATCCAGCATCCATTAAAGGTGTGTGGCTTCCTGCAAAGGATCCTGGGAACAGATGTTTGTTCCAGGTGCTGGGGATTGCAGCACTGTGAGGGCTACGCTACAGTCTGCAGGATTATTTGGGGGAAGCCATGTGCTTTAAATGGACGGTGTGTATGTGACCTGATACTTTCCTCCCTTCCTCATCCTTGCCCTCCTTTCTCCCGTTCTAGGATGTTGTGGACCACCTTCATACTAGCTGCCCTGTTGCCAATAGCCAAGGCTACTGATGGCTCTCCTGATGGAATGCTGGACTCTCAGTGGGAGCTCTGGAAGAAAACCCACAGGAAGGAATATAATGGCAAGGTAGGGGGACTGGGCAGCAAGGCGGGAAGGGGCATTGGCCCCAGCTGGTTCTCTCCCAAGGCAAGAGCTGCTGGCCTGTTATGAGGAAGGGCGCCAGCTCAGTGGCAGAACACCTGCTTTGCATGCAGAAGGTCCCTAGTTCAATCCCTGGCATCTCCACGTAGAGTTGGGAGAGATTCCTGGTTTGAAATCCTGGAAAGCCTCCTCAGATCTTTGCGGAACAACTCTAGTTGTTGCAAAATGGGCTGCTTTTGGTGCAGCATTGCGAGGAACAAAGATCTACCTCTCTGCTGAGACATTTCCCCACTGCTTGGGTCTGCTAGCAACAATTTGTTCATGCAGAGGGAATACCAGAAATTGTGCCCTTTGCACACAATAGAAACCTGCAGAACAGCAGGTGGTCAGGAGGGGTCCAGGTGAAACCTGGCTGGGGGCCGCTTCTGGACCAAGGGCCACCAGGGATTGTCCTGTACATTAAGATCTTGAACTAACCTTTTGTCTTTTTGTAACCTACAGATGGATGAGGTCTCCCGGAGGCTTGTATGGGAGAAGAACCTTAAATACATCAACACCCATAACTTGGAATTTTCTCTGGGAAGGCACACTTTTGAATTGGCTATGAACCACCTGGGAGATATGGTAGGTAGTGCTAGTGGTGGAAATTTGCTGGGAACATCTCTGCAGCGAAATAATCCAAAAGTGAAGATTGGTAACCTTTTAACTTGGGTGGGGGGGATGGTGGTAACTGCCAATATTTTAGCTGACCAACCCCATGCAAAAGTCTGACTTATTTTTACATCCACTTGCCTCCATTGCTAATCTGGCTTCACTTCTGTTACCCTCTACCACCTCCTTATAAATGTCTCCCTGGCTTCTAGTTTCGGAAAAGCCTAGTAACCTGGGACACATCTAGTTCTTTTTACAGCACATGTATGACGATTCATGTTTATGATGAATATCCAGGCTGTGACACGTGATCCTAATTTCAATACTATTTGCACCTGCAAGCGTTTGAGGCGGTCACACTGCTTCATTTCCAATCAGTGCATATCCCTGTAACTTCTTGCTGAAATCCTGTAACTTTTCATACCACTAATGTTCTGGTTTTTGGGTTATTTTGTACCCACACCCTTTGTTGCGTTATTAGCCTGTCTGGGCAACAACAGCATTTGGGGGTAATCCTGTTGCGTACCGCTTAAAGACTACAGAGTTAAGCAGAATATAAATAGTTGGAAAAAATGAAGAATGCAACTCACAGAGTACAAATGCATCCATCCACCTTTCACTCACTTGCTGTTTTTCCTTCTCCAGACCACTGAAGAAGTTGTTCAGAAGATGACGGGGCTCAAAGTCCCTTCCTCACGCAAACAAACCAACGACACCCTCTACATCCCAGACTGGGAAAAGAGGGTTCCTGACGAAATGGACTACAGAAAGAAAGGCTATGTTACTCCAGTCAAGAATCAGGTGAAAATCCTCATCTCTTTTTTCTGTTTACAGCTTCTTGCTGGGTGGGCCTTAAGTCATCCCTGCATGGCTTGTGATGCTGTCTGCTCCTTCCCTTTGGTCCAAGGATCCCACTTTAGACAAAAGGAGGGCCTTCTTCACACACACACACACACACACACACACACACACACTGCACAGCATAGTCAAACTCTGGAATTTGCTCCCACAAGAGGTAGTGATAGCCACCAACTTGCATGGCTTTAAAGGAGGATTAGACAAATTCATAGAGGAGAATTTTTTTGCTATTGTGTGGGGGTGGTTGTGTCTTTATGCTCCTTCAGAACCACGCCGGGCTCTGTCGGGAGGAAAGACACAAATAATAAGCACAAAATAATAATAGCTGTTATCCTGTTTGGGGAGCCATGATAATGACTCCCAAATGATAAAGATAATAAAAAAGAATTGTGTTTCGGGAGCCATGGTAATGACAATAAAGAGTAATTCTGTTTGGGGAGCAATACTAATGATAATTAAGAAGAATTGTGTTTTGAGAGCTGTGGTAATGATAATAGATGCTAATTCTGTTTTTGGAAGCCATGGACTAATCCAATCATACCTGTATACCCAATGCAGAGATGCAGAAGACTTATTCACCCTGGAGCACAAGCAAAGCCAAATAGCACACCGTTTTGGGGAAAGGCTGTTTTGATCACAACCGCTTCTCGTTTTGAGTTTGTTCCCCCTTCTTTCTTGGCAGGGCCAGTGTGGGTCCTGCTGGGCTTTCAGCTCCGTGGGTGCCTTGGAGGGGCAGCTCAAGAGGAAGACTGGCAAGCTGCTTAACCTCAGCCCACAGAACCTGGTGGACTGCGTCACCGACAATGATGGCTGCGGGGGCGGCTACATGACCCATGCCTTTGAATACGTGAAGGAGAACCGAGGCATTGATTCGGACGATTCCTACCCATATATCGGCCAGGTAATGGGAAACCTGAGCTCCAAACCAAAACTCTACTGCTCCTCTGCACAATCTGCCATGCTCTGTATTCACCCTCTCCTGTTCATCCACCTTGCAGGATGAAAACTGTATGTATAACCCAACTGGTAAAGCTGCCAAGTGCCGTGGTTACAGGGAGATTCCCGAGGGGAACGAGAAGGCCCTGAAAAGAGCTGTTGCCCGGATAGGCCCCATCGCTGTGGGCATCGATGCCAGCCTGGCCTCCTTCCAGTTCTACAGCCGAGGTAAGAGAGGATGGACTACTGCAGCAAAATGGCAAACAAAAATGCATAGATTGGGGGAAAGTCAGCATAAACGTCCATAGATTCATGGCAATTTCATAGAGAAAGGCATAATATTTGGGGAAATGGCATGCCAAACTGTATAAGGCAAAATATTACACACTCATTTTTTAATAATTAACTGCATTTATAAGGAGCTCAAGGCAGCATCTACATAGTTCTCCCTCTCCTCATTTTACCCCCACAACAACCCTTTGGCTGAGGGGGATGCTTAACCCTGGACTTCCTTGTCCTAGTATGACACTCAAAGCTTAACAATGACCCTGTGCAGTAGGTTAGGCCAGCCCAAGGTCACACCCAGGGACCACCATGTGGCCAAGTGGAAGGATTTGAACCCTGGTCTCTTCCAGGTCCTAGTCCAACCGTTCAACCACCACACTGCACTGGAGAAATGCACAGTACAATTTTGGCATTTTTTTTTGCAAGGTGGACTTTTTTATTTTAAAGCACATAAACACTATGCAGGAAAGATCTGCAGTAGCTGAATTTAAGATTGGAAAAAGGAGGCACTAAAACCGACTAATTTGTCCATCCCATTTTGAGAACCACAGAGATTGCGATAGGATAAACTGAGTCATACCCTGCCCCTTCTGGTTTCCTTAGGTGTGTATTACGATGAGCAATGCGATGCCGGCAACATAAACCATGCTGTCCTGGCCGTGGGCTATGGGACTCAGAAAGGCACCAAGCACTGGATTGTTAAAAACAGGTACATATCTGAAGTTTTCTAAAAGTATGTCCAAGAATGGTGGGTTTGGGGAGCTCTAATAGGTGGCTAAGAGACTTTAACATCTCTACACTCCTTACGTTCCTGGTCCCAGGCGATTTTGGCTTTTGAAAGCAATCACCACTGCTTTAAGTAGAGGCAGGAAATGAATAGATACCCAGAGCAGATGAAACAAAACAGAAGTGACATCTCACCTGCCTGGTTATCTGAATTTTCTAATGTGTCGGCTGACAGAGAATGTTTATTCACGTTCTTACTCTTTCTCTTTCTTTCTTTCTTTCTTTCTCCCTCTCCTCCCCATAGCTGGGGGGAAGAGTGGGGCAACAAGGGCTACATCCTGATGGCCCGGAATATGGACAACGCCTGCGGGATTGCCAACCTGGCCAGCTTCCCAAAGATGTGACCAGGCCACACATGCACTATCACACCAGAAGTGGCCCTCATGTCAGCAAATGGCTGGCTTCCTGAGCTGACATTACGGAGCACTAACAAGGGACTTCTGTGAAAGCTGTTTTGCTGCAATGATATAGGCAGTTGTCTGTGACAGCATATTAAAAGGCTTTCTTTCATTTTCATTTTTTTTTAACACAAAATGCCTCTTGGTTTTTCCTCTGCAAGAAAAATGGGAAACTTGCTAATATTAGGAACACATTATCTCTCAACCTCAACTTCAATGCCAATACAAAATCCAGCATAGATTAATGCAGATCTTTTTATTGAGCTGATTCTTGGCTCCCAGAATGAAAATTTTCCCAACACACAAGAGCCAGGGTCTCTACACTTGAGTATTCCTCTCTTATCTAGGCAAGTGAGAAGTGTTTTCAGAGTGTAAGGACACATCCCAGCAGGGCAACAACCTACAAGGGGAGGATGCAAAGCAGGAGCTGATGAGGGGTGTGTGACTTGGTCCTGAGGGCCAGATAGAGAGGGCTGAAGGGCCGCGTTTGCTCACTGCATCAGAGCCTGAGGTTCCACATGCCTGGTGTATGCAAGTCAGGGCATCAGAATATCCTCAAGCAGAGAAAGCAGGAAGGAACACACAGAGTAGATCACTCAAGCAAGTGAGCCAAGCCACGTCCTCCATGAATGACCAGTCCTGGTAAGGTGGAGCCCACAGTCAGGAGGATGCAAGATCCAGCAGGTGTGCTAGGTCATATTTTGGGTATGAAGCAGCCCAGCAAGGTCCAGCAATCAAGTAAACAAAGGTGGTCAAGGACAGAACTTTAAGGGACCCAGAGAAAGCCCTAGGAGCAAGCGACTTGCTCAAAGCAAGTCTCAACAGAGTCCTTTTTATACTCCATGAATGCTTTTTGTGTGCATTATCTGCTTTGGCCAGCAGGGCTAGAGGAGTGTGAGGCCTGGAGGTGAAGAGGTGGTCCTTCAATGAAATCTTGAAGGGGGCAGCAGCCTCTTGGGGAGGGAGTGGGGGAGTGGTCTCAGGTTGACTCAGTTGCTGCCACTGGCTTTCTATGTATCTGGATCGCTGCTACAGCTACAAGTTGGGATCATAATGACAAAGAGGAATTGGGGTCCAGTCCATCTAGCATCCTATTTCCAACTCAAGTCAGCCAGGTGCCCCTGGGAAGCCCCCAAAGCAGGGCACAAAGGCACCAGCTGTCACCAGCCATCTGCCTGGTATTCAGGGGTATAGTGCATCTGGACTTGGAGGTTTGATTTCAGTCTTGGCAATTGGCCATGGATTTCCATGAATTTGCTCAACCTTTTGGATTTTTGAAAAAGCCATGTGAACCAGTGGCCACCAACCAAGGTGGGGTGGGGTGATTTCCCAAAACTAGCAATACCTTGTGTCAAAGAGCTTTCTTTTGTCCTGATTTTACTAGCAATTAGCTCAGTAGCAGAGCTTCTGCTTTGCATGCAGAAGGTCCAATCCCCAGCATCTCTAGGTGGGGCCAGGGAAATGTCCCACCTGAAACCTCAGAAAGCTATTGCCAGTCACTGAAAACAATGCTGAGCTTGTGGGACAAACTGCCTGACTCAGCATAAGGCAACTTTCTCAGTTCCTATTCAAACTGGCCGTTTCTTCAAAACCATGAGGTTGTTGTTTTTAAAGGAAGGGCTGTAGCTCTGTGATAGAACACCAGCTTTTCATGCAGAAGGTTCCATATTCAAATCCCTAGGGCTGCGCTCCTAAGTGAGATTCAAGTACCAGTCCTGAACATGAGTGGGAAACAAGCATGCCATCCTGTCCTTCGCTGCAGGGAGCAAAACGTCTAGACTTGGTCCAACTTGGCCTGGCTTTTTGAAATGTTTACTATTTATTTATTTTTTTAAAGAATTCTATACCACTATACCATTTAAAAAGAAACCAAAGCGGTTCACAGCAATGAAACATAAAACCATAAAATAATTTTTGTTTTGTTTTTAAAAGAGAGAGTTAAAAACAGGCATCAATTAACCATTGTACAATGGCATACAGTATTCTTAATTTCCTGCATAGGCCTGGAAGAATAGAAAAGTTTTCAGCAGGTGTTTAAAAGTTGGCACAGAAGACACTTTGGTTTCTTCTTGTTAAATGAGCCTTGCCCACTTGGGGGACGACCAAGAACACTCCTGCAGATGATCTCGGCGATTGAGCTGGGATATATAAGGGTTCAGGCGGTCCCTGAGGTTTCCTGGACCTGAATTGTTCAGGCCTTTGCAAGTTAAAACAAGGACTTTGAACTGTCTGCATGGGTGCAGAAAGCATCAGTGAGCTCAGGAAGAGAAAACTGGCAGCAGCTGGGTCAAGTTTTGCTTCTCCTTTCTGGTGATTACAGGAAGGGCATCAGCTGAATTTTGTTGAGTGCAGTGACTTGGGCCGCTCTCAACTCAAGAGTCAGGCCCCAGTGCATACGTGTGGGCAGAAGAGAATCTTTCGGTGTGGCAAGTATCAAAAACCACTTGTTCCCTCAGCCCAGCTGCTTCTTGTACAGCAAAGCCAAATTCTTACAGTCTCTGGGTTCGACATGAGCCAGCTCTCTCCATGCCACACTAAAATTAAGCCAGTTTATATTTTCATGGCCCACCCAATTCTAGGGACTCCTTCCTGCTTCAGGTTTTTGAGAAGGGCTAGAGATCTTTTATAAAGGCTTCTCCACATTCCAGCAAAGCCAATTGACTCCTTGCCTGACCTCCTGATTGGTTTCTTTAGCTGTGATTCCTGCACTGCAGGGGGTTGGATTAGATGACCATTAGGGATTCCTTCCGACTCTATCATTCTGTGATTATAGGCTTGGGAAGCCTGGCTGGATCAGGCCAAAGTGGGTATATGTTACTCAGAATCCTGCTTCTCACAGTGGCTGGTCAGATGCTTCCAGAAAGCTTACCAGTGTGGCTGGAGGCCAACAACCTTCTCTCACTGTCTCTCCCCAGCAACTGGCATTCAGTGGTAGGCTGCCTCTAGACCTGGAGGCTTCACATTGCCATCATGACTCACAGCTTCTGAGAGACGTCTGCATCCTAAATTTGTGCCATCTGTTTACATCACCAATATCAAACTGGAAGAAGGAAGGCCAAGGAAGAGTCATGGCTCAGTGGAAGAGCGCATGGTTTGCAAGCAAAGGTTTTGGGTTCAATCCTTGATGCCTCCAGAAAGGGCTGGGAAAACACCTCATCTGAAACCCTGGGGGGCTGCTGCCAGTCCGTGTTGACAGCACTGAGCTAGATGTGCCAAGGGTCTTATTCAGTATAAGGCAGCTTCCTCTGCTCCTAACAGATTGACTCAGGGAGGACAGATCTGTTACTGGTTACTTGTACAGTCTAGTAACTTTACTTGCTTTACTTGGATTAGGGATGGGGGAAGAATTTGGATTGGGTCACATTTTTCGGTGAGCTCCCCAGGTCACATTTCCCAAACTTAGTACACAAACTGAGATGCACCTGTCTTTCAAAATCTGCCCATCTCCAAATTTTGCAGCGCAGTTCTCCAATCAAAACTGTGTGCATTAGGGGAAAGCATCTACCTACAAATTCAAATATTAGTGGGAAATGACCAACAATGCATTGTATTATGGAAAATTGTATTTTAAAAATGTATGTATTAAGAAAAATGCTGACAGATATTAGTGAAGACTTAAAAAAAACCCATTGCAATTGATGCACAAATAATTGTAAACTAAATTCAGTACAGGAAAAAAGGAGAGACACTGAGAGGAACTGAAATTGACAGATTCATCCATTTCTAATCTGGCTTGATCCAGATCATATATCCTTCAATGTGTTTCGCAACTAGTTTAAATCTTAATAATATAGACACACATCCAGCGGGGGAAAGCAGCCCAGTTACTGGTTGTGTGAGCACAGTCTGTGAAGAGAGAGATGCAGATGCAGAAAATAAATGCAGGGCATCCTGTGAAGTGGGGAACGAAGCTAAACTTTCCTTGTTTCATAATCTCCTAGCAAGCCTGAAGATGTAACAAATCAATTCACAGTCATCTTGCATGCTCAGATTGCTCACCATTGTAATGAAAGCAAGGCATTTCCTTTATTGGGGTGGGGAGGCTCATGTGACATTGAGCATAAGAAATCGAAAGTAGCCTTTTTATCAACAGCATGCGGGTGGCGCAGGAGCAGTGTTGTTGAAAGGTTCAGCCAGAGAAACAACATAAGAAAGCGGCTCCTGGAACAGGAAGGTTTCTTACACCCTAAAGAAGAGGTCAAGAGAGAACACCCAGCCTCAGCCTGCTGAAAGACTTCCAGGTAGGTATTTATAAGGAGAGACTTGGAGAAAGAGATTTTTTTCTCTCCTTTACTGATCTCTTTCGGAGCAATTGAGGAAGTAACTTTATTTTTTCTTTTAGAAAAGGGTGTAGGTCCATAAGAGGGGAGGGCACCCTCCAAAAGGCTGAGATACACACACACAAAATACACACACACACACACACACACACACACACACACACAGGTTTAGAAATGCTTTTAAATAAGTAAAATAGGGGTAACTTTTATTAGGATCAACCAAAAAACAACAACAAAAAACAATAACCCATAAACTGTGGCCAGCCTTTAGGCACTGCAGAACTCTTTATTGGGCAAAATGTTATGGAAAGGGGAAGACTATTCAGGTGAGGTAGGTAACAAAAGGAAAGTTGGAAAAGGAGGCTAGAGGTTGTTGTTAATTTTATTTAGTACCTGCCCTTTGCCCTAAGGTCCTAGGGTTGCTCACAGTAATTTAAAAAACAACAATTTATAGCATATTAATATTTGAGGAATTGGGTGGGTCCTAAAATATACACATAGCCACGAGGGCTGGATATAGACTGAGCTTACAATGAAGACTGCAAGCTATGTTTCTCCCAGGTGCTGAAATACCAGATTAAGAACATAAGAATGGCATCCCAATTTCCAAGTGGTGAGAGATTCCAGGGGTTCCAGGTGCTTACCCAAGGTTCACCTCACCCTGGAAGCCACCTGTCTTATTGCCATGACACCAGCAGCCCCGTACATACCAGCTTTCTGTGTCTGCCTCAGCAGGATGGAACTGTGGGCCTGTGTTTTCCTGGCATTTGCTGCTGCTGCTTCGTCTGCATACTGGGAGAAGGACCCCACACTCAACAGGCACTGGGAGCTTTGGAAGAAAAAGTATGGCAAAACATACAAAAATGAGGTATGGGCACAAGCTGTTGGAATGGAGCTTGGGTGTAGAAATTCCAGTACACCTTGGAAGCCGAACGCCTTGCCAGTAGAACGTTTTGGCTCCCAAATGTTGCAAACCCGGAAGTGATTGTTCCCGTTTGTGAACATTCTTTGGAACCCGAACGTCCGTTGCAGCTTCTGATTGGCTGCAGGAGCTTCCTGCAGCCAATCGGAAGCCGCGCCTTGGTTCCTGAATATTTTGTAAGTCTAACAGACTTCCGGAATGGATTCTGTTCAACTTCCGAGGTACCACTGTACTGTAAGCCCCACCAGTTCTAGGAGCAAGCAAGTAGCAGGAAATCAAGAGGTGTCAGAGGGTTGTCTCCAATGCTAGTTCTACTCAGGGCAGACCCACTGAAAACAATGAACCTAAGTTTGTCGTGTCCATTAATGAGTCTGAGTAGGACTAGCACTGGATACAACACAGAGATGGATGCCATCAAGGGCTAATTTAGAACTGCTATCCACTGAGTCTGAGGAAGATGCTTCAGCAGTTGTGACCCTACAGTTGGGTAGAGTGAGGCAGTTACCTCCGGTAGCAGACATAGAGGTGGTGATGGTGAGAAGGTGCTGCAAGGTGGTGGGAGGACACAGCTGTGTGTGCCACACAACCCACCTAAGATAGACTACTGCTATCAGTGTGATAAAGACAAGTCCAGGTGGCCTCTGTACATGGGGTGTAGTGAGGGCACCATCTTGTCCATCCCCATAGACAGGGAAATGTGCTTAGCATATCCAAGTCTGGGTAAAATGACTGAGCCCACACAGAAGGCTTTGAAAGCCTTAATACAGAATAAAATGTGGAAATGGTTGCAAAGAGTGCCGGGTGAGCAGAAGAGTGATGAAAGGGCAAATATAGAGGTTCAAGGGGAAAAGAACGCCCTGTGATTCCAGGGGTATCAGGCCAGGTCTGCAGCAAGGCCAAGTAGTCAAGGCAGCTGGAGTGAGAGCCAAGATAGTCCTAATGCAAAGGCAGCCCAGTCTGATAATGGAGTAGAGGAGGCAGACTTGGGGCCCTTGAGATGTTGCTAGACCCCAGTTCTCACCAGCCCCAGCTGCTAAGATCGGGGGGGGGGGAGGCACTTGAGTTCCCCATTCCTGTCCTAGAGAATACGAGCAGACATTACCGTATTTTTCGCTCTATAAGACGCACCAGACCATAAGACGCACCTAGTTTTTGGAGGAGGAAAACAAGAAAAAAAATATTCTGTATCTCAGAAGCCAGAACAGCAAGAGAGATCGCTGCGCAGTGAAAGCAGCAATCCCTCTTGCTGTTCTGGCTTCTGGGATAGCTGCGCAGCCTGCATTCGCTCCATAAGACGCTCACACATTTCCCCTTACTTTTTAGGAGGAAAAAAAGTGAGTCTTATAGAGCAAAAAATACGGTAAGTAGATATAACAGTTGTTTGATCAGTTAGAAAACTGAAGCAGAGGCCAATAAATGGCACATATCACAATAATAAGTATAAACTTCTGCAACATCCTCCACTATGGGCTGGCTGTGGGCAGAAACCAGCAGGCCCAAAGGACCGATTCTGTTTGTACAGATAGTAATCAACAACTCTGATGTAGTGGCATACTTAGGACTCATCCATACTTACCTTTTGCCCTGTGCTTTTTAGGCACAGGTCCACACTTTCCTATTTCCTCGTCTGTGTCTGAGCATTTTCCCTCACCTGCCACTGTTTTCCCCAGGAAAACCCCATCTTTAATGCTGAATCAGAGCAAATGGTAGTTTGGGCTTTCTGTAGATTGACGTTTGTTGATTCAGCACTAAGTGTAGATGTGACCTTAGTTGCAGGCATTGGGATGAGTTTGGGTTCTGTTTGTATAGATATGGCAGTATTGACCCAAACTTTAAATTGTAAGGTGAAAACAGTCTTATGTTAGTTTAAATAATAAAAACATTTTGGTATGTTTTAATTATTGATAGTTTGCCTTATGACAACCTTAAAATGTTATCATCTTCACATAATCAAACTGAGTGATTTGTGTGATTGCCGTGTTATGTTTTGAAATGATGTAGCATTTGGTTCTTATTGGAATGATGTATCAATCAGCATTTTTGTTTTTCTGTCATGTGAGCCACTTCCAGCACATCTATATGAAAAAGTTGCATATAAATTTATAAAATAGCAATGGTAATAATAATAGATAAATTTCCCTTCATAAACAATGTGAGCTTCTGCATTTTTCTTTTTTTTTTTAAGAAAGAGGAAGGTGGTCGACGTATGACTTGGGAAAGGAATCTGCAGTTTATCATGTTGCATAACCTCGAACATTCGCTGGGGTTACATTCCTATGAACTTGGCATGAATCATCTGGGGGATATGGTTAGTAAACGAATGTTTAACATGATTGATGGGTATGTTGGTAATTCTGTCATATTAGAACAAATATGCCACTGATTGAAACCAAATAACTGGAACTGGCTGAATCAACTTCCTGCTGGGATTGAGGAAAACTACAGCAATAAAATTTTGAGAGAGGTGGAAAATTTTCATTTCATTTCTAGGGTTCCTCCTAAACATTACTTTTTAAATGTGAAATAGGGGAGGGGAGTCCAATTCATACGTAGATTTCAGTATTAGCATTTTCATCTTACTGAAGGAGGGTGCTTTAGCTGTGTTACAGAGCTAGCACCGAGTAGTGATGGGTTGGATATAATGAACTTCAAAATCCCTTCCAACTGTGAAATATAGTATGACAGCAAAATTCTGCATATTACTAGGGATGGAGGAGAAATGCAATTCAGTATGCATTTAAAGGTGAATCTATTAAATTCACACCTTCCGAAATAATATGCTAACTAAAACAGGTATCCTCCGAAATCTGCACTTATGCGAATGTTGTCATATAGTTCTCCAACGAAACAATGTTTACAAAAATGCATATATCAGGGGTAAAATGTACTGAGAAAGGAAGATGTGCATGAAAATAACACCAGAGAAATTGTTTGCAAAAATATGTACTGTAGTAAACAAAGCATATAAAAATGTGTTTATTAGGAGGAATTTGATCTAAAATGCTAATGAATTTTTATGAGGATTTAAAAAATAAATAAATCACAAATTGCTTGCAAAATGTGGAGAACTGAATTTAATATTGGAAAAATGAGAAACTAAGAGAACCAAAATTGGCAGGTCCTTCCATCGCTAGTCCCTACCCACCTGAGGGAATGAACCCTTTACAGAAAAAATGTGACCGATTCTTGCTTTTTAATAAGTGCTTCTATGTTCCTTTATGCATCTTATTGAAATTCATGAAAGTTTCTATGCCATAATAAAATTGGTAGTCTTTAAGTTTCCACAAGACTCTTGGTTGCTTTTGCTTCATGAAGCTATCACCTAACACAGCAACATCTCTGGAATATGTTCCTTCATGTAGACCAGTGAGGAGGTGACTGCTATGTTGACTGGGTTGAAAGTTCCTGACTCACGCATGCACAATTCAACATATTATGTGCGAAGTCTGGGAGTCCTCCCCAGCACTGTAGACTGGAGGCAGAAAGGGTGTGTCACAGATGTTAAGAACCAGGTAAGAGAGCGTCTTTCGGCATTTCCAGACCATCACTGTCTTTGGGTGGGATTCAATCACACCTCAGCAAATTCAAATTGTGCAATTAAAGCTGATTGCGAGGACTTGCACAACAACCAGCTTCCAAAAAAATCAGACTTTTTGCGATAAGGAAAGTGATTGGCAAGTGCACTGGAAAGTGTGGGGAAATGCCTGCTACAATGTTGTCTAATCTCTCCACAAACAAATGAGAACGAAGGCTCAATGAACGGGTCATCTGGAACTTAGCAATTTCTTCCTTTGAAACTGATTCTGATAGCTTCCTTTCCATTTTAGGGTGCATGTGGTGCATGCTGGGCCTTTAGTGCTGTTGGGGCCCTGGAAGGCCAGCTAAAACTCAAAACAGGGAAACTGGTGTCTCTCAGTGCACAAAACCTTGTTGACTGCTCCAGTAAGTATGGAAACCATGGGTGCCATGGAGGCTACATGGAGGCTGCCTTCCAGTATATCATAGACAACAAAGGCATTGATTCGGAAGCTTCCTACCCATATGAAGCCAAGGTTTGTATCATTTAATTTAGATTGAATGTAAACATAAAACACTACAGAGTGCATCTGCAGATTTATTTCAGAATATATCCTGTCATGATCGCTAGCAATGCATTAGAGACTGTTGCAAATAAATTACATTTATTGTACTTACTTACAAAGACATACATCTTCTAAGATGATCTTTGCTTATTGTATGCATGCATCATCTGAAACAAAGTTGTTCTTTCTTCTTCTTCAGGAAGATGGTTGCATTCACCTGAATATTTGTGTAAATTAAAACCAGTGCCTTAGTTGCCAAATCAGCTAAAATTATTTGACTTATTTAACTAAGATATAGATTAGATACATCTAATATCGTTATAACAACATTAAACAGGTCAGCGTAGATCCAGCCCTAAGTGTCAGCAATAGTCACTACTGCACACCTTTTAAAAACCTGCTACCCACAAGGCAGGCCCCTTTGATCTGATCCAGCTTCAGAGTTCTTCTTAAGATCTTATACTGTTAGAGAAACTCATGGAGGAAAAGCAACTTTATCTTCTTTTTCTTTCAGAATGGAACGTGTCACTACGACCCCTCTGCACGAGCTGCTACCTGCTCTAAATATGTTACTCTCCCATATGGAGATGAAGCTGCCCTGATGGATGCCGTAGCCAATGTTGGCCCTGTATCGGTTGGTATAGATGCAAGTCTAATGTCATTCTTCCTGTTTAAGCGAGGTGAGTTCTACCGTGCTTCCCTGCAAATATACTCTGGATAGACTCATTGGAAATCAAGGGACACAGAGAATTCTGACGGAATAGGAGCAGAAATAGCCAGCTGTTCACTTACTTATTTGTTTCATGTCTGGAGTGGAAATCCATCCAGTAAATACAAACAGTATTAGCTGTTGTTGTTTTCAGTCTGTGAACAATATATACAGTAATCAATGACTCTCTCTTTTCCACCCCCACCCCATTTTTATTATCTTTTGTTTGCATGGAAATGAATGGCCTTCACATTTACAAGTAAAGTCACTTTTTTTGGAAGCCGAACTGCAGTGGAACCGAAACAGCACTGCATAAAATGAACATGGGTGCTTCAGTGCTTTCTTTCGTGCCCATCAAAACTAGCTTAAGTCCACTAATTTCAGTGAGTTTACTCTGAGTATGACTTAGTTGGATTCAACCCTCTTTGGCATGCAAAGAAGCAGACTCTTTTGCTATCCCAGTGAGGTCAACCATTTTGTGCAGGCAAGTTGTTCAGACAGGGCTGGTTGTGTGTGTCTGCATGCATGCACACAGATTAACGGTCTTCTGAAAGCCGCAATTTTACCTTTCCTTCAAGAAATTATTCAATTGGGTGTGATCCTTGGCAATTCCTTGCTGTTCTCTCCATAGATACTTTTCAAGCTTTCCACAATCTTGACCCATTTTTAACCCCAAACAGCAATGCAGGACCCACTAAGAACAAATAAATTATGCCTTGTATTATTCTCACGTTTACTGTTGGCCTGTCTAGAACTATTCTTCCCTCTCTCTTGCTTTTATGTACCAATCTCCTTTTCTCTCCAGTGCTGATGTGACCTACATTTAGTTGGTCCTGAACCCACCAACAATTAGGCTAAATAACTTCCCAGGACATTACTCAAAACTCTCCCTTACCAAAACACCAATGCCAAACTTGATAAGGAGTTAGGTTACTACTCTAGTATTATTACTTCCTCCCCTCCTCCAATTAATATCACATTATGATTTTATCTTTGCATCTTTGATACCTGCTTCCCCCAATGTTGTTTGCAGAAGGGCTGTAGCGCAACAGTACAGCACCTGTTTTGTATGCAAAAGGTTCCAGGTGCAATCTCTGGTGTCTGCAGGTAGGACTGGGATAGACCTCTGCCTGAAGCCCTGGAGAGCTGCTGCCAGTCAGTCAAGATAATACTAAGCGGGATGGACAATGGTCTGAATTGTTATGAGGCAGCAAAGGCTGGCCATGTTATTTGGCAGAGTGATGAGGGGCCAAGGGCAACAGCAACTCCCACTATTTCCCCTAGGTTTTCTGACTTAGCCTGCTCTGTGCCCACAAGGCTAGCCTGACACTATAGTGGTAGATGTTAACAGATAACCACTGCTGAATTAAGATTCAACTACCAACCTGATCAGATTCTGCACATGGGATCAATGGGTGCCATCTCTTCCTTCTCATTTGGCAGCCCTGAAGGCAGCTTCCTGTATCCTCTTGGTGGAATATAGCACATTTTGTTGACCCTAAACTAGGAGGACTATTTTTCAAGAGCAACTTTCATTTGCTTCAGTTTCAAAAATGTACCATACGCTCATACACACCTGAAAGTGATTCTTTATCCTTTTTATGTAGGTGTATATGATGATCCAAAGTGTTCTCAGCATATAAATCATGGAGTCGTTGTAATTGGATATGGAACAGAAGAAGGCAAAGAATATTGGCTTGTGAAGAATAGGTAAGGATACCCTTTAGGGAACCAGCTGCTAAGTCAGCATTGTATATCAGTGAGTCCACTGCCCATCCATTCTGAGACATTTTAGTCTAAAACAGGCTTCCTCAAACTCGGCCCTCCAGATGTTTTGAGACTACAACTAATCCAGAATGCAGCAGCTAGACTGGTGACTGGGGGCAGCCACCGAGACCACATAACACCAGTCTTGAAAGACCTACATTGGCTCCCAGGACGTTTCTGAGCACAATTCAAAGTGTTGGTGCTGACTTTGAAAGCCCTAAACGGCCTCAGCCCAGTATACCTGAAGGAGCGTCTCCACCCCCATCGTTCTACCCGGACACGGAGGTCCAGCGCCGAAGGCCTTCTGGCGCTTCCCTCACTGCGAGAAGCAAAGCTACAGGGAACCAGGCAGAGGGCCTTCTCAGTAGTGACGCCCGCCCTGTGAAACACCCTCCCGTCAGATGTCAAAGAGATAAACAACTACCTGACATTTAGAAGACAAACTTAAGGGAAGTTTTTAGTGTGTGACATTTTAATGTATTTTTAAACTTTGTTGGAAGCTGCCCAGAGTGGCTGGGGAACAAATAATAAATAATAATAATTATTATTATTACAATTCCCATCATCCCTGTCCACGGGTCCTGCTAGCTAGGGATCATGGGAGTTGTAGGCCAAAAACATCTGGAGGGCCGAGTTTGAGGAAGCCTGGTCTAAAGCATTGTTCTTCAACCTTGGGTGCTCAGTTGTTGTCAGGACTCCGTGTTTAGCTAATGGGAGTTTTTTAGTCCAGCAACATTTTGGGGCCCAAGTTTGAAAAACACTGTTCTAAAGCATCTACTGTAATTGGGAAATGAAAGGGGGCTGTGCTCTGAGGAAATGTTATTGTTTTATTCTATTTCGTAAACCGCTCTGTGAGTTTGGAGGCTTTTTTTAACAATTAGGAGGTAGGAGAATTTTTTATGAAATTAAAATGGTTATGCCCTGCCTCCACAGTTGGAGGCAGTATGCTTCTGAATGCCGGTTAGTTGCCTCCTGGAAACTGCAGGAAGGGAGAGGGCTCGTACTCAGGTCCTGCTTGTGAGTTTCCCAGAAGCACCTGGGCGGCCACTGCGAGAATAGGATGCTGGACTAGATGGACCACTGGTCTGATCCAGGAGACTCTTGTGTTTTTATGTGGAATCACCCAGTAGTGTAACGAGGGTGGTGTGACTGGTGTCCCGACACAGCACTGGAAGCATCTGTAACATGAGATATTAAGGCTACATGATAATTATTTTTAGTTCCTTACTGAGCATCGTAAGACCCTTGAAAAGCCCCTTGTTCACAATGAAAGTGTTAATTATTCTCCTAATGTCTCATTCTCTGTTATTTCAACAGCTGGGGTCTAAGTTTTGGCGATGAAGGATTCATTAAAATTGCAAGGAATCATGGGAATCGCTGTGGCATTGCCAGCCAGTGCTCCTATCCACTAATCTAGAGAGGATTTCCAGCTCACAATGGATTGTTCGTCACTGAAAGAACAGCCCATTAGGCAACTAATCTTTAGAGTTTTTAAAAAATCAAACTGCTCTGTTTTAAGAAGAGTGATTGGTCTCCAAAGGCGAGGTCTTCCTGTCAGCTCCACCTGGTAGATCTGAGACAAGCAGCCAAAATGATGATTTATCCTGGTTTATCTTGGTATTTGCTAAGCATCCCTTGGGCGCTGTGGGGCTTAATCAGTTAATAATGTAATGTCTGTAGTCCTGCTCTGAACAGCCCAAGCTTTATGTAATTGCCGGATAGTATCACTGTTACAACCTCAAGGTATGTTGGAATAAAAGCTGTGTCAGGTAAACACAGAAACAAACAAAAACCTTCTGTGACTCCAGAAATGGCAAGTAAGCCACTTTACAATGATGGATGGAGAATCCTTTTGTCAGCCCAAGGGTCACATTTCCTTCTGCATAACCATTAAAGGCCGTATACCAGTAGTGAGCATTGGCAAGAGGCAAAAGTGGGCAGGGCAACACATGCAAATGTTACCTTTGCACAGTAGGCTACAGTTTCCACACTTACATTTCTCCATCCTCCATCCAGATAATCAAGAGGCATTTTTGCTGTTCAAAGACACATTTGCAGCCAGGCAAAAACACCCGAGGTGTAAAAACGGGGCCAGTGCATGAGTGTGGCCTGAGGAAAGTTCTGAGACCCAGAGAAAGGGTTATGGACTACTTCTGGAGACAATGCAATAATACTAATAATTGATGGTTATTTGTTTTTGATGTGGGTTAAAGCCACTTTAGTTGGAACCATCTTGGTGGAAAAGGCAGAAATGTGGATTTATTACATAATTCTGGAGTGGGTGAATAAAATGCCAACTCAGCAGGAAAGGGTGTGGTGGTGGTGATGATGATGATGATGATGATTTTAGTTGCCCCCAAAATGGACTTTGGATATGCCTGGATTAGGCAGAGGAAGGGAATCTCAGCGTCTTGAACTCCAAGTAGTGAACATGACCAGAGGCAAAAGTGGGTGGGACAGCACATGTAAATATTACTTTTGCACAATAGACTTAATAGTCTCTACACTAAACACCTCTCTATCCTCCATCCAGGTAAGGAAGAGGCATTATTGCTGTTCAAAGACACATTTCCAGAAGCAAAAACACCCAAGGTGCAAAAACAGGGCCATTGAATGTATGTGGCCTGGGGAAAGTTTTGAGGGCCAGATAGGGAGACCTGAAGGGCCACACCCCTAGCAAAAGTTCATGAAAGAAAATTTTTGCAACCTGGAATCAGGGACGGCTCTACCATTGGGTAAAGTGACTCAAAGTGTTATGAAAGGACAACAAATTGTTGTTTATTATCCTGCATTGCAGGGGATTGGACTAGATTGCCCTTGTGGTCCCTTCCAACCCTACAATTCTATTATTTTTGTGGGATTTTCTGCCCCAGGTGCCACAATATCTTGGTTGGCCTTTGGGATCATGCACCTTGACTTGGTATGGAAGGTGCCATTGGTCATTCCACATCAGGCTGCAAAATATCATGGGCTGTTACTGCCTGGAATTTTTAAGGAATGTGTGTGCATTGCAAAGGTCAAGCTATGTTTTTGAAGGACGTATATAGCTATTGCCAGCTAATGCCTTCACTTCATTCTGAACATACAACACATTTGCCAGGACATACTTTGAATTCCCAGATTTGGCCATTGCACAGTGTTAAGGAATAATAAAGTACATTTGAACACCGCTGAATAATCACAACCACTCTAGACACATGGAATTCCAGGTTAAACTAACTTTTAAACAACTTTGAGCTCTAATGCCTCACAGTAAAGAAAACTGAGCACTCTCCTCTTCATTCAGCATCTCTGAGGAACAGTTATTGGATAAATTTCCCTCCTCACATCTACCATATATCTCTCTACACACAAAAATACCCTAACACCCTTTTATACTCCCCGGGTTTAGACATTAACCCTGTTCCTTCAAAAATATGTGTGAAAAGGCTCTCTTTGTGGAGGGCGTGGCATGAAGGAGCCGTACTTGACTTTGCCCTGTTTTCAATGTCAGTTTAGCAGAGGAGGTAAGAAGGTAATTGAGGAATGTTCTCTGAGGATGCGCAGAGTGCTTTTTCCATTCACCAGTGGGAAACTGGCCAACTTGGACACACAGATACAAGGAAGGCCTTATAGGGTACTCAGTCAGCACAGCCCATCTCCTATTCAACTACTCTTGACTTTGTAAAATAATTGCTGTCTATATCTATATCAGACCTAGGGTAGGGTTGTCTTGAGCAGCAATCTGATCTGTAGCTAGGGCAAAAATAATTTGAATTCCATGCCATGAAAAATGTCACATTCTGATTTCTGTTAAAGATGGAGAAGATGCTGCATATACAGTATATTTTTTTCTGGCCAGTTTGCAAACTTATTAGCCATGAAGGAGGTTGAGGGCAGTCCCTCTGAGTATGTGGGCATAAAGTGTACATATATATGTCCTTAAAAGTATATTTTCCCTTGTCTAAGAGGGGGTTGCAGTGCCTCTCCACTGAAAAAATATTCTGTGTGTTTTTAAAGCCATGCCTGGCATGAAATTTGAAAAAGGCTCCGCTTTTCCTGTCATGAAGATGTTAACTGGTTGTGAAGGAAGGTGAGGACAGGTGACCTCACCTAGGTCCGAAGTCACCCCCCACCAAAGCAGGCTCAAAGCTTCTCAAAGCTTTTCAAAATCATTTTCTCAGCAGCTAAGCATCAGAAACTTTCCGCTCTGCTGTAACAAAAGGTAGAGAACAGTCCATTGTTTCTCAGGCCTTCTGGCCTTGCTAAAGAACCACATTGCAACTTACTTTCTGTCCGGGAACCATGCCAGAACAGGAGATTGAAACATATCTGAACACTCTGAAACCCCTTTCCTGGGAAGGGTGCCAAGAGTCCAAAATAGTCCCAAGACAGCTTTCTGTTCATGCTCAGAGGAACTCATGGGGCAGGACTCTGGAAGGAGGAGAAAGGAGGAGGGATCTGGTCCGGGGTATATATGCTTGTGCACATGACTGTGAACTTCGTGCATGCTTTTCGTGAACTATCACACTTGCTCCTTCTACCAGTTCATGGATGGTAGAAATAAAAGCCTTTTCTCCGAAACTGTTCCTTGAGTGTCTGTTGACTCCCACTTCCCTTTCCCAGGCGCAATATTTTTCCCACCCGAGGGCTCATAAGGCTACAGTTGGGGGAAGCTTCACCCGGAGAATTTTAGCCTGCCAGGCAATTATAGAAAGGCACAGAGCTGAGGGTTGGGAGAAAAAGGTGATATTTCTTTTAAGTGGGACATGGTTTCAAAGAACAATGCCATTTTATGCTTACACCCCACTTCTCTTAAGAAACTACGGTATTTTAAAACAATAAGGGGTTGTAGCTAGCTAAAGTTCTACTCAGAGTAGAGCCATTGAAATTGATGGAAGCAAGTTAGGTCTATTAACTTCAATGGGCCTGCTCTGAAAAGAACTAGCATTGAATGCAACCCAGTAATAATTATTTTTTTGATTTTATGAGATTTATGTCGCTTGATTGTAAAAAACGAATGAACCTCAGAGCAGTTTAGAAGAATAAGACAATGAAAGTTTCAGGGTTTTTTGTTTTTGTTTTTTTAAGAAACCCTTTTAAAACCTTCCAAAAATAGTTAAGATCTATGGTAAGGTAAAAACCACCAGATTACAAGAGTGATTGGTGGCGATTTGCTTCTGATAGTGTTAAAAGTTACCATAAGATGGGGACCATCTTGGTGGGAAAAATAGAAGTGTGGCTTTATTAAGTAACTCTGGGGGGAGGGTGAATAAAATGTCAACTAGGGAAGGAAAGAATTATTGTTGTTTACAGTGTACACGCTCGACCCTTCAGTCTGAATAGGTTTCGCACTGAGCGACTGAGTTGGGTCGCCTGAGGTGTAAAAAAGGCGGGAAAGTTCAGGCGGCGGAGCGGGAAGGGCGACCGTCCGTTAAACCGTCGGAGGAGCGAAAAAAGGCGGGAAAGCGGGAGGGGCGCGCGCGAGGAGCCTAAAAAACCCCGCGTTTTGCTGAGAGGAAAAAGGATTTTGAAAAGCGTGTGGGAATCGCTATGAAATAGTTAAAAATAAAATAAAAGACTACAGTCTGCATATATGATGTAAGGGCGTCTGTTTTAAATAAATGAATATCCCTGAATGAATATTATTTAATGTAATGAGAGGTCGTCTGCTTACAAGCACGGCCGTCCTAAACCGCCCCCCCCCCATGGCAAAAAAGCCCCATCGTGCGCTACATGGCTTGGCGGTTTTTAATCGCCTCAAGTCAGACGTGGTCTCTCAGGAGGGCTTCTCCATCTGAACTTTCCCCCATTTTATATATTACACTCCCATCTCTATCGTAAACCTCAGGGCTGCTGCTGCCAACTTCCCAGCTGACATTTGCAGCTGGGCTCTTAATGCCCAGAGGTTGGTGGATAATATGCGAGCCTTCCCTCATCCTATACTTTTCTTACAGATGCTCCCTGCCATGGGCATAGCCAGGATTTATGTTGGATGGGGAGAGAACACTATCTGTGCTGGAATTGTTCAGTTAGTTAAGGTTTTTGAAATTTATTTACTCGATTTAGTGTGGGGAGCAGCTGCGCCCGGCCCCAGATGTGGATGAACTACAACTCCCATCATCCCTAGCAAGCATGGCCAAAGACGAGGGGTGATGGGAGTTGTAGTCCAGCAAATATCGAGCCAGCCAAAGTTTCCCCACGCATAACCTATTTGTTGTTATTTAGTCGTTTAGTCTTTTCCCGATTGAAATTGCCCCCCCCCCCCCAGCTATTGACTCCACTGAGGGAGGAAAAACAACAGCGAAGCTTGGTAGGGACGAGGGGAGCAAAGATTCCACATTCCTGGTATAAGACATAATAAGAATGCCCAGATGGGAAAGAGGAGCCATGTTCCTTTTTCCAGGTAGCTTTGGGGTGGGGGGTTTCTTGCTGGGTTTTTTCGTCCTAGGTGCAGCTTCCAGAAGGGCACCAATGAGGCCCCCAGCCTGTGTGCCTGTGTACATAAATGTGTGGGTCGTGTGTGCCAAACTGGGTCTTTGATGCGGGTGAAATAAAGCCTAGCTTCGCCCTGCCAATGGCGGGTGGGTGGGCCAGAGGCAAAGGTGCAGCAGATCTGAGTCTTGCCTTTGAGCAGTAGGGCAGTTTCTGCACACGCAAAAAAGACAAGAGTGTTCCTGTGCAGACCCACACATTTCTCCTTCCTTGGAGGTTTTTAAGCAGAGGTTGGGTGGCCGTCTGTCATGGAGGCTTTAGCTGAGGTTTCTGCACTGCTGGGGGTTGGATTGGATGACCCTCGGGGTCCCTTCCCACTCTACAGTCCTCTGATTCTCTATTTATTTATTCCTTAAAATTTATATACTGCTAAATGGTTAAATGAAAAGCCTCGGTGATTTTATCGTTCACTCAGGCAAGCAAGAGGCATGCACGGTCGTCACAGGTCAAAAACACATTTCAGCCAGGCCAAGAACACTCTGGGTTGTATCCAACTCAGTTCTACTCAGAGTAGACGGAAATGAATACATCGAAGCTAATCATGATCATTAATTTCAACGGACTCTACTCTGAGTCGAGAGCTGGTTACTGCCCTCAAGGAGCGGGCAGCGCAGGGCAGAAGAGGTTTGGTCCCGCTGGGGAAAAAATACAACCAATAAAATAAAACCTAAAACTATTAAAACTCTTCATCTGTGATATTAGAGGCAACATAAAGCATTTTAATAACAAATATGTATTAAATAAATAATGTATTCATTTTAAACCACGTGGGGCATTTTATAAAAAGAGAGTCTACTCCCAGGAGCAACAAATCTTTTTACATGATCAGTCATAAGTTAAATTTAGAAACTGGAATTTCTCACCAAAACACTGTATATACTAACACAACATTTTTAACAACAGGTGACTGAGAAAGAACAGGAAATATGGCAACTGCTCAGAAGCAAAGAACCTCTCTGGTATAGTTCCATTTCAAAAATTTAATTTCTCTTACCATTTAATAAGGGGTTTTTTTTACAGTAATTATATGTTTATGGTAACCATTGTGTTTAGATCAAGTCAGTATGATGCACAGAAGGTTGAAGTGAGTTAGGCATTTGCATATTTATTGACATAATAATGTGTAGAGCTATTCTGAATCCATGCTCTTCTTAATTCTTTCTTCTTTACCTTTTAGAGTGCAATAATATTTCCCAACAAAATATCAACTGAGCAGCAATCTCTAGTATTAGTGAAAAGACTGCTGGCAATAGCTGTATCCTGCATTACCTACCTAAGAGGGATATTTCCAGAAAGTGCATATGGAACAAGATATATTGATGGTAATGGCTTTTCCAAAAAGAGCAAACTTTCTCTGTAGTGTAGCTGATAAATACACCAGACTGTGATCTTCAGAAGTTACTACATAGTGATACCCCAGAAAAAGTACCTGAGCTTTAAGCTATTATTATGTATTTACTTATAAACATTTGTGACCTGCTTTCCAGCAGAATATCCAAAAGCAGAGTGCAATCTCAAAAAACAATAAAACCATGCAATCAATATAGGACCATCCTTAAAATATGCAAAAACATGTAATCAAATAATTACTGTATTTGAAGGTGCAGGGTTATTGTTGCAAACTGCTGTTGAGTGATTCTCCCTTTCCATTCTGTGCTTGTGTAAAGAACAGAAAAAGTTGTCAATAATAGCGTCATCAATGTTGCAATTAAGATTTATCAAATGTATTTTGATTGTATTTTAAGACCTCTGTGTGAAAATACTGCGGGAGGATAAAAACTGCCCTGGCTCCAGTCAGCTGGTGAAATGGTAGGTTTTTTGTGGTTTCCATTTTGCAAATAATCAGAGAATAGGTCCTTACCGCAGGGAGCTTACAGTCTGTAATTCAACATGAGAAAACAGATGAAGGGAAATGGAGGCAGGTTTGAACGAGGGAGCGATAGGTGACATATATGTACTTAGGTTTGGTACTATGTGCTTCCCCCATCCGCACTATACCAGTGTTCAAAACTCCCATTGTTCTAGGCGCATTTTGCGACAGGGAATTTAATTAGCGTGAGCAGTTTCTGAGCTCTGGGCACAGTACTGTGCCTAAGATTTCATATTAAAACGGCAGAGTGGAAAGAAAGGAGGACCTTTTCCTCCCCACTTCCAGCCACTCTCTGAAGACTGGAGATGAGACCCTCTTAAGAATATTAGGGGTGTGGGCAGGGGAAGGACTAGACCATGTGAAAAATGAACATAATATTTTAGCTGCAGTTCATTTCCAGCTTTGTATTCTCGTTATTAAAAAAAACATGCCAATACTTTCCCTTGTTGCACCCATAACCTAGATTTAAGGTGCCATTTAGCTCCTAGCTTTCTTATCTCAGTTTCTAACACTGCACTATAATTTAAAGCAGTATCATACCACTTTAGACAGTCATAGCTTCACCCAAAATATCATTAGAGCTGTAGTTAATTAAGGGTGCTGAGAATTGTTAGGAGACTCTCCGTCCCGCCATAACCCTCACAGAGATTCTTAGAGTTCCCTGGCCTGGAAAGAGGGATTGATATTTAAACCACTCTGGAAATTGTAGCTCTGTGAGGTGAACATTTCACTGGACTCTTTGAAAGAATCAATGACTGTTTAAAATGGTATGATACTGCTTTAAATGTATAGTACAGATGAGGGAATGGAAAGGCTAGAATTTAAAGGAAGTAAGAGAGGTGGCATGATGGGAAACAGTTCCAGGCTTCAGAAGGACTAAGAGAAGAACAAAAATGTCATTTGAGAGAGAGCAGAAGAACTTCAGACATTTCAGAGTGATAGAGCTGGAGGATAAATGGTTATACTGTAGGTGGGGATTTTTCTGGGGAGAAGAGTGGAATGATAAAGGGGCTTGTGCAGGATTCAGGAGTGGAGAGGAAGGCATTTCAGAGATTTAAGGGACAGTGATGTGGCCAAAGCAGATTTTGGCTTCAGGGTGCTGGCTAGAGATGAAAGTTGTGTGTGTGTGTGTGTGTGTGTGTGTGTAGTTGAGGATTTCACTCAGTGTAAATAGGAATCCAATTGCTGTCTTTGTCAGGCCCATAAAATAATGGTAAGCATTTAATGAATAAAAGCAGGGTTGAAAAATTGCACAATAGATACAGATGAATGGGATTAAAAAACCCAAAATGCATATATTTGTGTGAAGCAGTAGCATTTTATGATTTTTACAGGATGCTGGGATGCTATGATGCACTGCAGAAAAAATATGTAAGTTAAATATGGTTTTATCTTTAATGAGTAACTGTGCGTTCACAGATTCATCTTAGCAATTTTCATTATAGTAAACACACTATAATGCTTTTAATTTCTAATTTATTTTCTTTACTGTTTTGGGTAAATAGCTCAGATTAATCGTCTTAGCGGTAAGTTTAATATATATTTATACACGTCCACATTTCAAAATTAATTAATACTTCATATGCTGTATTGTATTTGGTATTGTCCTGATTATGTTGTTTATCTTTTAAATACAGGTCTACACCAACCAGGATGATCCTCAGGTAAGTTTATGATTTTGCATTCATAAGTGCACATTATATATTGCAGATGTTTTGTCCTGAATCAATACATACTTTTTGTGAAGAGACATGCTGAAAGAGACACATGTCGACAAATGTGGATTGTAAGATCATTCAGTGCATCTGACAGTGACCACTATGAAAGATCAAAGGACACCTCTAATAGAAATCATTAAACAGCCATTTGAAGGGAATGGTTTCTGAAATTTACTGTAATTGGACTATTTTCTCACCATCTCTACATTCCAACACCACCTCCTTTTTCAAACAGTAATCTGCAACCAGCTTTATAAAAGTGGTGGATTCAGATTGGGAATACATTGTTTGGGGGGAAACCAGCGGCTGCGGTCCTCATCTAATTCATCCCCTTGGCTAAAGGGGTAGGGTGGGGAGGAAACTTCAGGAGAGCCAATCACTTCTTGTCGAGTTTGACTCTTCCTTTCTTTGGGAACAAGAGAAGAGTGTATCAAGTGTATATTGCTGAGGTGGGGAACCTGTGGCAGTCCAGGTGTTGCTGGAATACAACTCCCATCATCACAGATGATTTTCCAGGCTGGCTGAGGCTGATGGGAGCTGGGAGTCCAACAGCATCTGGAGAACCGCAAGTACTCTTTCCCAGGCATATGCCTTGCCACAGATAAGGATAAAAAAATCCAGCCACTAGGTGTCACTCTTCCTCTATTTGATGTGATAATTAGAATAATATTAAAGAAGATGAATTCTACATATTAAATGTTGCAGCCCAGACTTTATGGCAATCTTTTCTCTTATTATTTGCTTCTGCTGACCCTAATTCCATTAGAAAAGTGTGCATTGTTTTTTAAGAAAGAATATCCAAATGATCACAAAGGAACGCTGGTAATGAAAAAGGGATTAAAACTGGATTGCAGTACTTAGGCCAGCATCAAATCAAACTCCATGATGAAGGACATTCCATTTTTTTATACTGATGTTGTTTAAAGAAAGTGGATCTTTCTTCCATGAAAGTGAATGGTGCAGGGAAGCCTTGAAACAAATTGCTGGTTTGGCTTGTGAATTGACAGTTTGGGTGGCCTGGACACCCTGGATTAACATCTACTCTGGATGAAGTCTATTTAAAAGAGTCAAATCCAGCCTTTCTGTCATCAAAGGCTCTAAAAGAGATTTCAGTCCAATGAGTGGTATCCAGCTAGGTTGAAACTGATATACATAAGTTAGTCATGTTGATTAATTTCAGTGGGTCTAGGACCAACACCAGATGCAACCCATTGCGTTCAGTACTGCAGTTAAGTATCCATATTGCTTGTTCACTTTAGATACAATGAGTTTAAAAGTATTAGCTATCAGTATACATTACTACTGAGAGCCAAAGTGCTTAGATTCAGATTGTGGAGACCTGGATTCAACACCCCACTCAGCCATGAAACTCACTTCAGGACCTGTCACTCTTGTTCTGCCTAACCTACCTCACTGGGTTGTTATGACAATAAAACAGGGGAAAGAGAGCCCATGTCCTTCACCCTGAGCTTACTGGAGGACATTCAAAGGCGGAGGATTTGTTAGGCTTGGTGCTGCATTCTACTTGCTGTTTCCAATTTTAGGCCCTTGATACGTAACTACTATGTTTTGTGTTTAGACTGTTACAGAGTGCTACCAATTTAAGTTCAAATACAGCGATCAAGGACCATCTATGGATTTCACAAGGTATTCTCTCCTCTCCTACCCCACTGTTTTCATCAGGCAGTTATACGAGACATTTCTCTGCCAGGCTGTTCTTGCAAGCTGAGAAAAGCCAACATGTATTCTTTGATTCTAGAAAGTGGATGTTAATATGTCCCTGTGTTCACCAAAGAGAAGGCATTTAATTGCTGCAGAACAAATGCTCAATAACAATCAGCCCTCAATTGGTTTCTAGTCACATTTATTAGAAAGGCTCAGGAAATATTATCAAATAGGAAATATGCAATTTTATCGGTTCCCAATTTCTCCTGTTCCTAATGGATTTGACTTCCAGAATATAGATACAGTACTCTAAACAATTGTCTTCAGCATTTTCAGCCCATGACCTACCTTTAACCCAAACATGCATTTTAAAATTTCTTAAATACTTTACCATGTGTTTGTATGTGGGGAGTATAATGCTACCATTGTTATCTAGCTTAGATCAGGCTCAGAGTCAATAGTGGGTCCTGACTGCTTTAAACCATGGTGGGCTGGGGCATGTTGCTTAGACAGATGAGGAGAGCGGAGGATGGGAAGAAGGAGAGTAAAGCCACACTTTGTGGGTAAGGGCTAGGGATGTAAGAAGGCTCCTGTGTCCATTTCCAGTATTGCTAATAGAGGCACCAGCTGTCCTTGCTTTCAAATAATGGATGGTTTTGTTTTTTCTAGTAAAAACAATGGAAGTAATTCCAACAACACGTGCACAAGTACTAAGAAAGCTAGTATCCTGATGCTACGAAAGATTTATGTCCTGATGCAGAACCTGGGCCCTCTGCCTGGTGATGTCTGTCTGACGATGAAGCTGTTCTATTACGATGAAGGTACCATTTCAAATTTTAATTCTGTTCAACATCAATATGTCAGAATAATTGCTGACGAAACAAATGTTTCCCATTATGGAATATCACCAACTTTCCTTTTTAGTTACACCTCCTGATTACCACCCTCCAGGATTCAAAGAGGGTCATTGTGAAGCAGTGGCATTCGAGGGGGAGCCAATGTACCTAAGTGTTGGTGAGATCCCAACCCCTTTTCATACGATGAAAGTTAAAGTGACGACGGAAAAAGATCGAATAGAGTGCATCGATGCAGACTTATTAAGGCAAGGGAAGGCATTGACTTCCACAAAGCTACAGCATCTTGATAGAATGGATGTAAGGGTTTGAAATTTATTTTTTAGTTTTGTAATGATGCATGGAGTTATTATTTGAAATTTTGACAGTATTTGCATTGCCTATCCTTAACAAAATGCTTTTACAGGTACATTTCAGCTTTGTTGAAGACGTTCTTGTTTGTGTTCTTTACACAGGAAGATTTTATTGCAGAAAACACAATGAGGGAGCAGCAAAACACACACAGGGTTCCTCATACTAAAGGTACACAGAGCATATGTTATTTAGGAGTGTTTTGCTTTCATATTGGTACATGGTGATGTGTTCTCCATGGCAACACCTTTTCTGCACACCTCTTTAATTTTATGAAACTGTGCATGACACTCTGCTCAGAACTTGGGTTAGAAGATAGGAACACAGGAAGCTGCTAAATACCAAGTCAGGCTATTGGTCCATCTAGCTCAGTATTGCCTACACCGACTGCCAATGACTTTTCAGGGTTTCAGGCAAGAGGTCATTCCCAGCTCTTCTTGGAGATGCCAGAGATTGAACCTGGACATCAGATGTTCTACCACTGAGTTACAACCCTTGCTTTTAGAAACCTAGGAAGCTGCCTTAGACTAAGTCACATTCATTGGTTCATCTAGCTTAGTACTGTCTACACCAATGGGCAGTAGCTCTGCAGGATTTCAGGCAGAAGTTGTTCCCATGCTTACCTGGAGATGCCAAAGATTGAACCTTGGACCTTCTGCGTGCAATATGTGTGCTTTACCACTTAGCAATGTCCTTTCCCCCAAGAATGAACCTTCCCACATGTTTAGACTACTTTCACATCCTGAACTTGCAATGACAGCAGGGGAGGAAGGACCACAATCCTCACAGTTAATATCTCCAGCAGTTTTTGTCTCCTTAGCAACTGCCTGCACCTTCTGGAGGAGGCTGCCTCTCAGAGAAGACTAGAGCCTTGTCAATGTATCTGTCAATCCTCTTTTAAGAACATTCTACTTATGTACAGAAATATAAACTCTTTGTTTATTCAGTGTTCTGAGAATTTGTACAATTTTCTTCCAATGCCATTCCCAGAACTTAATTTAGTGTGTGAAGAAGATGAAGACATGAGGATAGAAGATAGCCAAACTTTCTCCATCAATAGTTCTCAGGTATAAAGCTGCCTTTTTATTCTGTACCAATGTTTGGTTCTCATTTAGTTTTTTGGATTTACTTTTTTGTGGCTGGATAAATGTTTACTAGATTTAACAAGTGCAACACAATCTGACAATTAGCGGAAGAGTTCCTGCAAAATGTATGTAGATATTGTTTGTATGGGTGTATATTTGGCAAAATCACATACAAAACTGTGTAGATATGTTTGTCCTCATTCCAAGAGCCCAAACCAAAGCTGTTCTCTTTTAAAAAGCTGTTCTCTTTGTTTGTTTAACTGTTTTTAGGTGGAACATCTAATTAATAAGACATCAGAACTTGAAGTAGCTGAGGGAAAGACCCGAAGTGGAAGGAAGTTTAAAGGCAACACAGTTAGTGTCATTTTTAAAATAATTAACGAACTATTCTGTTGCATGATCTGAATGAGATAAAAAATTTAAGGGATGCATAACTTAGATTTTTACAGTACAAATCCTGTTCTTTAAGGCTTAGCTCAGTTTTCAGGTTACCTCAATTTTGCTACTGTTGCGCAAGTTGCAGTCAGGATGATTATTAATTCTATTATTTTTGATAATGTATTCATTTATTTCCATAGCATTCCCTCCCCCAATAGTACTCCAAATGCATTGCCTTAGTTATCCTCCCAGCAAGCTTGTGATTTTCGTAAGGCCACGTGATAAGCTGCACAGCTGAACCTGGATGCGCAGCATCACAGCCCAATTTCTTCTCACAGTTTCATACTAAGCTCTTTGAAAATATTTGATTTAGGCTCCAGTGCCAATGCCATGCCATTGCCGTGTTCACGTCCGGCATGTTTGGGCACTAACTAAGGGCTCCTTCAGATGCTCTATTTATTGAGCATTTATTCTGATTTGTTTGCAGGGAGATTATATACCTCTTCCCATCAAATGATCATTCATCCCACACTTTTTTAATGCATTTCCCCATCACGTTCCTTACCACAAAGGGTCTGCTGTCTTTTTAAAGTGGATTTGTTGCTCCAGAGTGCTTTAAATCAACTTAAATTGCATAAAACTAAATTCCTGATATGCCATTGAATCCATCCCACAAAATAATAACAGTCTGGAGGTAACCTAAGCATTTATTATAAATAGTAGTAGCACCAGTAGGGCAACATATTCATTAGGTAATTTTCAACAATAAAATACCAGAGCTTAGGCTTTGTGAAAGATAGACAAAGCTATTGTTGTCCACAGCAATATTTTGAGGGAGGTAATGTTAAAAATGTAAGAAGCTGAGTTTTGTACAAGCTGCAGGACTAGATTACTACAAGTTTTTGATAGCTTTTGCTTCTAAGAAGGCCTTGGACTCTGAAACCTAGGAAGAAAGTTGCATGAAACCATACAACCCAGAAGGTCCTGCTTTTGAGCTGAAAAAGTTTTGTAAAAATTTCAGCTCATCTCTTTTACAGACACTGTGAGGGACCATCCCCACTCTCTGTCCATCAAACTAAGGTTGTTTCTACCCTCACTCCTCTCCTAGTTTCGCTCTGTTCAGTACAGAAACATACCTTCGTAGGCATCTGCCAGTTGCTTTACTGACATTTTCACCTTATAGACATTGTGGGGGAAGATTCCACCAGAATCAGCATCTTAGGAAATGCCCTTCAGATGTACAGCGGTGAAAGTAAATCATAATGTTGTCATGACCAAGCTAAGACTTGCCCTTACTGTCGCCACTCTTAAAGAGTCCTTCATTAATTTTTTAACACACGTTGAGGAAGAGTAACAGCCTACGGATGCACAGCACGCTCCTTAATAGCCATCTGCAGACCTCTCTCCTGGAGCTAACGGTTCTTCTGTCTCTGTCAAGGGTGACAAGGGAGGCAGCAACAAAATTCAGTTAGCAGCAAAGTGTCCCAGAGAAACCCAGAAGAGAAGAAACTCAGAATCGGGCAAGCCAGTAAGTTCTTTCCATGCATTATGAGGAAAGTAACAAGAGTTCTTGCTGTGGGTGCCCCATCTCCAGTCTTTATGAATCCAACATTTCTATGCAAAACCAGAAGCCTTGGTTTGTCACTGTTTTTTGTTTAGGGGCAATTACAATATTGGAAAATTAGGTGATTTTATAGGGCTGTCGTCCACTGTGTTTTCACTCATGTCAGTCCTGTTGATTTGAGTGAGACCTGCTGTGCAACCTTGCCCTAGGCATGTTTACTTGGTGAAGTCCCACTGTGCTTCATTGGGGTTCAAACGGTGCCTAGGACTGTGGCCTTAAGTGGACAAAATGATGCCTTCAATTGCAGCCATTATAGTGAACAAATGAGGCTGCACAGAACAAAATGTGGTTTGTGGAGGTGGGATGTGTTTCTTTCTTCTGGATTCTTCCTCCCAGCTGGAGCCTCTGAAGGTGCAGACGGTGCTGGCTGTCACCCAGTCTGCATCTTCAGAGCTTCCGTTTCACAGGCAAGGAGGCTGACCAGAGCAGAAACAGCAGTTCCCAAAGTGAGAAAGAGGCAAATAACCCAGGGATGCCCAAACAATTGCTGAGAGACAGTTTAAAATATATGTCTCTTCAATACAACTTGTGCAATGAGGACCCTCAACAACCACTTATGTTGTAAGACAGCTCCAGAAACCAGTATGGTGACATCCTTTTCCTACACACAAGTTTTTGCTTTTTCTGGACTTGCTGTTTTTGGCTCTGCTAGTTAAAGTTTGGTTGGAGCTAAGGTATTCCTGGCAGGTAGTGAGTTCTATGGCCTACTTTTTCATAACCTGTTTACCCTGAGATCTAGGACAATGGTGAGTATTACCTGCTGTTAGGGATGGGCAAGTCTGACAGTTTTGGTTTCCCTCAATTCCCCTCATTTTTTCCAGCCTTCAGTTGATTTCTCCACATTTCTACATCTCCAAAGACTGAATGGAGAGATGGTCGGCTGGAGCCTTCACTACCTGGTCTTTGCTCTGCCCCCCAGCCGGCAGCCGATTGGGTAGCCGGGGAGGGGGTGGAGCAACAGCCAGCAACTAAAGGGGGTGTCACCCTGGCACGGGAAGCCCATGCCAAGTCACAAACCCCACCCACTGCTTGGAAGAGTGAGCGTTAATTGTGAAATTCTTTTTTAAAGTCCTCATGAAAATTTATCTGCATTTCAGTGCCAATTTCTTCTAATATACACATTTGGGTGGCGCCTAGGAATTGCCGATCAGAAGGTCGGCGGTTCGAATCCCCATGACGGGGTGAGCTCCCATTGCTTAGTCCCAGCTCCTGCCAACCTAGCAGTTCGAAAGCACATAAAAGTGCAAGTAGATAAATAGGTACCACTCCGGCAGGAAGGTAAACAGCGTTTCCATGTGCTGCTCTGGTTTCGCCAGAAGCGGCTTAGTCATGCTGGCCACATGACCCGGAAAAACTATCTGTGGACAAATGTCGGCTCCCTCGGCCAGTAAAGCAAGATGAGCACCGCAACCCCAGAGTCGTCCGCGACTGGACTTAACTGTCAGGGGTCCTTTACCTTTTTATACACATTTGCAGAATATACACATTTTTGCAAAGCAATTTTTCCTAACATAATGCTCTTTTGTATGTTCTTTTTGACTAATTTGTGCACTTTTATGCACTTTATCCCAGTATGCCTATTTTTGTGTATACTGGGGCAAAGTGCACAAAAGTGCACACATTTTTGTGTATACTGGGGAATATCTGTGCATAATATGTGCACTTTGCCACAGTGAACACATTTTTTGTACACAATACTTGGCTGGAGAACAGCACTGCAAAATCCAGAAAAGGTGGGGAAAATGTCAGGCTGGATGGATGCAAGGCAGGGTTCAGCCTGTGCTCTGGGGAACATGGAGCTCTGAGCTTTCTCCAGCAAGGAGAACAAGCTGAAACTGAGACCTTATACAGTGGTACCTCTGGTTACGTACTTAATTCATTCCGGAGGTCTGTTCTTAACTTGAAACTGTTCTGAACCTGAAGCACCACTTTAGCTAATGGGGCCTCACTCTGCTGCCGCGCCACCGCGGTGCAATTTCTCTTCTCATCCTGAAGCAAAGTTCTTAATCCGAGGTGCTGTTACTGGGTTAGCGGCATCTGTAACCTGAAGCGTATGTAACCTTGAAGCATATGTAACCCGAGGTACCACTGTATAGCAGTAGTAGCAGCAGCAGCAGCGATAGCAGTGGCAGGGACAGTCTAATTGATATAGCCATCTGTGCTGCAAGATGCTGCTCTACTTAAAGGACCCGGCCTTCGGCACTGGTCTCCTACTGTGATAAGCAGGGGAGCTACAGGCCTTTCTGAGTCTTCTCCAGGGGAGTCCTCTGAGACAGAATGGCAGTGCCACATCCTCAGGCTGGGGTAGGGGCACACTGGTGCAGCAGGTTCATCTGAGAGTGCTTCTGGGGCTGGCCCTGCATGCCCTTTCCCCTTCTGCTTCAGAGTCCTCGTTCTCATCCCCTACAGATGAGGAATCTGACACCAGGGTCATCAATGACAGCCTGGTGCTGGTGTCAGGCTTTGGGGTGGGTGGGGGGGAGGCTGATTTACAATTTTCTCAGTTAAAGTGCATAGTTCCTATTTGATCAGATAGAACTGAAATTCCCATTTGATCAATGACATATCACAGATGCATGGTTTATAGGGCAATTGTAGCAAACCCTTCACTGAAAAACCAGCAGAGAGGACAAAAAGTTCTTTGTTCTCTGTAACTCAGCATTATTGGGCTCTACCTGACAATATTTAGGTGCATTAGAGTGAGTAAGTCAGTATGTTGATTTTAATGGTTCTGCTCTGAGTTTGACTAAATAATACTTCATTGTCTTTTTAAAAAAGGTTTATCATCTTGAGTTCTTTTCTGGTGAAGACTCAGTTCCCAAACGGAGAAAAATCAGTGAACCAAAGGAGCGGATTTAGATATTGGTTTTCAAATGTTTATTATTTCCCGTTTCCCCCCCCTCCCTAGAATGTTTTTCTCATTATACCTAGTATTTTGATGTTTTAGAGGGGGTATAGTTTAACCTGTTAAAACCATCCAACATTTTTCAGTGCTTTTATTTGCAGTTAAGAGTACAGGCTTTTAATTCAGGTACACGTAAAATCTAGTCTTGTAAATTTCACTTGTCAGCGTGGATAGAGAGCTGCTGCTTTATCTGAGGCCTGATTTAAATGTAATATTGGGCATGCAAGAAAATATACCCATGTGGCATTTCATGTAGTCAGGCTCACATTAAATTTGGGACTCTGAGCTGTTACCTGTACAGTGTGCCCGGGCAATGAATCTCAGGTGTGCTTAATGTTGCATGCACAGGCGAAATGAGACCCAACAGCAGTTTAAATTGGGCCAGAGGGAAATGTCCTTAAGAACAAACTATGATAAATTGATTCCAAATGGAAAATTTTCAGGTAATATTATTACTGCCATGCAAATTAAAAGAAGGAAAAAGCTAAAGGTTTGCAACTCAACCTCCTAGATTTTGGGACTGCAACTCCCATCAGTCCCAGGGCTGATAGGAGTTGTAGTCCAAAAAATGGGGGTGGGGGTGGGACACCAGCTTGGGGAAGGATGTTGTAACCAGTAGCCTCATCCACAGAAAAAGTTAATCACATTTAAGTACTGTGGAATGAGATGTCACAAAATTGACTTAAGCCCCATGGATTCCAACAGTTCTTAGGTACATCTTACTTTCTCTGGAGCTAGCAATTAACTTTTAAAGCATTTGTTGCTTTGTTTTCTGTTACTAGAAGTGTTATAAAAAATGTAGAGAAAATGTTTAAAAATTTTATGCTATATAATTCTTGAAACATAATGGAAGTATGACTCGAGAACATATTGATTTCTGATTAAATGTTTATAGAGGTCTGCAGTGCATGTGCTTTGTTTTAGACCTTCAAATTTTACAGCCACAATAAAATATTTACAACTTGAACAAGCTGCCTCTTTTCATAATGTTTGTTTTAAATGTTGATTCCTGCCTCATCACTGGGTGCTCCCAATCTTTCTGTGATTGCCATGTTCATTTTCAGAATACTGTAAAGAAATAACTGATATTTTTGCTATAACGCTTTGGAACCTTGCTCCACAGGAAGCAAAATTATATGGCATCCAAAGATGACTGTAGTAAGCAGTGGCATCTAGTGCCACAGTCATCTTACAATAATTTATTCTCTGGATGCCACAAACCTCATACAAAATGATTCATTGCATATTTGGGTGGGGGCACCATGGCTGACAGACAGCATCCTCAAAAATAACACCAGGAGTCCTGGTTGGTTGGTTTTTATTGGGTTTTGATATTGTTTCTTGGATTTTATATTGTTAGCCAACGTGGATGGAAATGCAGGATATGCATTTGCTTAAATAAGTGGGGAGGAGGGGCTTCCCTTCAGCTTCCAGGACTGGCTCAACCTGATAAACAGGGGAAAGACTTCTGGCCTTGTACGGTCTGCCATTTTGAATGCCACGGTGGAGTAGGAAAGGGGTAGAAATTCAGTTTGGTTCACATTTTACTGTGAACATACCTAACACTTTCTAAAATAATATCTGCATTTTGGCTCACTTACCTTTTGAAATTCCCACTCCTAATTTTGCAATGCAGTTCTGCATCTGTGCACAAAAATGTGTCTATTAGTGAAAATAACCTAGAAAAATCTGCAGTTGGAAAAATTGCTTCCAAAGATGTGCATTTTGGAAAACTGCATACAGTTGGGAGAAATGCAAACTAAAATGTTGGCGTATCTTAATGGGCTTCTTTTTAAAAAAAAAAAAACCACACACACAAGCTGAAGGAGAAATAGGGATAACTAAATTTAGGATTGGGAAAAATTTTACACATCTTTACACCTGGAGTCTATGATGTGCTACAGAATATTATATCTCAATAGTGTCTCTCGTTGCACCTCAAAGCTTCAGCAAGCTTGGGTCCAATGCAGCAGTCAGTCATGCCCACCCCCAGTCTCTCGGTGCAGCCTCCTCCAGCCAGTTGCTGCATGGAGTTCTGTCCCCTCCTTTCCAAAAGCTACTGCTCAAAACCTCATTTTAAAAGACACTTTTTTCCCTGGCAACCTTCCCCTTCCTTGTCTGCTGCTGAATGTCTTACCTGTTTGTTAGGGTACTGACTGTTCTATGTTTATTAATGGCTGCACTCAGCCTGCCTTGCCAGGCTGGTCTGGCTCCCCAGGATAGACCAAGTACAGGAATTTCCATGTTTGGCACAGTTTAATCAAACCATCATTAATTCTAACTTTTGCTAATTCTACCAGAATCTATAACAGTATAAAAGGAGAATTCCTGGATGCCAAGATCCAAGTTTGGGTCAAGTGCTCTTTGGTGAGAGAACCCCAGCAGAGATTTAAAGTCACAAAATATGCTGCAAAGTAAAGCGTGGAAATATAGACTGTTAGACCTTTAAAAATATGACCTTGTGAGTGAGTTCCAAAATAGTCCCATCTTCCCCCAGCAAAAAAAAAAAAAAAAAGACCACACGCGAGGTAAGTTAAAAGCAGTTTACTTGCAAGCTCTCCAAAGGGACAGATTCATGTGCTTTTCCACACAGCATTCAGAAAAAATTGCATAGGCTATAAAACATGGCTCGTTATACTGGTGAAAAGTTCCTAAATTATGGACATAGAAACATAAGAATAGTTTGTAAGAGCGATGTGGTCTGAGCTTGCAGCAACCAACTCAGACCTCTTTACATGATGAGTTCAGGTAAAATTAGTAGTATTGCCTTTTTATCTTGACAGGGACTCAAAGTCTTCATTGAGAGTGAAAGTGCATAAACCTGTTTGTGTATTATATCTGGCTTAATAAAGAAATATATTAAATCAATTAAGTGTGTATATTAAATAAGATTAACTATATTGAGAACACTTTAATTTACGATATACGATATCTTTATTGCAACCAAGGTGAGCCAAGCGTGCCAGGACAGCTTACTCCATGGTCTTCCCCCTTCATGCATTAATTCGACTTAAGTATGTCGGTTACATGAGGCTGGTTATCCCACACGTTGTTTCTTTAGGTCAGTGATGGTGGCCCTTAAGGGATCTCTATCCGGCCCTCGGGACTCACCCCAGGCCACACACCATAGCTGTCAACCGTCCCTTATTTGGTGGGAAACTCCCTTATCCCAGCGCAGTGTCCCACTGCTGTCCCTTATTGATAATAATAATAATAATAATAATAATTTTTTATTTATACCCCGCCCTCCCCAGCCAAGGCCGGGCTCAGAGTGGCTTACAAGCAATAATAAAAACAAGATGAATGATTACAACTTAAGAACAAAAATAAAATACAACATTAAAATAATGGAACATTAAAATATTAAAATGTAGCCTCATCGCAGGAGGAGAAGGAAAAGAAAAAAGAGAGGGAGGGAGGGAGGGAATCAAATTGGCTCCAAGCCAAAGGCCAGGCGGAACAACTCTGTCTTACAGGCCCTACGGAAAGAGATCAGATCCTGCAGGGCCCTGGTCTCATGAGACAGAGCGTTCCACCAGGTTGGGGCCAGAGTTGAAAAGGCCCTGGCTCTGGTTGAAGCTAATCTGACTTCCTTAGGGCCCGGGACCACTAGGGTGTTGCTATTTATGGACCTTGAGGCTCTCCGTGGGGCATACCAGGAGAGGCGGTCCCATAGGTACGAGGGTCCTAGGCCGTGAAGGGCTTTAAAGGTCAAAAGCAGCACCTTAAATCTGACCCTGTACTCCACCGGGAGCCAGTGCAGCTTGAAAAGCACTGGGTGAATATGCTCCCATGGCAGAGACCCCGTGAGGAGCCTCGCTGCAGCATTCTGCACCCACTTGAGTTTCTGGGTCAGTCTCAAGGGCAGCCCCGCGTAGAGCGAATTACAGTAGTCAAGCCTGGAGATGACCGTCGCATGGACATTATTGATGATGTCCCTTAAATTTCCCGGGTTTCATGTTTGCCCGACTCGGGAGGGAAGCAGTGGCTCGGGGTCCTCCGCCGCGCGCACAAGCTGCCGCGTCTCCGTCTCTCCCTTTTCCGGGTGGGCAGGCAGCCCCTCTCTTGCGAGACTTCCACCGTGCTGCCAGGGGAAGCCGGAGGCGGCAGCGGCTGAGGAGGAGGCCTGAGGGAGGAGGAAGACGAGGGGATGGGGAAGGACGCAGAAGGGTGGTGCTTCAGCAGCTGCGCCACCGCCGCAAGCGCCTCATGCTGGGCTCACGAGCGGCGTGGGCGAGAGTCTCCCTCCCTCCCTCTCTTTCGGGTGGGGAAGGGCCGGTGGAACTCCTTGCGCCAGGACGATGGCAGCCCCGACGTGCTGCTTAGCATCCCCTCCGACCAGTGCAGCATCTTAATGTAGTGACTTCCCTCTCTGCATCCCTTTCATAACTCTATTTTTATAAATCATTTGTCCATCCATAGTTCAATTTTTTACTACAGTGGTGCCTCGCAAGACGAAATTAATCCGTTCCGCGAGTGTCTTCGTCTAGCGGTTTTTTCGTCTTGCGAAGCAACCCTATTAGCGGCTTAGCGCTATTAGCGGTTTAGCGGCTATTAAAGGCTTAGCGGCTTAGCGGCTTAGCTGCTAAAAGGCTATTAGCAGCTTAGCGGCTTAGAAAAAGGGGGGGGGAGCGAAAAAAAATCTCAAGACTCGCAAGCCCATAGGGAAATTCGTCCTGCGAAGCAACTCAAAAACGGAAAACCCTTTCGTCTAGCGGGTTTTCCGTCTTGCGAGGCATTCGTCTTGCGGGGCACCACTGTACAAGTTTTCTGTCAATCCTACCAATGTATGTAACTCTTTACAATAGCTTTTCAACTAAATTATAAACTTTCCCCATTCTTTATTAAAGAGGTCCTCTTCCTGGTTTCTAATTCTGCCTGTAAGCTTTGCCATCACGTTGTTCATCAGTTTTGTCTGCCCCTCTTCTTTGGTGGGAGTTGTAGACCCTTAGGATCATCTAGTCCAACCCCCTGCAAAACACAGTCAGTGGCAGCAAAAGCAGCCTGGCTCCATCAGTGCCGGATTTCTGTATAAGCTAAGCAAAATCCCTTATTGTGGCTGCTGATCCCTTTTATCGAGGCTGCTGGTTGCTTATTTTCAAATCTGTAAGTTGACAGCTATGCCACACACCATTCCCACACCTCATGCACAAGCTTGCAAGCATTTCCTCAACCTGAATGTGCACCTGTCCTCTTGATAATGCCCTTCGCTTGCCTGGAAACCTGCCTGCAGAAACTAGCCTCTGGTGCAAAGCTTTCGAAAATTAGCATTAATTACTCTGCCCAGTTTTGCCTCTGGCTCCATCCGCAAACATGTGGCCCCCAGAAGGTTGCTCAGACTAGAATGCGGCCCTCGGGCCCCACTTTCAAACTCTTCTTCCTGTTCATTCTCCCAGTGTTCAACTGCAGTTAATCCTTCCTCTAACTTCAGCCCATTATATGTCATTTTCTGCAGCAGCGGAAAACGAGATTTAGTCCTCATCTTTGTGACATCCTGTCTGGTAATCTGAAGCATCCTATTGCCAATTTATCCATGGACCCTGCGTCTTCTCTGGGATGAATGTTCCTTCAGCCTTTCCTCAGACTCCCTTGTCCCCTCACAGAGCCACCATTTCCAGAGTTCCCTGGGGAGAGGGACTGGTTGTTAAACCACTCTGAAAATTGTAGTTCTGTGAGGGGAATTGGGGTGGGGGTTTTCCTAAGAACTCTCAGCACCCTTAATAAACTACAATTCCCAGGATTATTTGGCTGGTGAAAGCCACGACTTTTATAGATAGTGGCGCCCGCCCTGTGGAACACCCTCCCATCAGATAGCAAAGAAATAAACAACTATCTGACATTTAGAAGACATCTGAAGGCAGCCCTAATTAGGGAAGTTTTTTATGACTGATGTTTTAATGTATTTTTAATCTTCTGTTGGAAGAGTGGCTGGGGAAACCCAGCCAGATGGGCAGGATATAAAAAATTATTATTATTATTATTAAGTATAATAGCGCTTTATATGTACGGCACAGCTGTGGCCAATTTGGAGGGCCAGCGCCATCTTTGTCATTTCCTCAGCGGCCACAAAATTATTATAACTGTTACCCGCCCTTCCCCAGCAAGTCCCAGGGCAGGTTGCGACAATTTTAAATTATGAAATTAAAAACAGTTCAGCCAAATTAAGGTCAGGGGGATAGGGTGGCTCCTGAAAAACATGCGTCTCAAATGTGCCAACGGCCTTGGTAAAGATGGCTTCCAGCAGCGACCAAGAAGACAGTGAAGGAAGGGGTTGTCAATTAAGACCCTGAACGCCTTTCTTATTTTCCCGCCTTTTAAAAATAAACCTAAGCAGGGTTACCGGCCGTTCCCTCTCCTCACAGTGACAGCCCAAGCAGGCTGAAGGAAGGTGGCCAGTTCCCCTCTTTCTCTTTTATCAGGCCATAATGTGGCAAGAAGCCTATTTTGGTTTTAAGCGGTATATAAATTAATAAGCCATAAAACTGTCAAAGCCAAAGGGCTGCGCTGAGGCGCTGGCGTCTGACACACAGAAACAAAATGGAGAAGGGACAGTGGCTCCCTGTCTCTTGACCTGAGCAAGCAGCTCCTGAGACTAGGGGCCATTCCTCTCAGGAATAGATTTCTTCTTCTTCTTTTGTAAAGATTATTTTATTTCATTTTATGACGTACATAAATTGGAGAGAATATTTCTAATAACAGATGTAAACCAAAGCAAAACCATAGAACAGGGGTGTAGAAGAATTGCAGTCGCGTATGGATTAAGTAACAAAGTCCAGGTCGTGAAAGGAAAGGAAAATACGTAACGGTCTTCGCATAAAGAAAGAAAGAAATATGGTTTTGCACTATTTGGCTGCCAAGTCTAGTTCCAGATTTGCCAGGCTTGTGTGACAATGGTTCTCTAGAAAATGATGGTTCTGCAGTATTAGTGATAAAGAAACATCAAATCGTATAAAAAGTGCCTGGAGGCTCCAGTCCTTGTCAAAATCTCAACCGTTCATGAACCGTTTGAGGAACAAAGCATCATTAGACACCACACAATATCTTATTTATTATATTTATATATTTATAAATATATATTTATATATATTTATATCCTGCCTTTCCTCCAAGGAACTCAAAATGGCAGACATTTTGTCTCTCTCTCCCCTCTTTATCCTCCACAACAACCCTGCCAGCTAGTTATCTTTATGGCCAGGTGGGGATTTGAACCCAGATCTCCCCGGCCCTAGTCAAAAATGAAGGAAGGCTGCCCTGTTAGCATATCAAAAAGCAGTTTCAGAGGGACTGTCATGTCTGCTCCTCCTCAGACATGACAATATAAATCCACAGGCTCTCAGGCCCAGCAGAAGTTCCTGAGGAGAAAAATTCAGCCACATTTCTGTATCCACTTACTGAGTGTTTTCTGTTACGGGTGACCTCAAAGTGACTTACATTTATAACAAACAAGTTCTATACAGTACTGTGTAAAAATAATAAAATGGGATTATTGCCTCTCAAAGAAGCTCATGTCAGTATAAACTAAAGAGCCACACCAGAAGGCTTTAAAATTCAAAAGGCTCTAATGGAGGAGAGGGAAAAGGAAGAGCAAATTATGGCCTGTTTGTGTGTGTGTGTGTAGATATATACATACATACATACATACATATACATATATATATATATATATATACACACACACACACACACACACACCATATTTTTCCGTGTATACGATGCTCCCATGTATAAGACGCCCCCTATTTTTGGGGACTCCAAATTAAGAAAACACCCCCTCAGCACTACCCATGTATAAGACGAGCCCCAATTTTAAACCTAATTTTTTGGTTAAAAAACCCTAGTCTTATACTTAAAAAATACGATATACACACACAAAGAAAAAACAAAGTACAAGGCTCGCTAATTTGTCGTTTTAACTGCCGCTGTTTCATCTATGCCTTGTTAGATGGCTACCGTTTTATGCTTCAACATGTTTTTACACTTTCCGTTCTGAACTACTTTGGGCCTGACAGGCAATATAAAAATACCAAAATCCGTTTAAAAAAGAAAAGGAGACCCGAGTTCAAATCTCCACTCCAGCTAAGAAACCCACTGGTTGAGCTTGACCTCCCATTTTATTACTGCATTGCAGGGGCTGTTATGAGGGGAAAGGGGGATCCCTGAAGCAGCAGAGAGCCAGCGGGTTTTCCAAGAAGGGTGAACGGGCAGGAGAATAGCAAACGAGGAGGCAAAAATATCAGGAAATCTTAATTTAACATATAATTGCGTTGTTCTTGTTTGCAGTCTTTTAAAGTGGGCACTGGAGGAGATGCTTTCCTAGGGACACAGCTGTCAGCCCAGAACAAGCATATTATCCTGGGGAAATGTATCCCTGCGGCAGAAAGCGGATCAGGATCCACTGCGAGATCTCATGGCCGCCCGCGGGTCGATCTGCAAGGGTCGCTGGCTGACCCCAAAATGGCTCAACAAAAGCTTTTTTAAAACGGGTGCTTTAAATTGTTCCGCCCCATGCAGAACCCTGAGTGGTGGCGAGAGGCAGGATATAAATTTTATTATCAATAAGGCAAGAACGAAGAGACACCCATGCTTGCCCCAGTTAGGTGGTTTTAAATAAAGCAGAGAAGCGGTTAAACTGGGATTGCAAGATCCATTCTCCCATTTTGCACCCCAGAAGTCGGAAGGGCACCCCAAGGGTCATCCAGTCCAACCCCCTGCAATGCAGGAATCCTGGCTAAAAGAATCCCTGACAGGTGGCTTTAGCTGCTGGATCTTGAGGTTCAGGTGGAAGCAAAAGGAGATCTGTCGAGTCCGAAAGTCCACCCTCTCCCGCCTTAACGGGTTTTATTTTCAAAACTTATGTCTGAATATAAACAGGGAAGGTTTATAAGGGAAGCATAAGCGGTAGCTGATTCGCTGGCATCCCCAGGTGGGCTGGGGATGTCCCCAAATTTGAAACCTCGAAACCAGCCCTTCATCAGAAGTGAAATTTTACTTTATTTTTTAAGGGCCAAAAGTCAGTGGGACACTGGTCCTGGGTCCAATCACTTCTCCGCATAGGGCTAGGAGAAAACAACTTCCTTAAATCCTGGAAATCCGCTGCCAGTCAGTGTAGGCCATATGGAGCTAGACGGGCCAATGGTCTGATACGATACACGGCTTAGGATTTAGAATCAGTTTGATTCCCTCCCCCTCTTTCTTTTTCCTTTCTCCTCCTGTGAAGAGGCTGCCTTCTAATGTTTTAATGTTGTATTTTAATCTTTTTAAATTGTATTTTAATCAACTTGCTTTTATTATTGGTTGTTAGCCACCCTGAGCCCAGTCTTGGCTGGGGAGGGCGGGGTATAAATAATTTTTTTTATTATTATTATACAAAAGGAAAACAGGGGTGGGGAGGGTAGAGGAAAAGTGGACACAACATGCACTGGGCGCAGCCTGCAAAACCTTCCATCCCATCAAACTTGACGAAGAGGGAAAAAGAGGGAAGGAGGGAGAAGCCTTCACTCCTTGCATTCGGGGAGGGGGGATTTACTCCAGAGTAATCTCGCGCAGGACCTAGATGCAACCCCCCCCCCCCCCAAACACATCTTGCAATCCCTAACCCGGCATGCAAACATCTGCGCAGGCGCCTTAACACCTTTTCTTGGACACACCTCCTTCTTTCCCGTGGTGCACACCAATGTTGTGCATGTGTCTGCAAAAAGACCATTGGTTCCATGGCCTTGGATACCCAGCCGCGCTTTCCCCCTCGCCATTGGTTCTCTCTGCTGTCAATCCCACTAGCTCCTCCCATCCTTTTTTACTTAATTAATCGTGCCCCCCCCTCTTTTTTTGCAAGTTTGTCTGTTGAAACAAAGAGAGGCGTAAAACCCGCCTTCCCAAGGAGCCTATTGGTGAATTCCTTTGCAGCAGGTCTTTTCATTTGCCCTTTGCATACACACCAGGCTAGGTTTCCCAGGGAAACCAGGAAGCTGATGTGCTGGGGGTGTATATTTTCCCCCCTCCTTTCCCTTTCTCCTCCTCCCCCTTCCTTTTTGCCGATGAACCAGGAAGTAAAGTTTGCTCAGCTTAGGATTCCCCAGTTTTCCTATTAAGAAGCAAGCGAGCAACTTGAGCAATAGGTGGAGGAGGGGAGAACAGGGCATTATTACAGGTGAGTCTGGGAAAGGACTTTCTAGACGCGATTACAGCCTTAGCACCCTTGGGTGCATAAAGGAACCCCCCCCCTTCGTTTTAATGTGTACGTTTTAAGAGGTGGGCGAAGGCAGTGGGCTTCTGCCCCACATCTAGGAATTAAGAGGGGGAACTGTAATCCTGATTGTGGTGGTGCACTTGATAAATCTTGTTTATGCTGCTGTGTTTGCTTCGTTGTTTAGGCTACAAGCCGCTTTGAGTTTAATCTTAACACCCTATTTTAAAAGGGGTATAAAATGTAATGTTATAGCTGCGTCTCTTCTTAAAATGACCTGTTTGCAACGTGTTCGAGAGAAAGGTGGCTGCTTACGGTTCCAATCCCTTCCTTGCTTCTTCGGCCCCACGCCTCTGTTCCTTTTAAATTTTTATTTAGTTAAGTGATTGTATTGGTTCTCATAAATGCGTACCGAAATATAACCAGACAGCTAAATATAATCTGTACCTGTTTAGCTGCAGTTTGAAACAGTAGAGGTTTGAGTCCTGGGCTAGGGCCTAGGGGAGGTCCCCAACACACAGCTTTGAAGCTCCCTGGGCAATCCTGGGCAAAGTCACCACCTCTCAGCGTGGCCTACTTCACAGGGTTGTTGTCACAATAATACAAAGAGTGGGGAGAGCTGTGTAGGCCACCTTGAGCATCTTGAAGGGAAATGTGATATCTCAATGCAGTAAAACTGAAAAAAATTTTAAGCATTATTACTCCAGCAGGGTTTTTGATTGGATTTTGATTTTGTGAATAAGTGGTATGCAAATTGTTGCAATAAATGACGTGTTAAAAGTGTGAAGTTACACATGCACCACTCAGTTTAATTTGTGGGTCAGGAAAAGCTACATTTCTTTAGAGGCACAGGATATGGTGTTGCCTACCCACCTCTGTCTAGTTTGTGCCAAGCAGAAGCAGTGGTTTTATGGTGAAATGGAAAGAAAAAACAGGCATGTGTGCAACCTTATGCTATCTATGTTTACTTAGCAGGAGACGTCAGTATATACTTCTCCCAGAAAGTTTGCAACACTAACCCAACTTACCTGAGAAAAAGCCACCTTCAATTCAGTAGATGTTCTGAATAGACATGGTTCATTTATTTTATTTATTAATTGCGTTTATGTCCCACCTTATTCCTCCAAGGAGCTCAAGGCTCCTCCCCCCGCCCCCATGAATCCCCATAACAACCCTTTGAGGCAGGTTAGGCTGAGAAACAGTACCTGTCCCCCAAGGTCGCACGCAGCTTCATGGCCGAGTGGAGATTTGAACCCTGGTCTCTCCCAGGCCCTAGTCCAAGACTCCAACCACTACACCACATTGGCTCGGTTAGGAGGGCAGCTTCGGCGTTCGTAAAATTGCTGCTTTAGATTATTTTTATTTTATATTGCCTGTCTTGAAAGACTTAATAATTGCATATCTTTGTTATCTTTGCTGCAGACAGTTAGGAATGCTGAAAAACGAGGGGTTTGCCTGAGGATGTTTTGCAAGACGGTGGTTTAGTATGAACGCTATTCCTGTGTCTGTTATTTGCTTTCAGTAGCTTTTGATATTGAATTTTAAATTTAGCTCATTTTAGAACAGACTGGCCACAACTCTCCAAGGTTTTGGACACTGTCAGCTGTACTTTTCCACTGGTTGAACCTGGGACCTTCTGCACACAAGTCAAATCTTCTGGCTTTGAGCTGCAGCCCTTCCCCTAACCATGCAGTGAGATCCCAGCCCTCCTTGTTCTGAATACCTAAATGCATAGGAATCTTTCTTATACTGAGTCAGACAATCAGTCCATCCAGCTCATTATTGTCTACACTGACTGGCAGCATGGGGTTTCAGAGAGAGAGAGAGTGATTTCCAGCCCTACTGGAGATGTTGGAGACTGAACCTGGGGTTTTCTGTTGGCAGAGCAGTTCCTCTGACCCCAAACTGCAGCCCTTCCCCTAGAAACCAGGAACATCACAAAGAACTATTTGCAAGAGATACATATATATCTCCCCCCCCCCAATCTCTCTCTGTTCCTAGGCACGACAGAGAGACCATGACGACGTTAATTCACCGGGGGCGGCGCGCAGATGTCGGGCGAAACGTTGACAAGCGGCTGGAGGGTGAGGAGGACTCCATACCAGACAAGAATTTGGGCGAGGAAGACTCCGGAGACTCCAAAGACATCCGCCTCACCCTCATGGAGGAGGTGCTGCTCCTTGGCTTGAAGGATAAAGAGGTACAAAAGCCTTGTTGTTGCATCGATTAACCGCCCATCAGCAGCAGCTCCCAAGGAGGGGTACAACAATTTAAAATTCAGAATTAAAAACAGAGCAAATTGCAGTTGCAGGAAAATAATAATAATAATTTATTATTTATACCCCGCCCATCTGGCTGAGTTTCCCCAGCCACTCTGGGTGGCTCCCAATCAAGTATTAAAAACAATACAGCGTTAAATGTTAAAAGCTTCCCTGAACAGGGCTGCCTTCAGATGTCTTTTGAAGATAGGATAGCTACTTATTTCCTTCACATCTGAAGGGAGGGTGTTCCACAGGGTGGGTGCCACTACTGAGAAGGCCCTCTGCCTGGTTCCCTGTAACCTCATTTCTTGCAGTGAGGGAACCGCCAGAAGGCCCTCAGAGCTGGACCTCAGTGTCCGGGCTGAACAATGGGGGTGGAGACGCTTCTTCAGGTATACAGGACCGAGGCCGTTTAGGGCTTTAAAGGTCAGCACCAACACTTGGAATTGTGCTCGGAAACGTACTGGGAGCCAATGCAGATCTCTCAGGAACAGGGCAGGCACATCTCAGGCATCAAAGGCCAGGGTAAAGAGCTGCATCTTCAGCATTTGTCGAAAGCTGCATCGTGAAGATGCCAGATGCACCCCGTTTTACCCTCGCAAGCACCCTGCAAGGAAGGCTAGGTCGCAAGACTAGGAAGGCTAGGTCGCAGCCCAGGGTTGCCCAGTGAGCCTTCTGGCTGAGTCAGAATTTGAACCCTGATCTCCCAGGTCCTAGTCAAGCACACCTAACTGCTATTGACTGGCAGAAGGTAAGCTCAGTGACTCCTTAACTGCACAGTCAGCTGGGGATCTAGAGGAGAAGAAATCTGAGATTCCCTGGGGAAAACAACCCAGCATGCATGTCCTGAGAAGGTTTTTATTACTATTTATCTTATTTGTGAGATTTCTTACCCACCCATTCACCATAAGGTCCCAGAGTGGTTTACAGCAATATGGTGTGCAGTTATAAAGACAAATAAAACCACACTATTCAAAACAGGACAGAAGAAATTAAGCAAGACAGCTTGCCGGTCAAGGGTCTGGATGGAGAGTTGTGTCTTCAGTATGCACCGCTTTCTCTTCTGCATGAGATTATTTATGGGAGAAGGGTTGTAGTTTAGTGGTACAGCTTCTGCTTGCATGTAGAAGGTCCCTGCTCCCATCCCTGGCATCTTCAGGTAGGGCTGGGAGAGACTTCCTTTCCGAAACCTTGGAGAACTGCTGCCAGTCAGTGTAGACAATGCTGAGGTAGGCAAACCAATAGCCAGACCCTGGATAAGGCAGCTTCCTTTTTTAGAAAAGCCCTTTCTTCAGAACCATGAGGACCAGAACCTTACTGTTCAGGGCAGTGGTAGAGGATCTGCTTTGAAGGCAAAGCATCTGCTTCGCTCACAGAAGGATCCAGGTCCAATCCTGGCTAAACAGACCAGCGGCCTGACTTGGTATAAGGCAGTTTCTTATTTATTACGTTTATATCCGACTTCTCCTTAGGTTAGCTCCCTCCTGTTTTTACCCACACTGCACCCTATGAGGTAGGTTAGGATGAGAGATGCTGATGGGCCCTGTGCTGAGTGTAGTGTTAGAATCTGCATCTTCCCAGTTCTGGTCTGATACTCTTGATCACTACACTGCACTGCCGTAGTGGTTAAGATAAGCCAGAGACATACATGTGGGCAGTTCTTGTATGAAATTTGAGGAGCCAGAGTGAAGACGGTGGAGATGTGTGGCAAGAGCCAGATTGCCAGCATTTACCAGTGGTGGGATTCAGTTTATTTGAGCCTGTTTCTTATTGTGAACTGAAAAGGCTGGGCATAATAAGTGTCTGTATCCACGTTGGCAAACATTTTGCCAGATTCTCTCCCCTTGTTCTGGCCCAGAATGTTGGATATCCTTATATCCCCTGCTCCATTATATCCCACCAGAAAAAGAGAGTTTCTTGATAGTCTTTAATGGCTCCCCATTTATTATGGCATAAGATTTTGTGAGGTGCATGAAGTTAGCAAAATATATGTGCAGTGTGTGTGAAAAGGCCATAAAATGTGATCCGTTCAATCTGAAAAGTTTACATATCTACAGGGTAAGCATAGTGGCCATCGATTCCAGTAGTTATTGGTGATAGAAGAGAATCTCTTCATATTTCTGTATTTGTGGTTGTTGATTTTAAAATAAATATCCTGTGTTATCTTGCCAAAACGACAACCCTGGGCAGCTGTCAAAATACAAATGAAATAAATAACATTGTAAAGCAGAAATTCAAAACAGTAACTAATAAAACTCCAGAAGGTTGCCAAACAGCACCAAGGAGACAACCAGCTGCGCTCAATTAATACCCGTTGCAAGTCAGAGAAGCTTGGTTTCGACAGTGTCTGTAAACGGATAGAATCAAGCTTGTTGGACAGATTCTAGTTCTGACAACATAGCTGTGATTCGTGCATTACAAGGGATTGGAATAGATGACCTTTGGGATCCCTTCCATTCTGTGATTTTCTGCAAAGGTTCTAAGTGACTTTGCCAGGACTCTTTTCTGTCTTTCTTTTAGCAGAAATGTATTAGAGGGCAGTGTCCATGATGGAGTAGGAGGAGTGCATTTTAAAACCAGTTCTGGACTGATCCAACTGGTATCTTTACCATTTATACATTGCTTTCAGTGCTCTTCCTTTTTTGCAGAAAGTCCTCTGTCCAAAGGTGTGTCAGACCTGCACCTGGGCAGTCCTTGGTTAGTAATTACTGAGGTAAACCGGTTCGGAATTGCTCATTTGCACAGCTTTTCTATAGACACATGTCAAAGCTTTTGCCACTGATCAGGTCTAGTGACATACACCTCCCACCTCAAAAGAGGGTGGAAGTTGGGAGTCATATCACAGGATCACTGCTGCCCAGGACTACTCTTCAGAACTGCTAGACCATTGGAGCTCTTGCCATGCAGTTTCCAACCTTCTGTTATATTGTACTGAGACATTTGTAGTGAGTGAGAGAGAACCTTTGTCTTGACTGAGTCCACAATAAATAGAAGCCGGTTTGGCGAGAAACCAGTAAATGTTAGGTTTTTAGAGCCTGCCAGAAACTAAGAAGAGCCCTGCAGCTGGATGAGGCCAGAGGGGCCCATCTAGTCCAGCATCCTGATATCACAGCGGCCAATACCACAAGGAACCTAGGAATCTAGATAGACTGCCCTTGGACCTGGAGGTTCCATAAGCACACTGAAAGAGACCTGCTGGTTCTGGTCAATGCCCCATCTAGTCCAGCATCCTGTTCTACAGAGAAGCCAGCAAGCAGGACCTGAGTGCAACAGCAACTCTCTCCATGTGTGTTTCCCTGTGGAACACCCTCCCATCAGATGTCAAAAAAATGAACAACTATATGACATTCAGAAGACATCTGAAGGCAGCCCTGTTTAGGGAAGTTTTTAATGACTGATGTTTTAATGTATTTTTAATCTTTTGTTGGAAGCCGCCCAGAGTGGCTGGGGAAACCCAGCCAGATGGGCGGGATAGAAATAATAAATTATTATTATTTCCCAGCAACTGGTATTCAGAAGCCTGCTGCCTCCAACCCTGGCTCAGATCAAAGCCATTGTGGCCAGTAGCCTGCTGATAGCCTTCTCCTCCAGGAATCTCTTTAACCCTCTTTTAAAGCCATCCAAGTTGGTGGCTGTCACTGCTGCTTGTGACACCATGTAGACCTTGCCGGTTCGTGCCTTGGCTGCACACGATTTGACTTCCCCTCCCTTGTCCTGCTTAGAAGGATGGTCACATTGTTCTGATTTTTTTTAAAGATGCATCCCTGTCTTTGGAGTCCCTGTCTTGGCGTGCAGACATAGGGTACAATATAAGCACTGCAAGGTGAAGGGGGAGGGAATAAGCTCTGTCAGAGAGATCTGCATTTGCTTGCTAGTCCATCCAGACATCACTAGTCTAGATTACAATAGTATCCTGATGCATACTGTAAGTGACTCCTTGTCCTTTAGGGAACCCTTTTAAATGAAGTTGTGGCGTCAAGACTCCACCTGCACCTGTCTTGTGACTCTTTCCCCCCAGGGCATGAATTGTAGGAACTGATTTGCATGCTCATGCTGCATTTATATCGTAGGTGGTTGACTTCTGCTGTGGGGAAGGGCCATAGTTTAGTGGTAGAGGATCTGCCTTCAAGCAGAAGGTCCCAGGCGGCATTTCCAGGTAGGGCTGGGAAGGACTCCTGCCAGAAATCCTGGAGGGCTGTTTTACTCTGCGTAGAAATATTTAGCTGGATGGACCAACAGTCTGACTCAGAATAAGGCAGCTTCCTCCTTCCTAGGAGCTGGCCCAGGTTGTCTTACAACAGCATATTTAACAGCATCAAACCCCCACTTTTTTTTTTTTTGCAATGGTGCAGGGACAGTAGCCCAGGGCACCCATCACACTTAAGCATAGTTAGCATTAGCCACAGTTGGATGTCTTTTAATCTTGGTTAATCCAGACATGGAGCCAGGGGAGCTGACACAACCGTGGCTTGTTTAGTACAAATTAATTCCTAACCTGGTTTGCAAGTTTGCTCCAGGCCCATTTCACCAGCTGGTTTGTGGCCAGTCCTTAATTCTCAGTGTAGGTATATTGACACAACATTTCACCATGGTTAGTGAAACAAACCATGGTTTTAAGTGTTAATGGTCTGATTTCTCACAAAGCACTGAGCCTAAACTGTGGCTTAGCAAGGGTGCATAGGGAGAAATTTGTGGCAGATAGGCTTCCTACCCACCCCTGTTACTGCCACGCCACCAGGAAGCAAAGCAGCTGAAATCATGTTCCCGGCTAAATCCCAAATGCTTGAGGGAGTGCAAGTGTCTTTATTGTCCTCTCAAACAGGTTCAAGGAGGAACACAGATAGTTTTGTGGCTGCAGTCAAAAGGGCTTTGGGTGATCTCCAAAGCTGCCTCCTTAGATTTGACAGGCACCCTCCTTGCTGAACTTCAGGCACGAACAAAAGCTTCCTTATTTCAGCAGGCATCTTGAAGTTTTGTAGCGTTTAGGATGAATTTTAATTGTTCTTATTCTATTTTTTATTATCTACACTGCTTAGAGATTCTTAATGTTAAGTTGTATATAAATATCTGAAATACAGTGGTACCTTGGGTTACATATGCTTCAGGTTACAGACTCCACTAACCCAGAAATAGTGCTTCAGGTTAAGAACTTTGCTTCAGGATGAGAACAGAAATCGTGCTCTGGCTGCGCGGCAGGCAGCAGGAGGCCCCATTAGCTAAAGTGGTGCTTCAGGTTAAGAACAGTTTCAGGTTAAGAACGGACCTCCAGAACCAATTAAGTACTTAACCTGAGGTACCACTGTAAATACATAAACTAAGTTGTACGCAAGGTGGACCCTGAGTGTGGCTGACATCATAGTAGAAGTTTTATCTTGCTTCTAGGGTCACAGAGCAGTGTTTACCCCCTTTCCTATACTTTCAGCAACCCTTTGAGGTAGACTGGGCACCAAGATAGAGGATTAAGGCAAGATGTGCTTATTCACTGCACCTGCACGAGCTGTGGGACAACTGAAATGTGTTGTGCCAGGGTCCGCCAATGCTGTTGCTGAGCCACATCCCCCTTCGGCTGCATCAGCCAGGGATGATGGGAGTTGTAGTCACCTACAGGGCCCCTTGTTGGCCACCCCCATGTTAAGCAATCATTGTTCCATTTTGAGTGGGCTGCAGACACGCATTCATTTAAAGTGCATGACTTCCCCCAAAGAAACCTGGAAACTGTGGTTTGTTAATGATGATGGGAATTGTAGCTCAGTCAGGGGTAAACTACCGTACCCCCAATTCTTTTGGGGGGGCAGAGCCATATGGGGGCTACACAGCCTAAATGTGATTCACTTTGGAGCTGCAGCTGGAGAGAGAAGTGGAGCTCAGGCACTCCCAGAAGAGCTGGAGCGATTTGGAAGTCGCACTTCTGCATTTGATTTAAAGCCCTGGTCTGGCCGGAACTCTTGATCCGTGTTTGTTTTTCCCGTCCAGTGGTTTGACTCAGACTGGTTCTTCAACTTCATTTCCTTTGCTGGGGCGAGGCATCATTCCGGGAGTTTAACTTACTGACTTTACATCTAAGAGTTGAAGCCCCAGTACCAGTGTGGCTGGGGGCCTTTTTAAAAAAAAAAAAAAAAGACTTTGGAATTATCCTTAGTCCACTCTGTTTGCTGTCAGAGTCAGTGGTCCTTAGCATGCATACTTTTAGGTTCACTCCAATAATATTAACAGGTTTTATGGCTGAAGTAAAATAGATTTGGGTAGAGTGCAATTTCATTTCTGTGCTTTTCAGGCCTATTCTGAACCAGTCTGGTGCAAGAATGCAGGTTGTAAAGTTGTAATTTGAACTATCATTCTTGAAATTTAGAATGCCAGTGTCAGAATATATATCTCAAATTCCAAAGCCTTTTTTTTTTAGGTTTTTGATTTCCACAATAAGTCTTTAATTGAGGCATACCTTTCAGGTCTTTAGTAACATGATACTGAGTTTTTTGTGGTGTTGCACAACCACAGAGTAGAACCGTTGAAATTAATGGACATGACTAGCTTGCTTCATTGATTTCACTGGGGTTTTTCTGAATAGTTGGAGGCAGCCCATCATTATTCCTTATAGCCCACCCTTATAAAGAGTCCAGGACAGCCAGCAGCATCTAAAAATGCAAAAAAAATTAAAAAGTAAAGTCATAATCTAAAATACATTGGTGAGACAATTATATCCATAATGCCACTTTTACTATGACCCCCAACAGCTGCAAAAATAAATAGGTCTTGAGGGGACAGCTGAATTTGTACAGAGACATGTATGGGTGGCATTTGCCTAGTTTTGTTACTAGAAATCTGAATTTTAGCTTTACAATTGAGGCACCAAGTTCCATTAAAAAAACCCACAACCAGCGTGACTCCTTGGCAATGAGGACTAGAAACTTGCTCGGACCCCAGAATGGAAGCTGAGCCTGTCACGGTCAAAAATTCTGCAGTGACATTGAACATACACAGCCTCCCTCTTTGAGAAGACACTCCAAGAGGTTTCTTTGTGATACCTTGCACTGTTGAAATCCAGCCGAACCCGCAGCCACTGATGTCACATAATTTGTTTGCATAAGAAATAAAACTCCTGAACTTCAGGCTGCTGTCTGTATCCTTGTGAAACGTCAAGAAAGGTCATGGGTGGAAAGGAGACTTTCTTTGGTCTTTGCAATTACACTCTTATCCAGCATGTTCTGCTATGAGGAAGTGGAGGGTTGTTTTTTTAAAGGTAAATAAAGGCCTGATTCTAGCTGTTAAATGGTTGTGAAGGCAGGGTGTCTTGCGTAAGCTTAACCATATTGGAGTGAATAGGCTTTTAAAATGCCACACTTTTTTTTTGCTTTTTGCCTAGGCTGAAACAAGCGGTGTAGCTGTTGAAATAATGGGCTGGCTGTTTGCGCAGGAAGCGCTGCTTTCCATCTGGCAGGCTGCAGCTCCTTTTGGCTCAGCACTTCCTCTCCTTTTTCTATAAAGGAAGACTTGAGTTGTTCTTCAACTTGGAACAGCTTCATCAAAAGTTAATCCCTAACTGGTAGAAGTTTGGATTGGAGCTGTGTGTGTGTGTGTGTGTGTGTGTGTGTGTGTGTGTAAGTCCTCCCTTCCCCCAGCCCACACCTGGATGATCAAAAGACTTTTTAGCTTAGAAAGAGGTGGCGTGATGGAAGTGTATAAAATTATACATGGAATTTCCCCCCCTCCCTCTCTTGTAACACTAAGAAGTCAAGGACATCCAATGAAGCTGTATGTTGGAGGATTCAGGGCAGATTAACGGAAGGACTTCTTCACACAGTGCATAGTTAAGCCATGGAACTCACTTATACAGGAAGCTGTGACAACCACCAACTTAGATGGCTTTAAAAAAGGATTCGAATTCAGCGTTTCTCAACCTGTGGGTCCCCAGATGTTGTTGAGCTACAACTCCCATCACCCCTAGCTAGCAAGGCCAGAGCTCAGGGATGATGGGAGTTGTAGTCCAACAACATCTGGGAACCCACAGGTTGAGAACCGCTGGATTAGATAGATTCCTGGAGGAGAACAAGGCTATCAGTGGCTTCACAAGGCTCCACAGTGACTGTACTCTCCCTCCAGTGCTGGAGGCAGTGATGCTTCCTGAAAACCAGTTGCTGGAAGCCGTAGGAGGGGAGACAGTGCTCTTGCGCTCGGGTCCTGCTTGCTGGTTTCCCTTTGGGACATCTGGTTGGCCACTGTGAGAACAGGAGGCTGGACTAGATGGGCCCTTGGCCAGATCAAGCACACTCTTCTTATACTCTTGGAATACTCTTTGAAATAGACCTAAGTTAGCTATATCTGATGCTTTTTGGTGGGTCTGCTCTGTTTAACTTTGGATACAGCCCAAAACTTTTATCCCATCTCTTTCGTGAAAGAGACAAAACAGCAGCATAAAACAAGCATCACCAGCGCCACCCTTCCAAAAAAAACTCCACTCAAATTACTTAATGACAGCCTTGACTAATAATCCTGTCTTTGGTCACCTCTAAAGTCTGTGACTTGCACCAAACCACAAGCTCTTTATGGCCCGACATTGCAGTTTCTTCCTGGGTCTTTGCTGATGTCCATTCCTGATCTCCTCAGGGCTACACGTCCTTCTGGAACGACTGCATATCCTCTGGCCTCCGGGGCGGCATCCTCATTGAGCTGGCAATGAGGGGAAGGATACAGCTGGAGCCACAGACTATGAGGAAAAAACGACTGCTGGACCGGAAGGTGAGAGGGTTTTTCTGTTCCCTGGCCTCCCTAAGGCTGTTTGTTAGGGCCTGTTTCAATGCGCCTTTGGGAGCCTGGCAGAAGTCTTTGTCTCTCGCTTTCTTTCTGCCTTCTAGGTCCTCCTAAAGTCAGATGCCCCGACGGGAGACGTCCTCCTAGATGAGACACTGCGGCACCTCAAAGCCACCGAACCTGCCGAGACAGTGCAGACGTGGATTGAGTTGCTGACAGGTGAGGGTGGAAGTGTTTCTGAGTACTGCAGGGCTGCTAAGCCTTTGGGGTGTCTACAGATTCCTTCTCATTTTAAGAACTTACATGCCTCTTATAACAGAATCTCTAAGCGGTTGACATTGTATACATCAGTAAAATCACAAACAAAAAAGTCAGTACATGATACCTGGGTAAATAGGAATCCAGTAAAACATTAAGCAAAATATTAGGAACACTGAAATTATGCCTGTGGGCTGCTACAGTGCTCCGAAGAAAAAAGCATAGTGACCTGTGTTCAAATCCTAAACTGTGGTTAATCCCCTAAGTATTACCTTTTGAAACAAGCCAGCTTCACAACCCATCACGTTCTTCCCCCTCCCTCCAATAACGTGGAGGCAGGGAATCTTTCTTTGCAGGATGAGAGCCACCTTCCCTGTAGGCTGCCTTCCAGGGTCCAGGTGCAAATAGTGAAATGCGAAAGTGGGTGGTACTGTAGGCTACATTCCAGTCTCTTCCTCCAGGTGAGCAAGAGACCCTGTCACAGTTCAAGGACACATCCCAAGCAAAAGCACTCGAGGAGAATGTGAAGCAAGTGATGGGTTTGGTCTGGGGATAGTCCCAAGGGCTGGAATACAGAAGCCTCAGGGGCCACAGTCGGCCCCCAGACAAGTTGCACCACCACCACCCCTGCTGCCAAAATTGGATGGGCATAAGGATTTAGTGCAAAGTTCTGTAGCTCAAGTACAACCACCTCTCATCTCAACCAAGTTTGTATTATAGGTCATCTTTTGTAGATTATTGTAATAAGAACCTGAGCAAATCATAGGTTGAAAGACATTCCCATACCTATAATAATAATAAAAATTTATACCCCACCCTCCCCGGCCAGAGACGGGCTCAGGGTGGCTAACACCAATAAAATCACAGTAAAAACATAATGGGGGGGGGGGGCACAAAAACAAAACAATTTAAAATACAGGTTAAAATGCAGCCTCATTTTAAAAGTAGCCGATAGATCAAGACCATAAGGGGAGGGAAACATAAGGGTCAGATTGAGTCCAAACCAAAGGCCATGAAAATCTCTAAAATTAAATAAATGAATTTGTTTGTTTTAAAAAACAACAATCTGTAGCTAAAGTGAGCTAAATCAGTGAGGACTAGAATCTTTGTTTATTTTTAAGGTAACATACGTAGCACAGTAACTGAGCATCTGCTTTGCGCACAGAAGGGCCCAGCTCAACCTCTGGCTTCTCTTGGTGCAGCTGCGAGACACTTCCTCTCGAAACCTAGCAGGCCACTGCCAGCCAGAGTAGACCGCACCGAGCTAGATGGGCCCTCAAGGTCCTGACCTTGTTGCTGACCCTCTTCCTCGCCTCCCGCAGGTGAGACCTGGAACCCCTTCAAGCTGCAGTACCAGCTCCGCAACGTCCGGGAGCGCATCGCCAAGAACCTAGTGGAGAAGGGGATCCTGACGACCGAGAAGCAGAACTTCCTCCTCTTCGACATGACCACCCACCCGGTCACCAACACCACGGAGAAGCAGCGCTTGGTGAAGAAGCTGCAAGAAAGCGTCCTGGACCGGTGGGTCAATGACCCCCACCGCATGGACAGGCGGACCTTAGCCCTGCTGGTCCTGGCCCACGCCTCTGACGTGCTGGAGAACGTCTTCACCAGCCTGGTCGACGAGAAATACGACGTGGCCATGAACCGGTCCAAGGACCTCATGGACAGAGACCCTGAGGCGGAAGCGGCCAAGGCAGGGGGCTCAGAGATGATCTGGGCTGTGTTGGCAGCCTTCAACAAGTCCTAAAAGCTTCCCAAGTCGGGCGAGGCTGTTCTGAGTGGGTTTGGCCCTCGTTTCCTCTTTAGGACTGAACCTTTTCCATTCTGTGGAATCTTCCCATGCTCCTTAGCGGTGGGCATTGGTGACTTGCCGCGCCCATAGCCGCCACCACAGATGTTGGGCATGGCAGGCGACATTCTGTTACAGGAACGCCTATATCTTCACCACCATCTCCTCTTCCTCGGATTCGGGGACTTGTTAGGTTGCAAGAACGAGCAAAGAAGTTTGTGCGCCGTTTTCTCCTCCCCCCTGGGAACACCCCTCCGTTCCGTTGTTCCCCCCCAGTTTAAAATGAAGGTCTGTGTCTGCTAGAAGTGGAGTGAGCCGCCTCTCTCATTTATTTCAAACTCTTTTCTCCCCCCCCCCACTGTTTTAGGGAGGAACAAATTACAATGTGCATTTGGGATTTTTGTTTTGTTTTGTTCCGTTTTTTTTCTCTGTGTGTTAAATCTTACAATCCCAACCTCTGTTTTGCCCTGTCTCGTTTTTTCGACCCAGTTTTCCCCTTGTGCTGTTTATTCCTTGTGTTCTGCTGAAAAAAAACCCATTACAGCACAAATCTCTATGCAATCTCTTGTGTGTTATTTTTCCCCCACGCTTTTGATTCTCAGGGTTCCACTTCCTTCCCAGTGGCAATTTGTTTATAAAGTAGGCAGAGAGTGCCCATAAACTGGTGATGTTCTGTGTGTTCTGGGCTAATGAAAAGCCAAGTGTTGGATCAAGACTTAGTTGCATTGATTGAAATCAATGAAATTTTAATTTAAAGTCATAAAAACATCAGAAGAGCTCTGCTGGATCAGGCCAATGGCTCATCTGTTCCGGCATCCTGTTCTCACAGTGGCTGACCAGGTGCCCCAATGGGAAACCCAGTAGCAGGATCCAAGCACAAGAGCAATCTTTCCTCCTGCGGTTGCCAGCAGTTGGCATTCAGAAGCATTGCTGCCTCTTGGTTGCGTTAAAATCATTATTTTACTTTTCACAAACATTTCAGTGCTGCTCATCTTATTCTGGATCCAGCCCTGAATTTCTGCACCCACAGCCAACCGCTAAATTCTTGGGACCTGCGCAGATTATGCGAACAGGGCAGATTTGCATGATTTCTTTATATAATTTTATGCTGCTTTTGATTGTTACATAATGGAGCCCCTTCCCTTAACCAGCCTTCCCCAAGCCAGGCCCCCTTCAGATATTTGGATCTCCTGCAATCCCTGACTCGGCTGTCTTTGCTGGGTGGGAGCTGTAGTTCAAAACACCTAGAGAGGCACCATGCTGGCAAACCATGACCTATGCTCTTAAAATCTTCTTCCATCATCTTCCTGGCTTCTGAGACTTTTAGGTGTTGCCCATACGCTATAGGTCATGTTTTCATGTTCATAAGATCTAGAAGCTTGGTTTTGTTTTTTAAACGAAACCAGACATTCCAGCCAACTGAACTCCATACTCTGATTTGGCAACACAGCATGATACGTGCAGCGTTGCTGATATTGCATCTCATGTTGGCTAAGTACTGTAAGAATTGTATTGGACTAAAGGGACCCTTGTTCTGATCCTGCAGTGCTTTTATGGAATCATAGAATCATAGTCCAACCCCCTGCAATGCAGGATCTTTTGGGAGAGCTCTGTACTCAGAAGTGTGGGTTTAGGAGCCTTGAACCACTTGTTGGAATTAAGTGTGCGAAGCTGCTTCAGGCGGAGTGAAGCTGCTGGTCTGCCTTTCCCAGAGTCCTTTCTGAATTGCCACAGGTCTCTGGGGTCTTGGGCACACCCTTCCCAAGATCCTTTCATCTGCAGTGTGTGTCCTGCACCCAGTGAGCTGTGACCTTTTCCCCAAAGTTGGGGAAAGTTTCCTCCACCGCTGGAGGAAGCAATTTTGCTTGCGAATCCCAGTTGCTGGAAACCGCAGGATGAGAGTGTGCTCTTGTGCTTGGGTCCTGCTTACAGGTTCCCAACGGGCGTCTGGCTGGCCGCTGTGAGAATAGGATGCTGGCCTAAGTGGGCCACGGGCCTCATCCTACAGGCTCTCCTTAGGATGAACCAAAAGTAGCTGCCTGAAGAGAGAATCCAATCCAACCATTGTTCTATCTTCCATGGCCTGGGATGTGGCTCTTGAACAGAGGAGCTATTTCCTGGTCTAGCTAACAGAGATCCTTTTTATTAGGCCATGCCTAGGAGCCTTCTGCAATCCAAGCATGTGCTCTGCTACTGAGCTGTGCTTACCCTCACCCTGCTGGTGTAGAGAGAGGGCCAACCATCACGTAAAGAAGGCTGCTCCAAGCTTTAGTTGAGTTGCCAAAATAACCCATTAATGTTCCAAGCCTAGGCTGCTATTTTGGTTGGGTATATTGTGATAGGTGTAGTGGACACTCCATGCCAAGATTAGCCAGTGAGGTGACGCCTGGATGGTTTGGACTCCAATTCCCATCAGCCCCAGCTAGCATGGCCAGTACCCTGGGATGATGGGAGTTGTAGTTTAGCATCACCTGGAGGCACCTCATTGGCTACCCTTGCTCTGTGCAATGACATTGCTTGCTGGGCATGTATTATACCAGTTCTTGAGGACCAGCACAGGTTTCCTGTATGCTTCTGAGTTCAGTTACAGATGCTTCCTCTGACACCTGCCCAGGTGTTGAGTCGCCAGCAGGGCCTCCACTGCTTTGTGAAGTTTGTGGGGTGGCAGGGCGTGAGAGGGTCTTTACGGTGGTGGCTCCCCAGACTGTGGAATGCCCTTCCCTCTGGCCCCATCGCTTCTTGTACTTTTTGACGTTGGGTTGAGGTTTTCACCTCTCTGCTCCTTTGAAACAATGGAAGGTGAGACACGATGCAATTGTAGTGTATCATGGGGCAGCATGGTGAACGACAGGCCATAAATATATATAATAAATGGCTGTGCTTTGAGTCTTTCAGTGGGACTCGAGAACTTGTGTCACCTTCAGATACAGTAGGACTTCATCTCCGCTCAGGCTAGGGGATTGCAAATTAGGTGAGTTTGTTGGTGGAGATTTGCTGTTGGAAATTCCACCTAGCAGTTTGACTGCCTTTCTAAAGGAATTTTCTTTTTGAGATTTTATAAGGATGCATTTTTTTAAATGCAGATGCTTCTGTCGAGGAAACACACACACACACACACACACACACACACACACACTTTCCCCCTCTGCCCATTAAATGTAAAGCACTGCATTGTATTTCAATTCAGGATGTTTACTTTTTGTGAATTAACATTTCACCACAAACAGGTACAGGATGAGGTATCCAAGAAGAAGGAAAAGAAAAGAAAAACCTTTGGTATAAAATGTACAGCTTCTTCCTTTTTTTTTCCTTTTCATTTTCTCATTTACAGGCCAAAAAAGCGACTTTGGTTTTCTCTCTTTTTAAGTTAGCTCGGTCGACAAACAAAGAAGAAACATTCAATTTATTAATATATAGTAATGCACTGCTTTGATTAAAAACATGACCACGTCACTCAGCTTACACCGGCCAGGGAGCGGGGAGGGGAGGGGAGAAGAAGAAAGGGCTTGTGGGAAATGTATCAGCGTTTGTTAGGTTGCCATCTTTTTCCTTCCTTCAGACAAACTTCTAACTTCTCTGTACCTTTCTGAAAGAAAGCCTGGAACTCCGAAATCGAGGCAGGTGAAATTTCTCCTTGTCTGGAAAAGCTGCTCTGGTGCTTTGTCTGCCTGTTATTAAAGGCACAGGAGCAATTGCCAAATTTGGAAAAGATGGCAAAACGATTTGCAGGGTTGCCATTTTTTAAACAAAACTTCATTTTTTCTCTTTTTTTTGCCAAGTCGGGGCTCTTTTCTTCTTCTTTAAAATGAAGACATTATTGTGCAGGGTCTGGATTTTTAAAATATATATAATTAAGGTCTCCTGGTTTGCAGCTGTTTCGGAAGCAGGCAGCTTTTAAACATCGAAAGCCAGAAGGCACCTTCTGAGGTCCCAGAGCTCAGAACCAGGGTCAGGCTATAGGAAACTTTGATGTAGAGGAGAATTAACTAGTGGAGCAGTCAAACGATGGGAAAAAAACTGGTTTCGAGAAAGTGTCCTTTTGCCATTTCAAAGTCTGACTCTCAGAGCTGTGTCTCTTAACAATTGCTGGAATCGGAATTGTGGAGTTGGGAAGGGCTCCTGAGGGTCATCTAGCCCAACCCCCTGAAGTGCAGGAATCACAGCTAAAGAATCCCTGCTGGATGGCCGCCCAACCTCTTGCCTTGATGTGGCAATGTTTGGTTTCTCTGACTAGGCCAGCGTCACACCCGTCTCGAGCACTCCAGGTGTCGTGCACAAAGCGCAGTTGTAAGTTTTCCAAAATGCCACAGGTATTGCACTGTCTCCAGAATGCACCTTGCCACTCAGTGTGCTTTGTGTTTTGAAGGTAATTCTGGTGTGTGGTAGGAGGGGAGGGGGGCAGCTTTGCATCATTGGTGAGACGTCAAAGAAAATCTCCTCCTGCCTCTATCCGCTCCCTTATCTGCCAATCGTAAAGGTAGTTTTTATTGCAGTCACCTGTCAATGCAGGTCTGCACGCCAAATTCCACTGGCTCACCCACAACCTAAAACCAATATGGTGTTTGTGTATCCACTGGAGTGCTTTGTTAGCAAAGGCTACATTCGCATGCATTTAAAGCACCCTCGATACTGTTTTAAAGTGTCATGGCTTCCCCCAAAGAATCTTGGGAACTGTAGTTTAAGAGTGCGGGAGAGCTGTTAGGAGAAATCCCGGAGCTGCAATTCTCAGGGTGGTTGAATGATCAATCCCTCTTCACAGGGAACTCAGGGAATTGTAGCTCTCTGAGGTGAAAGGGGGGGAGGTTTCCCTAGCAACTATCAGTATGCTTAAAACTACAACTCCCAGGATCCTCTGGGCGCAGCAGCGGCTGTTTCAAGTGCCGCCATAGCGCTTTCAACATGTGGTGTGACTGTGGCCTTGCTTGAATTGGTAGATTTTGTCAGAGCAGCCGGCTTGGGAGCTGGAGGCAGGACCAGCCCAAGACTTTTCCTTTTTGGTGCCTGAGCTGATGGGTCAAAAGGGCCACCTGGGCTCAGGCCTCCTCCATCACACCTGAGGACACACACAACTCTGTCCCCCGTTGCCTTGCTGCTGCTTCCCCCTCCATCCTTACCCCCTGCAATTGCCAACTGAGGCCTCTGCCCCATGATAGGACCTGGAAAACCAGTAAGTTTTTACACACACAATAAAACCCCCAAACTGACACAAAGCGGAAAGTGTGCAGATTGCATAAACATCTTTCGATGGGATGACCTGGGCTGCGCTCTGTTTCTTCTGTTTCTTCCTAAGTCACAGAGCTGCTAAATTTTGGAACAGGGACGGGTGGACAAAACCTCGCTGTGGCTTGCTTTTTTTTTTTTTTTTAAATAAAAACTTTGTGGCTCAGCATCTGTTCAGAAGGCCCTTCCAGCTCCTAACCCTGTGGCATAAATACTAAAGTGCATTTATTTCTTCTCGACAGCACCTGCACGGATCGTGGTAGCGGGGAAAGGGGGTTTGGGTTGTGTTGTGGCAAATTCGGGGATGTGGTCGTTCCCTCGCAGCAGGAAAAGCCGTCTCCCTCTCTGCCCGGCGCAAGCTGAGAGTTTCTGACACGAAACAGAGTAACGTTTTTTTCTTTTTTGAGAAGCCATGCAAAAAATAGATAGAAATATATCTATGTCACGACACTCGCGCCCACCTTACCCACGCATCCTCAAAACACATGCTCACCCACGCGGACGCACAAAAGACTTCCTTTGCAAAACGAAACAAACAAACAAAAATCATCTTTGGTATCGTTTTCGGTGCAAGAGACAAAGTGAGGTAGAAGTTTCTTTTCGTTCCCCCCGCCCCCCGCCAGCAAATTTTGTCAAATTTCGGACAGTGGGAACACCCAATAGGGAAACAGGGAGGAGGAGGCAGTGACCAGTGGCGCGATGTTCTGGCAGGAAGGGGAGGAGCTATCCTTGCACCCACCCACCTGGGGATATGTTGTCATGCCAGCAGCCAATCAGAGAAAAGCAAAAGCTGGTTGTGGCAAGTTCACCTAGGAGGGCTTCCAAAGCTAAAATAAGTTTCATTTGGTGTGGCCCACGAGAAGGGTTGCAAATGCATCCCCGACATTATTTGAGGAATCTTTAAGACAGATGGGAGGCCTTTTTCCACCTGAGGGGCCACATTCTACTCTTGTCGACCTTCTGGGGGACGCTTGCCAATAGCGTCCAGAAGCAAAAGTGGGTGGAACAACGGATGTAAATGGCTTTGTACAGCTGGCTAGTTTCTGCATACTCTCTCCCAGTCCTCTCTAGGGAGCAGGGGTGGCCTGGAGAGGCCTTTGAGGGCCGCATAGAGAGGCCTGGAGGGCCTGAGGTTTCCCACCCTGCCTTAAGATAAAGGCAGGTGGGTCTTGGGTGTCAGCTTCTGGAAGAACTTGGGGAAATCGCTCTCAAACTGTGCCGAGGCGTGTTGTGAGAGAGAACAGCTCTTGTTGTGCATAAAATAATGGAACAAAAGTTCCCTCTCCTGCAGTGGGGCAGGCACACCTGGAAACTTCAGGTCAGCCCTGGAGGTCTGGCCACCTGACCAGCGACGGAAGCCCCCAGAGGTTGTAAACAAGGCCCAAGTCAAAACAGAGAAGAACCAGATGTTCTGGTTTGCGGCGGGAGGTGGGTCTGGTGCTACAAACACAAATAATCCATTTCAACCACCGTAGATTCCGGCGTATTAGGCGACTGGGCGTATAAGACGACTTACACGCCCAGTCTTATACACAACAGCTTCGCTGGGCAGCGGCAGTGGGCGGTGGGGTCCCCGCCGGGAGGAAGCTGTCCAGCGATGCTAAACCGGCTTCGCTAGGCGGCTTCCTCCCAGTGCGCAGTGGAGCCTGCCGCCCACTGCTGCTGCCCAGAGAACCCATACCCGGCGTATAAGCCGACCCCCGACTTTCTAGAGGATTTCCCGGGGTTAAAAAGTCATCTTATACGCCGGAATGCAGGAAGTTGCAATGCAGGAAGAAGAAGTCCTCAGCTTGCCGGCCCACGAGTTTACTTTCGAAATCACCTGAAGAAGGGAGGACACCCTTTCTGTGTAAGTTACAAACTGCAGGTATTGGCTTGCCCCCTGCTGGCCCAAAGAGGCAAGGTAAAATCAGCTATGATTAAATGGGCACAGGACGTTGGACATAACATTATGTTTGCTGACTGGGAACAGTTATGGACCACAGGTATGAAATTTACGGCATGTAATGCCTTAAGAGAGAATATTATGAAAATGATATACAGGTGGTACATAACCCCAGTCAAGCTTGCGAAAATCTATCACTTGCCTGATAACAAATGTTGGAAATGTAAAGAAACTGAAGGTACATTTTTTCACCTTTGGTGGACGTGCCCAAAGATTAAGGCTTTCTGGGAAATGATATATAATGAATTAAAAAAGGTATTTAAGTATACCTTCCCCAAGAAACCAGAGGCCTTTCTCCTGGGCATAGTGGGCCAAATGGTGTTAAAAAGGATAGAACTTTCTTTATGTATGCAACAACAGCAGCAAGAATACTCATCGCAAAGTATTGGAAGACACAAGAACTTCCCACGCTGGAGGAATGGCAGATGAAACTTATGGACTATATGGAATTGGCGGAAATGACTGGCAGAATCCGTGACCAGGGAGAAGAGTCGATGGAGGAAGATTGGAAGAAATTCAAAGACTATCTTCAGAAACACTGCAAAATTAAGGAATGTTAGAGTGATGTTGGATTGAAAATAAGTGGTTTCCAGCTGTACAGGTTAAAGTTAAGGATAGACTAAGATTAAAGATTAAGATTAAAGATGTTTAAAGAAATGGAAATTTGATAATAAAGGGAAAAATTTAAAGCTATATGACTTTAAGAGTAAGGATTAGGTTTAAAAAAGTTGAAGTTATATATTTTAACATTTTATTAAATTAAAGATTGGGATAAAAAAGTGGAAAAGAAACTGCTGGACAAATAATGTGGATTGGAATACAAAAGAGGGAGGTATGAGGAAGTCCAGAAAATAAGTAATTTAAAATTGGAAATGGAAAAGAGAGTTTGTTTTTAATTGTTATGTTTTATGTTTTCATTGTTAAGTTTTGTACTGTTCTTTGTGTGTGTTGTTTTTCTTTTTTCTTTATTTAAAACTTTAATAAAAAATTATTTTTTTAAAAAAAAAAGTTACAAACTGCAGGTATTGGCTTGCCCCCTGCTGGCCCAAAGAGGCAAAAGCCAGACCCCTGACTCGCCCAGGGATGCTACAGGTGGCCATCAGACGCCTCCAAGGCTGTTCTCTTTCAACACGCCATCTGGGAACGAGCACTTTGAACATGCTTTGTGTTATGTACTGAGTTGAATAGGATCCAAAATGCAGCAGTCTGATTGGTCCTAGAACAATAGGATCCAAAATGCAGCAGTCTGATTGGTCCTAGAACAATGCAGCAGTATGATTGGTCTTCAGGAGCCACCCAATCCAGCTGCAGATGGAAGTGAATCCACAACCTGATTGGCCTACAGGATAATTCCGGAATTAGCCAATCACGTGCGGCCCATTGTTTAAATAATGTATATAAAGCAGATACTTTGGGGGAACTTTCATTCCTCCTCACCACTATGAGCTGAATAAAGAGCGTGAAATCCACTCTCGACTCTGAGCATATTTCACTTTGAATCAGAAAAGCTTCAGCGGAGCCTGTATCAAAGTGGATTATTGGTAAGGCTCTCCATTTTTACCACTCCCTCCTGCCCCAGTTTGCCCACATTAGTAGCAGCTATGCTAATTTCCACACCTTGACGTATTTTGCTGGCAGATTGAGCTGCTCTTCAAAGGCACACACAGGTGTGGGCAGGGTAGGGTTGACCTATTTCAAAAAGTGGAAACCTGGACACAAAAGTTGTTGAGGGTTTTTGCTTTTTTGAGATTTGCAAAATCTCAAAATAGAGGACATTACAGCGATTTCCATCCGGACATTGTTTCTGGCTATGTCCAGGAAATTCTGGACACTGAGGTCCCGCTCCGAGGGCCTTCTGGTGGTTCCCTCCCTGTGAGAAGTGAGGTTACAGGGAACCAGGCAGAGGGCCTTCTCGGTGGTGGCACCCGCCCTGTGGAACGCCCTCCCACCAGATGCCAAAGAGAAAAATATCTACCAAACTTTTAGAAGACATCTGAAGGCAGCCCTGTTTTGGGAAGCTTTTAATGTTTAATAGGTTACTGTATTTTAGTGTTTTGTTGGAAGCTGCCCTGAGTGGCTGGGGAAACCCAGCCAGATGGGCGGGGTATAAATAATAAATTATTATTTATTATTATTATATATGGCAACCCTAGGTTTTCCCTGGTCAATGGATGGCCTTTATCACCAGCCTGACAAAACTGGGAGGGAGGGCACCTCATTTTCTGTGCCTTAAAGTGCCCTGCCCATCTTGGGTGCTGGCTCCGCCCACTCCTGGCAGCAGCCCCACCCACCGCAAGCATGCGGCCCCCGAGAGATCACCCCAGAGGCGATGTGGCCCTCGACCGAAAACATTGGTTCTCTCCCCTTGCATTGAGAGGGAGGCTTTCAATTCAACCCCTCTTGGTTAGCCTGGGATTTGGTACGTGTTATTTCTACTCCTCCTCCAGATTTGCATCATATTAGATTAGTTTCCTGGCTTGCTTTCCCAGGGTGGTGGCAACCAAGGATGCTCCAATCTTTTTAAGCGTTGCAGCTTTCCCGCTGAAAGAGAAAGATGGAAAATAACCTAGTTTCTCCCCCATACCCCCACAGCCAAACACACTTCTTTTTCCCCTCTCGCCACCAGATGGCACTGCCTCCTCAACAGGAACAACACAGAACAAGGTCTCAGCGGGGGAAACATACGCAGAAAGTCTTTGGAACAGCCTTGACCGTAGACGCCGTCCTTTGCCCGGGAGACACCTTCCTCGCTTTCCGCCGTCCGGGTTTTCGCCATAACCCTCCTTTCAGGTCGCAAAAAGGTTTGCTCTCGTTTAGGATCCGGCTAGTTTCTGCCGCGAGGTCAGATCCAGAGAGGAATGAAACCGTAAAGTCGTATTACAACCCCCCACACCGCCCCCATCCTGGTTTCCCCCCTCCCACTTAGCGCATTGGCCAAGCGCCCTTCTGCCATTTTGTCTCCTGGCCAAACGCCATCCTGCCATCTTTGGTGTAACGGAGGGTCAGGGTCGGGGGACGCCGGAAGGTGCCAAAGGGGAGGCCCGTTACGCTTTGGTGCAGGTGACGGCCGAGGAGGGGTTGGTGGCGTGGCCCCCCGAGGATGGGGAGCGGCCCTCCTCCATCCACTTGTCCAGGCTGCGCCTCCGGGCGTTCATGAAGAAATTGCTGACGGTGGACAGCTCCAGGCCCAGCTGCTGGGCGATGGTGATCTGAAGGTCTTTGGAAGGGCGCTGGTTCTCGTGAAAGATGGCGTGGAGCGTGCGGCGCTGGATGTCCGTGAAGACCAGGCGGTGGCGCTTAGGGACGTGGTTTCGGTCGGCTTTGCCTTGATCTTGCTCTTTCCTTTTGCAGGCTGGTGGGGGGCAGCAAAACGGAGAAGAAAAGAGAAAATGAGAAGGCGTTCGTGACGCACCGTAGGGCCAGGTCATTGGGTCCTCTCACTCAATGTGGCCCCTGAGGCCTTTTTTGGCCTCCCCCACCCCTGCAGCCCTTCCCCCAAACCAGGTAAGTGAGGTGCTGGGCTTTGGGAAGATGGTGTGATGGCTCTGGCAGGGTCCAAGAGTCCTCCCAACTCCTTCCCAAAGCCCGGTTAGTGCTTTCCCAGTTTTGGGAAGGAGGTGGAGGGGCTCGGGGAGCCTGCCAGAGCCTCGCGCAGGGCTGGATCAAGACCTTCAGAGGCCCTAAGCACTTAAAAGATTTGGGTGGCACCTTTTACCACTTGTGGTGGAATTGTAAAGAAATAAAGGAATTCTGGGGAATATATAATGAGCTCCCGTTGCTCGGTCCCTGCTCCTGCCAACCCAGCAGTTCGAAAGCACATCAAGTGCAAGTAGATAAATAGGTACCGCTCCAGCGGGAAGGTAAACGGCGTTTCTGTGCGCTGCTCTGGTTCGCCAGAAGCGGCTTAGTCATGCTGGCCACATGACCCGGAAGCTGTACGCCGGCTCCCTCAGCCAGTAAAGCGAGATGAGCGCTGCAACCCCAGAGTCGACCACGACTGGACCTAACAGTCAGGGGTCCCTTTACCTTTACCTTTACCACATGTGGTGGAATTGTAAAGGAATAAAGGAATTCTGGGAAATATATAATGAATTGGGGGGGGGGGGATTTAAAATAAGCCTTTTTGTTAGGAATTGTAGGTGCAGAGATACCGAAGGAACAGAAAAGACTGTTTATGTATGCCACAACAGCTGCAAGGATTTTGCTTGCCCAGAGAGACGACAAGGTCCCTACCAGAGTGGACTGGCAGATCAAACTATTGGATTATGCCATTGGTATGAAAAGTTGGACCTCCCTGATCTGGCTGAATACTGTCTGCACTGATCGGCAGCGTTGTAGACAGGGAGTCTCCCCAAACCTCCTTCCTAGACATCCCTTTTCAGGGATTAAACTCTTCTGCATGCAAAGCAGGCTCTCTCTTCCTGAGCTAGAGCCGTCCCCTTAAAAATAAACCTAGTCTCTAGTCCTCATGGTTCTGAGGAAAATGCTGAGAAATAGTGATATCGGAAGCTGTCTTATACTGAGTCAGACCTTTGAGCCATTTAGCTTTGTATTGCTTACATGGCCTGGCTGTGGCTCTCGGGAGTTTCAAACAGAAGCGTACCCAAATCCTGTCTACAGATGCCTTTTCAGGCTGTTCCCTTAAAAACTGAGCTAGACGGATTTGGTTCTGTGTACGGCACCTTATTACTGCGTCCCTCTTTAAACCAGCCTTTCCAAAGGGGCCAACGCTTTTAAAGTTTTGCTTTTAAAGGGGATGATGACCTCAAAAGAACGTGCCTCCCTTGTTTTTAATGCCTCTGTTTAATTGCATGGATTGGAGGAGGAGGGAAGAAAGGAGGGAATTTAATGCCAAATCAATAGTTCTGGTGACTGACGTCTTCCGTCTCCATCCCTCGCTCAAAAAAACCTCTCGGCTCCCTTCCGTATAGCTTTCCCCCTCTAAGAAAACCTTGCTGGGTTTCTGTCCTGAGCGTGCCTCCCAGTAATGTAGGACTTCATGGGTTTCTTCTGTGCCAGAAGCTTCCGGAACGGTCGAGCGTGGTGGGGAAACTTCCTCTCCTCTCCCGCCCCCCACCCCCAAAGAAATCACCCAAAGGGTGCACGCATTTATGCAATTGGGGTGGTTTATTCTGAGCTGGACCATAAAGAAGGCTGATCGCCGAAGAATGGATGCTTTTGAATTCTGGTGCTGGAGGAGACTCTTGAGAGTCCCATGGACTGCAAGAAGATCCAACCTCTCCATTCTGAAGAAAATCAGCCCTGAGTGCTCACTGGAAGGACAGATCATGAAGATGAGGCTCCAAGACTTTGGCCACCTCATGAGAAGAGAAGACTCCCTGGGAAAGACCCTGATGTTGGGAAAGATGGAGGGCACAAGGAGAAGGGGACGACAGAGGACAAGATGTTGGACAGTGTTCTCGAAGCTGCCAGCATGAGTTTGACCAAACTGCGGGAGGCAGTGGAAGACAGGTGTGCCTGGCGTGCTCTGGTCCAGGGGGTCACGAAGAGTCGGACACGACTAACAACTAAACAACTAAACAACAACATTCTGAGTGCAAAGTGAGGTGATCTTCGCAGACGGCGAATCTCTGCCAATATGGCAGGTGACATTTTGTTTTTTGCTGCCTGAGGTGTGTGTTTTTTTTAATGCTTTTTATTGGTGTTTCGTTTAATACAAACAAACAAAATACAGTAAAATTCAACCGTCATTTACCTACATTCTTTCCCCACACTCTGCTGAGCACTGACTTCCTTCCCTCCCTTCAACAGGTTTTCTTAGGTCAGTTACTTTTCCACAGTTTCTTATTGTATCCAATCCTATCTACATCGTAAGATTTATTTCAGTCCTGCCAGAGTCTTCAGATTTCTACAGTTCTTATTTATGTACTCCATAAATTTACTCCAATCTTTTTGGAATTTTGCTTCCTCCTGATTTCGGATCCTACAGGTCAGTTTTGCTAGTTCCGCATAATCAACCACCTTCGTCTGCCACTCTTCTATTGTTAGTAATTCTGGTACTTTCCATTTTTCGGCTAATAAATAACCTTTGATCTGCTTTTTCTATTTCCTCTCCTATCAAGCCTAGCAAGAAAGCTTCTGGCTTCTTTTGGGAAAGTGTATTTAAATGTCTTTTTCAATTCGTTATAAATCTGTTCCCAAAACTGTTTCACTTTCTCACATGTCCACCTGGCAGGCGACGTTTTGGCGGGGTACCCTTAACAGGTAAAGATTAAAGGTAAAGGGACCCCTGACCATTAGGTCCAGTCGGGGCTGACTCTGGGGTTGCAGCGCTCATCTCGCTTTACTGGCCGAGGGAGCCGGCGTACAGCTTCCGGGTCATGTGGCCAGCAGGACTAAGCCACTTCTGGTGAGCCAGAGCAGCGCACGGAAACACCATTTACCTTCCCGCCGGAGCGGTACCTATTTATCTACTTGCACTTTGAGGTGCTTTCGAACTGCTAGGTTGGCAGGAGCAGGGACTGAGCAACGGGAGCTCACCCCATTGCCGGGATTCGAACCGCCGACCTTCTGACAACAATGCAATTGCTGAAGAACATAAAGAGAGCTCTCCATCCAGTCCAAAATCTTGTTCTCACAGTGACCATAAATGTCCCAAAGAACCTAGAAATCTAGAGGTGAAATCCCCAAAAAGGATGTTCCATTTTTTCTGTATGCCACAACAGCTGCGAGAATATTACTAGCGAAGAATTGGAAGAAACAAGATTTACCAACTATTGAAGAGTGGCAGATTAAGATGACGGACTAGATGGAACCGGGAGACTCCGAGACCAGAGAGAAGAGACAGTGGAAGAAGATTGGAAGAATATCTGATAAAATATGTTAATATTTAAATCTTTGAATAGCTTTGGAAGTGGATATAGGCTGTAGGGTTAGTGTATTTTAAAATAACATTATTTGTAAGTGATAAAATGTGAAGATTTTTATGGTAAAAGTAAGCGTGATTTAAAAAATGGTTAAAAATGATATATGTAATCTGCTAAAGATGAGGTAAAATGAAAATCAGATAGCGGGGACTTGGGGAAGCCCACCTAAGAATGTTTAGAAAAAATAAGAATAAGACAAGAATTTGTTTGTATTGTTTGTTTTTTCTGTTTGTGTTGTTGTGTTATAAAATGAATAAAAAATCTTTGGGCGGGGGAAAGAACCTAGAAATCTGGGTAGACTCCCTCTGGACCTGGAGGTTCCATAAGAATGTCAGAAAAGCCTGGATGCTGGAGCAGACCCAAGGGGGTGGATGCTGTTTAGTTCAGCCTCCTGTTGTCACGCTGGACACCCAGTTGCCCCAAAGGGAAACCAGCAACAGGATCCGAGAGCAAGAGCTCTCTCTTCTCCTACGGTTCTGGTATTCAGAACCATTTCTGCCTCCGACTGTGGAGACAGGGCAGAGCCATCTTGGCTAAAAGCTCTTCCTCCCTCCATGAACTGGTCCCACCCTCTTTTAAAGCCATCACTGAAGCCTCCTTTGAAGGCACTGGTAGGAGGCGCGAATTTTTCAATTTCAGTTTCTCAATTCAAGTGCAGATCGCCACATTTCCATATGAGTTTGCGAAGGAGGAAACAAGTTAAGTCCTCATGAAAATTCATTCCATCAGTGCGAATTTCTCTTGCTAGACACATATTTGTATGCAATTTTGCCTGATGTTTATTTTCATCCCCAAAAAGTTTATGATTTGAGTTTCTACTGAAATGAGGCTGCATTTTAATGTTGTGTTTTAATCTTGTTTTTAAGTTGTATTTTAATCCATTGTTTTTAATAGCTGGGGAGGGTGGGGTATAAATGAAATTTATTATTATTATTATTATTATTATTATTATTATTATTATTATTGACATACCTGCGCAAGCAATTTTGTCTAACACAATGCATTTGTAGATGTCATTTTCCCTAATATCTTTTTGAATCTTTGAATAGCTTTGGAAGTGGATATAGGCTGTAGGGTTAGTGTATTTTAAAATAGCATTATTTGTTATTACAGGCAGCCCTGTTCAGGGAAGTTTTTAATATGTGACATTTTAGTGTATTTTTTATCTTTGTTGGAAGCCGCCCAGAGTGGGGTACAAATAATAAATTATTATTATTATTATTATTATTGGGGCACACATACCCTAGAATGTGCATTCCTGAACCTATCACTTAGCTGGAGGAGGGCACGATATCATTGGGAGATAATTTTGAAGGATAGCTGTGTTTGGATTTTTGGTATTGTTGTGCGATGTCCTGGGACTCTGACTCGGAGCCAGAAGAGTCTCAGTCCGCACCGGATCCTTTGCCTCAGGCGGCAGCTGAACTTAGTCTGGGGCCTGATCCTGAAGAGCCCCATTCTGCACAGGCTCCCCTGCAACAAGCACCAGCTGGGCCGAGTCAGGGGCCTGAGCCTGCCCTGGCTCCAGATGCTCCACTACCAGTTGGGTCAGGGGAGGCTGAGGTGACCCCTGGGTCTAGTAACCCACTGATGTCTCCTGAGCTGCAGAGACTGAGGTCTGAGAGAAGGAGAGAGCTGAGTAGCCTCCTGGCCCCTTGTCAACCAAGCACTGCCAACTTATCTCTCTGCCGTGAAAAGTTTCGCCCTGCCAAATTCTGTGAAAAGCACAAGAGCGTCCAGATCCTTATTCTCCTGATCAGTTGGCAATCCCTTGCCTGCATTCCCCCCGTGGCGTCTTTTGACAGCTGCCAGAAATGGACATAAAATGGAGGTGATGCACACACGAAAAGGAAAAGGGGATAGGGAAGGGAATGAGACGGCAGTGCTAGCAGCCACCCAGGTCCATCATAATATTAAAACAAGATGTAATTTTGCAAAGCTAAGACATTATTAAGCAACCTGGCAAAGGGTCTCCATTAACATTTAATGGGCTAAGATTTTACGGCCCTGTATTAAAACCTTGCAGGTTTTCTTATTTCTAAATGAGTCTTTTATTTTAATTAACAATCTGCAGGGGAACTTTTCAGGATGGCTTGAGGGCGGTGGCTTCGGCAGGAGGGCTTTTGGGTGGGTAGGAAATGTGTGTGTCTGATAGCACAGATTTCTGTCCCAACTTTATCCCAGTGTCAATGTTTACATCTAAAAGGGCCGCTCAAGGAAAGCAAAACCATTTCACTTGGTGGCTCGCCCAAAGGCCGGAAGTTAGATTTTTGTACAGCGTTTAGCACACCGTTAATCTGTTTTTCAATATCCAATTGTATCCTGTATGTCTTTACTAAGGGAAAGTGCCTGGCATTGCTTGGGAATCCCAAGAAACCAACCAAACCAGGGCAGTTTTGCAGTCGGTGGTAAGAATCAGGGCAGCATGGAAAGGTTCTGTCTGCCATCTTGATTCAAAATGGCGTCCAGTTGTATCCAAACATTGATGAAAACCTGCTCCTTGGTGTCAGGAGCAGCCTGAAATCCCAGAGAGCCCATCTACGATGCTGTCCAGGGTTGTAAAGACTGCGGAGAGAATAATTGGGTGCACTCTTCCCACCTTAGATCAAATCTATGCTGTCAGGTGCCATAAGAAAGAGGCAGAGATAGCGCAGGATAGTGTGCACCCCGGAAATGATCTCTTTCAGCTTCTGCCTTCTGGAAGAAGATACAGGGTTATAAAGGCCAGGACTAGCCGCCTGAGAAACAGTTTCTATCCAAAGGCAATTTTGGTTTTAAATGCAGCATAAGGGGTCTCTATAGTATAGTGTATTTTAAAATGGGGTTTCAGAGTTTTTAGGGTTTTTTGAATGTTTTATGTAGTTTTTCAATTTCATTGTTCTGCATAGGACAGTGACAATAAAGATATCGTATATCATAAATATAAACAGTACTGAGATAGATGGACCAGGGGTCTAACGTGGCATAAAGCAACTAGCTTTCTATGTTCCTGTTTGAGGCAGCACTTGAGGACTAGAAACTTGCTTTGCTTTTCAAGGGAGGGCCGTTGCTCAGTGTAGCAGCCACTTTGTGCTGCCTGCCAGTGTTGACAATACTGAACTAGATGGACCAAGGATCTGACCTGGTATATAGCACCTTCTTATCTTCCTTTGCTGTCGTCCTTAATTATGTCTATTTTTTATATATATACCATGTTACATTTTCCCTCTCATTTTTTTTTTTTTAAAGCTGCTTTGGGTCCTTTATTTTTTATTTTTTAATTGTGCTCCAAATAATGAACCAGATAAAAAGAAAAGAAAACTCACTAGCAATGGGAGCAAAAAACACCATACAATTAACTTTTTTTAAAAATAGTCTTAATTCATTAACAGCTTTGCTTGTCTGCCTGATGGCCTTTGTTGTGGTCTTGCACTGGTTTTTTTTTGGGGGGGGGGATGTTTGTAGTTTACTTTTTCCTGCTTTCTAAACATTTTATTACATGTTAAGTGTACAACGCAATTGGGATCCCCCTCGCTGCCTCGCCCACCTCCTTACAAAAGTGTCCAAAAAACATTTTAAATGGGACCAATGCAAATCAAATTGCAGCTGTGGCAGGTCCCAGGCCAGAGGTAGATGGACGGAATTAAGAAAAGCCGGATTATAAAACGTGGATAACAGATATCAAATTACGTTCTGCTCAGAGCAGACCTGCCGAAATTTACGAAACTAAGTTCACGTGGACGAATTTCAGCAGATCTCCTCTGAAGAGCATTGGCTACGACCCAGTCACAAGTTTACACCTCCGTATTATATCCAAATCATATGCTGTCCCACAAGACCCTCTCCTGCCCCTTACAGTCGGCAGGCAAATATTTCAAATCAGATCAATTATAAAACAAAACAAAACAGCAGAGATGGGACAGTCCCAGATCAGAGGCACCAGAGAGAGAGGAGGGAAGAAATGAAATTAGATTTAATAATAATAATAATAATAATAATAATAATAATAATAATAAATATGTCTTTTGGCACGAAGCGGCGAGGCTTTTCATTTCATTTCATTTTTTGAAGAAGCCCTAATCTGTATGGCGTATCTGCCTTGCGGCCGTGAAACGTGACAAGCTCCCTTCACTCTCCCGTCTTCCTCCTTCCCTCTCCACATCTTCCCTGAGTGGGCTCAGCTCAGCTCCCCCCCCACCTCCGCCCCCTGCCTCTGCACTGCCTGCACGCTGATAGAAAATATTGATCAGATCCAGGCTACGCCAGCTGCAAAGACCAGCCAGTTTTGCATTAACCCTTGCTGGGAGGGAACGACGGAACGCCCGCGCCGAGGAAAAGCGAGACGGGGACCCCATCCCCTCGCCCTTTGGGAAACACGGAGTCGGGGAGGCTGCCTATTATTTTAGGGGAGAGCTAGCAAAGCCACTTGGGTTGTGGGTGGCGCTGTGGGTTAAACCACAGAGCCTAGGACTTGCCGATCAGAAGGTCGGCAGTTTGAATCCCTGCGACGGTGTGAGCTCCCGTTGCTCGGTCCCTGCTCCTGCCAACCTAGCAGTTCGAAAGCACGTCAAAGTGCAAGTAGATAAATAGGTACCACTCCGGTGGGAAGGTAAACGGCGTTTCCGTGCGCTGCTCTGGTTCGCCAGAAGCGGCTTAGTCCTGCTGGCCACATGACCTGGAAGCTGTACGCCGGCTCCCTCGGCCAATAAAGCGAGATGAGCGCAGCATCCCCAGAGTCGGCCACGACTGGACCTAACGGTCAGGGGTCCCTTTACCTTTACCTAGCAAAGCCACTGAGGGAGGAAAAGGTTTATACAGAACATAATAGATCAAGCCCGTGGCCTGTCAAGTCCAGCGTCCTGTTCTCGCGGTGGCCAAGCAGGTGCCCCAAAGGGGAACCCCACAAATAGGACCTGAACACAAGAGCTATTCTCCCTTCCTGTGGTTTCCAGCTACTGGCATTCAGAAGCAGCTATGGAGGCAGAGCAGAACCATCATAGCTAGTTATAATCCACATTAAGGTAAAGGGGACCCCTGACCATTAGGTCCAGTCGTGGCCAACTCTGGGGTTGCGGCGCTCATCTCGCTTTATTGGCTGAGGGAGCCGGCGTACAGCTTCCGGGTCATGTGGCCAGCAGGACTAAGCTGCTTCTGGCGAACCAGAGCAGCGCACGGAAACGCCATTTACCTTCCTGCCTGAGTGGTACCTATTTATCTACTTGCACTTTGGCATGCTTTCGAACTGCTAGGTTGGCAGGAGCAGGGACCGAGCAACGGGACCTCACCCCGTCGCGGGGATTCGAACCACCGACCTTCTGATCGGCAAGTCCTAGGCTCTGTGGTTTAACCCACAGCGCCACCTGTGTCCCCAATAATCCACATTACTCATCCGTGAACGTGCCCAGTCCTCTTTTAAGTGATTTCCACAGTTCAACGACACATTGCACGAACAATTTATTTCTTTCCTCTGTCCTGTTCAGCTTCATTGGCTGTCCCCCTGGTTCCCAGAGTTACGAGAGAGGGAGAAAAACGTCTCCCCTGAGTAGTAGTGAGTGAAATGTTTGCCTTTTTTGAACCGTCTGCCGATGGATGGGCTAGACAGAAAATATCCAGGGTCGCAGAAGCAAGCGCACAGGTTAGGCTGCAGCGGTTCTCAACTTGTGGGTCCCCAGATGTTGTTGGACTACAACTCCCATCATCCCTGAGCTCTGGCCTTGCTAGCTAGGGGTGATGGGAGTTGTAGTCCAACAACATCAGAGGACCCACAGGTTGAGAACCGCTGGATTAGGGGGAAGCAGGACCAGAGGAACCTTTCAATGGCAACTCCACGTAAGCTTGCGCCGCCAGTGGATCTGGAGCAGGGCTTGCGCCCGATGTCGGTGTGGGAAAAGGACAAGCAGGGTTGTCCGGAATCTGACAGGCCAGGCATGCTGGAGACTCAGATCTCTGATTATTTGGCCTCTGCTTTTTTGGAGGTGATGGCTGTGTCTGGATGGAGAGACTCCTTTTGGCACCACAACTAAAAGCTGCATCCTTCATGAACAAGGCGCCATCTGCACTTTAAACTCAAAGCAGCGTCATCCCACTTAAAACAGTCACGGCTTCTCCAACCCCAAAGAATCCTGGGAACCGCAGTTTGTTCAGGGTGTGGAGAGCTGTTAGGAGACCTATTTCCACTCACACAGAGCTACAGTTCCCAGAGTTCCCTGGGAAGAGGGGTTGATCTTTAAACAACTCTGTGAGGAGGATAGGGTGGTTTCACAACTCTTGGCACCTTAAACTACAGTTCCCCGGATTCTTTGAGAGAGGGAAGCCATGACTGCAAAAGTGGTGTGATTCTGCTCTAAACGGATCGTGAGGATGGGGCCTGGATCTTGCAGCAAGGCAGCCACACACTTGGACGCCATCTGCTCATGCGACAATTTGTGTGACGCCGCATGAAGATTGTCCGTTTCGGTTCTCCCACTTCCTCATTTCCCACCAATATTAAATTCAGTTTCTCCACATTTTGCAGCAATTTGAGGATTTATTTATTTTTAATCCTCGTGAGAATTCACCAGGCATTTGTGTGCGAATTCCTTCTAACGAACACATCTTTGCTTGAGGTTTTGACTAATGTACGCATTTTCCCATCTTCCCCCAATATAATGAATATATCCATGTTCTTTCCACTAATGCCCTCATTTGCATGCCCGCTTTGCCCTAATAGATTCATTTTTGTTTGGAGAACAGTGCTGGAGAATTTGGATATGTGTGAATTTTGACAGGCGGCTATCTTCTGTTCTGCACATTGTTTGCAATCGGCTTTAAATGAGAACAGAGTAGAATTTCTCTCCCCATCCCCATCATGCTGACTCTGGTAGAAATTTTAAAATAGCCAAGTTTGGCTGCCAAGTGATCAGCCACCTGTCCATCCAGCTCAGACGATTCTTCCTAATTTTTTTAATATCTATATGCTTTCCCCATTGAATGTGGTTTGTATCACTTACTTAAACTTTCCCAAGCAGATGGAACAGAGTGTCCAGGCCTCTAAATGTCAGAACCATGCACTTGGGGGGGGGGGCTGTTAATAAAATATTCTTGAGAGAGATTTACAACAGAGATGGAAAACTCTGTGCCCCCTCCCCTCTTGTTGGACTACAAGCAGCGAAGCCCGAGTCTGTTAATTTCAGTTTCTAGTCATTTGTCCTTTGTCCCTTTTAAAGTTCAGCTCTCCATTTCTGCAACTTTTTGCAGATTTCTTTAAAAAGGTCCTTACAAAAATTCACCAGTGTTTTCGTTTCTCCTAACGAGCCCATTTTTGTATGCCATTTTTGCCAAATACGGATGCTTTTGCAAGCATGGCTGTCAACTTTTCCCTTTTCTTGCGAGGAATCCTATTCGGAATAAGGGAATTTCCCTTTTAAAAAGGGAAATGTTGACAGCTATGTTTTGCAAGTGATTTCCCCCTAGCTGATGCATTTTTTTGCATGCTCTTTTCACAAATATATATGCATTTTGAAACACACTTTCCCCCACAACGTATGCGTTCTGCTACACATTATTTGGTTGCAGCACCACATCGCAAAATTCAGAGAGGTGTGACCATCAAAGGATCGCTATGTTTCAATACACACGTCAGTGTGATTTAGGGAGATTTGCTTTAAAATCTGAACCAAATTTCTCCCGCATCCATTAACTCCGAGTCTCATTTGCCCTGGGTGGAAATTAGAGTCCAACAACTTCAGGAGAACCACAGATCTGTCTGTGCATCCCAACAACAATTGGGTCAAACTGGAGGTGGGAAAATCCAGAAATTTAATCTCTCTCTCTCCCCCCCCCCCATTCTTCCAAACAAAAACACGCACATTTTGGGCACAGGGTTAAAACCAAGAAGGGGCAATTTTGGGCCAATCAAAACGGGGGGAAAAAATCAATGTTTTGCTTTGCAGAACAAAACACCCTGGGGAACGGAACAGAGGGGATTCTGGGGGAGCACACCGCTTGCTAGCTTGTGACTGTGTCTGCCACAGAAAATAAAATCGATGACTTCCCCTTATATGAAGTCCCTCAGTAGGTCGAGGGCAGGGGGGGCAGGATAGAACGGTTTGCCTTTCCCTACTGCCCCACCCCAAACAGCTGCTCGATTCTGCGTGGAGGGGGAACAGGAGATTGCCCAGACTTTTTAACCGAGCTTTTTGCACACCCACACCCACACCCCGGACAATGGGAAATGCTTCTGCGGCCACCACGATATTAATAGCCAATCGCCGTGCAGTTGGGCTCTCGACAACATGGCCGACCCATCAGGAAAACGTCCCCGAATCTTGACATTCACGCTTGCTTGCGCTAATATGTTCAAGCGCTCCATCATGTCACAGCAGGCCTGGCCCAACTGAACCGGATGTGCAGAATCCAAACGGTCCCACCCCCCCTCCATTGCTCATTAGGATGGGGCCCGATCCAACACTGATTGCCACTCCATTTAAATACATCCCCGCTGTCCCCTCTAATAATCTATCGACGACATCCTGAGAACTTGGCGCGGTTAAATGGATTGATTAAAGCTTAAAGAGAGCTGTGCTTGTGCCTGTTTACTCCGGAGTAAGCCCCAACTGAGTTTATTGGAGGAATAAGGAAGCCTGCCCAGAACCGATCTCGGCTGGTTTTTGTGAAAAGGCAGGCCAAGTGTTAAGAGCACACCTGCTTTTAATTTCGGGGCAATGATTTTGAGGCCAGTGGTGTCGCTACAAAGGGGGACGTCTTAAAAATCGTTAAAGGGAGCCTTTCTCTTCTAAAAAAGCAATGGGTGGCTGCTGCTTTTTTATTTTAAAAAAAGCAAATTGTACTTTTAAGATGCCTCCTTCGCTCAAACTCTCTGCTTTTAACAAAGGAAGTGTTAAGCTGTGTGTGCGCTTTGTTTTTAGGGAGCCATGGGGAGAGCTGTGATTAAAAATAAAATAGAAATACAGTAAGTAAGCCACCAATCCTGAGGTTTGGGGGAGAATGCACAGGTTTTAAACTTTCTTTTAAAACTGAGTCAGTCTTATGGTTAAAAGGAGGGCAACGAATGGACTAAAATTTAAGTAAATTCGTTGACCATTCGTAAAATAAAAATAGTTACATTTGTGTGTTTTGCTTGCAGTATGTGTGTGTGAATGCTTAAAATCACTTTTCTACACAAATGTTCTCATTGCTTCCTTTGACACTTGCCCTCCCATTACAAACTCCCATTTGTAAAATTAAAAAGCATGTTCTTTTACCTCTTTATACCACTGGCATTATCATCCAGCCAGTCCTAAAAAACAGTCCTGGCCTGAGGTGGGAACGGACAAATCGGTAATTTTTTATTTTTCTTACTTAACTTGTTTCAGTTTCCTGCGTTTCCACATCAGTTTGCAATAAACAAATGAAGAAAAAAAAAACCCTGCTAAAAAATTGTCAAGTGCTTTAGAGCAAATTTATCCCAATTTCCCCTCCCTTTTTGCAAGCAAATAATTCTCTATGTTCCCCTAATATATGGCATCTTACAGCACACACACGACTCTATTTTGGGGCAGGAGGACTGCCTTGCAAAATTCAGAGAAGTGCAAATTTCAAAGCCTCGATGTGTTTTGGTTTGTGCATTGTTTTCGGGAAGCGCAAGCCAATCTCTCTCTCCCCACCATCCCTGCCTGACAGTAAGACCTAGTGGTGGGATTCGCTTGTAACTCGCACCTTGTGCAGCAGAAGAGGCAGTGCTGGTTTTTAAAGGAGAGGTAAATGATCTCTTCCCCAAATCCACGGGAGGCACCGGGACGGGATCGTTCCTCACACAGCTTTGCTGCTGATTCTCCCTCTCTCCCGCCCTCCAAGGAAAGCCCACTTCCAAACCCTGCCTTGGAACTTCCTGCTGCTTCGGGGAAGAGACACAACGCGTCCGCTGGCTCGCCTGGGCCCCCTTGGACATCCCAGCGCGTGACCGTCCTTCTGATGGATCCATCACCCCGTGACAGCTTCATTAGCTCCTAACAAGCCAGCGGTCGCTCTCTGCCGGCGCAGGTGACGAGGCCCCTTGCTCTGCCAGGGAAATGGCACTCGCGCAGGGGGAACGGAGCGTGGTGGAGACACCCAGGGTGCCAGGGAGGGTCACCGAAGGATGCCGTCGAGAGAGGGGGCGGGAAACGGCGGCCTGGTGTCTAAAAATCTGGTTGCTGAGAGGAGATGCACCAGCATCGAGTAGGAATGAAAAGCTGCTGTGTTTGTTGTCTAAATGCACCCAGTGTCTGGAAAGAGACAGGCTGGCTGGAAGCACGGTTGCAGCGGTTAGAGGGCCAGCTTGGGTCTGGGGAGAGCAGAGTTCAAATTTTCATTTGGCCTTGAGTGACCTTGAGCCGGTCACTCTTATACGAGCAGAAGAAGAGCTTGCTGGATCAGACCAGTGGGCCATCCTGTTCTCACAGCGGCCGACCAGGTACCCACAAACAGGACTGGAGCCCAAGAGCAGCTCTCTCCCCTCTCGTGGCTTCCAGAAACTGGTCTTCAGGAGCATTGCTGCCTCTGACTTTATAAATTCGTCTAATCCTTTTTTCAAAGCCATCTAGGTCAGTGGCCATCCTGTGGCAGTGAGTTCCATAGTCCAGGACTCCTTTCTAGTAGGCGCTCTGCCTCAGCCTAACCTTGTAGGGTTGTCACGAGGATAAATTAAGCACCCCCAGGACAGAAATGCCAAAAATATGCCGGATAAATTGGGTGTGGGTGAGGAATAAAGCTGGACCGTGTGTTCTGGTTTACCACGGACATTTGCTGTCCCCTTTTTGCCTCTTAAGATTCTGAGGATTTTTTTAATGAATGAGACTTGTCAATCAGGTTTCAGCCTCACCTCTGGGTCCTTTGAAGCTGGTTTTCTTGGTTAGGGGGATGGATGCAAATGAACGGGTGCGAATGAGCACTAGGGAGACACACAGAAATTGTGAGGCCTTGTCACTGCACACCCAGCGGCAGGAAAGGTATGTTTTTGTGCTTTCCCTTTCAACAGATTTTTGGGCCTCTGTGTGTGTGTAATATCAAAAGCACAAATACTCTTCCAGCTTTGAAATCTGCCCATAATAGGCACTGTACATCAACTGTGCAACGTTACTGTATTTTCCTCTCTATAAGACGCACCAGACCACAAGATGCACCTAGTTTTTGGAGGAGGAAAACAAGGGGGAAAAAATATTCTGAATCTCAGAAGCCAGAACAGCAAGAGGGATCCCTGTGCAGTGAAAGCAGCAATCCCTCTTGCTGTTCTGGCTTCTGGGATAGCGGTGCAGCCTGCATTCGCTCCATAAGACACACACACACATTTCCCCTTACTTTTTAGGAGGGAAAAAGTGAGTCTTATAGAGCAAAAAATACGGTAATTCTTAATCTGTGCTGGGAAGACGAGAGAGAGACTTTAAGCAGTGATCCACAGTGAGGAGGGTTATTTTTTTCTTATTTCCCATCTTTCCCCCCCCCCCAAATCTATGCAGAGTTGGAGTCTGTGCCATGGCTGGGCACCAGTGGTAAGGACCTGCACTCTGCACATGCTCTGAAAAGCCATCTCCTGTCTAAATCACATGTGGCAGTCTCCAGGACTATGGCACCGCGTGGCCATTAGAAACCTGGCCTTTTTGAAGTGCTAACCAGCCTTTGAGATTCAGGATTAAGCTATGGATAAACGTCAGCCATTTGATTTTCCAACACAAGTTCAAACGAGCAGTTGGAGTTTACGAGAGGTTGGTGGTTAAGGGCTTGTGGTGTGAGCCAAACACTGTTCACACCTTGGTTGAACCAGAAGCCGCAGTCTGTGCCCGGGAATAACATTGCTATCTCTAACAGGATAATATAGGAACCTTGTCTGATTATTTTCAGCATCCGTATTGGAAGGGAATTCAATATGTCTAGCCGAGCAAAGTTACATGATAGCCAAATATTTGAGAGGCTGTTGCATAGGCTATGTGAGCTTTTAACAAAATGGCACCAGTAATTGGGAATATACCCTTCCCACTTAAATCAGACAGGTACCTGCGGTGCTGACCATTTTGTCACCCACTGAAAATGTTTTTGATTTATAGAATCGTAGAGGGGACCCCAAGGACAGAAGTGGATTTAGGGGAGCACAACCTGTTCGGTCGCGCTGGGCGCAGAGCCACAGGGGCACTGCAGGGGGCGCCACAACTGTGATTTAGAATGGAGTGTGAGAGGCGGGGGCTGAATTTTGCAGTTCAATTTGAGACCCAAGGTCTGCCACTGCCAAGGGTCATCTAGTCCAGCCTTCTGCAGTGCAGAAATGACAGCGAAAGACAGTGTTGGCAGAACTATAACCTGTCAGTGAGTTTAATTCTATCTGTTTACGCACACCATCAAAGCCAAACTTCTCTGACTTAAAACTGGGGTTTATTTGAGAGTAGCCGGTGGTCTTCTTGGTGCTGTTGGGCAACCTTTTGGAGTTCTACTAGTTATTGTTTGGAATTCTTCCTGAGTTTCATCGCATTTGTTTTCCCCCCTGATGCGTTTGGTTGTTTTGAATTTTTGCTTTAAAATATTATTTATTTATTTTGCATTTTTAGCTGCCCAGGGTTGTTGTTTTGGCAAGATAACGCAGGATATTCGTTTAAAAATCAACAACCACAGATATATAAGCGGGAAAATTCTGTTCTATCACCAGTGTCTGCTGGAATATCTGGTCACTGTGAATATGTACACTTTCCACAGATTTTATTTTATGGTATGTATTTGTGTCTGTGTATATATGTGTGTGTGTACTATACACATACTTCATGCACCTCAGAAAAGCTTATGTCATAATAAACAGGAAGCCGTTAAAGACTATAAAAAAACCTTTCTAATAAGGGCAATTTTTGTAAAGCTCTCAGCCTGGCACTTACTGCAGGCTCTCTCTGCTCTGGCTCCTGAAATTTCACACAAGAACTGCCCCCAAGTCTCTAGCTAATCTTTATGGCAGTGCAGTGCAGTGGTCAGAGTATCAGATTAGAACCGGGAAGATGCAGATTCTAATCTCACACTCAGCACAGGGCCCATCAGCATCTTTCATCCTATGGGGTTTCTAGAGATTTTTATTTTTTTTATCATTCAGTGATTTTCTTCGTATTTATGATTTTCTTCATTTAACGATGTTTCTGTAATGGTTTTATTGTACACTGCCATGCTTGCCTTTTTTTATGAGTTGGTGGTTTATAAGTAGCCTTATAAATAAGTAAGGAGATGATGGAACAAAACAACCCCCACTGCTGTTTCAGAAGGTGAGACCCAGTGGAGAACGATTTCAGCTCGGCATTAAGAAGGGTAGAATTTGGGACCCAGAGGGCTGGACCCAAAGGGGTCCGCTTCCTGGAAGAACGGTTTCAACAAACACGAGAAGAACTTATTGAAGCTACGAGCTGTTTGACAGGGACAGTGTGGGGCTCACGGAGAGTTTCCTGCCTTGGCAGGGGATGAAAACCTACCTTACAAAACAATTCGCCAACACAACTACCCTTTGACATTTGCACTTCTCTGAATTTTGTGGGTAAGTGAGACATTCTACCCTCTCCCAATTTCCAGCAGTTCAGAAGCACTGCTGCCTCTGACCACAGCAACAGAGAACAGCCATTGTGACCAGTAGCCGCCCTAGTAGTCCATATAGTTCAAGATATGGTTTTCCCAGTAGTGATGTATGGAAGCGAGAGCTGGACCATCAAGAAGGCTGATCGCCGAAGAACTGATGCTTTTGAATTCTGGTGCTGAAGGAGACTCTTGAGAGTCCCATGGACTGCAAGAAGAGCAAACCTCTCCATTCTGAAGGAAATCAGCCCTGAGTGCTCACTGGAAGGACAGATCCTGAAGCTGAGGCTCCAAGACTTTGGCCACCTCATGAGAAGAGAAGACTCCCTGGGAAAGACCCCGATGTTGGGAAAGATGGAGGGCACAAGGAGAAGGGGACGGCGGAGGACGAGATGGTGGGACAGTGTTCTCGAAGGTGCCAACATGAGTTTGACCAAACTGCAGGAGGCAGTGGAAGACAGGAGTGCCTGGCGTGCTCTGGTCCATGGGGTCACGAAGAGGCGGACACGACTAAACAACAACAACATAAGAAAAGCCTGTTGGATCAGGGCAATGGGAGCCCATCTATTCCAGAATCCTGTTGTTCTAGTGCTCTAAACAACAACAGCCACCACTAGCCCTACTCTCCTTCGTGAATTTGTCTCGTCCTCTTTTAAAGGCATCCAAATTGGGGACCATTGCTGCCTCTTGTGGGGGAGAGATCCACAGTTCAACTGTGTGATGTACGAAGAGGCCTTTCCTCTTATCTGTCCTCGATCTGCCAACATTCAGGATCGGTTAAAGGCGAGCTAAGTGATCTTGGAAAGGAAAGGAAAGGAACGGACGCCTTTTTAATTTCCCATCAAGGCAATGCTTGGCCATTATATATCATTTGTGATGGTCAGCAGAGTGAAGCCTGGGTTTATGGTCATCTTTGGACAGGGCATGCCGCCACGCGGGAAATATTATTAGAATCAGAGTGTCTCAGCATATCTAAGTATAGAGACATTGATTCCTTTGGTCTATCCTTTCCACGGGGGGTGGGGATGTCTCTCCTCCCTCTCCTCGGACATGAGCTCATCTGGCGCGCTGGGCAGATCCAGTTCTGGTTCTGGATTTGCAGGAAAAGAGCCCTGAATACCCAAGGTCAAGCCCCACCTGGAATACTGTGTCCTGTTCTGAGCACCACAATTTTTTAAATAAGGACGGCCTGGAATGTGTGCAGAGAGGGAGACCACGAAAATTAAGTGCCTGGAAAGCAAGCCTGATGAGGAATGGTTGAAGGAGCAGGGTTTGTTTAGCCTGGAAAAGGGGAGACTGAGAGGTGATTTGATAACCATCTCCAGATATCTAAAGAGCTGTCGCATGGAAGATGGAGAAAGCTTGTTTTCTCCTGCTCAAGAGGTGAGGACCTGAAATGGTGTGCAGTCATACCTTGGGTTACAGCCGCTTCAGGTTGTGTTTTTTCGGGTTGCAGACCGCTGAAACCCGGAAGTACCAGAACGGGTTATTTCTGGGTTTCAGTGGCCATGCATGCGCAGAAGTGCTAAATTGCTCTTTGCGCATGCGCAGAAGCACCGAATCGCAACCTGTGAGTGCGCAGATGCGGGTTGTGAATGCTGCGGGTTGTGAACGTGCATCCCGCACAGATCACGTTCACAACCCGAGCGTCCACTGTATTTAAATTACAAGAAATGAAATTTTGACTAAACTCTCTGATGGTAAGAGCTGTTTGGCTGTGGAACCGACTCCCTTGGAAGATGCTGGACTCTCCTTCTCTGGAGGTTTTTGAGCAGAGGTCTGTTGGCCATCCCCCAGGGATTATTTAGCTGTGTTTTGGCATTGTGGGGGGGGGGCTGGACTAGATGAGCCTTGGGGATCCCTTCCCACCGTAGGATTCTATTACAAGGAAGGTGAAAGGGGCAACAGCTCTGCTGTGTGTCTTTTGGTGGTAGCATGGGAGTGCCTGTGTGTTGCGCCAGGACTTTGGGGACCCGAGTTCAAATCCCCACTCGCCTCTCGCTGCGTGTGACCTTGGGGGCAGCCACTATCTCTTGGTCTAGCCTACCTCACAGGGTCATCGTGTGAGGATAAAACGGTGAGGGGTGTGGCGGGATGCAGGAATGGGCAGGCCATGCTATAAGGAACCAAGCCAGAAGGCACCTATGAAATATCAGGTTCAAGTCCCAATGGTGGTCTGCGTTGTTCCAGGTCAGCAAATGCCTCTTTGGCATTCATTAACCCCTGCTACTGTTAGAGGGGGGTCCATTTGGGCAAGTGGGGTGCTGCCCCCACCAACCTCAGTCAGCCCCCACCTGGCTATCTTCCTGCTCACCTTGGTCTCTGTGCTGCCTCTTGGAGAACTCAGCAGGTAAGAGGAGGATGGCAAGAACTAGGGTGAGTTGATTCCACCTGGCCATTGGCTCTGGCGCCCCCTACTGCCCGGCTCCCTGCTTTCTGCCCTACCAGTCCCAATGGGCACCCTTGCCTGCTACATTTCTACAGGTACAGGAAAATCCCCATTCGTGCACATTCGAGTCATGTGCAAACCTGGAAGTGGCACTTAAAGAGGCAGAAACACCCACGCCCCCCGAATGCAAAAATGGCGTGAAAACAGTGTCTAGCAATCCCAAGAGCCTTTGCAAGTGCAATCCCAGGAGCCTTTATAAGCACCTTTGAGGCCTATGGAGAGTTGGAGAAAGAAGGTTTGGAGGGAGTCTGGTAAGGAGTCTGGAAAGGAAGTTTGGGGAGGTTCTGCTGGGTTTTTTAAAGGGTTTCCCAAGAGTTTCCAGAGGTTTAGAGAGCGTCTGCAGTTTTTTCGATGGTGCTCCCAGTATACACGATTTCACTCAAATGTGCGGTGCCTGGGAATGTAACCCCCACGTAACTGGGGAGCAGCCTGTACCTGTAAAAATGTTTTTGCCTTGCTTTTTGAACCACAAAGGAGGACCCAGGTTTGTCTCAAGAACCTAGCAAGCACCCTCCTGAATGAAACAGAAGCCCCATCAAGTCCATCATCTTTCTTCCCAGCACAGGCCAGTCAGATACTTGTCGTAAGCTTACAAGTTGGCCATGAAGGCAACAGCCCCTTCTCCATGGGGGGGAGGATAGAGGTTATTTGAGGGTAGACTGCGCCTGCACATGGCAGTTCAGCTGAGTTGTGGACAGACCTGCAGTCATGATTATTTTTTAATCCCAATTAAAGCCAACGAAACTTCTGCCCATCATCCTGTTTTCTGGCGCCAAATCCCTCAAGCTCACTGTTAGTTGCATGAAGAAGGATGCTATCTTTTTGTCTGTCCCGAAACCTACCAACCATCAGTTTCATGACCCAGAGCTCTAGAATTCTCTGCCCTGCCTTCTGCCTTTTCTACACTACATACAGTTTTAAAATTCTATCCTGCCTGGGCTTCATCACCATTTTTTTGTCTCAACTAAAAAGCCCCCCACACTTTAGCTTCCCCCTTTAAAGAACAGGGACAGGGGAGAGAAATCTGATTCCATCTGCACTGTAGGCAATCCTACCTAACTCATATTTTCCAGACCCAGGTGCGAATTGAAACACAGCTGTCCTTCGAAATTCGCACTTTTCTGAATTTTGCAGTGCAAAAGTAATGGGTGTGCAAATGCATCTGCTTGTGTTTCTGGTGATGCTAATGTCAACATTAACTTTCAAGTTTTAAATTGGGCAAGTGCAGCTTGCGGGGGATTCCACAATCAACACAATCCGCATTGCAAGGGGTTGAGCTAGAGGACCGTAGGGGAACCCCCTTCCAGCCCTACAATTTAACACCTTGTGCATCCAACTGTTTACTCAGTAGAAATTACACCACCCCACACATCCTGGGTAGTTTTTAATGCTTTACTTTCAATCCTGGGCAAGTCTACTCAAAGGTAAGCTCCCCCACCACCACTGCCGCTTCTGCTACCCAGGCCTTAGTCCCAGCCAAGATGTGTGAGCAGGATCACTGCCTTATGGCAAAACCTTAACCTTGTCTTCTTAGAAGTGAGTCCTACTGAATTCAATGGGGATTACTCCCAGGTAAGTAGGGTTAGGATCGCTACCCAAGCCCTGCAACTGAATCGTGAAACGAAATCTCCTTTTAACACCTTTCTCCAATTTTCTTTCTTTGTTACATATATGTATATATATAAAACAACATCCTACTAAACGCAGCAACACCCATAATTTAGATACGCTGGGGGGGGTGGATATTATTCTAAATAGATTATCCATCTCAGTTTGCCCTTGAATCATGAGAGCTAGAGGCACGAAAGAAGAACAGAGCAGCGTGTGTTTAGTGGCAAGGAAATTTTTTGGAGGGGGGCAATTGGACGCTTGCAGTGGCATCCAGTAGAGGCCACGGGAAAATATTGGAGGGCGGCTAGAACAATACAAGGAAAGCAGAAATACAACCACAAAGAATCTGTGGACAGATTTCCCTATTTATTGGGCAATCTTACCCCAACCCCCCAACCCCAGCAAACCACTCTTACAGATATTGGATCCGACTCTATTGCAAAAAGCATAATCAATAGCCGAGATTCATATTACCCAACAATAATGGATCCGAGAGGGTGATTATTCATTCAGCACTCCGATATTCAGGACTTAACAGTTTTCAAGAAGTCGCCATAATGGTGACCTTATGGCTCTTTCCTCCCTCACGCCCCTCTCTTCGTTTTTTATATATATATAAAAAAATAACTGAGGGTTTACTTCCACACTCAGCCATCTCCACCCGCCTCTCTGTGATCATGCGAGTGAATGACGGTTTGCAAGGGATGGGGGGGGATGGTGCTGAGCTGCAGCCCAGCACCCAAACACCCACACAGAGGCATTTTGCAGGCCCCAATGAAGCCCGGTGTTGTGGTCAGCCTCGAAAGAACCGGCTGAGGAGGGAGCGCAGGGTTTGATCTCCCTGCCACCGTCGTGGACTTCCTTTTGGGTTTGCCCATGGCGGTGTGCAGATCCTTGCCTGCAGCTGGGGAATGGTGCTCAGAGTCCCACTGTCATCCCTGGCTATTGGCCATGCTTGCTGGGGCAGATGGGCGTTCAAGTTCAGCAACATCTGGAAGGCCAGAGGTCCCCCCACACCTGGTCTGGAGCTTGGGGATATCCCAGGGGCCTGACGAAACTGGTGGCTTGAACATTCAAGCTGGCGCCAAAAGACTTTGACTCCATCTTTTCACCTCGGCAACCCATCCCAGCCTATGGCCTGGAAGGCTGGGTGCAGGATTTCTGAATGCCCCCAGTAACCTAGGCTGGGATGCTGACCTCCTTCCAAGCCCAGTCTTGTCTCTCAGAAGAGGCCCAGTGTAAGGACATCAGGAGAAACCTGCTGGATCCGGCCAATGAGGGCCCCTTTGGTCCAGCATCCTCTTCCCTCAATGGTCAACGCCCCTGATAACATACAAATCTAGCTAGACTGCCTCTGGAGCTGGAGGTTCCATCAGGACATCAGTTGAGCCCAGCTGTGATTTCTATTTCCCTATCTCAGGACACACCAACAAAGGAGGAGGGGATTTGTAAATTAAGTGAGTCTATAGAATTGGCAAAATTAACTTCAATTATAAGATATCAATCAAATCAAAAGTTAAGAAGGCAGTGGAAGTATTTTGAAGATTATATGTCAAAATATTGTTCTAAAAATGATATTTTAATAGGCTTAGAATAAAAAATGTAAGCAATAACAAAACAAAGAAAGAAAGAAGGAAAAATCAGAATTTAACAAAAATAATTTATTGTAGAATGCAAGGGGGAAAGGTAGAAATAAATATAAAGAAGTCGAATTGCTGTGGAGGGAAGTAGAGGGTGGGTGATGGGTTTTATAATTAAGTGTATAATTATGCAGCTGTTGTAATTTAGATATTATATTTTATATGAGGGAATCATTGGGAATTTTGGTTATTATGTATATACGTTAAGTTTCAATAAAGATCTCTGAAAAAAAAATCAAAAAAATCAGGAGAGCCTCTGCTGCTGGATGAGGTCCAAGGGGTCCCATCTAGCCCAGCACCCTGATGTTCCAACTGGAAGCCCAAAAGCACAACCAGAGTGCTTGCAATTCGCAGCAACGGGTCTTCTCCAGAGGGGCTTTCAAATTCCAGAGGTGCCCTGTGCAAAATTTGGTGCGCGTCCCCGCCTCTCAACGTTCAAAGTCTTTGTGGCAGAGCCCTCTCGGATCAGCACCCAGTAAGGGCGGACAAGTCACGCCCCCCCCCCCGAAATCTGCCTCCGTCGCTGGAGGGGAACACACAGCTGCTGTGGCTTTTCGCCCCCGATAGTCCAATCCTTCTCCCTGAATTTGTCTAATCCTCATTCAAAGGTGGGTGGCCATAGCTGCCTCCTGTGGGGGTGAGTTCCACAGTTTAACTGTGTCCTGTGTGAGGAAGAAGCCCTTCCTTTCGCCCCCAAGCCCTCCTTCGAGGAGACCCTTGGCAGGTCTGTTGTCTCAGCAGCCAGGCCTAGAGAGTTTAGCTCAACTCCCAAGCAAGGGCCTGCCTAGAGCAGTTGGGGGCGGCCCATCCCATTTCGCCATCTGAAGCAAGATGGGAATGTGCCGTCTCCTGCCTGCCCCCCGACTGCCACCACCGCACCCCACGGCTTCCACCGCACACTGGAACGCAACCCCGTCGCCAAATTCAGCGAGGGAAGAGAACTGAGCAAGGCTATGGCCATGTCTTCTCCACCTATGGGGTGAAACTCAGTGAGGGGGTGGTTTCTGCTGCCAGCGGAAACGGGCGCTGCTGGCTCTGATAGCAGCGGTTCCCAAGTGGGTGGTGCCACCGGGGTGGGGTAGGGGTGGGATTCCCTAGTGGGGAGCTAAGGCGCAAGGGGGCGGCAGCGGGTGCAGGAGACGCCAACGCCCAACAGACTTTGGAAAGCCGATAGCACTGGATCCAGTTCATTCCTTCTGCTCACTTAATTAAACCAAATAGTTTTGGTTGGATTTCGAATAAATGTGCAATTAATTGTTCCTCTTTTGAACTCCCTCGGGAGCTGCTGGATGTTCCTTTCTTGGAGGTTTTTCAACAGAGGCTGGATGGCTGTCCGTCATGGATGCTTTCGCTGAGATTCCTGCATTGCAGGGGGTTGGACTGGATGACCCTTGGGGTCCCTCAGGGGTGCCAAATTGAATAAAAAAATGGGGGGGCCTAGATAAGCCCCAACCCACATAACCGACCACAAGATTACGAATGACACACCATTTGAATGGCAATGTGTGTCAGCTTGGGGAGGGGGGCTGGCCCCCTCAAATATCTTATTGGGGGGCAGCCGGAAGGGATTTTGGCCCCCTAGGAATGGGCTCCTATGCTCCCAACTCTACAATTCGGCGAGTCAATGAATTTTATTGGGCTACTATCTTCCTTTGTGGGTCATGCAAACCGCTGTTCTGAATAACGCTTTTATTGGGGTAGCAGACACAGGGGATGAGTTTGTGGAACCGAGGGAGCAGCATAGCTGTCAACTTTTCCCTTTTCTTGTGAGGAATCCTATTCAGAATAAGGGAATTTCCCTTAAAAAGGGGGAAACGTTGACAGCTATGGGGGGCAGTGGCCCTGAAAAGGTTGTGAAGCCCCGACATATAGGGTTGCCACGTCTGTCGAGGACCTTGAGGGGGGCGGCAACAGCCCCTCCTCGCTTCCTTGTATTGTTCCAGCCTTGCCTGCTTCCCTTGCTTGCAGCTGGGGAAGGGTGGGGGTCAAAAATTATCTTACCTTCTAACCTTAAAGCTGCCATCCTCTGGAACTCTGGCTCCTGCAGCCACCTCCACATCCTCTTGAAGGTCTCCCTCCCGGACTTGAGCTTGCTCCAGGGCTTGGGGTTCCTCAGGAGGTCCGAGAGGGTGCCCTGCGACCGGCAGAGGACCCTCTCGGCGAAGATGGCTTGGGGGATGCTGTAGCGCTTGAGCTCTGCGATGATCCTCTGAGCCACCTCCTTGGTGTTGATCTCCTCCAGCTGGCTGGAGAGGACGGTGGTCTGGGTGGCGATGGGCGGGTTGGGCCGGGCGTTCATCTCCGCCCGGGGGTGTCCGTAGGGGGTTTGGCCCATGGCGCTGGGAGAGGCCATGGTGGAGTTCTGCGAAGGGGACATCTCCCGGGAGAAGTGCTGCTCCATCCTGCCAAACATGGCGGCCGAGTGGGCCTCAAAGCCGTTGCCCAACACCATCTTCTCGTTGCCCAGCGGGGCGGAGGAGTGGCCTGCATAGTTGTGCATGGGGCCCAGCTGCGGGCTTGGCAGGGAGGACAGGCTCTGCCCCATGCCGATGTCCTTGGGGTAGGGGCTGTAGAAGTTCCCCCCGGCACCCAGGCCCCGGTCCTCTCGCATGAGGGTGAAGCTGCCAATGACGTTCCCCATGGGGAGGCACTGGTGGTGGTGATGGTGGAACTTCTCGTGCAGCGGCTGCAAGGGCGTCAGGGTGGTGTAGCTGTTCCCCGCCCCAGCGGAGGGCGACTCCCCGCCGAAGCCCAGCCCCGGGTGCAAGGTGGTGGCCAGGGCGTGCTCCGCCCGGTGGTACTCACTGCCCTCCAGGACGGAGGCCACCAGCGACGGCCTCTGCAGGGCCGAGTGCAGGGCCCGGCTGTCGCTGTGCATCAGCTCCTGCTCCTGGATGGACATGTCCCCGCCGTTCTCCAAGCTCAGCTGGACGTTCATGGTGCAAGACCCCTGGCCCTAGGCCATCATCTTCCCATCCGTTGGGCGAACCGGGTCTGAAATCTCCAGCTCACCGGGGCTCTAGGAAGATGGGAACTGCGGGCTCTGGAAGGTGGTGGTTGGTAGGTTGGTTGGTTGAAGAAGACCAAGGTGGTGTTTCTTACCGTCCTTGACAACCTTCAGTGGGACAGAAGAGCATCAAAACATACAAAAGAGCCTGGGCTCCTGGATCAGGCTCAAAGGCTCACCTAGCTCAGCATCTAGACTAGGTGGGCCTTTGAGGAATCTAGATAGACTGGCTCTGGACCTGGAGGTTCCACAAGAGCATAAGGAAAGCCTTGTTGAATGAAGCTGCAAGGTCCAGCTCCTGGTTATTTCAGTTGCCAAAAGCCCCAAAGAATCTAGCTCAGGCATAGGCAACCTCAACCCACCAGATGTTTTGAGACTGCAACTCCCATGATCCCTAGTGGTCAGGGATGATGGGAATTGTAGTCCCCAAACATCTGGTGGACCAAGGTTGCCTATGCATGATGTAGCTGGACTGCCTCTGGACCTGGAGGTTCCATAAGAAACCTGGAAGAGCCTGCCTGCTGGATCGGGGCCAAAGCAAAGCCCATCTCGCCCAGCATATCAGTGGCTGAATGCCCCTAAGGACCTAGGAACGTGGATAGACTGCTTTTAGATCTGGAGGTTCCATTGGGATATTGGTAGAGTCCTGTGGCTGGATCATCTACTCCAGCATCACGGTCTCGCTGGGGCTGGGCAGATGCCCACAAGCAAGACCCAAGGACAACAGCAACACTACCAGCAATGGGCACTGAGAGGCAATCCTGAGATAGGTGAACTGCTGGTCTGATTCATCCCAGGCCAGTCTACCCCGTGGGAGCCTTCCTGGGTCAAGTCGAAGGAAGCCCACTTAGTCCCTCATCCCATCCTCACCTTGGTCAGCCAGGTTCCTCAATGGGGAGCCCACCTGGAAGGACCTGAGGCCACAGCATCTCTCCCCACCTATGACCCCCAACACTGGCATTCAGGGGCATCCTTCCTCCAACAGAAGGACACAGTCATTGGGGCGAGTGGTAGCCATGGATAGCTGCCTCCTCTACGAGTTTGCCTGGTCCTCTTGGAAAGCCATGCAAGCCAGTGGCCGCCATCACTACAGAATTTGTGGGCACGAATTCTGCAATTTCGCTATGTGCTGGGAAGTGGCTGAGGGGCACACAGGCATGGGAGAATGCAGCCGATTTTTAAAGAAGAAAATGCATTCATCAAGGATGCCAAATTAAGGATGCACCCGTCAAACTTCAAAGCTCATTTGTTCCCCTCTTTTTGCACTCTCAAAACAGGTAGATCCTCATCAGAAATTGGTGTGGGTGGGGGAGAGACTGTTCAGAGATGCTCACGGCTTCCAAATGCAGAGGACCCCAGAAGCTCCTTGCCCCACAGGTAAAGTGGTCTTGGCACTCCCCACTTCCTGCACACAAAGCAAGCGACACCTCCCCACTCTGCCCCCGTCCAGTTCAAGGCAGATTTGGAGATCAAGAGGCAGATTACGAATCGTAGCAAAGAAATCACACACCCATCTTCTCCATCCCTCTGCAAAAGTCCAAACGGCCCTCCCCTCCTAATTTTTATAATTAATAAAAGCAATTAATTAAAAACAGGGGTCATAATTTATGTGCCTTACCTAGTGTCGAGCGTTGTATTTTCTGAGCATTTTGGAAGCACGCAGGGCTGTAAGAAGGGGGGGGGAAGCAGAGCAAGAGTGAAAGAGAAGAAGAAAAAGAGAAATTATTTTCAAACCTGAGCGTTTTTCAAAGAAAGAAAAAGCATCTTGACCAGTTCTGCTTCTTCAAAGGCATTTCTCTCCCCCCCCCCCCCGAGCTGCTTGCCTCCCTCCTCCCTCTCCTTCTCCACCTTTTGCTGGTGCTTAAAAAATAAAATAAAAATCAAAGAGGGGGAAAAGGCACTTCCTGAACGCAAAGAGATTCAAACTCCCTCTTTTGGTCAGAAATTAAAAACCCATCTGCATTTCACACTCCTCTTAGTCCCCCCCCCTTTTCTTTTTCTTTTTAAAGTCCCACTCTCTTCAGATCTGTCAAACTGACTGGCTGCAGGAATTGCTGAGGATGTCCAGGAAAATCCCTCATGAGATGCGTGGAAATCTGTTTTTTTGTTTGTTTTTTAAGGCCGGTGTCCATTTAATTTTCAGTTTGTTTTAGAATCGGTCCAGCTTCAACTAACCTCTTCCTTTGTCTCTCTCTCTCTCTCTCTGCCTTCCTCCAGAGAGCTCTGCCCTGCTTGCTGCTTTTCAGCCCAAAGCCACTGGTATCGATTCCACAACCCAAACCCTCTGCTTCCCTGCTCTCCCCACGTCACCAGCCTAAAAAACTGACAGATCGCAATCAGGAGCCAACCTGATTTAACCCAGTCAGCCCTGGACCCAGAAAGGAAAAGAGAGAGAGAAAGAAAAAGAGAAAAGAGAGAGAGATTGAAAACTGAGGCTGCTGTGGAAGGGAAAAGGGGAGGAAAGAGATGTTCGCTGGTGCTCATCAGTGCCACTGTTGACACTGCCGTTTTGCGGGCGGCTTAGGGTCAAGATCCTCTCTGCCATTTAAAAGGAAAAACATTGCATCCCGACAGATTTGCATGATGTGCGGAGAGAGATATCAGGTGCCTATCTTTGTCTGAGTTTGGCCCCTGTCCATTTCGACGAGGTGAACTTTGGGAAGGGCCGGTCTCCAGGGACTCGGCTCCCTCCCCTGGCCTGGTGACTTTTAAAACTAGCACCTGGGGTTCACCATCTAAAACCAGCCCTCAGAAATCTAGGAAGAGGCCTGCCCAGATCAATGCAAAGGCCCAGTTTCTTGTTGCCAATGGTGGACAGCCAGGTAATTATTGGTAAGGCCACCAGGAAACAAACCACCACCCCATTGTCTGCTTGCTTCTGGGATCTCATCGTTGGAGGTAGACTGCCCCTGAGCCTGGATGTTCCACCACTGTGCATTTGTGTTCATCCCCCTATTTAACCCATACATAACCCAATATGAATCATCGTCTCATATTGCAGCAACGAACTCTACAAAGCAGGTGTGGATTTGTTGACAGACCTATTTCCCTGTCTGTCTGTCTGTCCTGAATTGACTGCTTGCCAAATTCTGCAAGAGAGCAAAGAAAATACCTCTCTTTAACATCTCCTTTATGTTGCATTTGGGGCGTCTTTGGGAACAATCAGTAAACAAAATAAAAATGAGGTTTTCCTTAAATATATCCCTCCTCTGGATATTATACAGAGCTTCACTTTCTCAGCTTCACTAAGCTACGCAGGAATTCAGATCGCTGTTATTATAAATCAGCGTTGGCTGAGTGCTCCTGATCTCCCCTTTCACAAGCGCACAGAAGAATTTATTCAATTTTTTTTCCTCCCTGTGGCAAAATCTTTCCATAGTCCTTTTCCACCCATGAAACGAACAAAACACGGGCCTTCTTCCTATCTGTTTATGCGGATATTGGTCATGAGGAAAGAGTGAGCAGCTGGACGGAAGCATGTCCAAACCAAGTGACTTTCTGTAGTCGAATGACAGGAACACAAAATGCAGAAGGCATTCTGAACACCGGGCGTTGTGTGTGTGTGTGTGTGTGTGTGTGTGTGTGTGTGTGTGTGTGTGTTTTAAGATGCTGTTTTAAATTGGCTGGGTATTCTGGGATCAATTATAGAATTTATTGACTGTATTCATACAGCCCACCCGATAACGTATATACTGTAGATAGCTTATAGATAATAGATATTATAGGGGTAGGTTTTTTTGTTAGATTTGTAATATATCTATATCCATATCTATATCTATATCTATATATATATCAGTGAGATTTCTAATAGGATAACAGAATAGAAGTACATCAGAACTGAAGAAAGAAAATGCAGATTAATGTGTCCAGACAAGCTCATATGTTGATATTTATGCTTAGTGATATTCTCCGAAGATAGAGAGAAATTCGGGAGTGAGGTTTGCTTGTATTAAGAAACTTACAGCAGGTTTTGACCAAATGGCAGCGGTCCCCAGAGTCGACTCGTTGAAATTCAGGTGCACGACTGATTTACATCAATTAATTCTGGTGGGTCTACTCTGTGTAGGACTAAGTGGGAGGCAGAGTATTTATTGGTCTTAAATTCCATGATGGTCTTGGTGGTTTTAATGCACAAGGAAGGAATATTACTAATTAGAAAGGGCTGATTGACTCTCTTTTCATAGAGGGCTCACACTGTAACAAAATGTGGGGCACAGGGGATTAAAATCCTCCGCCTAAGATCTGGGAAATCCTGGCTGTGGATAACATCTCACGTCAGTTAAAGGCTACAGCTAATCCCAAATTTACAGATGACTTTTATAGGCCTGGTTCCAGAGTGCAAACGGAATCCACTCACTTTCGTTTTGTTAATAGCCACATTTAAAAACTGGGTACAGGTGTGATTTCCATTTTTTTTTTTAATGAATGAATGTACGCATATATGCAACTTATTCTCCATCCAAATCTGTCATCAAAGAGAACAGTAGCTCAATTAATCCATGCATCCTATATTTAAAAATGGACTGATAATATCGACACAGTCGGTGCAATATTCAAAGCGTCCTAGGGGTTACTCGATATTTTTCCACCTTCCTGTTTCTTTATGCGGATTTCATTGCGGGTTAGTGCATATTAAGGTGTCGTTTAAAGAAATGAACAGTTGTGCAATAGACGCACGGGGCTATTCTCCTAGGGCAGGATTCTGCTCCTCCTAGGCGAGTCACTAGACCAAGCTGAATCATAGGTGAGCCTGCATCTGTTTACAAAAAAACAAACAAAACCCTGCTGTTTCCTCAGCAACAATCAAGCCTGCAAGCCTTTCTCCAGTGCTAGGAGGTCAGACCCCTAGGCTGGGTGTGGGCAGTGGGGGGAAAAAACCTTTTTTAAAATGGTACTATTTTTGAAACATCTGTGTTACCTTCTCCACAAAG